CTCCTGAAAGACTGGCCACACTTAGAAAGAGTCCAAGATGGTGGCTAGGTATTTGGAGTACCACAATTTTGCCCCCTTGTTTCCGTTATATTAATGATTAGAGCTGGTCCAGGTCATTTGCTGTTGAGTTTCAATATCACTGAGTTTGCATATTCTGCATGAGTAGCTGAGAAGCTCAGGAATTGGATGGGTATGTTCTACAATGAGTGGTGGTATCAGGTTTCTTATTTCTTCAACCCGCATTGCTATCTTTTTCTTTCAGACTTAGACTTTTAGTTTCTCTTTGTTTCTCTTTTTAGTTTTTTTTCCTTTAGATTGACTAATGTGACTTTTCCTCAGATATTTTCTGTACCCACTTTACTTTACAGCACATTTTCTGTTTCTTGTTGTCTACTATAGTTTCTGACTTCCTGCTCTCCTGGTGTGTTATTCTTATATATGTGTTTTATTTTTTGTTTCACTCTGGTGTTTTTTCCTCCACTCTCTTTCCTTCAAGGTTGCTCCAGGTGGCCCTGCATCGTTTGAGGTAAAGCAATGCAAATTATTGATCGTGCCATGCTTTGAATTGAATTATCAAATATGTGATTAGTGGAAGAGTATTACAATGTTTTATTGTTTTTATTTTTTTTAGAAGCGACGCACAACCTTCATTATTTTCATTATTGTTCAATTTAAGATGCTTCTTCCTAGAATCTCCCACCAATTGCTCTGATTGCTGAATTGTTCTTTTGGGGGTATATTGGCACTCTGGCATTAAGCATGACCAACCAATTAGGCAGCGGATACAACATTATAAGAGAACAGCATTAAAACTGTCTCCTGTACTTAAGCTTACAAAGTTGAATATGCTATGAATACATTCTCAATTAATAAAAAGGCTCTTAATGGAGCAGTAGCTTGATACTGCACTAGGCATCCACTCATGGTGAGAATATTTGGTTCAGCTGAACATGACTTTTTCACCAAATTGTGAATTATTAATGTCATTTCAGTGTGTGGTTCACTGGGCCCAAACTGTTTTCATACATCACTGAAGATAACATCAAGGCAGAAACTCAATTCATCTTCAGTACCTCCCAAAGAAAATTTCTCTCTTTATTTGTATACTTAGAATTGGGAAATGGGGAAATACTCAGTGTTGTGATGACATCATTTGATTACCTATCACATCTTAAGCTACATATATTTCATCCATGACATAAAACATCAAGGGCTGTATGATTATGGTATGTGGTGATAAATGTCAATGACAAATAATATAATCAATGAAACTAATCATTTTTTCATATGGGAAGAGTAGTTATCAATTCAAAGATCAACTCCACAATGAACATCAATGCTGTCTCGAATATTGTTGACATTTATCCTATTTACATAAAGGTTCAGTATTAGGGAATGCCTCTTCTGGCCTATTGTGGTCTTATTCCTTAATGATCAAATGTTGCAATATGATATAAAAGGAAAGATTGGCTCCAAATAATAACCTAAGTAATACCTTGTTAAATTAGAGGGTACACAAGGATATCGAATAAATTATTACAAAATAGGTGTTCTTAAGCTTGAACCTTCCAAATTGTGATTGTACAAATTAATATAAATAGAGGATCATGAATGCTAGCCATCAGCACGTCACACACCTGTGTTACAGTTGGATGTTATCTTCTTTGACATTCTTCACACCTATGAAGAACAGATTTTTAATAATCTGTGTGTTCCACAGGTGTTATTAGAATTCAATAAAGAACAAAGACCAGTGAGAAAGAACTTGGCAAAGTCTAGTTAAAGGTGACAAAAGGTAGGAAGTGGTGTTCCACAGGGATCCATGTTAGAACTGCTACTGTTCACCATACACGTACATGATTTGGATTCAGGTATAGAAGGTGGGGTGGCAACATTTGCAGACGTCCCAAACTGGTGAGATGGTAAACAGTGAAGGGGATTGGAGAAGAATGCAGGAAGATATTAACAAACCAGTAGAATGGGCAGACAAATGGCAAATTAAGTTTAATATAAGGAAAATGTCAAGTAATTCATTTTGGTAGGATAAATAAAGAAGCTGTGTATAGTCTAGATGGTATGAACTTAACAGGAGTAAAGGAATAAAGAGATCTGGGAATTCAGATCCACAAATCTGTAAAAGTAGTTATACTAGTTTAGTATAGACGTTTAGGTCGGTAAGACTATATAAAAAAAGCCCAGTGGGTCTTGGGCTTTATATCCAGAGGAATATAATATAACATTGAGGTGGTGATGTTGAATGTAAACAAAACCTTAGTTGGACCACATTTGGACTATTGTGTCCAATTCTGATATCCACACTATAAGAAATATATTGCCTGAAAGGATGGTGGAAGCCAATTTGATAACAACTTTCAAGAGAGAAATAGATAGATACCTGGGGAGGACAAATTTGCAGGGCTATGGAGAGAGAGCGGGGAGTGAAATTAATTTGGATAGCTCTTTCAAAGAGCTGGCATGGACACCGTGGGCCGAATGTCCTCCTTCTGTGCTATACGGTACCAGTGCTGGCAGAGGTTGAATAGGTTAGGATTTTTTCGCTAGAGAAGAGACATTTAAGGGGGGAATCTAAGAGAAGTGTTTAAAAGGTTTGATAAGGTTAACGTAAATATGCAGTTTACATCAGTTAAATGGTCCATAACCAGAGGACATAATATAAGATAATGACAAGGAGGATCTAAAAGAGAATTTACGAGGAACTACTTCACGCAGAGGGTCGTGATATTGTAGAACTTCCTGCCTGAAGTGATAGTTGAGTTAGATAGTGTAGATGCGTTCAAGAGGAATTTAGACCTTCACATGAGGGAGAGGGGAATAGAAGAGTGTGGGAGGGAATAAGAAACAGGTGAAGATTCGTGTGGAGTATAAACTCCGGTCCAGACTAGTCGGACTGAGAGGCCTGTTTCCATATTGTAAATTGTTTGTGGAAACATTGAAAGATGTAGTAACATCATTGCTCTTTTAAGGGTCAGATTCTATAATTACCTCATAGCTTGACCTTAATTATGTGCTGCACTTACTATTGGGTACATATCAAATATTAAGAAGTTCTAGAAACGGGTGTTATTTAACATTTGTTGTTATTTGATGATAAAAGCCTTAAAATATCGATGATAAACTGTGTGACATGTACAGATTGGTGAATAATTCACTTTAGTTAAGTAGAAACTCTCCAAAAAACAATCTCGACAACATTGAAAGCTTCATAACGAGTAACACAATTTATACATTGTTAGAGCTCTTTTGGCCCATCAGGTGTGCTGCTTCTTTGATGCCACTTTCGGAAAAGGTGTCTAGAATATGTGCACTGAAGCAAAAAAATACTCTGTTTCCATGGCAATTCTCTCATTCTGGAACCAGCGATTTATAAAAATGTTATCACAAGCACACAGAGACACTTAACTCCTTGTTAACTGCTTGGCCAATGTTTTTTTTGGGAGTGCTGGGGTGAGTCTCGGGCTGTTGATGTTCAGGTTAAATAACAGTGCAGAATTTGTTATTTTGACATACATATTCTGAGGCGCATGTCCTATCAAATCACTGTCCAATCACTGTAACTCCTCCATTTCCTGTCTAATTAGGAAGCAAAAGGGGAAGAAAGGCTTTGCAAGTAAATTATCTCTGAGTTCTTAATCTAATGCTGCACACAAAACTCAGGAACGTAACCAGACAAGAGGCATATTTGGCTTAGAAAATAGAGACCATTTCTGGGAAAATGTAGCTAAACATTGAAAGCTGCCAACAATTGTTTTCTCTGTGGGATCAATCTTTGCTTGCTTCTTGGATTGATTTAAGGTTTATTGGGTTTTAAGAAAATTAATAATGTTTTCAAACTGGCATACTGGACAAAAATGGAAGTTTTTATTCTGTCCTTTTTTGCTGTAATATTTATGATCAGTAGTTTTATAAAATCCTTGGCTCAATTTGAGTTTGTTCCCCATCAATCATTTGAGCAATGAATGTTTAAAAATGTTGTACAAATTTATAAACTTTAGCATTGTACACTAAAATAGAGGGATGCAGACATATTACTCCTTTGAATTAGTTTCCAATTGGACAAAATAATAAATATTATAACATTGGTGCAGAGAAAATACCAGGAGAAATAAAAATTGTACATTTGCAGGTTTGGCGTTACATTGAGAAAGTGACTTTATAAAGAAGCTTCAACTGATGTTCTTAGGTTAAAAAGTTATTTATTAGTTTTGAGCAGTTATTATCACTCTGAGATCAGTGAGATAATGTACTTCAAATTGCAAATTCAATTTTGGATTTTAGTAACTTGTTTATTAAACTGTTGTAGTTGTTCACTGAGTGAGAAAATTAAGAGAGCTACTTTTATACATCTAGCAGATTACAGTATAGCTGTGTTGGCAGAGGTCTAGCAGGAAGTTGCTTTTCCGCTGTGAAGAATCTGCAAAGGGATGACTAACTCGTTCTTAGACACATTCTAAAAGTGTAAAAGGCACTTCACTGTTCTCTTTTGTCTCAATTTGTGTTCTCTCGCCTGTTCCAACCTAGTCTGTGCATTTGTACTCTTAACAATCATAGAATGTTCAAGTTATTGTGTAAAATATTTACTTCCATATTCCTATTTCGAAGCCCCTTGAGCTCAAATTCAATTGTCTACATTTGGTCATAGCCCAGGAACTTACAGGTTTTATTTCTTTTAATTGCAACCATGGACCTGCAGTTGACTGAAATTCCATCTCCATCAACATCTTGAGCTTCTAATGAGCTCCTTATCCCAGTATTGAAGCATAATCCTACATTTTAACCTGTTCTCTGTCCTTTCTAGCAGTTTAGATTCTTCATATTCCTTCATATCTCCACTTTGAGATTTTTGTCCAGCAGTGAACCTTTGGACTTCTGGACTATAGTTTCATCCTTCTATTTTATTTAGTTCTCTGTCACCTCTAACAAACCAGAGCAGATATTACAAGACAACGAATGTTTAAATAAAATGTTCTCCTCTTTTCTAGGCACCGGATATCCAAGTCCAAATTCAGGTCAGTTAATATGTACCTCAAACATGTTTAAACAGTTTGGTTTCTATTGCAGAATATCATTACTTTCCTCTGTGTTTTGTTCACTCTAACATTATTTGTCCTCGTGAAGTAAATAGTTTCATGTAGGGATTATTTCCTTGTGTCAGTCTGGCTCAGTTGGTAGCACTCTTGCCTCTGAGCCAGAAGGTCGTGGGTTTAAGCCCCACGCCTTGGAATCAATATAGTCCTGGGGTACACTGTATCATCAGAGGTCCTTCAGATTAGATGCTAAACCGCGGTCCTGTCTGTCCAGCTTAATTGGACATTGAAAATTCTGTAGCACTAAAAAAAAAGAAGGCAGTTTATCCCAGTATACTGGCCAACAATTCCCCAAATGAAATTGGTCACTTACACCTTGGCTGCTTATGAGATGTTGCTATGTGCAAAAATTAGCTGCCTCTTTTCATCCACAGAATACACAGAAGTCACTGCACTTCACAGTATATATTGTGAAGCGCTTTGAGATGATGTCTTGACATGTGCTACATCAAATACAAAGATTTTTTTTTATGCCATTGCATAGTCCCAGCGCCTTGGGACGTCCTCCTGACGTGAAAGGCGCTATACAAATGTAATTTTGCTGTTGTTTATTACATTTCTCTGTTGCAGTTGGTACTATCAAATACAGATTTGTAGGAGTACTCTACTACTGTATTATTATTTTTAAAACAATTACAGCTGTGACAAATTGACATCATATTGTGATTCGGTAAGCAAATAGTGTTAACTAAGTTGTTGATGAAAACCACAGAAAGTGGTTTTATTTGCAGCAAATTGTTTGATATTGACAGAAAACATCTATTAGATTCACTGGCTTCAAAGTTCAATGCTCTACATAACTGGAGCTGCATCTCCCTGAAGCTTATGTTCCAGACCTATTGTTTTAAAGGCCAGCGTTCCATTAGCCTTTTTGACAACTTTAGGAATTTGCTAGGCGAATGAAGACCAAGGTCCATCCAACAACAACAACAACAAGATTCCATTTACAGAGCGCCTTTCACGTCGGGAGGACGTCCCAAGGTGCTGGACAGTTGGGTCAGGACCCGAGCAGGGGGGAAATGGTCAGGGTGAGGGGAGGGAAGGGAGGGAGCGAGGAGGGGGGAAATGGTCAGGGTGAGGGGAGGGAAGGGAGGGGGCGAAGAGGGGGTAGAGAGTTGAGAGGGGAGCTGAAGGCACGGTCAAAGAGAAAGGTCTTAAGACCGGCCTTGAAGGAGGAAAGGGAGGAGGCAAGGCGAAGGCACTGGGGGATAGAGTTCCAGAGCCTAGGGGCTGAGAGGCTGAAGGCCCGGCCACCGATGGTAGGGCGGTTGGGGCGGGGGGTGTGGAGCAGACCGGAGCCAGAGGAACGGAGGGTACGGGCAGGTAGATAGGGGGATAGTAGGTTGGAGAGGTAGGAGGGAGCGAGGCCGTAGGTGAGAATGAGGATTTTGAATTAGATCCTCTGGGGGATGGGGAGCCAGTGGAGGCAAGCGAGGGTGGGAGTGATGTGGTCGCGAAGCCTGGTGCGGGACAGTACACGAGCTGTAGAGTTCTGAATGACCTGCAGCTTGTGGAGGAGGTGCCGGAAGGCCGGCACCACCATCCTGGCAGTCGCTTGACATGTCGTGTCCCAAACTATATACTGTATCCTATAAGAAGGTCCAACTATGAACTAGATTTAATAATCTATGAACTTGAACCCCTTGATCTCTCTGCTCATCTATCCCTCAACTTTGCATTTAAATTTATTGATCCTGATCTAAAAAATAAAATGAAAAAATGAAAAATGAAATGAAATGAAAAATATGAAGTCAACAATTCAAATAATTATTCTGGTTTGTTGAGCAAGTTCACAATGTGAATAAGCCGGCTTGCTTTTCTGTTTATCTGACGGTGAAGAGTCACATCTAATTGTTTTGGGTCAGCCAGGCATCTGACATGTGCAGAAACCTTCACCATGCTTAACAGTACACNAAAAACAGACTGAGAGTTCCGAGTATGCCACCTACACATGAAAATCCTTGTGTCTAGAATGTAAAATGTACTCTCCCAAGAGGAATATGCCATGCTTACCTAATTTCAGAGTATTAGATGCAGGTTGACAAAACCCAAGGCATGAGTGTGATGGGGTACTGTTGGAGTTGAACCAGCCAAAACCACGTAGCTTGCCATTGAAAGCACTGTCTGGCTAGGACTATCCTTCGACTTTGGCTTGAGGGTTAACAGGAACTGAGTGGGAATAATAATTGTTTATGGTTTTGTCTCGTACAACAAAAATGACACTTCCTGCGTTAAGCAAGGAGTTGTTTGTAGGAATAAATGTATCTTTTATTTCTACTTAAAAATGGTGGATTTTTTCAACTCAACATCAGAAGGGCAAAGTGTGACAGGTCACGTATTTTTTTCTTGGCATTTTACCTGGATGCAAGTTAAATTCCCTCAGAGAAAGAGAGTGCAAATTAGAAATTGAACCATCTTACCCCATTGCCCCTCAGCAGTATTGATAGAGTCTTTAGAGCAGATTGCCTGTCTGAGGGAACTTTTGCATTGCTACACAATGATCTAAAGTGTTGTGAATGTGTATGGGGGTGAGGTGCATAGGGCAAAGCAAAATAATGATGGTTAATGACAGAACAAAGATAAAGCATAGTTATTTTTTTCTGCAACTTCTTACAAACGATAATTCTTTGCAACCAGTAGCTGAATATGACATGATCAGCATTTTTCACGTGCAACAATTTATAGCAATGCTTTATTATATTCTGTTTTGTTTCAAAGGATTAAACTATTTTCTCGCAAACTGCTGTTATGGGGCATCCTGTCATGTCACCGTGGATCTTGACAGGTCTCGGTATGCAATTAATTTGAAAATGCCTACTTAACTATATAATTTTTTTAAATTAGTGGCATTACCACTGCCAGTTGTACATGCGACAGGAATACTAATTTTTATTCAAAGTCTCATAGCAACCAAGCGTCACCTAGCACCTAAGGCAGACTTGTTGAGGACATAATTGCATACAAAATACACAAAAAGGATGGTCTACTGGGAAGTAAGATCTTGAGAAATGGCAGGCTTAATTATCCACAAGCCTTCGTTACAAGGAGGTTTTCTCTGGGCTCTCACTTACTCTGTTTTCCCTCATCTCTGCAATATCATTTGTCTCTGCCATGACCTTCCTTCAGCTACACTGCCAAGACAACTCATTCACACCTTCATCTTGTTAGGTTCGACTATTCAAACACTCTGCTCACCAGACTCCCCAGCTCCCCCATGTACGAGCTGCAAACCAGAATCCTGTAGCTCGTGCCCTCTCCTGAACCAAGATTCACAAATCCATCCTCTCATCTTTGCTTGGGTCCATTGGCTTCACATACTCTAGTGGATTGATTTCAGGATCCTCGTCCTCACTTTCACATCCCTTCACAGCCTCACCCCATCTGACCCAGAAACCTCCAGTGACCCTCCTGAGCTGACCACTTCTTCCACTCAGTAAAAGCACGTCTGCTTCAAGTTCTGTGCTCGATCTGCCCTGACATCAGTCAGCAAGATTTCAAGATATCAGAGGGTTATTTTGCCCTCTCTCTCTGGAACTCCCTCTTAGAGTGCCTCCGCTTTGCACCTTCCTCTCTGCTTTCAAACTCCATCTTTTCAACTGTGGTTTTGGCCACGTTCCTCTCCCCCCTCCCCCCATGGTTTTCTCAGCTACCCACGAGTACAGTCGCACAGTATCATTACAAATGAAAATTGGTAAAAGTGTTGTTTTCTGACCTTTCCTACGTTTTTTGACTTTTGTGTTTCTGAAATATTTTAAAGCTATTATTTCTGCTTTCTGCCTTTCATCAGACACACCAGTTGCAGACAGCAGTCAAAGCAACCTGATTCTAAGAGTTTATCAATGCTGCAATTCAATATCAGTGGCACAAGGTGTGTGAAAGGATGACTTACTGGGTTACTCACTGGGTTACCAAGGAGCCTCACCCAGCAAGAATCAGAATGTTTAGCAAGAAATTAGAAAAATTGAGGAAAGCAAATAAGTGTAAAATATCTATTGAAAAAGAGCTAGAAAAGTAATTAATCCACTGCTCTCAGGCTTTAATGGCGAGCTTAAATTATATTGTGTTATATCAAAGGTAAGTGTTCTTCTGAATGTGTTGACATCCTGTTCAGCTGGTAAGTGTCTAATGAAAGGCGGAAATAGCAGGTTTGCAATGGATTGCTTAATTTTTAAAATGGAGTCTGTGGGTGGGTTTATCATACCTTAATTCAGGCCCTGTCACCAACCGTGCCTGTTTGTGTCACATTTTAAAATTAATGTACTGTAGCAGCTAATTTGTTGCAGGTACAGAATTGTGAGAAGAAAGGTTGAGTGTGGCATCTGACCATGCTTGCAGAAGTAGGAAAATTTCTGTCGACACGGGAAGTAATATAGTAAAATAATGAAGTGCAGTACTAATGGTAAGCCAAATATGCAACAGAAATAATTTGTACAGTAAACAGGACTCCTGTATCTCCATAACACTGTTATTACTGATCTCCTGCCAGTCTTCAAAAATGTTTTTGGGTGGTTCGGTGCAGCAGTTCTTTGATCTCCCACTGCAATTCAGAGATTCCCATTTCAATCCCCCTGCTACAGGGAAGGTAGGTTCGCTGTGTAGCAGGGGAGGTAACTCTGTTTCAGGATTGTGAGCATCAGAAGGAAGGTTGAGTGCAGCATCTGGTAGTGCTTTCAGAAGTAGGAAGGTTTCCATTGGAGAGGAGCAGGCAACTGCCAGTTGCTGCCACAGCATATCAGAACACCATTATAATGCACCTCTGCCCTGCTCTGGGTATTCTTTATATTCTCCTTCCTTTATGTATCACCCTCCTTCAGTACAAGAAATGTTTATTTTAAACATCTCACCATGTTCCCCTGCTGATGTTCTTCTTTCCTGTTTCAGTCGATATTGGCGCAGATGGAACCGATTTTGTAGGAGAAAGTGTCGCGCTGCTGTGAAATCCAATGTGTTCTATTGGCTTGTGATATTTCTGGTTTTCCTCAACACCCTTACAATTTCATCTGAACACTATAGCCAGCCTAACTGGCTGACTGAAGTTCAAGGTGAGAGCAAACATCAATAAATGTGAAAATATTAGCATGCTATTTCATGTTAAAGCATAAGATGGTATTCTATCAATGTGTTACTGTAAAATACAGTCCCAAATCATGACTGGTCTAGTTACATGGAACATACAAGTGAGCCATATCACTGTAATCAAACAATGCACAGCTAACAGATTACTCTAAGACAAAGTGTCAATATATCTGGGGCTAAAGTAAATTGGTTAAACTTTATTCTTCTATTTCCTGATGTCACCTGAACACTTGCTCTGCTGCTGTCTAGGAATACAGCACAGATCGTTATCTTACATTCAATTTATTTTGCTTTAGAGTGAATAGTTACTTTGTTTTAAAATACTGGTGTATTTGTTATTTTGATTAATAATGGACCTTCCTGCCTGTTGCAATGACTTTTTTTGGATAAATGCACAGCATGGAATTTTACTGAACCACATAAATAAAGAATGTTCCAGATTTGATCTCCAGTCTACACTGAAATAGCTGATCATACAACTTGGCTCCATTTGGCCTCAGGAATACTGGACTACAGCAGAAAAAAAAACAACTTCTCACTCCTGATTTCTATCCACTGGTTCTTGCTTTAAAATGCATATCTGTAAGCCGTCGGTGAGAATAGGATTCAACTTGGCTGTGATATCCAGTCTGAAACTCACTATCCATTCTTTACATGATGAATGGCCACTTGAATCTACTGGTGGGCTGCCAGTGGATATATGTTAAGCATGGGACATGAGCAAAGGGGAAAAAATTGAGACAAATTTTAAAATTTCTTTGAAAAATATTTTTGTTTTGTAGATACTGCAAACAAAGTCCTCCTGGCACTTTTTACTGGTGAAATGCTGCTTAAGATGTACAGTCTTGGCCTGCAAGCCTACTTTGTATCTCTTTTCAACCGCTTTGACTGTTTCATTGTCTGTGGAGGAATCCTTGAAACTATTTTAGTGGAGACTAAGATCATGTCCCCCCTAGGCATTTCGGTGCTTCGTTGTGTGCGGCTTCTAAGGATATTTAAGATTACAAGGTAATGTTTTACTTTTCTACTTTTGGTAGACAATGCATCACCCATTAACTACACAATGATGTCTGTTCAACCGCATCATATTTTACATCTTTAACGTCAATCACCAAGTTTTGGGAGATTTTTTCTGGTGGGAAATATTCTAATAGCAAATATTATAACTATACTATATGCTTTACGCTTTTGGTGCTGCAGTGTATCTGAAGTCTTTTGGATACCAGTTCATTAAGAGTGGTCTTGAATCATGCCTTGAATGTGGCAAGGGAGGGAGCAAGGCGAAGTAATTGTGGGATGGAGTTCCAAAGGGTGGGAGTAGAGAGGCTGAGGGCAGGTCGGGCGAGAGACATGGAGCAAGCTGGAGCCTGCTGAACGGAGGGAGCGGACAGGTTTATAGGGGGTCAGCAAGTCAGAGAGGTAGGAGGGGGCAAGGCCTTGGAAAGTGAGGACGAGGATTTTGAATTCTATCCTCTGAGGGATGGGGAGCCAGTGGAGCCGGGCGAGGGTGGGGGTGATGGGGTCACCTAGCTAGCAGGTAAACTAGCTAGCAGATTTGACTGATTTTGAACAGAATGGTCAAGCTTCCCATTATAAATTCACCCCTTCAGGGTCCGTAAATTTACCTAATCCAAAAGCATAATTGGTTTGTGGGATTCTCAAAAACATTTAGAAATAGCAAATCCTGAATGTGTTGTGGCTGATCTTCTGGAAGTTCACTTGGAAAACCATCTCCATGTGAGTGGAAACTGAGATCGAGGTCCAAGAGAGTCGGCTGTGAGACATGTGGAATTTACTATTTACAAATTACTTTGGGAATTTCACACATTCCACAAAACGTATGATTTTTTTCCCTAAAATTGGGGTGAGGTATTTAGATAGGGAGAGGATAAGAAGAATTTTTACTCTTCATTCAACCCTTTCTCCCTAACTTGATGTGATATTGGGCCCCAAAATGTTAAAAGTATTCCATTCGCATTTATTATTCCTCAAAAAAGAAAATCCGTTGAAAGTATAAAGTCAATATTAAAGGTAGAAAGAAAATTATTATTCAGAGAAAGCACAAGAGATAGTAGTAAAAGGCTCAAATTAGTTTCAAATTAAATTTCCCCAAAAAGATACTGGGGTCTAATCTGCCATAATTTCAAACTGGATTCATTAATTAAGGAAACCAGAAATACAACAGACCACTTGTGTAACTCCACTCCAATGCCATCTATTTTCGATTGATGAGTGACATATTGCTGATAAGAGTCAAACACAAATTTATGAATTCAGGAATTACGTTACAAATTGCCACTTATTGCAACAACAACAAAATTACATTTGTTTAGTGCCTTTCAAGTTGGGAGGATGTCCCAAGGCACTGGACAGTCATTGTTTTGGATCCGAGCTGGGAGTCGAGATCGGGGAGGGTGGAAGGCAGGGGGGAAGGAGGGTGATTGATGGCACAGTCGAAGAGAAGGGTCTTGAGATGGGTCCTGAAGGAGCCAAGGGAGTAGAAAATAAAGTATTTAGATGAAGCCAAATCAAATGAACGAATCATGAACGAATCTCCAGAAATTATGGACTAAAGTACTTGTGAATAGCATTCTTAAAAATGTTATTATGAACACAATTACGTGTATCAGCTTGGCTCAATTGGTAGTACTCTTCTCGCTTAGTCTGAATATGGACAAGACGGAAGCCATACTCCTTGGTTCCCGTCAATGTCTTCACTCCTGTGGATCTAAACTCCTCAGCCTCGCTGGGCTCTCCCTAAGACTCACCGACCTAATGTACAACCTAGGCGTCCAGTTCGACCACCAACAGTCCTTCCTCCCCCATATCCAGTCCCACCTCCACCACATTGCCAGCCTCCGACCATACCTTACCCCAAATGCAGCTGAAACCCTTGTGTATGCGTTTGTCACTCACGCTTGGATTACTCCAATGCACTCCTCGCCGGTATCCCCAGCCACTGAAACTCTTGTTCATGCCTTCATCACCTCCAGGCTCGGCTATGCAAACGCCCTGCTTGTCGGCCTTCCCAACTCCTCCCTCCACAGACTGCAGATAATCCAGAACCCTGCAGCCCGTGTCCTCTACCGCACCAAACTCCGTGACCCCATCTCCCCCATTCTCGCGCGACTCCATTGGTTCCCTATCCTTCAGAGGATCCAGTTCAAGTTCCTGGTCCTCACCTACAAGCCCTCCATGGCCTTGCTACCTCTGCGACCCTACCAACCCGCCCGCTCCCTCCGCTCAGCTGGCTCCGGCCTGCTCCACGTCCCTGACCCACCCGCCCCACCATTGACAGGAGAGCCTTCAGCCACTCTGCCCCCAACTTCTGGAATTCCATTGCCCCAATGACTCCGCCTCACCCCCTCTTTAGCCTCTTCAAGTCCCGCCTCAAAACCCTCCTCTTCAACCATGCCATCAGTTACACCCCCCTTCCCCTCCACTCCCTTCTCCCCCCCTGACCCCAGCTCGGGTCTGAAATGCTGTACACTGTCCAGCACCTTGGGACGTCCTCCCGAAATGAAAGGCGCTATACAAATGTAATCTTGTTGTTGTGTTGTTGTTAAAGATCCCATGGCACTATTCAGAAGGAGAAGGGCTTTTATCCCAGTTTCCTGGCCAACAATCCCTCATATAAAATCAGCCTCTCACTCCATGGCTGTGCTCCCAAGGTTTGTGGAACATTGCTGTGCCCAAACTTGCTGCCATGTTCACTCACAAAATACATACCGACAATACACTGTGAAGCTCTTTGAGACGTCTCAACGATGAGATAATGATGTATATTAAATGCAAGCATGATTATTATATTACTGTTACTTACTTCTTATGTTTCTCCATTTAGGTACTGGAATTCTTTGAGTAACCTGGTAGCATCCCTTTTGAACTCAGTCCGATCCATTGCTTCATTATTGCTGCTTCTGTTCCTTTTCATCATCATTTTTTCTCTGTTGGGTATGCAACTATTTGGAGGAAAGTTCAACTTTGATGAGATGGAAACCAAAAGGAGTACATTTGATAACTTTCCTCAGTCCCTTCTCACGGTCTTCCAGGTAGGTGATTGGCTAGTTTAATAGCCATTAGTACTGAGCACATTAGTCTTTTAAAGGACTAGATTGGTAGTACTATTCAAGGAAGATCCTATGTTACTTAATTGAATATCCTGTTGAACTATTTTGTGGGTGTAAACACCTTGTAAAATGATGAGAGATTCACATGAAGAAAGGCCTTCTGGTCCATTTGAGCTCACCTTTGCACATTAACGTTTTTAGGATTGTGACTTTTCTGACTCAATATCGCTTTGACTTCATATTCAAATAACTCATCATTCTTTTTGTCCCATATGTTCTGCAATTAAATGCATTTGTATGAATACACTGGCACACGAGTATGAGTTGAGAATTCTATGATCTGTTCTAATAAACTCCAATAACGTAGAAGAATCATCGGATAAATTTATAGACATCAAATTTACTGCCAGTCATGTGGTGATATGTATAATTCACTATTTATTTATTACATACTGTTTCTAACTAATATTAGATTTAAGTTTATCTTTTTCTATGTTCATTGAACACAGAAAAGCTAGTAGCTATCTGTGAAGGGGTGTTTTTGTGTCTGTGGGTTTGTAATACAGCGTTGATCTTTTTTTTTGTCTAGATCCTGACAGGTGAGGACTGGAATTCAGTCATGTATGATGGGATAAGAGCATACGGAGGGCCATCTTTCCCAGGAATGTTGGTCTGCATTTACTTCATCATCCTCTTCATTTGTGGGAACTGTATCTTTCTTGTATTGGCAGGAGCTAAGATTTTGTGTGGGCTGTGACAGGATTTTGCACAGCCACCTGTTAGAATTTGACCAAACCCACCTCTCCTTGAATTTTTTTTCACACGAATGTTGTTAATTCATATTCAGTCATATGAAACAGAAGGGCTTGAAAGGCAGACTGACTGATGAAGCTCTGTGAGCCAGTGCAGGCTTGATGGATCAAATGCCTTCCTTCTGCACTGTAGATTTCCATATTTCTATGTACAACAACTATTCATTATTTTCAAATTATTCAAAAGTAATTCTTTCCAGACACCGCACCGTAATTTTCATGATGAAATATTTTGATATATGGTTTTCTACAAACACATTAGATTTTGTTTTGGTTAACATAGTAGAAATAACGCTGTCTTATCCCTGTTTAACTTAAGCATGAGGAATAGCCAATTGGTGAAGTATCAAAAGAAAATCAACTCTTTAGGAATTTTTCCTCAGAAAACATTAGTGCTTTCAGGATTGAAATGAAAATTGGAGTGGGAAAGTTAAAAAGCTATTCACAACAACATTTCTAATAATCCCTCCAAAACCAATAACAATAATAAATTAGTCATTTTCTATGACTGTTTGTGGGACATTGCTGTGCGCAATTGGCTGCCGCGTTCACCCACAAATATACAGTCAATTCACTTTACAGTGTGTTCTGTGAAGCGCTTTGGGATGTCCTCCCACCGTGAAAAGCGCTATATCAAATGCAAGGATTATTATTATTATTTGCTGCCCTCTTGGTCATAGATTGGTACACAATGAGGGAAACCTTATTAAATAGTTCATTGTAATAATAAGCTAAAGAGTATATATGTGCACCTCTCATGAGATAAGTGCCTTGACTGTACGTACGAACAGATATTCTATTAAATGTGTTCTTGGCCATTGCTGTGGACAATTTGGCTGATGCCGAGAGTTTGACTTCTGCCCAAAAGGAAGAAGAGGAAGAAAAGGAACGCAGAAAGCTTGCCAGGTAATGGCTTTTTCATACTCTTTTTAATTCCCTTCATTTGACCAATGGTAGAACTATTACTCCTGATTCTTTTTAGTTCAAATGTAACTGAATATTTTAGTCTTTTTAACAATATTCAGTACATCATCAGGAAAGATACATAGTGTATGACACTATACAAGACAAATAGAACATGTAGCATAATCCATATTTGGTGGTCTGTCTTGTAATCACTGGATATTGTATTTAGAAAGTATGGCACTGATTGAGAAGCTGGTCTCTTGCTGCCCTCCAAGAGCTCAGATACAAAATGATATTGTCAAAGTGCTGGAAATACGTCCCCAGCCACCTTAACAGTCAGGTATGAGGAAACATAAACAAGCAGGCCAGGAGAAACAATTTTTTTTTGTCATCTAAATAACAGAAATATATTTTCCATTGGTGTCATTTGGGAAGGCATTTTTCTTTGATATCCTTTTGTTAAGGTGTCAGCCTGGTTCAGTTAGTAACATTCTCGCCTCTTAAGTCAAAAAGTTGTGGGTTCAAGTCTGGGCTGAGCCTTCAGTGCAATGCTAGAGCAGCTCTGCATTGCTGAAGCACTGTCCTTCAGATGAGATGTTAAACTGAGGTCTTGTCTGGCTATTCAGGTGGACATTTAAGATCTTGTGGAACTATTTGAAAAGAGAAGGGACTTTCTCCCGGTGTCCTGTTCTTCAATCTCCTGGATAAAATTGGTCATTCACTTCATAGTTGTTTGTGAAACACTGCTGGGTGCAAATTGGCTGCTGTGTTGACCTACAAAATACACAGTCAATGCAGTTTATAGTAAATTCTGTAAAGTGTTTTGAGATCCCTCCTGACATGAAAGGAGCTTTGGCAAATACAAGGATCATTATTTTTAAACAGTTTAAATTTACATCCATGTTGCATAAGCATAAGCCATTTACAATATTGAAAAAATTTACATTGAAAAAAATAGGTTAGGTTTACACTTCTTTGTTAACTTTTCTCAGAATTTAGAAAATGTTTTGTTAATTTTTTAGGACTTCAAGTCCGGAGAAAACTACAGAGAATGAAAAGCCACCAATAGAGGAAGAGAAGAAGGAAGAAAAAATTGAACTAAAAACGATCACGGTAGATGGAGACATGCCACCATCTACAAAGGTTTGTTTGAACATCTGAAGTTTTCATTGTTAGAAAAAAAACATTTTCCCTACTCCCAATTTTTATTTTTTTCTGCATCCATCTTGTTAGGTATGCCCCTACTGTGCCATGCAACATTCCCTGGCAACCAGGCATGCCGACAGCTTCCTCCCAGGCATCTGCCTCTGGCACCTTTGAGCTGGCCACCAGAAGGGGTACAAGAGTGATCAAAGGTGACTCCTTCAACACTTTTCCCTCCTTCCTTATTTGGGCTGAAGCTCTTGCTCTCCATACAGCACATACCCAATGTGCTGTGAACCAGCTGCATGTGGGTGCTAGTCCACATCCATGTCATCATAAACTGGAACAGCAGAGTGTTGTTTCCCTGCCAAGCTTCCATCCCTATTGTTGCTCAATAATTTCTGCATAAGCCATTTACAATATTGCAAGTTTTCTATGGTTTGTGAGGGGCTATGAGTTTCTCGCATATCATTACAGATCTTCTTTTAATAGAATAGGAACCCAACCAAATTAAAATTACCTGATACTTTGTCTTGTTAAATCTACGCCATGAAGACACACACCTTGCATATAATCACTTATACTGTTCTATGTCTACATAGTTTGGTGCACAGTTCATCTCCCATCACTGTGACCCTAAAAAAAAACAATAGTCCACAGCATGCTTAGCAGGCTGGTGATGTGAAAAAGATGGGTTGCTGTATTTTAATCTGTGTGGAAGAAAGCGAGCGAAAGAGAAGAGTGGAAGAGGGGAGAAAATGAGAATGAGAGAAAGGCGGAATAGAGAGCAAGTAGAGGTAAAGAAAGAAAGAGAGAAGCAGCTTTGTACCAGTGGGCAGGCAAAATATTCTGGGGAAACTCAGTGCATGATCTCTGTTGAAATCAAAGATGATTTGTTTGCAACATGACCTGTTCCAACAAAGAGTTGTAACTTGTTTGTGTGGATAGATTTGATGGCTTTTTGTTTCACACAGAGGATTGTGGATAATCTTCAATGATATCCTGTAAAGTTGGGTTTGCCTCCAGGAGTTTCCATTGAAACAATCGAGCAGTGTGACATTTTACAGGAGGCCAGTCAATGCTGAAAGAATGATTTAACTGACAGCCCATTTCTTTATGTGCTCCAGATTGGATTGGATGAATACCAGGTTGAAGAGAATGAGGAGAAGAATCCCTATCCTACCAATGAGTTCCCAGGTAATATCCCTGGGATTTCTCAGAGAAGCCCAGTCTTCAGTTTTTGTTGTCTTGTTTCAGTTTGATCATTTATACTCTTCCAATAACTTTTAAAATAGGAGTTTGGCTGTCTGCATAACTTTTAAAGGCTAGAAGTCACAGAAGGCAGAAATTATGAAGGAGAGGGATATAAATGAAGGATGGAGATCAAGAAGAGTGAGATGGGCACTGATCTTAGTGGACAATAGTCAAGGTCAATTTTAGGGGGGGAAAGACTGATCACCAAAGTAAACCTATTGAAAATTATGAATATAAATTATGAGGAAAATCTTATCAACTCTGCTTGATGACATTGAGGTGACATTGAACTCTTGTATATTCAACAACAAGATTCCATTTATAGAGCGCCTTTCACGTCGGGAGGACGTCCCAAGGCACTGGACAGTTGGGTCAAGGACCCGAGCCTTGGGGGGAAAATGGTCAGGGTGAAGGGAGGGAAGGGAGGGAGCGAGGAGGGGGGAAATGGTCGGGGTGAGGGAAGGGAAGGGGCGAGGAGGGGGTAGAGAGTCGAGAGGGGAGCTGAAGGCACGGTCAAAGAGAAAGATCTTGAGGCCGGCCTTGAAGGAGAAAAGGGAGGAAGCAAGGCAAAGGCACTGGGGGATGGAGTTCCAGAGCCTAGGGGCTGAGAGGCTGAAGGCCCGGCCACCGATGGTAGGGCGGTTGGGGCGGGGGCTGTGGAGCAGACCGGAGCCAGAGGAACAGAGGGTACGGGCAGGTAGGTAGGGGGATAGTAGGTCAGAGAGGTAGGAGGGAGCAAGGCCATGAATTCAGTATATTATACTCTTGACAGTTACAGACACTTCCTGATGATATTGCATTTTGCTTTTGTTGCTAAGAAATGTGTATTTAGAGAAACCAAATGTACCAATGATGAGTCTGACAAATAGAATATAATTTAAGCAATCCTGACAAGCTTGAATATTGTAATTGAAGGTAGGCAGCTTGAATGAAGGATTAAGTACCAGGTCACAGTCCTTCAATCAAGGTGAGCTGCCTTCCAATGCAAACTCTGCATGATATAATAGCAATAATACGAAAGCTCAAGGACTGAGGGGTACTGCCAAACACCGATAGACAGCTTGATTGAAATGGCATTGCCTGGTGTTTAGTGTGGAATGTGAAAGAAGTAATAATCTGTATAGGCAGGAGTGGGATGTTTTGAACATGTCTATCATTATTCATTGCTTTGTTATATATACCAAATACTCTGTTTAGTATGACAACAAGGTTTTGAGTTTTCTTTATACCTTTTCTAGAAAATCGCCTGCAGGATCACTTTTAGGGCAACTTCACAGTGGACCAGATCCTATATCTGCTGCTGCTGGACACTTTTACGATTGTTTCTTCTTTTAAAATCATGTGCATTAAATCTATGATTAAATATTTTCCAAGATATATTTGGTGATTGATGTGATTAAGCATGGTTAAAGTGACTTGCAAGGAATGCACCCTAGCCATCTTTCTTTCAGGTACACTAAACCAAATTGCATAGGTTCTTCCTATATGAATGTAAATCAGCTGGTGGAGATACTGTAGAAGAACTGGTGGGAGCATTATAAAACCTCTGCTTACATGAAGCCTTGCTCCTGCCACTTCTGAGAACTTGCTTTACAAATGGGTTTACTTGCTGTAGTTATTTGCAAAATTACTTTCTTAACTGCCTTTTATTTTTGCAAATAACCCTAATATTTCTCCTCTGTCTTCAGTTCTGGAAATGGCACCTAGTGCATAGAAAGCAGATACATTTTTTCTGTAGATTAAAGCAAACTGAAATTATCATCACCATCAAAACAATTATTATTCAGATAATAACTTAAAACTTAAGATAATAACTTAAAATATCTAAATTCGCAGATAATACTAAGCTAGGTGGGAGAGTAAGCTCTGAGGATGACACAAAAAGATTGCAAAGGAATATAGATAGGCTAGGTGAGTGGGCAAGAAGGTGGCAGATGGAATATAATGTGGGGAAGTGTGAAGTTATTCACCTAGGTAGTAAAAACAGAAAAGCAATTATTTTCTAGAGGGGGAGAGACCAGATAGTGTCAGTGTTCAGAGGGATTTGGATGTCCTTGTACACCAGTCACAAAAAGTTAATAGGCAGGTACAGCAAGCAACTAGGAAGGCTAATGGCATGTTGACGTTTATTGCAAAAGGGTTAGAATACGAGAGTAGGGAAATCTTGCTACAACTGTATAGGGCCTTGGTGAGACCACACCTAGAAATATTGTGTGCAGTTTTGGTCTCCTTATTTAAGAAAGGACATACTCGCCTTAGAGGGGGTGCAGCGTAGATTCACTAGGTTGGTTCCTGGAATGAGGGAGTTGACATAGGTTGAGTAAACTAGACCTATATTCTCTAGAATATAGAAGAAATTGGGGTGATCTTATAGAAACATATAAGATTCTTGTGGGGCTTGACAGAGTAGACAGTGTGAGACGGTTTCCCTGGTGGAGAATCTATAACTAGGGGTCACAGTCTTAAGATTAAAGATCAGCCTTTTTGAACAGAGTTGAGGAAACACTTCTTCACTCAGAGGGTAGTGAATTTATGGAATTCTCTACCCCAGAAGGCTGTAGATGCTCAGTCCTTGAACATATTCAAGACTGAGATTGATAGATTTCTAAAGGATAGGGGGATATGGGGATAAGACGGGCAGATAGAATTAGGTTAGAAGATCAGACATGATCTTATTGAATGGCGGGGCAGGCTCAAGGGGCTGAATGACCTATCCTGCTCCTAATTCCTATGTTCCTATAGGAACACTCATAATTTCACATCTACATTATATCATTTTCAATTAAACTTCTTGTAAAACATACTCTGTTTATCCATTTGTTGGTTTCCCAGAACTGCAACCCAACTGAAATTTAGTAGATCATAGAATTCAATCTCTATCCAAACATTATATATAGTGCCTCAATATGCATTACCATTTTGCAGGCGTATAGTTCAACTCTTTTCAAATATCTATATCAAACAGTTCAGCCAGATTAAATTGTCTTAGGCTATCTGATTATGTCACACTTTCAACATCATCCCTAGCTTTTATTCATTGGGTAAAGTCCTGATATACAGTTAATTCTGGGCAGTGTGTCACTTCCTGGTGTTCAAATGAATTACAGCCCTAAACAAGGGCACAAAGAAATCGAGCAGCCACTAACCTGTAAGATGATAATGAACATGCGTTATACATTACTGAGATTTATGTCAGCCTAGCTCAATTAGTACTCTCGTTTCTGAGCCAGAAGATTGAGGGGTCAAGCCTTATATCAGGACTTTAAACTCATAGTCTCACCTACACTGCAATGTAGTCTTGGGGTGTGCTGCATTGTCAGAGGTGCCATCTTTTGGATGAGCCAAGGTCCCATTTGCCTGAAAATTAAAGATCCATGTTCTTATTCAAAAAGAGAAGGGAGTTCCTACAAGTGTCATGACCAACAATCCCCCAAATAAAATTGCTTATTCACTTCATGGCTGTTTGTAGGTCACTGATGTGTGCAATTTGGCCGCCATGTTCATTTACAAAATATACAGTCACTACACTTTACAGTAAATCCTGTGAAGTGCCTTGAAACATTCTCCCGAAGTCAAAGGTACCACATCTAATAAGATTACTTTCATTATTATTTTTAATAAATCGAAGGATATTTTTCTCCTCAGGTGAAGAAGAAGAGGATGAGCCAGAAATGCCTGTAGGACCACGTCCCCGTCCGCTTTCTGATCTGCAGATGAAAGAGAAAGCAGTTCCTATGCCTGATGCGAGTGCATTCTTTGTGTTCAGTACAACAAACAGGTACTCTCCACTATACATTCACGTGAAATGTTACAGCAATATTCTAAGTTATTTATCAGGAAATGTAAAAATCAGCTAGGCTTTCTGCTCCAGATTGCTATCTAGGGAACCCCTACCCTTTCTGTAAAGGGCATATATTCAGCATTCAAGGGAGGACAGGTTTGGGTTACTTTTTCCAGAGACATAATTCCCAGTTAGAAGAAGGATCATTTGCATGACTCAGAACCCTTATTAAGGAATTCTGTTAAGGGATCCTGCAATCTGGACTCCAGTGCCAAGCTGATTTTACTGTGCTATTCTAACCTGCAATGTCAGAATGGAATAAGATTGCAGCTGATACAGAACACTGTGTCATGTCAGCATAGTTCATGGTTTAAAATCTTCTGGTTAGAGACAGCCTTGGAAAAGACCATTTGTTTAGAACCTGTTTGAAGCACTCCAGGACGCTACCCCACGTGAACAACAACAAAATTACATTTGTATAACACCTTTCTTGTCGGTGAAGGCCGACAAGTAAGGAGTTGGCGTAATCCAGCCTAGGTGTTATGAATGCATGTGTGAGGGTTTCGGGGGCCTGCGGTGTGAGACTAGGGCGGAGCCAGGCGATGTTGCGGAGGTGGGGGTAGGCAGAGTGGGTCATGGCATGGATTTGGGGTAGAAAGAATAGTTGAGAGTCAAACAAGATGCCAAGGTTTCGGACTGGCTCAGTGAGGTGGAGTGTGCATCCTTGGATGTTGATGCTGTCAGTGTCTGAGGTGTGGAGGCGCTGATGGGAGCCAATCAGGAGGGCCTCGATCTTGTTGACGGTCAACTGAAGAAGGTTAGCTCTCATCCAGGACTTGATGTCTGACAGACATCAAAGGTGTCTGTCAAAGGTGGAGTCCATGTGGAAGTTGACCCCATGTGTGCAGATGATGTCACCAAGAGGGAATATATAGATATTGAAGAGGAGGAGACCAACAACAGAGCCCTGAGGAATGCTGCACGAGGCAGTGTGGGGGCATGAGGAGAAACCTCCGTGGAGATGAAGTGGAGACGGTGTGTGAGATAGGATCTGAACCATTCAAGGACAGAACCATGAAGGTTGAGGTGAGAGAAGAGGCGATGGAGGAGGATAGAGTGGTTAACAGTATTGAAGGCAACAGAGAGGTCAAGGAGGATGCGGAGGCAGAGAGCGCTCTAGTCGCAGATGGGCAAAATGTCATTTGTCACTTTGACCAAAGCGTTTCTGTGCTGTGGGCGGCACAGAAACCCAATTAGAGGGGTTCATGAAGGGAGGGAGTGCCGGGAGAGGAAGTAGCAAAGCTGGGAAGCAACGACTCATTCCAGTACCTTGGAAAGGAAAGGGACATTGGAGATGGGGCGGTAGTTTGAGAGCAGGGAGCAGGGTGAAGGGCACTATATAAATGCAAGTTGTTGTTGATGTGTTGAGCTTGTTCTCCTGCACAGTCTAAACCTTGAAAGTAGGAACAGTACCTTTGATGCGTGCCACCACAGATCCCTGTATACCTGTAAAAAAGCAGGGTTCAACATCTTGAAACAAAAGTACTAAAATTAACATAATTTCAAAGTTGGTTTGCGATCGCAAATATATTTTTAAAAAGTATACCATGAAAACAACGTGGAAAAATGTAGATAATAGGGAAACTATTTTTTAAATGTCAAACTAAAATATTTTTAAAAATGTATGAAAGAAATAAAAAATAAAATTAAAGAGCAAATCTATTCCATTTGTTTTGGGTTTTGATATCAATATTGTTACAATAAATATTTAAAACTAAGTAGTAATAAGTAAAATGGTTACCTGATATCACTGGACAATGCTGACATGGGGAGCCAAATCTAGAAAATATTCCATACCCTCGTATTGACATTTAGATGTAAAAAGCAGGAAAAAAAACTTCAAACAAGCAACATTTGCCTGCAATCCCACTTGCACTTTTGGCTTGTTTCCTTATGGTTCTGTTTTTATCTGAGGGATAAGCCTTTCACAGATTTTCAGCACAGGATCTGGCATAAAAGATTATCAATTCACACTAGCTCCAACCTTCAGGCGAGAGGAGGCATGTAACAATCACACGTATTACACTATCAAAGCTTATTAGTATTTTGGTCTCTTTTTCTTAAATTATTTTTTCAAGTAATCACATTGCATTTAGTTTGAATTTCATGTTTGCAAGGTAAGGATTTGTCATTGGTATGAAATTAAAACATGCCCAGTTTGGAATAAGCCACCAAGATGTAGAGTAAAGCTCCTTCTCTGCCCCATCAGTGCCTTTGTTCCAGACAAAAATGCTTATCTTTAAAATGGGCCTGTAGATCCAGTGTTTGCGGATTGGATTCTTAATGAAATCAGAGTTTAATTTGCTATATCTATTGCTCTGCAACATCCCGTCCTTCTAGCTGTGCAGAGGATAAATCATGGAAGGGGAAACATTTACAAGAAAAATTGTTTCAAATAGATTTACTTAAAATGTATTTATTTGAAGATCTGATCTATAAATATCTGAATTACAGGTTTCGTGTGCTGTGTCACAGGATCGTCAATGACAACATTTTTACAAATCTTATCTTATTCTTCATCCTCTTGAGTAGTATTTCATTGGCAGCAGAGGATCCCGTCCATCAGTATACGCGCAGAAACCAAGTACGTTTTATAATACAAAACTTTTGAGATCACTTGTTCCTGTCTCATCTGGGCTGCAAGAAAAAAAACATTGTAGAGCTACTCAATAAGTAGTTTTATTGTTGTCATTTTAAGCCAATACATTAAAATAAATACACTAAGTAGAATTTAGATTACATTTAAAATATTTTTGCAAATGAAACCATTGTAATTTCCCCATTTTGATTTGATTTTCTCTTCTTATCCTCTTCTTCCTTATCTCTAAAAACTATGAATTTTAGTTTTACTGCTGATTCTAATCTGATTGTGGCTTCTGTACCTCTAAAAGCTCTCTATCCTTTCTTCCTTCTGCCAACTCCCACTGGCCACTTTGGAATGTGGGAGCAACTTTAATTGAAATTGATTTTCATTAACTTAAAACTAGATTTACAGACAGCTAATAAAAGACTGAAGATTAGTACTGTCAATACCTGATGTGATTTTGCACGTCTCAAATAGGATTGAGCAGCCGTAAATATGAATATACGGATTAATTCTTTGCTGGGAATCTCATCATGCATCCCTCCTGTCGATTGATGTCAGTCATGCCACACATCATAATTTTTAAAAGAAGTCTTCTCTGAGGCAGCAGATTAGCCTTGTGTTTAGCAGTATTATTTTAACCATAAGCATACAATTTAAACCAATTGCTGTGACGTAATTTTATCTCTGATGTTTACATGGCTGTAAATTGTTTTGGCTTTGCTCGCAGAATTTATGACATGAGATGAACCTTTCAGTGAGATTACTTTCACCCATTTATTCTCTGAGTGACTAGGTCTAGTGTTTGCCAGTAATCAGCTACAGATGGTTTTCTGATAAACCGCAGTAATCATCAATTCTCGTTGTGACTATAATCATGCTCCAAGAATACGGAGCACACTGGTGGATATTTACCATAAAAATAACATACATCGGAGTCGTCATCTAACCACAAGGATAGATGGAAACTGTAAACCACATACCTTTTCCTCTCTAACCTAAGGACATATGTGAATCTTTGAACATATAATCATTTTAATGTATGCATTCATTGGTAAAACTGTCTTATTTTTAGGTGATCAATCGTTTATTGTCTGATTACCACAAATAATTCCTCCATATGGAAATTGTCATGTATTAATGATAAACACATTATACAAGTATCTATTGTGGCACTTGTGTTTGAAGGACCCAAATGGAATTGTTGTGCTAAACTGTTGTGTTAAACTCCATGGTATACACTACAAAAGCAATGGATGCCTGGAAGTGATTGCAAGTCGTTCTCTCTTGGGGTTTAGATGATGTTCACAATACAATCATGACATTTTACAGTAAAAATCCTGTGAAGCACTTTGAGACGTTTCAATGACATGATAAGGCGCCATATCAACTGCAAGGATCATTGTTATAAATAACTTGCATAATTTAAAAACACTCAGCAACTAAAAGAGAAGCTGTTCCAGGTCTATGCCTGTGCTCCCGTGGACTGATTCTAAAGGGTTGCATCCAAAGATTTCACTACTCCTTCCAACCCTCTGGGAGAAACTTTTCCTTTGTTTGAAAACTCTGCAAAAAAAACCTGTTTCAAATTTTCCTGTCTATTTTCTAGCTCCTAGATTTAACAGGGCAAGCAGGCAGCTCCTAAACCACTAACCATTCGAGTTTCAATTTACCTTTGCTAATATGGCTAAGATCAGCAAGGTAATGGAGTTGGAAACTCATGTTCTTCCATTCAGTTCATAAGAACATCAGTGTAGGAACATGTGTCACCACTGACAATCTCTCTCAGCCTTATTATAATTTTGTTTGTTTTAGCAAGGTCAATCTATACTTTGTACTATACACAGTACTATTATATACATGACCCACCAGACCCCAGAATTTGAGGATTGTGTTGCAGTTTCTCTAGGTATTCATTATTCTCCTTATAAAACATTGAAACTCTCTCAATTTTGCAAACAAAAAAATACACAGTGAATCCATTTGTGTAGTATCCCACTAGTATATCCTGTGAAGTGCATTGAGATGTCTTGACAATGTAATAAGGCGCTATATAAAATGCAAAGATAATTATTATTATTAATTTGATTACACGCTTTGTAATCACTGACAATTAATCTTGCGTGTCTATTATCCTAAATATAACTGATCTAAACCACTTGATCAGATTACAGCCTTGTAACTCACAGGTATTCATTATTCTGCAAATAAACTATCAGATTCTTTAGATTCGATTGTCATTTTAGAATCATAAAATCCTACAGCGCAGAAGGAGGCCATTCGGCCCATAGTGAGAGAGCTATCCAATTGGTCCCACTCCCCTGCTCAAGTAAATATCCAATTCCCTTTTGAAAGTTATTATTGAATGTGTTGCTACCACCCTTACAGGCAATGGATTCCATATCGTAACAACTCGCTGCGTAAAAAAATTCTCATCTCCCCTCTGGTTCTTTTGCCAATTATCCTGAGTCTGTGTCCTCTGGTTACTGACCCACCTGCCAGTAGAAACAGTTTCTCCTTATTTACTCAATCAAAACCCCTCATAATTTTGAACACCGCTATTAAATCTCCCCTTAACCTTCTCTGCTCTAAGGGGAACAATCCCAGTCCCTCCTCCCTGGTTTCATTCTGGTAAATCTCCTTTGCATCCTCGGCAAGGCCTTGATATACTTCTGGTGCCCAGAATTGGAGACAGTACTCCAGCTGAGGCCTAATCAGTGATTTGTAAAGGTACAGCAGATCTTCCTTGTTTTGTAATACAGTGATTCCCAAGTATATATTAATACCGAGTATCAATTATTTCATCAATTACAGATAAAGACACAAGATTTTTAATTTATGATTTATGTGTTCATTTTGATTTTTATAGTATTTCACTGTTTATTTTTACTGTCTTATATCTATGAGAATTACTGGACTAATCGCAACCCATACGTGTTTTTCTGCAGATCCTTACCTATGCAGATTATGTCTTCACTAGTATCTTTACAGTAGAAATCATACTAAAGGTAACCATGTGATTGTACTGACATAAATGTGCATTTTTATCTGCTTTTATGCTTAGTGATAACAAAATGTGTTCCACATATTAGACTTTTAAAGAAGGTTAGAATTCATGGAATTAAAAGTGGCTTGTGATTAGGATGTCAAAAGAGGTTTCCCAGTATCTGTTGTAGGTTCCCTGCCAGGTATAATATCCATATATATGATTTATATCGTATATCCATATATATGATACATATAATATTCATACATATGAAGAGTTGCTATTGCAGTCATACACTATGCGCTGGTGATATCAAGGTATGTGGCCCACTAATAAATATAAGGGAGATAAAGAGAATGTAACAATCTAAACCAATTTGCTGATGTGTTAAGGAATAGCAGAATTCTGAAATAGGTACGGTGACATATATTGAAATCAGAAACAGCAATTTTGTCCAGGGTAACAGGATGTTAAATAGTAAAGATGGAAAACAATATATATGATTAATCACTCTTATAAGCAAGACCAACACTGAAAACTTTTTGATTCGGAATCCAAACTAAAAATCAAAATGTTCCTTTTCAACCTTCAATAGTAGAGGCACATTTGTACTAATGTGTGCAGTTCAAGACATCCTGTCTTTAAAAGGATATGAACGTGTTGAAGAATGTTGCTAAAACAGTGTTGAGGTTGATTCTGAGGCTGAACCTTCTAATGCAGGAGGAGAAACTTGGAGAATTGCATTTGGTTTTATTGTATTCGTTGAAATAACTACAGTATAATGGTATTTTATAAAAGTGGGACATATAAAACGCAAATAGTATTGTTCGAGCTGTTTAACAATGGTCATCATTATCAATAGTTGACAAATTAAGATAATTATTGTTCAAGAAGACACTTAACTGAGTAATTGTTAACTTTTCAAATCTCAGTTGTTTCAAACCTGCTTTCAGATTTGTGAAATCAGCTTTAATTACTGTAGTTACAATGGGAAGGAATTGTAAAATTATCAATGCAAAACTAGTTTTCTGAGCCGAACTGTGCTTAAACAGCACTGCTTTGTACTTTGCAGTCATTCAATAAATCATAGTTTAATGCTCACATTGTTCTTTTAATTTGAGAGTTTCATGACTTTAAAAAGTTAATTGTTACTACATGGGAAGGGAAAAACACAGAAACGGCCTTGGATCATTTTTGATAGTTAGAAATTACATTGTGCATGAGAGGTATGATAAGGATTTTGTTATGTGATGGTGATATCCTGATGAAATTACATTATTAAATTAAAAAAAAACACTTGTGGGGGATGTTATTTTGAATGAGATATCTCTTAGAGTGCTGAACACAAATTCTGATGAAGGATGTTTTTCAAAAGCTTTGCTTTAATTCCTGTTTAATTTGAAAATGCCTCCTTGTTACTTGTTGTCTGGACCTGTTGTTGACTTTGACTCTTTTATATAGATGACTGCTTATGGGGCTTTCATTCATAAAGGCTCCTTCTGCAGAAATTATTTCAACATACTGGACTTGGTGGTGGTTAGCGTCTCTCTCATCTCCTTTGGAATGCAGTGAGTTTGTTTTTTTACATATATTTGTATAAGTTTTTTTAAAAATATAATCAGTGTCAATTTTTGTAATATTCAAAAGTGTTCTAAAATGGACTAATTCCTCACCTCTTTCCTCCTCCCCCACTATTCTGTGGTGTTTTAAACTATAGTGAAAAACAATCCCACACACACAAGAACAAATTGAACTAGCACTACCACAAGATCAGTATCTCACACATACACTGTTTGTGCTTATCCTTCCTTCTAAAATAACTTAATTTTCTTCTGAGCTTGAAAGAGGGAATAATAGTAATTAAATTCTTTCTTTTTTCCAATTCAAACCTTTTGGTAAAGCAATACATGAATTCAAATACTGTTGAAATCTGAGTGTTCTTTGAAGGTTAGTGAACAAAACCTTTTTTAACAGTCCTTGTTTGAAAATCTGGCATTACTGTCTATTTAAATCACTACTTCTCATCTTAGCAGTAATTTTGTTGTCGGAATTGCTAAAGTCAAACCTAAATTTCTATCCCCTTATCCAAGGTCCAATAGATGTCTAATTGGAAGGCATGTTAAGAATTAAATACAAGATATCATTTACACATTTACTAAATATTGTATCTTGTCATTAAATTCATGAGATATAGTGAAGACATCAAGCAACAGAGTATCATCAAGAGAACAATGTTATTCTGCACTTTGATTTCTTGAATTCAATTATGGACGACTCCTGAAAAAATAGATGCTTCAATTGAAGACTGCGCTGAAAACTGAATTCTAGACTAAACCGGTCAACTGGTTCCCAGCAGCAGCAACATCTAAATAGTGTTGGTTGCAACTTAAATTGAACATTGTTCAAGTGTTGAAATTGCTGTGAATTCACCATCACACTGATTTTTTTTAACCAAGTTTCTTTGAACCAGCAGATACATGCTGGTTCAAAGGGCGTTTTTTGAATTTAATAGTGTCAATTTTGTTTTTCTCCCTGATAATCATTTATTTTATTTCAACTGTTGGGAATGATTCAAAGATTAATATAATCTTTATTTCCCTTCAGGTCCAGCGCAATTGCAGTAGTAAAGATTCTCCGAGTTTTGCGAGTGTTGAGACCTTTGAGAGCCATCAACAGAGCCAAGGGGTTGAAGGTACAAGAAATGAATCCTTTGAATCTCTCTTGCAAATGTGTGAATGTTTTTATCTCAGCATCAATGGGAATGTTATGCTGTAACTTTATAACACCCAGTCACTTACTTTCTCATTCAGAGTGAGTAAAGCAGGCCTCTTGTGCCCGAGTGCAAACTTAACTACCTCTCCGGGTGCAATTCTAAAATATTGATATTCAGTAGAAGCCGCTTTAACCGGACGCTGGTTAACCCTGGACATTGGGTAAATTGGACAAAACACCCTGCCCCGATTAATTTGTATGCTTACCCGTTTTAAATACGGTGGTTAATTTGTACAACAATCCGGTCAATCCGCACAAAATGCAGCACTGGTTGCCCCTGAATGTGTACGCTCAGGCCTTCTGTGTCTCGAGCAGTTTCATTCAAGCATGAGCGACTCCAGGCTAGAGATGGGAGGAGTCAAATTACGATTGATTGACAGCAGACTCCAGCCATTCACAAGCAGCTTTGGGTGGTCATTCAGTGAGGTGGCGGAGGAAGGGGGAAGAAACGAGGCAGGGAATAGGAGGAGTCAAATTGTGATTGATTGACGAGCCTGGAGCCATTTGTGAATGGCTGGAGCCCATCCATTCACAGGCGGCTCCAAGGCTGTCAGTCATCTCGGAGCCACCGTTAATTGGTCCTCTTCCCGTCCAATGGGAACAGCAATGGCAGGAAGGCGGGGCCCTGCCCCGGCTCCTCTACTGGGCAGGAGGAGGTCATGGTATTTCAGTTAACCTTGGACGCAGATTAAGCCCAATAAAATGGCTGGCCCTGATGTGTCCGGCTTAACTGGCTCTCACTGTATTTGTTATATTTGTTATTTACACGTGTGTTATCAAAAAATGATAATAACAGCAGAGTATTATAAATTATTTATATTAGTGATTAAACAAAGTGAAATCATTTGCACTTTTGAAGTTTCATAGAATCATAGAAATTTATAACAATTTTATAGAATTTTATACCCCCAGTTTTTGTTTTGTGATCCTCTTGATATTCTTTTACCCCTGACCCTCACGGTTCATTCACATTTCCTTTTACAAAATAAATTGCTTTACGTTTTAGTATGTTGCTCTTTTGTATTGGCACAGGATTAATCCGTGTTTTGTTTACCTTTCCAGCACGTTGTTCAGTGTGTGTTTGTGGCCCTGAGGACCATTGGTAACATTGTGATAGTGACCACTTTACTGCAATTCATGTTTGCTTGTATTGGAGTTCAGCTCTTCAAGGTGAGATTGAATTATTCATTCATTTTTCAATTAGATCACGATAAAGGTTCCATTTAACCCCTATTACAATGTCTGTGATTGCGAAGATGACCTGCCACCAAGCCTCCAAAAATCTTCTTGATCAATCTGTCATAAAGAATTGATTATTGACGGGATCACTTCAAAGAGCAGCTTCTTACAGCTTGTTCTGCTGATCAGTTGCGGGAGAGTCAACAGAAGCCTACCATTCAAGCATTCCACCACTATGTTTAAGTGCATGTGTTTAAGGAGATTAAAAAAGAAAAGAGGGTGTGGGTAAAGGTGAGATGGAGACATAGAGAGAGGAAAGGTGAATTGATCCTGCCCCACTATTCTGCATCTACTGATTAATGCAAATCTTCTTTCTCATAAACACTCCTTTTCAAGGTGATTTCAGCAAACAAACTGCAGCTTTGACATTCTCAAACCAACTTGAAAAAGAACAGCATGAACATATTAAAAGTGTGACCTCATTTATATAGGTAAATTGAAAAAGAGAAGATATTTCCAATGTGAGCTAAATTGGCACAAACATAATATAATGACTGACCTTTTTCATTACTGATATTTCCATGACTCAATTTGATTCAACGTCCTAACTTTGCATAGACTCAGCCCAGCACAAAATCACCTAGAATTTGCAACAAATGATTGATCTCATTCAGAGAGGATCCAGGATGGATGGTGTTGGAAGTGGAAAATGTCACCTTTGTGCATGAACGAATGCTCTTATGAGGTTGGGGCTGAGAAAGTTTCTATGACTTTCTCGCTTATAGGTGTTGTGTGAATACATGGTGTTTTACAGTAGAGCGCTCATTACTGATGTTAGGTGGTCGAAACCTGCAGCTCGGGTGCAAACCCCTCAGTGTCCAGAGCCTTGGGACATCTTCTGACATTAAAGGCGCTATATAAATGCAAATTGTTGTTTCTGTTGTTGTCGAAAACACAGAACTGTTACACAGTAGTGAGTCATGAACACCAATATGCTTACTAATATGCACTTTTGAGGTGCATATGACTGTTATGTGTTAATCTCTTAGTCACCTTCATCTGATGAGTCAATCATCCTTGAAATCATATAATGCTCCATTTATCCAATCTATTGGAAATCAACAATTCATCTCAATGTATACTGTGTGTACTTTTCTTGTTTAAAGGGGAAACTCTATTCCTGCACAGATGGATCCAAGCAAAAGGAATCTGAATGCAAGTAAGTTTATTTCATACTTTTACAGTGTTGAACAGAGTTTCTCACAACAGCTAGGAACATTTAAGAACATAAGAACATTTAAGACACAAGAAATAGGAAATTTCTTCCTATATATATTTCATTTCCCAAGACACACTTTATCCCATGGTCGGGAAAGCAAGCTGTTTTTTCTCTATGATTTTTGTAGCAGCAACATGCCTGTGCCAATGTTGCTCGGTAACCACCTGCTAGGATTTATGCCAAAGCAGCCAACGACATTCCCCTCTCTATATTATTATTTTTTCATTATATATGAGGGAAAACTTTCCTTTCATTGTAGGTAAGATTCAAACACTGGTCCGAAAGGCAGAAGGGCCCTGAACTGTTCAGGACTTCAGGAAAATAGCATTCTCATCAAATGCATAAACAAAAATGTACCAAAAGGATATACAGTACTGTCATTTTTTTCAGAAAGTAGAAATTTGTTTATTTCAGAAAAAAATTGTTAGTCTTTTAAATGCTTATGTAATATTGCAGTAACTTTTAATCTTATAAATATTTCTTTTTGGGGGATCCACAAAATGCACTTTAACTGACATAACAAATGTACTGTGACAAAGAGATTCGGTATTTAATACCATCTTAGCTATGTGCAAATCTGTTCACTGTTTTTGTTGAAGAACTAAAGAGAGCTGCCTCTCATAGAGATTGTTATTTTAATCCATGTCATTCTTGACAGATAGCGCCAGCAAATGTGAGCTATGTGGGCAACCTTACAAGAGCATTTCAGCAGCCACTAGCTGGAGTTAGAAGGCCGCAGTACATGGATGTTTAAGATTAGCCAGGCAGGTTACATTAGGTATTTTGTAAATAAACCTTTAGGCTTTTTCCTGCTGAAAGCTCTGTCTTATTTTATTATTGAAAGGCATAAGTGTGAGAGTGGCCACTGTTCTGTATTTTGTAGAGTCCGGTAGCATGGTGCTTAGCAGGCTCGCCTTGCAAGTGAGAGGACCTGGGTTTGATTCCCGGGCGGGAAGAAACCTTAGGCAGTTCCTATACTCCACACACATCTGTTTACCTAGCAGTAAGTAGGAACTTGGTTATTAGTCAATTGGTGGATTGCTAACCGGGGTTAACAATCCCTTAGCCCCCAAAACACAATAATTTCCTGGTCACTGAATCCACAACTGTTTGTGGGACACTGCTGTCCTCAAAATATACACAAATATACAGTCAATTCACTTTATAGTATATTCTGTGAAGCACTTTGAGACGTCTCAGTGAGGTGATAAGGCGCTATATCAAATGCAAGGATTATTATTATTGTTTCGTACCTCTACTTTTTTTCAGTCTGTCCTTGTACCATTTCCCAACCTAGATGTATAATAGGCATGTGCCACTTGTGCCCCCCTTACAATTAGAATTATTTGTAGGTGTTGATTTGGAAGCATGACATTTCTGCTTCACTTTTAAGGATCTGTAGTGTCACATGTATTACTTATGGAGGGAGAAACTCTGGTGAGGATATCTTTATAGACTTGGTGATGTAAACAACTAGTTAAATAGTGATTGTTCTGGCAGGAATAACCCTTGCATTTTTTTTCATATAGAGCCTTATCATAAAATTGCATCAGCATAATCATTCAGAGCAAGTTTCCCAAATACCTTTAACTGGCTATTGAAGCCTTGCAGGCATGACAGTGAATGTGCCTTTCCTTGCCAGAACACTCAAGCAGCTCCTTCCATGGTGCTTTTATGACTTAGGAATATCAGAAAACATGAACAGGAGGAGGCTATTCAGACCATTGAGCAATTTATTAAATCTTGGCAGATCTTTTAATCCCAAATCTCTGTCCTTTTACCATATCCCTTAATGGTTCTACTGGCAAGTATCTGGCCTGTAATTCCAAATGTGAGCCTGGCTCAGTTTGTAGCACTCTCACCTCTGAGTCAGAAAGATGTGATTTCAAACCCATGTCAAGACTTTGAGTTCATGTCTCAGCTGACACTCCCATGCAATGCTGGAGGAGCGCTATATTATCGGAGGAGCCGTCTTTCGGATGAGACATTAAAATCTGAGGTCCTGTCCTCCTGTTCAGATGGACATTCATATCCCAAAGCCCAAATTGAAAAGAGAAGGGAGTTTCTGCCGGGTCCTAGCCAACATTCACAACAAATTAAAAACAATTGGTCACTCGCTCCATGGTTGTTTATGGGACATAGAGTCCTGTAGCTTAGTGGTTATAGCAATCGCCTCGCAAGTGAGTGACCTGCGTTCGACTCCTGGCAAGGTGAAACCTTGGACAAGTTTCCTTACTCCACACGCCTGATAATATTCCCTCNAAAAAAAACAATAATAAATTGGTCACTTCAATCCATGATTGTTTGTGGGGCACTGCTGTGCGCAATTGGCTGCCGCGTTTTGCCCACAAAATATGCAGTCAATTCACTTTACAGTCTATTCTGTGAAGCGCTTTGAGACATCTAGAAGACATGAAATAGCGCTATATCAAATGCAAGGATTATTATATATTCATGTGCGCAAATATATATTGCATACGCGTTCACATACAAAATATGCACCATCATACCACTTTACAGTATATCGTGTGAAGCATTTCGTCAACATGATAAGGCACTTTATCAACATTTCATTCCTGTTACAAAAACAGCCCACTTCTTGAGGCAGGAGGTATTGAAAGGAAAAGGAGGGATACTCCCACAAATATAGCAGACGTAGTGGCGTGATTGTTAGGGGCACTGTGCATTAAGAGATAAAACAGATGTTCAGTTTGACAGTATTTTAATTGCGAAGACATAAATTTGTGGCCATTGACGTTAACATAACAATTCCAGTTAATGATAAATGTTCGCAACTGTAATTGTTTTAAACCATCATGTTTGGCACTTGTAACTAATTTCATACCCCTTTTATGGAACTAAAAGAATCTATGTTATAACTAAGACCTGTAGCATCTTCTGAAGTTCAATATTCTGTGAGCACAATTACAGTCAACCAATACTGAACACTTAATATGGCCCATTTAGTGGTTTTATGGGGTTACCATTTTTTTGAGGAATGCAAAGAGGGCTTTGAATTTCTGGACATATATACAATTCCTGTTATTTTTTCAAGCCTCCACAAATTCTGTGACATCTTAATTAATAGCCCAAATATACTGCGTGGAATTTTGTTTTTTTAAAAGAACATCTTGTATGTTGCTACAGTGCGCCACAAGTTGGAATGAAAAATTAATTATCCTAAAAGATTCTAAATAAATTGATTGCAGTACATCTTGTAATACTGTACACACAAGTGTGTCAGCTTGGCTCAGTTGTATCACCCTCGCCTCCGAGTCAGAAGGTTGTGGTTTCAAGTCTAACTTTTGAACTTGAACAGACACTCCAATCCGCTGGGGGTGGGGGGTGGGGTGGGAGGGGGTGTTTGCACTGTCGGAGGTGCCATCCTTCAGGTGAGATGTTAAACTGAGGTCCTATTTGCTTGTTCAGGTGGACATTAAAGATCCCGTTGCACTATTCAAAAAGAGAAAGGAGGTTCTCCAAGTGTCCCGGCCCAAATTACATGGATATGCGTGGGACATCGCTGAATTTCACAGTAAATTCAGTGAAGTGCTTTGAGACATCCTTCTGATGTGTTAAGGCGATGTACCAAATGCAACAATTATTATTTTTATTATCATCATTATTATTAAGCACTTCAAAAATGGGGAGGAGTAAGTTGAAGGATAAATTTGTATTTTGCTCTGTCACCATAAAGGACATGGTAAAGTTAGTCTCTTTAGTAAATTTAACAATCCATTTATTTTAAATGTAAATAGGAAATGTTTTGACAAGTTCATCATTCACCCAGTTTCTCTTTGGTCTGTGGTTTTGATCTTTGAATGGGTAAGGGAAAGAAAACAATGTTAATTCATGTTAAAAAAATACATGTTCCATATCTATGACTTGAATGTTTTAGCTGTACCTCTGCCAATACTGTTCAGCACCAGCCCCAAGGGTATACCTTTGCCCCACTATCCATGGTAGAAGCAAAACTAACTCAATGAACCAAAATTATATTCTTCTGTTCCATAAAGAACTCAGAGCACCATTTGGTCATTGAAGTCATAGTGTTTGCCGTTTGTGTTCCAGTAAACACTAAACTTGAATTGGCACCTTGGCAATAAATCAGTAAAATACTGTATGTTGAATAGTTGCCAACTTTGCCTTATTTTATTGAGAGACAATAAAAAGCATAACAAAATTATGCAGCTCCAGCCAAGCACAAAGCACAAGGTCATGTCTGTGCCAATTAAATGTAGTTGTCATAGGCACTGTTTTATCCAAATCGTTACTCTTTTTTAACACAGTACTTTATTGCAGTTTATGCCCTGGGATGACATCATATTGGCATATGTGACACTTGCTGTACTGTTCATTTTACTAGCAGAGTGTAGAACCCTAGTCAACCGATGCATCTTCATCCCATGCAAAAATGCACCCTCTCTCTGTGATAGTTTCACCCTGGCAAAATGGACATGGTGTATCCTCCATAGCACCCAACTTAAAAAAGAGTTTGCCCAAGTCAGATCCAATTAAGTCCACTGTTAGATGACCCCGTGCTTCAAGTGTCATTCTCCCAGGTTCAGCTGGTGATTTTTGATCTCATCTAATCAGGTGGTATTCATAGCATGCACAGAATGTTAACCCCTAGCGTCATGTAACAACACACTCAATTTACGTACCATCAAAGCTGATAAACAACGCTCCAAATTGTTTGATGAGCAACATATTTAGTAATCTTCAGCAATTTTGACAAAATGCAATGATCTTAAAGAATTTATTTTTAGAACTGGATAATTGGGGCAAAATAAATTGAAAAATGTGCACTGCACTTAAAATCTTTACCAAAATAATCAACTGAATCCATTGTCATTACAGAGTTAGGAAATCTCTGAGAAAGAACAATTTAATGTCACCTTTAGGTCTATTTCATCATTTTGTAGCTATAAATCTTATTAAAGCATGCATCTTAAGGGATTGAGCCAGATGAACGGTACGTGCTGACAGTTGATAACTGGCTATGCTCCAAGTTAGAAATATACTCAGGTTAAAAGTAAAGAAATGCAACACAGGCAAAGATCAGTACACACATCACACAAAATAAAGCCATTACTTGGTTAGAGATGTGCTACTGTTTGTTTCAGAATAATAATAATTCACGACGCTATACACTAGGAATAAAACTAATTGCATTTTCTGGATCCAAATACAGTAAAACTCACATAAACTGGATCTGTATTATGATAATAATCCTTGCATTTGATATAGCGACTTATCACGTCTTCGGGACGTTTATAAGCGATTCACAGAATATATTGCAAAGTGAATTGACTGTATATTTTGTATAATGAGGCAGCCAATTGCACACAGCAGTATCCCACAAACAATCGTGGATTGAGTGACCAAATTATTATTTTTTAAAGATTTTATTCGGGTATAAATCGCATAATCGCCAAAGTCGTACATTCCCCCAGCACACCAGCTCTAGCCAGGATCCACTTGCTCCCTATCACCGAAAGTATCAATTTCAAGATCATCACACTCGGTTTCAAAGTCATATTAAGTCATATTAAATGTATATTCCTAACTGGTACAACTTATGTGAGGTTTACCACCCAGAAAATCACTGCATGTTATATTAATATCATGTATATTGGTTGATACATTGTGTGCAATTGAGAATCTAAACCACTTGCAGAGAGACCTCAACTGGATACCGGAGGAATCAACTGGAAATGAACACTTTATTCCAATTTTGCCTCTGCAAGACTAGATTCTTGTATTTATGTTGTATCTCGCAATGTATTGAACTAGATTTTAGCTATTCCAGTTCCCAAAGTAATCTACTTAGCGGGTAGTAAATTTATAGGAAATCACTACTACATTTGTTAAATTGTGCAAATGAACGCTTGGCGAAGTTATCATTGTGTAGTGCCTGAAATATTAGAGATTCCAGATGAAAGCAAAAATTGTTATGAGATACTACTTTGTTGCATAAATGTTTAGCTTGGACAGCATATTACCCTGATAGAATCTACCTGGTGGTATCAGAATGCTTGAGCTTACCGTTATGTGATCTCCCATGTCGATATGTTTTTTGCCTGAATATATCTATAACTAATATGTAATTCTCAAATTAATACAGAGTAGACATAACCCATGACTCTAAAGTTCAAGTGGGTCACTTGTTTCCTGACATTGTAAGACATGTTATCCTGTATCCTACTTTCCCCCACTTTAAATGTTCTATTTAACCACACTTGAGTAATACATTTTTCTAAATTACAGGAAATATGTGGCTAATAGTCATGTCCTCTTGGTGACCCAACCTAATGTGATGTTATTCAGGCCTCACGTCAGAGTCATTGTTACCGGGAAATAACCAATGTTTTTTTCAGGCTTCACAGAACATTCCTTTGGATTTCACGTGGCATAGAGACATTCCCTAACATGGGCTATTCAGAACTAAGATTTTTTTAAATATTTTGATTGAAGAGGAGCCCTATAGCTCAGTGGTTAGAGCAACCCCTCGCAAGCGAGAGACCTGGTTTCTATTCCCAGCAGGGCGAAATGTTGGGCAAGTTTCCTTACTCCATATGCCTCTGTTTGGCTAGCAGTAAGTAGGAACCCAGTTGTTAGTTGATTGTTGGAGCGCTTTTCTGGGGATAATAATCCCTCAAAAAAAAGAATAATTTGGTCACTCAATCCACGACTGTTTGTGGGACACTGCTGTGTGCAATTGGCTGCCGCGATTCGCCCACAAATATACAGTCAATTAATTTTACAGAATATTCTGTGAAGCGCTTTGAGACGTCTTGAAGACGTGAAAAGCGCTATATCAAATGCAAGGATTATTATTATTATTTATTAAAAACAGAATTGTCCTCCCATTCAATCAGGAAGAATCAGTCCAATTCATCTTTTCCAAGGGAATGGAATGTGAGGAGCAGTTGAGCTGTTGTGCAATGCTTTTACAAAAGATTGGCGAGAAATTTATGCTGTTTTTGGTATTTATGTTGAATTATATAAATTCTGAATAGATAATTTGCCTTTCCTGTAAATTTTTGGTGTTTCTGCAATGCGTGAAAGTGACAGTAACCAAAAGGTCTGCTGACTTTTTGGATGTGTTTCACTACTGTACATGCAGATGAGAAAGTATTGTCAGAATTATATTCATAATTTTGCTGCTCCCAGTTGATTTTTCTTGTAAATTATGTCATTCTATATTTTACTATCTGAGTGTGTTATTCAAATCATGGTCTAGGACCCACAGTGTAGGTTATTTTCTATTTTATATGTAGCTAGCTTTTCCTATAAAACACAACAATTCTCTACAATTTTGAGTGTACAGTGGATAATTCTTGCTGTGCATTTAGAAAAGGCATCTGGAGTCTAAATTGCTTCTTTACAGATAAGGAAAGGAAATCTGTGGAGACAGTAATTTAATATTTCCTGGTATTTAATGTTGAGAATAGCATTACCATACTTGGAACAATTCAAACAACTGCCTCCTGGTTAGTGGACTGTGCTGGCAGCCAAAAGTGGCAAGAAAATAAACAGCACAGGATATATTTTTAAAAATCTAATATATTTGGAGAGATCGGTTATAATTATTGGAAATACCTAACAGTATTTATTTCCTATTAACAGAGGTCAATATATTCTGTACAAAGATGGAAATGTAAACCAACCAATAATAAGTCACCGTAAATGGGAGAACAGTGAATTCAACTTTGATGATGTCCCCTCTGCTATGATGGCTCTTTTCACTGTTTCTACCTTTGAAGGCTGGCCACAGTAAGTATGGTAGACTAAATGTTTATGATGTTTTAAAACTCAAAATCAAGTGACTATTTTTTCCCTCTCTCCTCATCCTGAATGCATTTTAATTTTATTTTACTTCTACCGGTGTAATGGTTTTTATTCAACTATGAGCCTTGACTGTGACAGTAAGCTGTTCATCAAGCACAGGGAGTATTGTGATTGAACTACAATCTGGAGTCCTGTAGTTTGGTGGTTAGAGCACTCGCCTCGCAAGTGAGAGGACCTGGGTTTGATTCCCAGCAGGGCGAAACATTGGGTGAAACATTGGGCAAGTTTCCTTACTCCACACTCCTCTGTTCACCTAGCAGTAAGTTGGAACCGGTTGTAGTCGATTGGTGGATTGCTTTTCCGGGGGTAACAATCCCTTCCAAAATAAATAACTAAAAAATAATAATAATTTGGTCACTCAATCCACAAATGTTTGTGAGACACTGCTGTGCACAATTGACTGCTGGTTTCACCCACAAAATATACAGTCAATTCACTTCACAGTATATTCTGTGAAGCGCTTTGAGACATCTCTAAAATGTGATAAGGCGCTATATCAAATGCAAGGATTATTATTATTATTATCCTCTCGTGAAGTCCACATATGCACATATTCAGCTGTAGTTGCTTGGTAATGATGAGGAGCCTGATAGTGATGAGGAGCAAATTGCCAATTTGAAATCAATTCAAGTGTTCACAAGATCATAAAGAGAGGTTCAGATGAAGATGATCTTTTGGCTCAGCTACATACTGAACAAGAACAAAAATCTTAATGTTGATCCCCTGGAGGATTGGGCTCCATTAGAGCTGGCCAAGGATGGAATTATGGGTCTGTTGAGCCTGGTGCAAGAAGAACAACAACAACAAAATTACATTTGTATAGCGCCTTTCATGTCAGGAGGACTCCCAAGGTGCTGAAAGGAGTTCTGGGTGGTTTGGAGATTAGGGAATATGGATACATAGAAACAGGAGGAGGCTATTCAGCTCCTCAAACCTGTTCCGCTATTTTATAAGATCATGGCTGATCTATACCTCAAGTCCAGTTACCTGCCCTTGACCCATATCTCTTAATACTCTGACTTATAACAAATATTTATCTACCTCCATCTTAAAATGTGAATGGAACTGAGAAGGCCAGCAATCAGAGCATTGGAAAAGTCAAGCCTCCAGGAAACAAAGGCCTCTATGAGGGTTTCAGCTGTGTGGGGACTATAGTGGAGGAAGAGGAAGAGGATGTTGTGAAGATGGAGAAAAGTGGACATGGCTAGAGCCCAGATGAAAGATTTTGAATAAAGTATCGAGGTTCCATGAGTTGTTATGAGAAACCTCATGCGCTTAATACAATTTTTTTTTAATGCAGTTGCTAGTTTGTTCTCCACAGCTTGAGTGGGAAAATAATTTCAATTGTATATAATGGATACCAATATGAGCTTTGGTCCTCCCTGTTATGTTGCTGGGTAATGCTACTTGTTTGTGCTGAATAATAGAGTGCTGATGGATATTGCTCTCTGTACACTTATGACTTGAAAGCACATTTATTTTCTTGTTTTATTATATTTGGTGAATTGTGTGCTCACCAAAGGTGATGGTTGTCGGATTCCTTCAATATCAACTAATGCTTAATCCGGTGCAACTTAAGAATCAGTTGCCCGGCAAAGTTTCCTTTTATTCTGCCCCAATAATGTACCTTGATCAACCACATAAGAACATCACTTGCTGCTGTTGAATGCATCAACAAAGTAAAGCAATGACTCTCATCACAGAAGAAAGGAAAACTTGATAACCATTATGGGAAAGACTGCATCCTGGGCAGACCACCCTGGCTACAGAAACTGCTAGGTGCAGAACTGACTGAAAGGGTAGAAGTGGAAGAAAATCAGAAAAAGGAGATGATTCTAAATTTCTCTATTTCAAATGATTATGTGTATTTCTCCTGTCTTATGTGTGCAGGTTGCTGTATCGAGCCATTGACTCTCACACAGAGGACACTGGTCCAATTTACAACTACCGTGTGGAGATATCTATTTTCTTCATCATCTACATCATTGTTATTGCCTTCTTCATGATGAATATCTTCGTAGGTTTCGTCATTGTCACATTCCAGGAACAGGGAGAACAAGAGTACAAAAACTGTGAGCTGGACAAAAATCAGGTGAATAAGCAGTCTCCAGTCTAATGTTCACCTCAGTAAGGCAAAAAAAAATAGAATTCATCTCAGAAGTGAAAAGCATGAAAAACTACAGCTCCTCGATCGAGCTAATTGCAAAGTACTTGGTAACGTGTGTGATTTAAACTGGTGAATAATATTTCATTATCCTGTTGCAGTTTAATTGTAATGCTTAGTAAATGCACAGTAAATGCTGTGCTTTTCAAGTTGCAGTCTCCACAGTAGGAATGGGAATTGTTTCCTATTTATGCCCTTGTTATTAAAGTTATTCTGTAAAATGTTAAAACGGCAATCTAAACTAAGGAGAAAAAACAGAGGTGGTTATAAAACTACATGTTTCCCTGGTTTTATAATGGGAGAGAAATTTCTTAATATTTTGGAATTATGTTTCTATTTTGATTACTTGTGCTTCCATGGTGAAATATTTTATTAACACTTATTAAATATTAAAATATGTGTAAAAAAAAGCTGACCAAACTTTGTCTGAAGTTCCAAATTGAAACACAAATTGTAGGTCTTTCAGCACTATTTTCTGGTTGTGTTTTCCTTTCTTTTTTCCACCTCTCTCCTCATCTCCAGCTCCACCTTCGGGCCCCTCTCCTGTCCGAAGTCATGAACCTCTCCTTGTCAACCGGTTCAGTTCCATCCCACCTAAAAACAGCTATCATCACCCCCATCCCGAGAAAACCTTCCCTGGACCCATCCCTACTCTCCAGCTACCGCCCCATCTCTCACCTTCCTTTCTTCTCCAAGCTCCTGGAACAAATCGTCAGGTCCCAGCTCTGCTCCTTTCTCCCTCGCCATTCCCTCTTTGAATCCCTCCAATCGGGCTTCTGCGCTGCCCACAGTACGGAAACAGCCCTGGTCAAGGTCACTGATGACATTCTGAACATCTGTGATCAGGTCTCCCTAGGCCTCCTTGTTCTCCTCGACCTCTCTGCTGCCTTCGACACTGTCGACCATTCCATCCTCATACACCGCCTCTCCTCTTTACATAATCTTTGCAGACCCACCCTTGCCTGGGTCGATTCCTATCTCTCTCACTGTCTCCACTTTGTTGCCTCTAACAGTTTCTCCTCCATCCCCCGCACTGTCACATCTGGTGTCCCTCAGGGCTCTGTCCTTGGCCCTCTCAAGCATCTACATGCTTGGTGACATCATCCGCAGACATGGGGTCAACTTCCATATGTATGCAGATGATGCCCAACTCTATCTTTGTGCCTCCACCCTCAACTTCAGGACCACTGCTGTCCTGACAGACTGCCTGTCAGACATCAAGTCTTGGATGAGGGCAAATTTCCTACAGTTGAATGTGAACCAGACTGAGGCCCTCCTGATTGGCTCACGCCAGCGCCTCTGCACCTCAGGCTCTGGAAGCATCAACCTCCACCAAGCCAATCAGGAAGCTAAGTGTCTTGTTCGACCCTCAACTGTCTTTTCTTCCCCACATCCAAGCCATGACCCGCTCTGCCTTCCCTCACCTCCGTAACATCGCCCGACTCCGCCACTACCTCACCCCTCAGGCCGCTGAAACTCTTGTTCATGCCTTCATCACCTCCAGGCTCGACTGTGCAAACGCCCTGCTTGTCGGCCTTCCAAACTCCTCCCTCCACAGGCTGCAGATAATCCAGAACTCTGCAGCCCGTGTCCTCTCCCGCACCAAACTCCGTGACCCCATCTCCCCTATCTCGCCCGATTCCATTGGCTACCTATCCTTCAGAGGATCCAGTTCAAAATCCTGGTCCTCACCTACAAAGTCCTCAATGGTCTCACCCCACCCTATCTCTGTGACCTCCTAAACCCCTACCAACCCTCCTTCCCCTCCCCTCCCTGACCTCAACTCGGGTCTGAAATGCTGTACACTGTCTAGCGCCTTGGGACGTCCTCCCGACGTGAAAGGCGCTATACAAATGTAATCTTGTTCTTGTAGTTGTTGTTTTGTATTTTCTGTTTATTTTAAGATGATTAAATTAAAATGGTCAATTTGAATGCTTCTACAGCGCCAATGTGTGGAGTACGCCCTAAAGGCTCGGCCTCTGCGACGGTACATCCCAAAGAACCCTTACCAGTACAAAGTCTGGTATGTGGTGAACTCAACCTACTTTGAGTACCTGATGTTTGTTCTGATCTTGCTGAACACCATCTGCTTGGCTATGCAGGTATGAGAAGGGTTTTACTGCACTCAGGCTGAGCATGGAGATTGCAGTTAGTCATCTTATACTTTGTTGCTCAGATGCTGCTTATATTTTAATATTAGTGAAATATGAATCTCATTGCCTTGGCCAGAGATTTACATAAATTAATTTCAATGAGATTATTGAGCAATCGGACAATCCTTGCCATTTGCTTATACTAGGAAGTTTTGTTCAGAAAAGAGTATTTTGCTGGAAACAATCACCCCATGTACAAAATTCTATAGCAGTGAAGAGAATCACTTGATTCACAAAATAAATTCATTTAAAGATAAATTGTTTCCATGACTCAGTCGTGTTTTTAATGATATGAAATAGGTGTTCCTTTTGAGCCAATGAATAATTTTACTCTACTCTTATTTATTTCAGCATCAAGGTCAGGCCCAACGCTTCAGTCATGCAATGGATGTCCTCAATATGCTCTTCACTGGACTTTTCACGGTTGAAATGATCCTGAAATTAATCGCGTTCAAGCCCAGAGTATGTACTGCAAATAAATTAATCGTAAAACTGCATGCTGTTCTTTCCTAAATGTTCCAGAGGCTAGCCTTTAATCATTAACTTATTTACCCTATGAATTAATTCACTGTTAAAGGCCATTCGATTAATTGTTCATTGGAGTCTAATTAATAAGCTTGGTTTAAGAACAGTTCTGTTCTCTGGTGATGTTGAGTTTATAATGACCTGATTCAAGACATTGTACCCCAGAGGTTTCCACAGGCAGGGTTTGGCTCATTTGCATTTTAGTATCAGTGCTGTTTACACTTGAAATCAAATCAAGTGCTAATGATGCTACAGAGAACACTAAAACTCTCATCTTGCTTCTTGTTCCATTTGTAACTACTGAGAAAGTGTGAGGTCCTAAGCAACTTGCCCAACAATTAAATTGACTGCGACAAATCTAATTCTGGCCACCAGTAGTCAACTGCAAGTCACTCCTTCCTAAACTGCCATTTTTGGGTGGCATGCAGGGGGAGTTGTGGTCAACAACAACTTGCATTTATATAGTGCCCTCCGGATAATGTCCCGGAGTGCTTTACAGTGGCAGAGTCTGACATATGTGAAACCCATCACTATGCTTAAGAGTATCCAAACCAAGCTGAGATTTCCATGCATCCCACCTACACATGGAAACCCCAGAGATAGATTGTTGCAATGGAATGTGCTCTCTCTCCCTGGAGGGACGCTCCCTGCTCACCTAATTCAGGAAAGTATTAGGTGCAGGTTGTCAACAGCCAAGGCTTGGGGACCCTAAAGTGTGTGTTGGGATACTACTGGAGTCTAATCCGCCCAAACCACATAGCTTGCCATTGATGCCACTGTCTGCCAAACTTTCTTGCCTCTGCGTAGGCCCATCAAGGTGCTGGATTTATGAACGTGTGTCACAAACTCGAACTCCAGGTAAGCACGTTCTAGCAGCTGTCGCCCCAAGCCTTAGAGTTTCCTCATCAGCTATCTGGTGGGCATCTGCCTTCAGCGTGGTGGGCAGAACTTTACAGGACAGCTTGTAACCTGCTAGCCACCTTGATGTTCCTGTAAACTGCTGTGACAGAATGTGCTTGATGTACCAAAATACTTACTTATATTCCTATGAAAGTCTTGCCAAAAATCTTACCTTATTCAACCAAAGTTAACTCCCACCATGGTAATGGGACAAGTGTCAGGAAAAAAAGAAGTCATTGCTTCATTAGATACCTCAGTGTCTTAGCTCCACATATATTGTTCAATCATCTGCAGATGGGACAATGTAGTCATCACCATGTCCCTTTAGAAGGCTATTCATCACCTCTCTGCTTCACAGAGGGTTTACCTGAAGATTTTATCATTTTGAATTATTACTTTGAAAATACTGTAAGCCATTTGGTGTTCAGCATATACAATTTGTTCTTTATTCGCACATTATGTGAGATATTATAGTGAGTGTCACTTCTCCTAAAAGAAGATTTTTGTACAGCAGCAGAATAGAAGAAACTTTACCAGTGAATAGTCAGTTACAACACTTCTTTAACAAACATCAAACATCCTGGACCTCACAAGATTTTGCCCAAGTGAAAAGACTTCAGGAATTCAGCTTCACTAAACAGCCTATTTAATTGTACGGTTATGCAACGCCTGCTTAAAACGTAACTATTTCTGCTCACTGCTGCATACCATTATTTTTTTTAAAACTTGTCTCATATACAAGTAAAATCCTTCAATTGGTTATTTTATCAATCAAGACAGTGCAGTGAAACAATTTCCCATTGTTATGCGGCACCAGTCCATAAATATTAAATCTGAGCTCACTCTTCTCTAACAATGGCACAATCAGGGTCAATTTCATTGCTCCTCCTTTTGTAATTCATTTACTTTCCTTGTTTTTAATGTCACCTTTTGGAGTCAAATGGTGAGAATATCAGAAAATGCTTTCACTTTGGATGCCCACTGTTAGCATCATGGACTCCCAAGTTAGATATATTGAGGGGAAGATGCACACTAAGGCTCCTACTATTCTTTTCGAACAAGGTTCCTTAATTCAATCTCAGCTTGTTGTACCTATTACTATTTTCCACACAATCTTTTTGTTACTTTTCTGAGTGAGATTATAAATTTATGTTCTGTTTACGCTAGAATGTGTAGTTTTCTGTCAAGTGAATCCCAATCTTGAACCAACTTCTTTAATATATATTGAAATAGTTATACTGGTGGACTTACTTTTTGTCTTGAATCTGTTTGGCATCTACCCTCAACTGACAATGGGAACTCAGTGTGGGTGAATTGCTAGAGAAAACGTGTTCCTGTTGGTCTGGTTAACTACACCAGCACACCCAAGTACCACTAAAGGATAAATATCTTAGACAGGACTGCCCTTAGGTTTTAAGTAACATTGTTTTACAACTGGAGCACTTTTGAGTCATCTGTGAAAATTGACTTGAGGCATTGTAAAACTTCACATGAGAAGTTCGGAAGAAGAAGGCACTTCAATCTATTTGATCTCATCCTTTCAGAACACCACCCTGCCATCCTCCCATCACAGCATTAAGCTGTTTTTTTTATTTGAATAGAGTCCTAACCTTAACGCTACCTGATACCCTGTTCCAGTTGTCAATTACCCTCTGGCTAAAGAAATTTTGAAACCTATGTTCTCTTTCTATTGTTTAGTGCATCTGAAATGATTGTTCTGGGTTTACGTTCTCAATCCCATTTAAAATTGCACCCCTCTGAGATGCCTCTTTTCAAGTCTGAAGAGCCCTTGCTTGTCTAAATGTTGCACAGTTCATTGTTCTGACATGGGGGATCATTCTGGTGGCTCTCTTTTGTTCTGCCTCTTGAACTTGTCCAATCCATGCTTGGCACTGTGTCACACAGCAGATTTGTGGGATGTTAAGCATTGAAAATAGATCTGCTGTAATCACTGTAGCACTGTTTTTAAAACTGCAGTCACCAGTTCAGAATGAAGCTCTTGAAAGAAGAGGGCTATATTTGCCTGGGAAGAAACATTTCATGAAAGTTCTTTTTTGTCTCCTCCCCCTGGAGACCTTGTGAGCAAGTGTTCCCAGCATCCTGCTTCGAAAATCTATCTTTGTTTACTTTGCATTCAGCAAAAATAAGCAGTAATTTCGGGTGTTTACAATAAAATGTGTGCACTTACAGGGCTGCAGATCTCCGCAGAATTGTGGCTCGTGCATCCTGCACCTTTTGGGTAATACCCTTCTCATTGTGAATGTGCATAAATTTCCACAACAGCTTAGCATAGCAGCTTACAATGTCAGACTAGCTAGAAATTCATGCCTGGGGTCAGCGAAGTGGTCTAGTTTGATTTATTGGTTGGAAATGGAAAAGCATAGTGGCTTCATGTTTACGTCTCCTCTAATGTGCTCAAATATCTGACACCGGGATGATCGTCATGTTTCATTTAGCTCAGAGATATTAGATATTGAAAATGTTTCGTGTGCCGATATGTACGACTTGATTTGGTTACTTTGCTTCCACATTTAGAAGTAATATTACAAAAAAAAGTCTTAAATAATTGTGAGTGATGCTGGGAAGGAATAAACAATGGCATTGTCCAGAACCGATCTGTAATGATGGATAAATTTGATATTTCCCATGCATTTCTATGGTAAAAAAAAACAAGTTGTGCAAATACATCGCCTTCTCAACATCTTGGAATGATTGCAAGCCTGATTCAGTGTTTCATTTTGTTTCTTTGGGGCTGAAGGAGGCGAAGGAAAGGAGGAGACGTGGTACTAGTAGTTTTACAGTGAGGTTGAAAATACAGTATTCAATGCAGTGACGCCAAGAATCAAATAGAGAACAGAAGAGTATCACAGTGACCCGTGGGAATTGCACCAAATTTCATCATTTTGTTTTAGTGAATGCCACATTTTTAACTCCAATGTCTTATTTCATAAATGCAATGTCAAAGCTAAAAAATAAGGAGTCCGGTGGTTCTCCTCTCAATTGTCGACACTATATTTAGGAGAAGGATCCATTATTTCAGCGGAACATGAAATTGTCATCTGTTTCAGGCACAAGTGATGCGGATAAGTCAATTCACTTTACAGTATATTCTGTGAATCGCTTTGAGACATCCAGAAGACGTGATAAGGTGCTATATCAAACCCAAGGATTATTATAGTGTGAAAGTGTCATGAGACACCAAGCATCTAGCATCTAAAAAGAGATCTCTGCGAACAACCTTACAGGAGCGACAGAGCCTTTAATGTCACTTAGAGGTCAATCACCAAAACCAGGATCCTTTCAATATACATCTTTATGATGGGAAATTCCACTTTTAATAATTGGTAGATGATCGACACCGGCCTCACATCTTTCCTTAGGGAGCAATCGTAAAACAACGATGAAAACAAGTTGAGAGAGAGAATTTTGTTATTTACCCTGGGGACATTTTCTTGGATCAGTTCATTTTCAATGTTTGACATATTTTGATAATGTTAATAGTAAGAATATTACAAAACTGATGAATGACTTTGCTCACTTTATTCTTTTGCTTAACCCAGTGAAATTTAGCTTCTGCAGATTTTGCACTTGGATACTGTGAACAGTTTAAAGATGTTTAAGCCTTTCACCAACACGAACCTTATTTAAACTTTGTTTATTTAATAATAAAGAATGACTTAAGTTTCAACAATCGCCTCTCCCCCTCTTCCCCAGGGCCCCCCCAACCCCACACACAACACAAGCATGCCGCGGGTTCTAACCTGTGTTTCTGTTTGCACTGCTCCCTTTTCTTTACTGTATGCTTAAACAGCACTTTTGCTATAAAAATTTGGTTGGCATAAATTCCGTTTTTGCTAAACACTCAACATAATGATGCATTTCGGGTCACAACAAGTTGTAAATAGATCATTGCATGTAAAATCACTGGAACAAAAAGGATACCTTACTGCTCCCAACTCTTTTCCCATACTAGTAAAGAAACCTGCATTCTTTCAAACCATTTCAGCAAAACAGAACCACAATTAAAGAGCAAAAGCATAACTCAAAGATAATTTTCCCAGCAACTGAAATATTGCCGTAGCAAGGACGTAATAACAGCCAAAATGGTTGATAAAACTGTTCAACATGGAAGCCGATTCATTGTTTTAAGTTTATTTTGTGAAATTGCAAAGCCATAATTTCTCAGCCACAGCATACACAAGGTTTTCTTTTACATTGGGACTAGAGTGAGAAACGAGAGGTATTCATTCTACTAACGTGGTGTACGGCCACTGATTTATATATCTGTGTATTACTAAACAGCCACAGACAGGGTGTGCTCCACACAGAGAACCTTGATTTGAATTCAACACAGACTGAGTTTGGAATAGCATTAACTTATTTCCTGTAGGTAAAAGTCTACAGTATGAATTTCCCAGAATTTAGGAGTAACTTGGCATCCTGCCTCACAGAAATCCCAAGGATGGCTGGTGCGGGAATGGAAAGTGGAAATGTCACACTGGTCTTGACAGAGGTATTGGAACTAAGACACATTGTTGGAACAAAAAAGAGAACGCTTTACTCTCTGCCCAACTGTGTGACACCTCAGCTTTGTGTGGTAAGCACTAACATTGGGTGCAAAGAGAGGAAAAGTGTTTCTTTGGCAACTTTGCCATCTGAAATATTTTGATTAATCCAAAATGTAAACTTTTCCTCTAAAGTTGAATCTTTTAGAAAGCAGAGCAAAAAAAAACACCAGCCAAGATTGATGTTGTGGTAGATGACACATCTAGCAGACCTCCAATGTAAACTGCACAATCAGGAGAATTACAAAGCATGGAGACTACTGTCCATACTATCATAATGCTTGGTGGACATTCAATCTCACATAATCGGCAAGATATCACAAAATACTTATTTCAGAAGGTGGGATGTTTTTCGTCACCACCTGTAGCTTATAACACAGAATCTAGATCAGGATGCCACTCCTCGGTAGTTTCAATTTCTCTGCTCAAGTCTGCATACAGGAGCTAGGAATTATTCTAAAATTCGAGTTTAGCTGAACAAAAATAATCTGACAACACTGCGTAAACTTCATCATTAATTGTGTCGCTGCCCCCACTCCCTTGCCAGCTACCATGGATCTTTTTCTGAGAGCTGATTTTAATTCTCACTCATATCTAGACCTTATTTTTTTTTCTTCCAATCAAAAATACAAAGTGTTAGTTCTGAGCCAAATAAATTAGCTTAATTTCCATCAGAAACATCTGCCTTTAACGCATTTATTATTTAAAAGATTTTTTTACTGGTAGTGACTTTTCAGTCTCTGGAGGATTCACATCTGTGCCTTAGTCATGCAGATAAAACACAAAACAGCAATGAACAATTTTGAACTTGTGGGTGTTTTGGTTCGTGATGTAAATTTGAGTTGCCAACTGTGAACTCATGGTTTATGAAAACCAGTGAGAGGAAAAGTTCAGATAGTTATTTTTATCTAGCAATTTCAGTTTTATATTTCTAAATAAATGTACCTGCAAATTTTAAAATTAAAGTAAAACTGTTAGAAGCTGTAAGATGAAGTAAAGTTATTTCCTTGACATCTCCCATTATTTTGAAATAGCTTATTTAAGAGTTGAAACATCAACTCTTTGTAGCTTTATGTCACATGCGAGAAACGCAATGACACAAATTTCATTGTATCATGTCGTGTAAACAGATGAGGAAATCATTTGCCCAAAAATTCTGCAGTGGCAGCAATGCCTCTTTAAGTGGAGCAAATTCTCTTCTCATTGACATTCTATAAATACTGCCATCTCTGTCTATGCTGTGCCTGAGAATGCTGGTTTCAACATTACCCACGCCCTGGCCCCTAAACTATTTATATACTTTAGTTTTATGATTAAGGTTAACATTCACTGGCCGGGTAGGGGGAGAATGATGAGCAAAAATTGATGCCCAGGAAATGGATTATTCTGAACGATTTCTGATTACTTAATGCTTTGTTTTTTTAATTAACATGCACACCACTGTGTCAAACTTAATGGTGGTTTTCTTTAACCGCAAAGCACACTTTATTGCTAACTGTTTGTTTGTGATGAATTTGATGTTTCCCACTTTTATTTTTAAGACAGGACACAAAAGAATAACAGTATAAAGCCTGCAACATAGTTTGACAAAGACCAATGAAAACATATTTGATATTGAAGTATTTGGCTCAAAAAGTATCTTGTGTTTGAACATTATAAAATTGTCCTCATTAAAATCCCTCTTTAAACCTGTGCTTACCACATTGTGAGTTCTCAATTTCATCCCCACAATTGTGGAGAAGTGCTGAATAGAGACTGGCTGTTTTGCTGTAAGGAGAGGGAGAGGCAATCCCCAGGTTGCTATCTCACATCTCTTAGTAGCACCACTCCGCAGCATTAACAGAAACTTGGGAGAAAATTATCTGTCATCTCAATCGTGGTCTCTGGAGACCATGCAAATGGTCTCTGTAGAAAGGGAGAAGGTTTACCTTCGTATGTATTGCCCTTTAAATAATTTAGTGTAAATTGGAAATATTATTTAGCCTGGTACCCGTTAATATTAATGGTGTACAACTATGTTGCTGTGCTGAATTGTGTGTTGCTGTGCTGAATTGAGATCATCGAATGTGAAAAATGTTGCCATGTAAAGTCTTGTGTCTGAGAGCAACTTCTAACCTACCTTTCACCCCACTCCTCACCTGCCCCATGTAGGGTTACTTTAGTGATCCCTGGAATGTTTTTGACTTCCTCATCGTAATTGGCAGCATTATAGACGTCATTCTGAGTGAGATCAATGTGAGTATATGCAGCACCCTTGGAGAACGCTGTGCTTTTTAACTTTGCTTTTTAACCAGCTTCTTGCTTCCGGAGATTTAACTTCCCTGGTTTCACTAGCACAAGCTCTCCAATGCTCTGGTGAAACTTGGGAGAGTTCAATACCCAACAGAGGTCAAATCATGGCAGTGATGGATATGAGAAAAATTGTGAATTGTTTTCTGTAACAAAAGGTTAGCATGGCCTACTTGTGCAGTCTTAAGATCCAGATGTGTAGGTAACCAGGGGTTTGAGGATCAACTCTTCATAGATGAACGTGTCTATAAGAGTAAATAATGTGCACATGTAACTTTTTCTTTTCCTATTTTCTCTTTCCCTTTTTTTCTTCTGTTCTTTCTCTCCTTGTCTTTTCTTTTTCCTTTCCTTTTTCTTTCTCTGTTTTCTCATGCAGCACTATTTTTGTGATGCATGGAATACATTTGACGCCTTAATTGTTGTTGGTAGCGTTGTTGATATAGCTATCACAGAGGTGAACGTAAGTAACCACAGTTGTTTCAAGGAACATGCCTGCTCCACTCCTTTCTTTCAATATTTTATGTATGTAATGTTTTCTTCTCTCCCCTTTTCCCAAGCCTGGCATGACTTCAACTGTATAGCAGGTTGATTCGGAGAAAATACTCCATACGGTTATTTTGGTTTTAAATTACTCTTATTTCTGGATTGGAAACTGGCCAGAAAACTAATGTAAAACCACATCTGATNAAAAAAAGTGGATACAACACACGAAAAAGGCCACAGAGATTTGAAAAATAAATGTTGAAGTTTATGGCAAGACGCACACTCATAATTCAGTCGATATATTGTGGCAGTCTTCGTAGTCTATGACCTGAACAAGACAGGTCTGTGGTACTCTAATGTACTGTTGGTGACAGTCAAGCCAGCCTGGTTTGTCAGTGGGACTTGGATGGAATAGACCAGTTAATGTGGATCAGATTATTCCACTCAGTGCTTGCTAACTCTGCAAGCTAAAGCACTAACAGGTAGCTTTATCCTCACTGGACATGTAACTGTAAGCTTGCCAGTGTACACAATGGTTTGCTATGCAGTTTTAGCAAGTTAAATTCCTGCAAAAGACCCCATACTGCTGCTCACTCATTTCCTGAACATGCTAAGCCACAAGGAGGTTAATTGGAGAATAGAGCCTTCACCTGCAAAAAGTGAGAGGTAATTGGAAGGAGAATCATATCTGGCACATTGCCACTGGTACTTTTGTCGGAGGAGCCTCTCAGCTATGGAAGGTGTATATACCTTTAAAAAGAGCAAGCCTTTTTTATGAAAAAAAATCATGCAGTTGTTTTATATAGCTTCTCCATGATGAAGTTTTTCTGACTATTTGTTTTTTTAAAATAAATGTAGTTCCCATTTAAGTTATTTTCTGCTATCTGTCAGTTATTCTAAGCGAGCTGCTTCCCCAAGAAATTCTGCAACCAATAGAACTGTTATTTCTGTAGTTCATTATCTAGGCCAGATCTTCGTCTATCCCACAAGCCAGTAATCAATGACCACTGGGTTCAAAAGTGAGAGTTTTCTCAATTGAAAGCAAATAAGTAAAAAAGGATACACCCAAAGAAAGTAATCTGGAGTTTTCAAAAAAGCAATTGGAGTTTTTTTAAGAGTAGCAATCTATTTCCACTTCTTGGTGTGTATTTCTGTCTGTGTGTCTACAGTTAAACGTAAAGGAACAGCTGCTGCTTTTTAAACTAAAATATCCTCTCCTGTCTGACTTGTACAGGATTATCTTAATTGGTGGTCAAGGACATTATTATTTTTTTAAATTTAAACTGTGCATTACTTTTCTTACTTGGTTTAGAAGAGGGAGTCTTCTGCCTAAACCAGCTACTCTGATTTTCTCTTGCTCATTGTGGGAAAATGCTTGCCTTTCCTTGCCTCTATACTCCTCACTGCCACCGCCACCCCCAGCCAAGGCTGCGTAGTGAGTGTCAGAAATGAGTGTCCAACCCTCTGGCATAATGATTTTTTACAGCAACCTCCTATGTCATTGGCCTTTCAGACAGTCTATCTTTTACGCTGCACTTACACTATTGAAATCACTAAAATTAAAGCAATTTGAAGGAAAAAAACAGCATTTATATTTGTTTCCCTTTCCAAAATCTTTATGTTTGTGGCTAATCCCATGCAAGACCTTCACTAATCGATGCCAAACAACAGTCAGTTGCTCAATTTTGTGTGCTTTATTGATTAGCATTTTAAAAAGCCTCCTTAAAGTTCATGGCAGTCCATCGACACCTTATAAGGGATTAAGTTTGAATGGACACCAAATTGATGTATCTCATCTTAATTTTTGGAGTGCATACCGTTATCAAAACAAGCTCCTTGGGTGTTAACAGCTGGCTAGCTCCAGCAGCAGGCACTCCACAATCAATGTTTGTACTGGGGTTCAGCTTTGCTAATTTGGACCAATGCCTACTGTGAGAACAGAAGTAAAACGCATGTTCAGAGGAGAATGAGCTGCACAGTATCCACAAAATACACAGTCAATCCACTTTACTGTATGCCCTGTGAAGCGCTTTGAGAAATCTCGACGACGGGATGAGGCGCGATATCAAATGCAGGGATCATTATTATTAGTAGTAAAACTTGTGACTCTAAAATGTATTGCAGTAAATTCGTATTGGACAAGAGGGACACAATATCAAGAGTGATTTCACCCTTACTGAAATTGCTGAGACTATTGATGTTTATATTGTTAAGGTAGCTTTATTACCACTGGAATTTCAGGGTATTTAAAACTTGAAGAAAAACTGTATGATGAGATGACCTTCACTTGATACCTGCTATACAGTGTAGAATTGAACTTTCCGTTACCTCTCTATCACTTGGCATGATTTTGATTTTCTTTTTTATGAGCAATTTTTATTCACTTATTTTTCACAAGCCTTAGACCAAGGTACCTACTCTTCAAACTATGATATCTATGAAACCATGATCCAATCTCTGTAATCAGCGCAGTGCAACTACTTTCAGCAGAAGGCCATTGCCTCTTGGTCAGACGTGTACACACATTGTATTTTGATATTGATATTATTTTAAAAAGTACACTTTAGGAAGCTTAGTTTATCTCAGATAAATCAGCACTGAACATTTCTAAAGGTCAGTTTAACAACCAATGTACACCTTCCTCCTTTTTGATTAATTTTATTTGATCAAAAAACTCATCCTGCTCTTTAAGCTTTCTTGAATCATGCACTTAATTTCCCTAAGGCAAGAGGACGGGAAGGAGAACCTTCTTTCAGTCTTCTGCCAATGAGCTGGACACTTGGAAGTGTGCCAGAGAAATCCAGGGGTCACTGAACTGTCTGTCTATCTGATCTAGCTTCCATTATTGTAGCATTCTGGTACCATCCCCTAATGACGTAGCTAAGATCAGAAACTCTTCCTGTTGGGTTCACAGCTGGGAAGGTATATCCTACCAATCCATATATTTTTTTAAATCTCAGTATAATAATTGATTTCAAACATAGTTGATAGGCCACTCATATTTCTTTAACGTCTATTTGAACCTTGAATTGTTAGTGCCTTGTATCACCAGCCTTCCTATGTGTTGCACTATATCTATTACATATTCTCTTTATTATACAGTATATAATTTGATTCGGACTTTGATATATACAAATATCAATATCACAAAGTTAGAGAAAGTGTGGGGCAGGCCATCACAAAATCTTGCTATACTTTCTCTTTCTGAAAACTACAAAAATCTGTTCCAGAGGTATTAAATGAGCTTCTGCTTTTAGCTGCCACATTGCGCATACAGCCAAAAATGGTTTTGTTGTACATGTGAGGAATTTAAAGCTGGCTGTTTTCCAGCAAGATGTAGAAATTCGCTAATCAAATATCTTGATTTAAATGAGTGGTTCTATTGGTGTTTTATTTTAAAACAGATCTTGCATGTTAACTGTCTACGTTTGACCAATTGCTGTGCCCAAATCACAACTGTTTATCAGTAATGAGAAACATACAAAAACATTAGAATTTATCGTTTTAAAATTTTCAACCAGAGACATGGTCTCAGCATATTTATTTTCTTTCGAATTTGCACTTTGCATAGTAAGTGGAGCTATGGATTACGAATGTTTCAATATGATTACTTTCAGTCAGGCCACTCAATGTTAACTAGGTTGTCATCTGTCTAGACAAACAGATAATAAGCTATCCTTGGTTTCCAGCATGATTTTAGATCCTATCGGAAATGTCTGCTTTGTCTGTTCTGGATTTGGCATGAACACAAGATACAAAATGCATCGTGTTACAGTTATAAATGTGGACCCGATATTTGTTGCCATTCTTCAGTGACAGATCTTACCGGGAAAAGTCCCCCATTAGAATGACTCAAGTGTATCTCCTCCTAGATTAACTGGCCATAAAGGAGAAGAACTGCGAGTGACTCATTTAACTGGTTGGGTCATTCTGCTCTTCTCACAATGGTCGATAAATGGAAGTGGCCTGGGGGGAGCCGGGGGGAAACAGTGGTTCTAATATTTAATGTTACAGTTTTGGTCTTTAGACTAGACCTTTTCTCGAAAGAATCCATTCATGTCATAATTCAAAGAATTGTTGTTTTCAAGTTCCATCTTAAACAATTTGTGACAATGAGAAAGTATTATTACTGAACCAGAACGGAGGTGCTCTGCTGATATCAGAATGTCTTATTAACTTCAAGTGATTTTATTTGTCAACAATTTAAAAATTCTTGGAACATTTAAATAACCTTAGTGGAGCACAGTAGTTGAAGATGTTCTTAGGGAAATGATTTCTTGAAGTGTCAGGAAGTTGGTTTGCAAAGAGCAGCTGTAATCGTCTTTTCTCAAAGTAACCCATTTTTCTTCCCAATCACGAGAACTATTCCTTAATGACATTATCTATTTAAATTATTGAGCAGATCTCCAGTATTAGAAGGTACACTTTTTTCAAAAGTATTTCATTTTATAATAATAGCTCCTATTCAACATGATATATTGTGTCCACATTCTGAAACTGACTAATTCACTATGAGGCTTGTTGAGATCCTGCACATGTAACTGATATGTCAGTATTTATTTTGAGGGAAAATAACTCTCACTGCACATTTTTAATTTATGGCTGTATTTCTGACAAGTGGTTGTAATACTTTTAACTTGTATGCTTCATGAAAATTTCATTGCCCACAAAATGTACAGCAGTTCACTTTGCAGTATATTCTGTGAAGCGCTTTGAGGTATCCCGAAGATGCAATGAGGTGTTATATCAAATGCAAGGATTATTATTATAATTGCAAATCAAGCCAATAGTTTATATCAGTCAAACCACTGTTTAGACAAGAACAAATTCTCATAGCCTAGATGTTCTTATAAATGATAAAATTAAATAAGACATGATGGTTTCCAGCAGATCAAAAATTACAGTGACTGCTTTTTAAAACAACAGCATTTTATTATTCATTCAGCTTTCCAACTGTTATATTCAGCAACTACTTGCAGAGCAATCTCCTGGTGATGACATGAATATTCACATTTTAAACTAAACACCAAAATGTAATGATCAACACAATAGAGGTGAATGATAGGATATTAATAGTGAATTGGGTTGCTTTCCCTCTGCTGAATTTTATCAGACAAATGCCAGTGAAGGATTGGGGAGTAAGATATCTGAGATTGCAGCCAACATAGTGTTCTGAGGACCTCACAGTGTTGGCATTAATTTTGGTAATGGTTTGACTTTTAAGAAAAAGAAAAACACTGGGTAACAAGACTTCAAATAGTGTGATGTCCTTTGCACTGAGATTAGTTGAGATCAAGTCGAGGTTGTGATTGATGTTTGTTGTGAATAACATCATGCATTTCTGGAAGCAGAGAGCATTTTGTGCTAAAATATTAACTGCTATTTTAAAGCAAGAAGTGGATTTGAAGTTCAATTTCTTGCGTTGCTAATTTATTGTTATCTAAAATTTATCTAATCGTTAGAAATACCGTGCTGAAAAAATACAATTTGTAGCCATGGTTACCAGCTCTTAATGTGGTGTGATCTAAAATAGCTTAATACGAAAATCTATCTGATCAGAAGTAGAAGATCAGAAATAAAAGAAACTGTAAAAATGATGAGCTATATCTCCCTCACCACCCAATCCCCCACCCCCTCACTCCCCCACCCAAGGTTTATGCCACTATGAATAACAAAATAGGATGTAGAACTTGTTCTTTCCACCAGAATATCATTATTCATAAAGGATGTCATTTCAAAGATACGTGAAAAGTCTGTTTCTAAAGCTGAAAAATCCTTTAATACCATTTGGGTGGGTGGGGTGGCAAAAAAACTAAGTCTCCAAAACTAATACAGTTTACTCATGGAATCATTTAGTGGTGATAGCATCTCAGGTATTAAACTTTCAGTGAGTATGGAAAATATCTCAGATACCCCGGGAGAATGTGGGAGAGAGGGGTGGGATTCTACCAAATGGTTCAACTCTTCTGTTACCCGATGCAATACGTTTTCCCATTTTGTGAGGTATTCTCAGTACTTGTGTTGCCAATGCACTATAGTTTCTCTCTGCTCTAGCAGAAACTTCTCAAGCAGAGGCAACAGAGAGTGTATATGAAAACAATTTAGATATTGAACTAATCCATGAATTATTCTGAAACAAAGAGAAACACTCTTACAATAATTCATCTTGGGGCCATTGTCATAGATTCATCAGCTGTCATTCTAAGGTAAACATTGCTGACCAATGTTATTGCCACAGTATTTCCTTAATTGAGGAATATGCAAAGATATATTACACCCAGGATTGTTTAGTACAGGTCAGGTTCAAGATCTCAGACAGTTTGAACATCATGGTCCAGAAACACAGACATTATCTCAAAGAAATTAGAGCAATAGGGCTTGGCTTCTCCTTCTGATTGAAAAGATTGTCTCTTGAGGTACACGTGCTGAGCTACTGAACTGAATAAATGACATCCTCAGAAGACCACGTTTCATCTTATCGCAGCACCTGCATAAGGACCATCGGGGAACTGTGCCTGATTCCACTGTGTTTGTCACCTTCATCAGTGAACTTGCGTACGTCATCAACAAGTATCATTCTTCTCTGCTAATGAAGCAGCTCTCTATGGAATATCCAACTTCCCATCTGAAAAATTAGTGCAATCAAATCAGTACTAGCAAATATAGATGCAGTAAAATAGCCGACCAACAAATGCAATCCTATCTTTAGAAGATCTTGGGAAGATCAAGTCCAAAAGGTTAACCGTATTGCAACCCCTACTTTATATGGCTTAAAAAGTTTTTGAGCTAAACGGATTCCAATGGTTACATTGGTAACCATATCCAATACTGTATACAACAACACGTTACATTTGTATAGCGCATCTCACATCGGGAGGACATCATAAGGCGCTGGACAGTCAGCAATTTGACCATTGGAACAAATCAAATGAAGTGGTTGGGAATTGTGAATCCACTGGAGAGCTATTTGTCACCTTCATTAATTTCTGAATTCTATTAAGTGTATATCTGCTAATGGAACTTTGTTTAGCAGCTTTATTTTTAAACTATGGAAAAAAAGCATATTTTTCTTAGGGAGAAAGCCATTCATAACAGTGGATATGATTAGGGTGGCCTGTGATATATCACAGGTCACCAGCCTATTCAGCATGAAAAACGTACATGCAGATTGTTAGTCGCATGTACAATTATGTTTGCAGGACTAGAAAAGATGTTGGTAATGTTACCATGTTATTTTGAAGAAGAACGTGGATTTCTCTTGGTACCCAGCCCAATGTTGTGATATAATCCATATTCACTCCTCAAAAGCAGATAATTCATCTCATTGGTGTATGTGAGACTTTGCTGGTCACTAAACTTCAAATCGAACTACTATATGAAGTATATTGTAGGAGTCTTACATAATGAGATACTATTGTCTATCAAGTGCAAGTATTTTTAAATTCTTGTATTGCTCCCATTTTATGGTTCCTTGTCAGATGTGACAGTATGTGAATCAGAAGATTACTTTCCTTTGAAAGGCTAAGTAATCTGATCTCTAGGATTCTTGGTAGGATGTCTTAGCCTTTTTGAGAGAGGGAGGGCCTCAGCCTTATCACTTCATCATAAATACAAGCACGTACGTATATGGTTCATCTATTATCATGGTTACTATACTCTTAATATACAATATATTAATTAATGGCTAATTAGTTGTCTGTCATCAAGTCCTGGATGAGAGGCAATTTCCTCCAGCTCAATGTTGGCAAGACAGAGACCCTCCTGCTTGGACCCCGGCAACGGCTTCTCACCTCAGCCGCTGACACTGTCACCATTCATGGCTGCACTCTTCACCTCACTGAGCCAATCTGAAACCTCGATGAGCTTTTCAACCCTCAGCTATCCTTCAAACCCCACGTTCTTGCCGTGAACCGTTCTGCTTTTCCCCACCTCAGCAACATTGCCTGCCTCCGCCACTGCCTCTCACCGCAGGCCGCCAAGTCCCTGATTCACGCTTTCATTACATTCTGGCTTGACTACCCCAACTGCCTGCTTGCTGGACCTCCCAACCCTTCCTTCCACAAGTTGTAGATTATTCTGCAGCACGTGTCCTTTCCCAGACCATGCGCCGGGAATCTATGACCCCCATTCTTGCCTGGCTTTACTGGATCCCCATCCCTCAGAGAATCGAGTAGAAAACCTCTTTCTTACCTTCAAGCCCTCCACGGTCTTGCTCGTCCCTAAATCTCCAACCTCATAATCCCATATCAGCCAATCCGCTCCCTCTGCTCGGGTCCCCGCACTTCCCGCCCCATCACTGGCAGACGGGCATTCAGCACCTTTGCCCCCACACTCTGGAACTCTATCCCACAATCCCTCGGCCTCATCCCCGCTCTTGCCTCCTTCAAATCCCGTCTGAAGACCTACCTCTTCAATCCTGCCTTCTGACCCCAACTCTCAGCTCTGGTCTAAAACCCCTGATTGTCCAGTGCTCTGGGATGTCTTTCTCGTGTGATGTGTGCTATATAAGTGCAATTTGTTGCTGTAATATAGTAATCTTGTGTTTTATCTATTTTTATTTTTGTTACTTTTTGATTCAGTTACGCTATCCCTACAATTACATGACTCTGGAATGCAAAAGAGATAACATAACCCTAGTGCTCCTTATAAAGTATTTCATTCTAAACATTTGCTGGGAAGTGACTTTGCCACTGGCGTTCTTACATCTGTGAACTTACTGTTGGTTTGCCAGTCTAACCTTGTTCCCATGACCTTACTCTTTGTTAGTTTGCTTTGGATGGCTCTTCCAGTCTGGCTCCTCAATGTTTCTCTAGCGTCAGTAAAGGAAGTGACATTACAGTCATTTTGCTTTTTTTGTTAGCCAACATAAGCTGTGAGTCACATGTCACCAAACAAAAATAACTCTGCTTCACTCCATACCCCGAAACTGTAAAAAATACAAAAGTTAGACTAGAGAATGCAGAATGGGACACAGTGGTGCCCAATCCCACAGCTATATTATAAAATGGGTCGGGTTAAGTAAACTTTGTAACAAGCAGGATATGAATGTACTTTCTGTTTCTAGCATTTCTAACAACATACTATGGATAGGTGTAAAATGGGAAATATAACAGATTCAATAATTATTGAATTGTTATGAAATTATGTATTTTTTTACCCCAGCTTTAGTTTCTTTGTTGATTGTGAAACACAATACAATTTATATTGATATGGCGCCTTTCACTTTGGGAGGATGTCCTAAAGCACATTCACAATTCTGATTATTATTGGCCTCTGAGCTGAGGAGCCAAGGCGGGTGGGGAGGGGAAAGGTGATAAAAAAGCCAGTTGAAAAAGGTATATTTTGAGCCATGCCCTGACATGTCTGTTGCAGGAACATGAGCAACAAATTCTAGTTATTGATATTTACTGACCTCATGGGCCACGAGCTTCTGTTAAGCAAATCCCACATAAGCACTCCCTGTACCTACAGTGGCATTTAACTCTATCAGTGCGCTTAACTATTATCCATCCATCATCTATTGCTACAAAGTTAGTAACATGATAGGAGATCCTCGCTCAACAGATTGAGTTGAAATGATTCAAGCACAGGAAGCATCAGTGTATCTCACAGTTCTTTTTAAATTGCATTCACAACCTCAATTCCGTCAATGTATTTGTGGATATATTCCTGAATTGCTGAGACACACTAAGACGTGGAGAGTCATGTAGAATGTGATATCACGTCTTCGGTATGATGCACGAGGAAAGTGCAATTTAAATGTTCGCTGGGAAATAGAGACATTTATCCGAGTTCATTCCAAAACACCAGTACCACCAGCAATGTCTGAAAAAGGTATTGTATTATTTTAATGAAGTGGCATAACCAGGTACAGTTGGAGGGCACTGTACCAAGGATAGGTGTCACACCTCTGGTGGTTTCTGAGAGCATAGAAAGAGGTGAAGAACTTGTACTGGGTATTATCAGGCAAGTCACAGATTTCCTACTGTCTAATATATGCTCCAGCAACCCTGGTTCAGCAAGTGATGGAAGACTACGTTTGAATTTGTGTATAAGAGACAGATTTCCAAGTAATGATACTGCATGGGAGAAAATACCATGGACAGGAGGAGTGCTGTTTGCTGATAAAATGATGTGTGGAGTTGTTCTGTTCCCCTAAGGAAGGCAGATCTTTTGCTGGGTCCTTATGATGGGATTTCCCATTTTAAGGGCTGTTTTACAAGATTCAGGACACTCTGAAGCAGAATTGCGCCCCTTCAGGTGTAGCTGCTTAAAGAAGCTTATCTTCAGCACCAGTAACTCTCACGATGATGCAGTGATATTCATGTCGTAGCTGAAAAGGCTGTCTACAGGTGGTGTAGGGTATACTCTGGAGGAGTTAATCTTCATTAAGTCCACTTGATGTTCAAGGAGTTGAACCAAACTAACATCAAAAGTAATGAATAGATTTATTAAACATGACTACATTGTTTGAAGCAAAGGAATGTTATAATCATTGTGACTCACTAAAGTTGGCAACACTGATAGAAAGTGCAAAGATTTCTTAATAACTCAAATTCTTCTACCAACATTTTTAGCCATATTCAATACCTGTTTGGTAGGTACTGTAGGTGTAATATAAATTCCTCAGTACAGAATTGAAGAGAGTTTGCAGTCCTTATATGGTAGCATTTAGTGGGCATTATAATGCTTCATTTTTATTAAAGAACACATAGCATTCATCTACCCACTCTTAAATGATGAGTAACTTCTCTAATGGATAGTATCACCAGCAAAGAGAAAAACTCGACTTACCATTTACCGGGACGTTCCTGAAGATGAGAAACAGAGTGAAACCAAGACACCTCGATAATGATTCCTGTGTAGGTGTCTCAAGAAGAAAATTCTAAGCTATTTATCATGACATCTTCTGAAGAAGCACCTTACCACAATAGTCATAAGAGATGGCTGTCTCAATAAAACCCTCTTGAAATGATGAAGGATGCTTCTCGAATCTCAAGTGGTGAGCATCAAGAGAATTATTTACTTTGTGGATCATGAAGTTTAGAGGCAGCGCTTTGGGACATCCTTTCGACGTGAAAGGCACTCTATAAATGTAATTTTGTTGTTGTTGTAGAAAGTCAGAAGCAGACTAATGTGTTTCCGAGTCAAATTGGTGACCACATGACCAATGGTTGTAATTTATAAGTTGAAATGGCTTCTCATTCATTGCTTTCTGTAGGCTTTGTGTCAAACTTGTGCTGAACCGAAATGCTTTTGACAATTAACAAAGTTTATAGTGAGTCTTCGTGAAACCTATCATGTCATTCTAGTATCTCTTCTCGCCCTTAGACACTAGTCACGTCTTGTTTTTGCTGTCTTTCTTTCATTTCGGAAGGTCCTTTTTAAATTTCTCCCATGGCAATTAAAATACTGTATATGTATTGAGTTACTTCACCAAAATGGAACCAGGAAAATATTGAGCTACTTGAGAAACATAACGGAAAATAATAAGAATATGCATTCACTCAGGGAGTGGTAATTTACAATTCTTTCAATATGAAGACGGACATGTGAACATTTCTATCTTGGCACGATCAGAGCCAGCGCTCTGAGATGCTATCCACGTGAAGGGCGCCATACAGATGCAAATTATTGAGCAGAAATTGGTGAGCAGAGGCTATTTCATTGCATACAGGAAATGGAGCAAATTTGGTAAACTGGTCATTCTGCTTCCTGGTTGAATATACAACAGGATAAGGGGAGACCTGGGAACATTATTGTGAATTGAGGTCCCTTTTTTACATTGAATTTTAACTGGTTAATCTAAAATATTATATTGTTTATATCTTGGTATATCTTACTCAAGAAATAAGAGAATAAAAAGATGGAGGGAATTCAGACTAAATCCAGCTATCCACCACAGAAAAGCTTGATGGTTAACACTGTATTTGCAAAATAAGATACTGACAATTATCTGTGGGAAATTTCATTTTCAGAAGGCTTCACAAGAAAATGCTGGTTGTCAGTAATTTAGTGAAGTGACTATGTGTCTGTGGAAATACTGCAGCTACATGGCTTAAGTGTTATTCACTGCGCCACAGCATATAAAATGGAAATGTTTGCTCTTCAGGTTCCTTCCACTGTTTGTCACTGTCAGCAGAAAAGGTGCATATAACCTGAAACAGCGTTAACATCTAACAAAGTAGTGTAGTTATTAAATGTCTGCAAGGAAGCAATTTAATCTGTTTCTAAAATGTAGTTATGATTCCATAGCTTGCTGTATTAGAGGGACATAATTAAAAATATCCTTTTGGTGATTAAGATTGAAATTCAACTTTTTAAATCCCTATCCCTCTATATGGATAATTAAAACCGGGGCTAGAGGAAATGGCTGAGAACGAAATGTTTGAGAACGAGCATAGATTTCTCGTAGAATGAATTTTATTTGTGATGAAAATAGTTACAACAGATTATGAGTGGGTGGTAAAATCTTTGCTTATTAAATGTTGCTAGTCTGGCAGAGAGCACGTAGTATTCTTCGCTTGTTGTATTGTCACCTATCTTTGGCAGTGTGTTACAGAATAGGAAAGAAGTGCTTGGCAGTAAGGGTTAACAGCTGAAGTATAACCCTTGTTAACCACTGAATTTTGGAACTTATTTCAGTTATCAAGTACTGTACTTAACAACGAGCAAAATATTGGCTGACATGTGTAGCTGATTTGGGGGTTGTATTGATTCTGGTGCAGGCAGATATATATTGAGGTAGAGCATCACAAGAGCTGAAAGTGTAACCATGTTAAATAGCTACTCTCATGCCTTCATACAAATGACTCATTCCATTTGTTTATCGATGGCAATGAGGGCTTTCTTTGTGTTTGTGTTCTCCACTGTTGGTTGATAATACCTTTGCTATGCCAAAGTGGTCAAATATCCCAATAACTCCACCTTGAGACTTAAAGAGGCAATGTTGTCCTAGTAAACTAACACATACTTCTTTGTAAGTTCGTAAAATAGAGGTGCACAATGACACAGCTGATACATTTATTCTCATTGTCGCAACAACTGTTATGAAAACTCTATTTTAAAGTTTTTTAAACTAAACATCTGTTAGTAACATTGCATTATTGCCACTGCAGCAGATATTATATTATATTATATCTGCTGCAGTCCATCTGCACCCTCGAGAAAATGATGCTTGCCTGAAACTCTCCTTTAACCATGATAAATCTACTTTAAAGGATGACGAAAGTCAATGGGTTGTACAATTTGCTCAATGTATTCCTTCCTTTTACAAAAAAAATCCTTACTAAAGTTCTTTTAATGTTTTTGAAAACATGTAAATTATCGTATCAGCAATGGAGATTCTCTGGTCTAGCCTCATTCTTTGCCCAATTACTCTGATGATGCCACCTATAGCGCCGTATTTTGGTTTCCGATTGGCCTCAGTCAAACAGAATTTGAGAATCTCTTTGACTGTATGATAGCCATCAGGAGCATGTGTCTTGGCTAAATTGCTCCCCCAGCCTCCCTAACCCAGGGCATTAACCCTAATTGTAGTACTTCTAAGTGGCTATGATTGATAATTCAGTGCAGACCAGGAATCAAACCAGAGACCCTCCTTTTCAGTGTTGCTCAGCTGGATAAACTTGTTATGCCATCAGATGAGGCTGAGTATATTTTTTCCTGTGAATTGGCTTCGAACATAATATGCTCCCCCTTGACTCACGCTCCCTTTTGAGCATGTACCACAACATGAAAGAGTGAAGTGACCAACAGGAACAACGTCTTAAAATAATTGAATTGGAGATGGTCTAATGCAAGTGTTTCATAAAAAAAATTGTTGTTTGGCCTTTCTTCATGTTGTGGCTGTATTCACACCCTGACACTGCAGAGGTGTAGCAGAAATGGTGTCTCACTGCCAAGCATATTACAGCTCATCTCTATCTGCCTTTCTTTAAAGCCAGCTGAGAATATCTCATCTACTTCCACCTCCATGGTAAGACAAACGGTGTGTCCCACAGGTTTCTTTCTTCACATACCTACTGCATGTCTTTTGTTGGTGTGTGCACTGTCTTGTGAAACTGTGTTTGTGAACTTTTTTGACCTGTTTGCTTTCCCTGCCATCATGGTTCTATGGACACGGCTAGAATACTGTAGAGTGTGCTCAATTTTCATTACCGTGTAAAATTTTATCACAACCAGCTGTTGTGTGACTATCCACTGGCGTGGATCCCACTACGTTTTCTGGTTGCTGTGGATAAAAGAGTCAGATTGCTTTGAAAGAAGAAACATTTGTCAGTTACTAAGCAATACAAAGTACTGTCTAATTTGTTTGATGTTCAGGGTAACTGAGGTCAGTAATCATACTGCTTATAATTTCAGAACTGTGAAGCCATAGTAAACAGCACATGACTGTACCCAAAGCTCCACAGTAAATTGAGAAGTACAGTACTTAGTGGGTGGCCCGTTGGTGCAACTTGTTGATGTACAAGCAACACCACAGAACAGAAATGTGCAGGCAGTGAATTCCTGATCTTAGCCAAAATACTGGAGTAAGACACAGAGTGAGGAAAATAAAACAAGTATGTCTGAAGTTGCTCGTAAACATTCGTAGGGTTAGTGGGGTAGTGATGTGGACAGAGGCAATGGGTATGGAAAAAACTCGAGAATGTTATGAATCTAGCGACGGGTGAATTTCCTCAGTGACAAATCGGCATTCTCTCACGTGTGAAGAGACATTGTTACTCGTTCACATCTGCAGCACTTGAAACCAGCAGGCAGTGAAAGAACAGCAGCAATAAATTTCCAGAAAGATACCCTCTGTGCAACTGATTGAAGTTTGGAATTATCAAATGTTTCAGTAAATGTAACAGTTAAAGGTAACAGAGCAGTGATGTATTTTGATCACAACCAATATTCCTTTTATTGAGGAACAGGATCCTTTACTTTAGTTCTCAGACAGTTGTCTCTTAGAGTAAGAACAAAATGTTTTATATAGTGCGATAAGATGTGAAATTTGTATCAATTAATAGAAAAAAAATCAATGCCTGTTACAATCACAAGGCTGAGGTGTCATTGAGTAATAATGCTGAAAAGGGAAACCGGTCTCTAGATCAATATAATAATGGCATGGATCCTTTCTTTCTGTTATTTCTATCATAGTGTTTTGTTTTGTGCTCACACTGACTGTCAGAGTACAGATCAACTCTAAAGGCTCAAATATTAATGTTGCAATGGATGGTCAATGATCATGACTACTATCATTGCAAGTTCATGGATTAATAATCCATTAAGGATGTCCCTTAATCAGACTACATTTACTCTGCAATGTGATGCCATACATACATACTGGACTAATGTTACAAGCAGCAATGGGATCAAGTGGTGTCTTTGGGAACGAATAGGGTGCTAGTTATAATAAATGGGGTCTCAGATGTGGTTTGTTTAAAATTTGTATCATCAATCATACAAAACTACCAGATAACTGTTGGGTCTGAACTCTGGATCCAGCTTTATTGATAATTGTCACTTTTCAATCTGTATTATAATGTATTGCTTTCTGTGAGGTATTCCAGAATTCAGACGAAAACTCTCGCATTTCCATCACCTTCTTCCGTCTTTTTCGGGTGATGCGTTTGGTCAAATTGCTGAGTCGAGGTGAGGGAATACGAACTCTGCTGTGGACATTTATCAAATCATTTCAGGTGAGAAATTGTGCCGCAGTCTAGAAATGTGCATTATTCTTTGTTTCTGTCCTGTTTTCCAGTGAGCTGTTCTTTTTCTTTTCAATTGCTAGACAAAATGACAGAAAGAGATTAGTTTACTTTAATAGTTGCTTGATAGTATTCTCACAGCAGATCAACCATTTAAAGAAGCTTAAGTTCAGCCTAAATAAGGCTCTTTTTGAACTGAAGGAATCCCTGGAATGTTTACCATTTACATTTTTCAACAGCATTTGTTGCAGGTACTTTATAAATCAGGACTTTGTATGAATAAAAAGGCCAGTAACTGCAAACGACACCAATATGTTACAGGATAAGATTGGGTGCTTCACAATTCTAAGGCCCTATTTTCTTGCTGTTTCAGCCTTCAGATTGTTCATTGTCTTAAATTAGTATTGCACAGAATTGTTCTTAAATTTAGTCTTTATTTTGAAGCTGGTTTCTGATTGTTCTTTTTAAGTTACAATTCTGGCAAGTTAACATTATAATTAGAATGAGCAGTCTTGTAATTTGTAATCCACAGACTCTTTAGGCAAAGGGTGGACATGAAATTGTTAGCATTTAAGTGAATATAATGTAAGGATGATTCTCCTTCAAATCCAGTTGCTTAACGATTTCTTTGTTAAAGTTGTGATGGTTTATGGCTGCACTGTCATTGTTTCTTAAGTTATCACGTTATTGGGGGAGACTATTTCCTTCTCTCAGGTGATATATCAGCTAGGTGGGGATCACCCCCATTGAATCAGTTATATGCTAAAACTGGGGGGGTAAAAGCAGGATGTACGAGAGACATTTGATGATGTACGAGAGACATTCAGTCAAAAGAAGCCGTGTGGGGCTCTTTCTGATAGCTGGAAGTACATCCCACGTAACATCCCACCTGTGGGACCAATTTTGGCTTTTTTTCTTGTTGTAGGCACTTCCATATGTCGCTCTTCTGATTGTTATGCTGTTTTTCATCTATGCTGTGATTGGAATGCAAGTAAGTGAACTCTTGACTTCATCATTCAACAACTCTTAAGCTTATTCATTAGCTACCTTACAGTGTACAGTGCTATCTGTCAAGCACAAAAACAAGGAAGACAAGTGTGTTAATTGGATGCAAGAGAAATTCTTGAAAATTCTTGATGTATACAGTTTTGTAGTTACAGCACAAAAATACCTAAACTCTCAAAATTAGAAACTCTGGATAGTGACTCAACAACATGTTGGGAGGATGCCCCGAGGCTCTGGATAGTCAAATGTTTGCACCTGAGCTAGGGTTGTATTGGCGGGAGGTGAGGGAAAGATGACTGAAGGCACGGTCGAAGAGAAAGGTCTTGAGACGGACCTTGAAGAGGACGAGGTAGAGAGTCTCTGGGATGGAGTTTCAGAGCATCGTGACAGAAAGACTGAAAGTGCGACCGCCGATGGTGGGGCGGGCTCAGCAGCAGACTTAAGCAGGCCAGTGCCTGCCGAGAGGAGGGAGTGGGCAGGTTGATAGGGTTTTAGAAGATGCTATATAAGGGCGCTATATAAGTGCAAGTTGTTGTTGTTGTAGAAGGTCTCAGAGGTAAGGTGGGGCAAGACTGTGGAGGGGTTTAAAAGTGAGGATAAGGATCTTCAACTCAATCCTCTGGGGGATGGTGAGCTATTAGAGGCAGCCGAGGATGGAGGTGATAGACTCGTGGAGGCTAGTGCAGAAGAGGACAGAGGCTGCACAGTTCTAGATGGTCTGCAGCTTGTGGAGGGAAGAGTTGGGAAATCTGGCAAGCAGAGAGTTGGAGTACTGTAACCTGGACGTGATGAAAGCAGCTGAAGTTGCTGATGTTTTTTGAGGGTAACCCTCATATGACACAAGGAATCCTGGGGATCAGGAGCAGAGGCATGTGCCAATGGGGGAGAAAACTAGAATAAAAAAATTGGAAAAAAAAGCTATATTTAAATAAAAGGCTAAATGTTACAATATAAATCCTATTGTAAGTTATTTATTTTGTTATATTGTAGGTGTTTGGTAAAATTGCCATGATTGATAATAGTCACATCAACAGGAACAACAACTTCCAAACCTTTCCACAGGCTGTTCTGCTGCTCTTCAGGTTTGTAACACTCACTTTACAAAATTGCTATTCATCCCATAACTCCGGTTTTACTGCAACTGTAGGCACTGAACCAGCAAAAAAACATGAGCTTCAACAACTTGAAATTGAAACTAAAGTAACCCAATGGGCTGGCAGTTTATGATGCTTGATTATCCACCAACATAACGGGTGTATTTTTCTTCTCCTTTTCATGAGATAATATTCCTTCCCTTCGTGTCTTGCAGCATCTACAGTTCAAAGAGTAAGTAGATGAGATGCCATTTTCCCAGTCTGAATTCAGTTCTTACTAGTTATGTGGCTAAACATAAACTTTACCTGCCCGTGGTTTGGCATTTCAATTTCCTTTTTCACTCTCACTTTTCATCTTCTGCACTGATTCACCCAAATCCAAAGCAAACTTCAAGAACAGTATCTTCACTGAGTTTTTCCAACCTGCTGGTACTCACACTGAGTTCAAGAACTTCAGATCATTGCTGTCTCCCACACCATGGATCTGAATTTTGGATCTCCTCTTTTTGATATCTATCTTTGGTATTACTTGCCCTCCTTTGGTATCAATTGCCCAGCCCAATTGTTTGCCACTTCAAAGCCACACCTTCAATTATTTGATGAATAATAATAATTCATTATTGTATTAAGTGAGCTAAATAGAACACTTAATCAAGAATAAGAATAATAATACTTGCAATTAATCTAGTGTCGTCGTCCAAAAGTCTCAAACACTTTGCAGGATTTACTGTAAGGTGCAGCAACTGTATATTTGTAGGCTTTAATGTCTACAAATGTACAGTCACCCCAACTTACAGTAAACTTTGTACATAGCAATAATAATGTCTCACAAACAGCCATAAAATGAAATGTCAATATTATCTAGGGGATTGTTGTCCAGGATGACAGATAAAACATTTTGAGTAGAGCCGTGGTATATTTAATGTCCACCAGAAGAGGTAGGGCCTTGATTTAACCTCTTATCCAAAGGATCGCAACTCCAACAATGCAGCTCTCCCCAAACACTACACAGGAGTATCAGCCTAAACTGAGCTCAAAGTCCTTGTACCAAAAGGGAACAAAATCGACTCTCTATTCCTTGTGGAGAGACAGAGTTTGTAGACCAGTAAACTAACATTCCAACATGCCAACATTCCCCTATAACAACTGAAAGAGACTTAGTCCATTGTCTTCATTCACAACCTGCCACTTCATCCTGCAATTTGTGGAGTTGGAACCCAATCACTTAAGAGTGCACGTATGTCAGTCGCAAGAGTCCTGAGTCAAACGGATTAGTCTAGTTTCATTTGGTTTGTAATACATCCCTATCCACAGTCTAAACTACTCCTGATTCTTAACACTAAAAATACAGTAAAATTGTCATTCCAGCAGGAAGGAAGGAATCTTTAGGGGAGGCAGCCACTTAATTGCGAACAGCTACAGCTTAAATGTCACACTGTCAAAAAGCCGGTTGGTTGACCTGTCAATGCAAGTGCAAATAAAAACAGCTGGAAAGATTAAAGAAAAATGCAGGGGAAGGAAATGATAAAATTATAAGACATATTGTCAAATTTTATTATACACACAGATGCCAAAAACAAAGCATAAATGCACATGGAAAAAACAATTAATACCAATTCCAGTTCTTTTTGTGCTTAATTACACTTCCTCCCTCGGCAACCCCTTCAACTTATGTCTCCGAAAAGGTCTATTTTTGATTCTTTTATCCAGTTGAAGTACCAGAACCATTTTTTGCTGAATGAAAAGTTATATGATATGTCATATGAAAAGCACATATGATAAGTATTTCATGGACAGTTAAGACTCACTCCAGTCACTGCGCTATTAAAAGGTTGACAAGTCAATTGTGTCAATGTGAAAGGTGGCACTGAACTAAAAGATCTGTGCTGTTCTTGGTGTTTGGAATAAGAGAAACCTAAAAAATATTTTAAGGGGAGGAATGCTCCTCAAAAGTCCTCTTTTGGAAAACAGCCTGAAACAGATAATGATTCAAAAATAAATTACACAAGGTAAGAAAATCACAAAAATAGCAACAAAGGGATCTGAAAACATTTGAAATCTGAAAAGAATTGAAAGTTGAGAAAGGATGTGCACTGAAAAGCATTAAAGGAAGAGAGATCATTGAAGAAGAAAATAGAAAGTACAACGGTTGAAGAAGCTTATCTAGACACTGCAAATTTTTAAAAAGAATGTTTGAGGCATTTATAAGTTTCAGTTGTTCTTTTTAAATGAACATTCCCACTAATTGTCAGTGAATGTGGCAAGATGACAAGAACATGGTGTTTCCCACTGTATCATCAGCAGACCAAGAGCACCACCTCATGGGTGTAAAAAAACACAACAGATAATAAGAACATAAAAATTGCTGATCGAAAGAAGACCAAAGTCCATCCAGTTTGCCTTCCACCATGCTGACAGTCGCATGTACATGTCATGTCCCAAACTATATACTATATCCCCAAGATATTATCTCCTAAAATAACTCTATCTAATTTGCTATTGAAACAAAAGCAATCGGATACATGTACATGCACATCCTGCACACATACTCGTGTGTCTTATATTCCTATTTTAAGAAGAGGCAACAGAACATGCTAGCTTGATCAAGGCGGTTGTTAATAATAATAATAATCCTTGCATTTGATATAGCACTTTTCGCGTCGGGAGGACATCCCAAAGCGCTTCACAGAACACACTGTAAAGTGAATTGACTGTATATTTGTGGGCGAACGCGGCAGCCAATTGCGCACAGCAATGTCCCACAACAGTCGTAGATTGAAAATGACCAATTTATTATTGTTTTGGGATCTGGATTATTATTAGGCGTGTGGAGTAAGGAAACTTGCCCAAGCAAGTTGCCCTTGGCAGAATGCTGGAAACAACAATTGCATGACCTTGTAATGTGATGTCAGGGAATGGGAGCTTGTAAAGAATTGTAGTGAAAATCAACCTCCGACTTCAAGTAAGCATCTTAGTGAACAGCAATGGAACACAGTTGTTGTTTAAGTTTCATTTCACACTATGTTTAGGGGAATAGTATGCCTTGCAAATATTTTAACTGGAACAAGGAAGGATGAGGAAAGAACTTAGAGAGGTCTTTAAAATTATGATGGGTTTTGATAGAATCGCTATGGTACTATGGCAGGTAATTGGGACTGAGTTGATTGCTCTTTCAAAGAGTCAGCATGGACTTAATGGGCTGAATTGCTTTGCTATGGTTCTCTATATGTAAGGAGATAATTGGTTCCATTCATATAACAGTTTAATACTGCTATGTACGCTATCCTGTATTTATTTATTGAAACAAATATATACACCTTGTACTTTCCTCTTCAGATGTGCTACAGGTGAAGCCTGGCAAGAAATTATGCTATCCTGCCTCCCAGGAAAACAGTGTGAGAAAGAATCAGCAAGTCAGGAGGCGGAATTCATCTGTGGGACTCACTTTGCTTTCTTCTACTTTGTTAGCTTCTACATGCTGTGTGCCTTTTTGGTAAGTACAGACACAAGGGAATCTGACACAGGATAATCTGACACAGGATTTTTAAAAGTAATAAGAGTCAGTTCATGACTGACAAACAGTTAGAAGTTGGTGTGCAGAGGTGCTGTGTGGAGTTCACAAGTCGAGATGATGCATGTGGTATAATGGGATCTGAGCTGACTGAACTAACTTTCTACGAAATATTTTTCTCATTTTGAAAGCACAATGAAATGTAGGCCAGACATCTGGTACTATTTGTCTTCTGCCCTTCTTTTGAACTGTTAATGTAATCATGTATATTGTTTTACTCAGATCATTAACCTCTTTGTGGCTGTAATCATGGATAATTTTGACTATTTAACACGTGATTGGTCCATTCTGGGTCCTCATCATCTTGATGAATTTAAGAGAATCTGGGCCGAGTATGATCCTGAGGCAAAGTAAGTGATGCAGCTTTCAATTGACATTTATGTCATTTTCCCATGAACTCTATAATGTACAATTTTTATCCAGCATTCACATAAACCCCACATAAGATATTATACAATGTTGTAAACTCTTCAATGTGCTTCATATATGTCTGTTCCATGAACATCACTGTACACTATGCATCAGTGATGTACATTTTGACTTCACTTTTGCGTTTTGTTATTTGGGTAAAGAAATGTACCCATCATAAGGGGTTTGCACAAGCGAGTTATAATGTGGACTTATGGTTCTGATCCTTCAATGACAGCCAACCTAACAAATGGACAACGGGAAAGGTTCGAATCACAGTGGAGTCCTCTCGCACATTTTAGAATGGCTGCCTTTAAATTAACAACAGTGAATTCCATGATAACACTCATGCTCAAGAGGGGTGCATGGAGACCTTCGGGAAAAATTATGGAGTAGATTTGATGAAAACAACAAGGATTACTACTCTCATACAAAATAAGTGGGTTCAAGTCTCTGATTGTTTTGTTTTATAACCAGATTTGTCTCTGTATGTTCCAGGGGACGTATCAAGCACTTAGACGTGGTTACACTGCTAAGAAGAATACAGCCTCCTTTAGGATTTGGCAAGCTGTGCCCACATCGTGTTGCCTGCAAAGTAAGGTTTGGTATAGTCTGCAGAAACATCTCAAAACTCTTTCTTCCCTCATTCTTCAATCATCCTTGTGAGTTTAAAGAGAGGAAATGTAAGGTGAACTAAATGGCGTAGTGGAGTTGATTCATTAATTGCTAAGATGTAGGCTTGTGTAAGTGAAAGCGTTAAAGTAGGGAAACCATTCTTCAGAAAAGCAAATTAGTTGGTTGAAATTTACAGTACAATGGGTCATATGTGGTCTGCGAAAGAGACTGACCTATTGGAATATATCACCTAGCCAACAATCCTCCAAGAAAAATTGGTCACTCACTTTAAGGCAGTTTGTGGGACATTGTTGTGCACCACTGGCACATTTAGCCTGCAAAATACACAGAGACTTCTCAATGACTTGATAAGGTGCTTTATCCAATGCAAGGTTTATTATTTATTATATTAGGTGGTTGTCTATTACATAATCAATAACTGTACGTGAAGATGCTATTGCGTAAACTTGGGTCATGGCTTCTTCATCGGATGATCTCCTTGGTCTTCTATTCTAGTCTTGCAGGACAGATTTCTTTGCATCCACATTATTTATTCTTTTCATTATTTCTAATAATTTCTCAACAGATTAGATTTAACTTCCTGAGCCTACCTTGATATCCAGTGGATAGTTAAGCGATCTAGAAACAGAAATTATCTCTATTTTCCTTTATTATTATTATTGCATCAACCCTTTCTTTATTTCTTACAGCGCTTGGTATCTATGAACATGCCTTTAAACAGCGATGGCACAGTCATGTTTAATGCAACTCTCTTTGCTTTGGTTCGGACTGCACTGAGAATTAAAACTGAAGGTATAGTATTTTAAATTAAATTAATGTCAAATGTTTCACATATGTGTGAACTATGAGCAAACCAGAAAAAAAAAGGGGGGAAGAATTTGACTTCTGTGTTATCTCTTTTTTTCCCTTTATATTGTCTATTTTTGTTTCCCTTCTCTCATTTTCTCTATCCTTGTGGTAGTTTATTTTTTCTCAATACTACATTTGTGTATTTTTGCCTTTCCTCACCTTCTTCATTTTGGTAACACGTTGCAGAGAAGTTGAGGATGGATCTCAAAGAGAATAGGACCTTGGAGTTGGATTAACAAATAATTGTGGTTTTTGACAATGTCTGAATTTCCCAGATCTAAAGTGTCATCTGGCATGTGTGATTGCTGATGAGATTTCCATGATAGTAACAATTATGTTGTAAAATTTATTCTACAAGATGGGGTATTTGCAAAATGTTTTCTGGCAAGGAAGTTGTACTGCAGACAATTTGTTATAAATAGATGACGTTCCTCCCCAGAAAACTCAAGTTTTGGCCGTTTTAAACAGGAGTATGAGCAGAAAAGCAAATATTTTCTGATAGCTATGGGCACTGACAAAATATGGCAAAATGTTTATCTTCTAATAGATAAACTTTGTGGGCCATTTTCCTCCTCTCCCTTTTAAAGCTGCCTACTCAGACCTGGGAATAAACGTGAGTCACCATTTTTCATGGGTGAATTTAGACAGTGAATAGCAGCAGACTGGTAGCCATGAAAGGTGTTACAAGCTCATTCCCATCCTCACCTGATGCCGTTCATACACTTTTCAATAGGGATCAGTGAATAATAATCAGGAACAGTAACCCTGGTTTAATTTACCTTCCTACTCCAGGTGCTGAGATCTATGGTAGTGTCCCAAATGAGATCACAAACTCAACACAGAAAACTAACTGAATATTTAATCTTCTTGTCTCCTTGCTCGGGCCCTTACCTGCTGGACCATTGGAGGAAGGTGCAAGTTACATTTAGTTTAAACATGTTTTGTCTGAACAGGAAACTTGGAGCAAGCGAATGAGGAGCTGCGAGCAATTGTCAAGAAAATCTGGAAACGCACAAGTATGAAGCTGCTGGATCAGGTTGTACCACCAGCAGGAGGTGAGGACCTGAAAATGAAGCGGCTTGAAGGATTAATAACATTATCATGTCAGAAAACTGAACTTGACAGCAGCTATGAGAAACACTCAAATAATGTCACGGTAATGATAGGACAGTAGAAGTTCTCAGATTTTTCCAATTAGTGGAGTCCTGTAGCGTAGTGGTTAAAGTACTCGCTTTGCAAGCGAGGGGACCCAGGTTTAATTCCTAGGCAGGGCCAAACCTTAGGCAAGATTCGTTACTTCACATGCCTCTGTTTACCTCGCAATATGTAGGAACCTGGTTCATAGATTGGTGGATTGCTTTCTGGGGGTAATAATCCATTAAAAAAAATATTTGGTCATTCAATCCATTTCTGTTCGTGGGACATAGTAATTATATCAGCTGCTCATTAGTCTCCAGAGACGTTTCATTCTATTACCTTGAATATGTATCGAAGGATCAATAGCAAGCCAAATAGTGGGGTAATCCTGCAGCTGTATAAATCATTGGTGAGACCATACTTAGAGTACTGTGTACAGTTCTGGTCACTGCAGTACAAAAAGGATATTGGAGAAATAGAGAAGATGTAGAGGAGGGCAACCAAAATGATTGAGGGAATGGAAGGACTGGACAATGAGGAGCGACTAAGTAAATTGGACATGTTCACGCTGGAAAAGAAAAGATTGAGAGGCAACATGATTGTTGTCTTTAAGATTCTAGAGGGGCAAAACAATATAGATCATGTCAGGCTCCTTCAACTTGTCCAGAATAGTAAAACCAGAGGACACGGCCAGTGATTGAAAGGGGGTAAATTAGGAACAAATCTACGCAAACACTATTTCAGTGAGCAAATAGTGAACCTGTGGAACAGGCTCCCTGGGGAGACGGTTGAAGCAGCAAGATTCTTTCAAACACAGATTAGATCATTTTCTTTTAGGAAATGATATTATGGGATATAATACATAGGTAGTTCGGGACATATGTGCATGCGACCGCCAGGAATGTGGAAGGCAAACTAGATGGACCTTAACCTTTTTCGCATGAAATGTAGTCACTGCACTTTGCACTAAATCCTGTGAAATGCTTTGACATGCCATTTTGATGAGATAGGCGTTATATCAAATGCAAGGATGATTATCGTTATCATTATTATTATTATTCCAGATGATGAAGTTACTGTGGGCAAGTTCTATGCCACGTTCCTAATCCAGGATTACTTCAGAAAGTTCAAGAAGCGCAAAGAACAGGGCATAGTTGGAAAAGCAGTGCAGAAAAATTCACTTTCTTTGCAGGTACTTCAAAGAAATCTTGATTGTTTTAAATGTTGCATTCATTTTTTTAAATGTAAGAGCATCTCATTCCATTGTCTACATGCTTTCTGAGTAAGTAACACATTTTTTTCAGGCTGTGAAGTTTTGTACTGATCAAAATGAGGTCCAGCAATGATGTGGAGTGGAGCACTTTGCACTCTGGGTTCCCAGTATCTGCAATAATAACTCACAGGCCAGTTATAGCATTGTAAAATTCCTTCCATTTTTTTTTCGTCAATGTGATTCAACGTTAACAGAAGCACCCTTACTGCCACGGTACTGGAACAGCCTTTCCATTTCTCACATTCTTTCTGAGATTAGTCCCAAATTGGGGGCATTTTGTGCTGTGGGGCAGTGAAACGAGGAACAGAGTAATGGCTATGATTATTCCCAAACTCCTGTAGGCCTTGATAACCAGCAGAGAAAGAGGACCTATACAGTTGGGCTCAACTCAAACTCGTGTCCTAATCCTGAAAGAACAAAGTGCTATCCCGCTGATCCATTCCAAGACTTTTTAAACGCAGATAATTGCTGGATTCCTTCTTTAATACCCAGACTATGCAAATATTTAAAATGCTAAATGTTCACTTTGTAAAAGTGATGGCGAATGTCAACCGCATAGTTTTATTCTCATTTCTTCTCTGTATATTGGTTTGAATTTCTTTATGTCTTCATCTCACTTTTTGTCTTATTTTATTCTTTATTTTCTATCTATTTTTTGTTGAATGAAGTATTCATGCAATTTTAAGCTTATATAATTTTAAGGAGCTACCATGCTGCTACCCATGCCCCCGCCTCCCAACACCTGCAATTGTGGTTTGTCTATTTGTTTGTCAGTTTTTAAGGGATAAATAAAGAACTGACCTAGTTAAATGCCAAGTCTGACAGTCAATCTGAAATTGAGTGTTAAGTGGTCTGAATTGGCAAACAATATAGATATCAAGTGTAAGGATGATGAGGAAAAAATCTTTATAATTTCCTTCTAATATTTTTCAAGATGAGAGATTTTATTGTTGAGGATCGGATCACATTTTTGGCCCCATCATTGGTATCAAATACCATTGACTTTAAGTAAAATAGATGCATAAAGTACCATTGGCTGGAAGGAGAATAGATGCCCTCTGCTCTGTCTTAACCCAAGAAGATCAACGGATGGCATTTCTGCAATGTAAATGCAATGTATTCTGTGGTATGCCCATACCTAGCTGGCCTGAAAACCTATTTCACTTTGAACCTTTCAGGACAGCAGTAGATCAAACCAAGAGGACAGGGTCCTATTTCATTATTCTGCCAATTACCAAAAATAGGATTTTCTAAGGGGAATGGCCTAATGCTGACTAGGAATTTTAAATCCATTTGAATATTGAACCAAGATAGAATAAACCAGGTTTGAATGCTGCAAGTGACTTAACTAAAAAGAGACAAATATGGCATTCATAGCAGACAAATGGTAGAAACCTTTATGATGGTCACACACTTACATTTGTGAATGAATGCACAAATTTACAAACACTATCACTCAGCACAAAGTCCAGCATATCCACTACTGAGTCGTCAATATAATGCCAAATTCATCAGTTTCCAAATTAGCTCAACCACTATTCAATCAACAGTTGAAAGCACATCAATGATATATGCAATGTAGCACTTGACAAAACAAAATTCCTTTTAACAAAAAAAGAGCTACAATCCAACACACAGATGTGCCAAAATAAAAAGTCCTAATTTGGGCAGAAGAAAGGTGGCTGAATATTCTACCTTGTGCACCATGGACCTGACACCACCTCTGACTCCAATGAATCTGGTGAGTGTTGCATTGTTTTGTCAAACCCATGTTCTTTTAGCTTCAGATATTGCAGTCTCACCTCTTTGCATTTAACATTATATAACCTGCATTGCAATAACATATGTGCTTCGAAACAGATGTAAATCTTCTTAGTCTATAACCAATTCTTCTTGCATAATGTCCACACGTCAGCTTTCTCATTCTTACAAGTTATTATTATTGAATTGATGCATCATTTGTCAAGCAAAACTCTTGTCTTTGTATATCCACAGAATATCCTTCCTCGTCAAAGTCATTGGGGTCAGAATAACAGCAAGGCCTCGTGATCTTGGACAAGGAGACAGTGTGTGCACAGCATAAGGAATCTTGTGTGGCTTCAGCAAGACTGAAGGCCAAGTGGGAAACAGACCGCAGGTTATAAAGTTGGGTGGCAGGCAGGAAGCAGTCTCTCATATGTTGTTCAACACAGGTAAGAGGGACACATCAGCCAGAGTTCCCAGGTGCTGTCCTGCCATTTCTCCCACCATAATCCCAAAGCATGCAGGAGGGAGATTTTAGCCCATGTTCCAGAGGCTCGATATACTCTTGGGAACTGTGCAATGTGAATTCAATGTTGTGAAACACTTTGCAATATTGCTACATGTCGTCTCGCTGGTCAGTAAAGTGCACCCACCATGAGACTTCACTGGTCCTTGTTATCACACCCAGATGTCATCATTCGGCTTTGACATCACTCCCCAATCCACCACCCAGCACCTCCGCTCAACTGGCACAAGCCTCCTGCTTGTCCCTCGCACCGTCCACTCCACCATTGGAGGTTGCATCTTCAGCCACTACGCCCTGAAACTGTGCAACACTCTCCCTCAACCCCTCCGCCTTGCCCCTCTCTCCCCTTTATCAAGTCCCGCCTGAAAACCTTCCTTTTCAACCGTACTTACAGTCACCTTCTCCCCACCTCACCCCACCCAGCTCGGAGTCAGGCTCCGCCACTGTTAAGCGCTCTGAGATGCTACCCTGCATGGAGGGCTCTATATGAATGCAAGTTGTTGTTGTTTGACGAGTTTGTTGAATGACATCTTGAGGGAAATCTTGGAGCATCATCTGATGGTACTGTGGCTGATGTGCCACTCCATCCTGAGGATGGCCTTATAGGATTCCTCCCAAAGTTCTTCAGATCGTGATATGCGAAATCTGGAATCAGACAAAAAAATGTACATATGTGTTGTTGCGATCTGACTTTCACATTGTTATCATTTATCTACCTCACAGTTCTTGGGGTCTATCACACACCGATCGCTAACAATATCTATCATTTTGTTACTTTTTTTGTAGAAAATCCCACTGTAAACACTTAATGAAAATATTACTAGAGTTAGTGATCATCTCATGATAGACTTGCTGTTATACTGTTACATTTAATATTGCATATTTTCAACATTGATGTTGCACTCATTTATATGGTAGTATTTTAATAGCGTTGCTGTATTCAGGTATTTCTTGTAGAATGTGCTCCAAGGTTACCAGTTAGATGTGGAATACAACTTCATTTAACTATTTTTCCAGTTACCATAAAAGTTTCCTCTAATGCTTGGAATAAACGTTTTGTATCGATTGCCCCTGTGTCTTGTCTCTCTTTTCCTGCCTCGTGACCCTTTTTTCTTCCCATTTCATGTATATATAATACATGAACCCCATTTTGGCTTCTCATGTCTCATGTGGGCCCTATGTGTCTTTTTTTATTTATTAATGTAGCTTTTGGTTGGTATTGCCTCTGATTTGACAAATATACATTCAGGATTTCAGAAGCATGTGCTACTCTTTCCATATAATGCAGTGATACAGTACCATTGATACACATTACCTTGTGATTTTATCACTTGGCAATGTGTACCAGAGGAATTGGTTTACTGATATAAATATTTATAATGGAAAGTAAAGTTGTACAATGGATAATATTGTGACTATAATGTGCTCCCAAAAACAGTACTTTGAATAGTAATTTGAGAAATGCATTAGCTATCGTGGGCAATGCTTTAACTGGATCTGCTCTACTAATAATTGGCAGAAAGAAGGATCAAGAGCACATTGTGTCAAAAAGTACTTTGTAGTGAAAGAACTCTGCTGTTTTAAGTCATCAAGGATTTGGCAAGCAAAATCTCCCCTGGAAGGAAGAGAACACCCAAGGAGAAGCTGTACTTAGTCCACTCACAACTCCTGAATGTCTCAGAGCAAGCATGGCAGAGGCCTGACAGGAGGTGACCCATCCAATCACTTGTCTCCATTTGGTATATAAGACCTTTGAAATTGAGGAGAATATTGTAGGATCTTATGTTCTCAAAGGAAACTCTTAAAGATTTTAGGACTTTGTGTGTCTGGTTTTTCTAAAGATTTAGGCATATTTATATTTGATGAACATCTGAGATAACAATTGGAAATGGTATACAAACACATGGAGGTGTTGCAAAGTATGTGTATTGGTAAGAACAGTGACTGACTTAGAGGAATACCTTGATACAAAATTTCAATACTAAGTTAAAACTCTTTTCTGCTGGGAGAACAGAAGTGGTCAGAAAATTAGAGAAGCATAAGATTTTCACTTTGAGTGTACCTTTGAAAAAATTCATGCAAAAACACCTTTATTTTACTTCCACAGTTGTCTTGAAACTGCATGCGTTTGAAACAAACTATTTCCTGATTTTTTTTCCCTTGAAAATAGGATGCACCAATTTATTGAAGTCTAGTGCAAGAATAATCCATTATAAAGTTTGATGAAAATCAAATGTGATATTTTGAAGTGATTTAATAAATATTTATTAATACATATATACTGGTTTCCAGAAATATATGGTTCAATATGTCCATCTTTGCAAGCTACCCTGTGTCACTAGTGGTAGAACATTGCTTGTGAAACTGAGGTTAAGACCAAAATTAATTATAGGTCCAGTGACAAAAGAATGGGTTTTCTCAATTGAGCATTCAGTTCAATCCAATTCCCTTCAACCTTCAACTGACTAGGTTCTGACATCAGTTGTAACTCTTTCCTACAACTCAATAAGTAAGCAAAAGATACTTACAGGACATTCCTTTTGCTTAAGTAAATTGTTCTGGATTAGCTATACAAACGCAAAAATGCTACTTACACTGTTGCATGTTGTAATTAAGTGATAAAGGTGTCATTTACGTGTTACCAACCGATGTTCATGCAGATTTCTTTTGATTTATTTCAGCTTCATGAAGCAGTAACATTGAAACTGGATTAATTGATCTGAATATATCCATGAGTGTGACTAGCTCAATAGAATGTTTTAAGGATACAGAAAACTGCTCATTTGAATTGTTTATTTGTACAGGGCTTTTCTTCTAGTACTCGAGAATGCCACAGTCTAACATTTAAATAAAGCTCTACTAATACAAAATGCAGAAATATTGCTGGAAACACCATAAGATTTTCCATGGAACAAATCGTACTTTCGTTTGACTTTAGTCATTTGCTGAAGAAATGTGCAGCCGTGTCATTTGCCAAATACTTTGTACTGTTTATTTAATACACCTTTTGGGGTTTTAAGCACTGAAACCCAATAGGCCACACATCAATGGCACCCACAAATCCTCCACACCCAGACACACTGAACAAACACACACAGATCACAGCAGTGGAACAGCGTTACTTACCCAAGAGTGAGCAGAAAATGTTAAGGGAAGTTGTTTCACTCTTGGCGATTGGATAGTCTGGAAAAGAATCTTTTAGATATTTCTCTGTTTCCCCCCCTAGGCTGGTCTGCGTACTTTACATGATATTGGCCCTGAGATTCGGCGTGCCATATCTGGAGACCTCACAGCAGAGGAAGAACTGGAAAAGGCAATGAAGGAAGCTGCTTCAGTGGCATCTGAAGATGATATCTTCAGGGTAGGATTACTGTTCATTTTTATTTTACATTTATCATAAAATATAACTTTGTTTTCCATTAAAGTCAATTATAATGTCATCAGTGTCACATTCAGATTAAATCTGCTGAAGGAACTATTGCAAACTTATTCATGTGGTTCAGCAGTCAGTCCATTGTGATTAGGATCACTATATTTGATACCCCACGTATTATTTTTTTCCGATCATTGAAATTCCATGGACAATACTCTGTCTCCTAGAATATTCTTTTGAACATTTCCCTCCCTCAGAGTTTTAATTCAATACATTTTAAAAGTTGACACTTCTGCCCTATGAATGATAAAAATAGCATCAATTATTATGAGCAGGTAAAAATAAATTCAGTTAGGTGCTCAGAACTAATAGCACCGAGCCTTTGGGTAAATGAAGATGCTTAGTAAAAATTGGTAAACTGTACAGAACGAAGGCTTGTGTATGATTAGTGAGTGTAATTTCCTCTCACTCTAAGGCCAAGCAAAGTAAGACAGTAAACAACTTTCCCCCGCATCCTGCTAAGCGATTCTTGTGCTCTTTCATGTTCTCACCTTTAAGAACAATGACAAACATGATGCATTCTTGCCTAGGTCGACCACGCTATCCTACTCCACCGCTTGTCCTCCCACCTCAACCTTCAAGGCACTGTCCTTGAATGGTTTAGCTCTTACCTTTCCCACCGTCTTCACTTCGTCTCAACGAATGGCTTCTCCTCCACCCCCCGTACTGTCTCATGTGGTGTCCCTCAGGGCTCTGTCCTCGGTCCCCTCCTCTTCACCCTCTATATGCTCCCCCTTGGTGACATCATCCGCAAACATGGGGTTAACTTCCACATGTATGCGGATGACACCCAACTCTACCTTTCCTCCTCTACTCTCAACTCCACGACCACCGATGTCCTGACAGCCTGCCTGTCCGACATCGAGTCCTGGACGAGAGACAACTTTCTTCAGCTCAACGTGCGAAAAACCGAGGCCCTCCTGATTGGCTCACGTCAGCGCCTCCGCACCTCAGGCGCTGACACCATCAGCATCCAAGGCTGCACTCTCCACCTCTCAAAGCCAGTCAGGAACCTCGGCGTTTTGTTCGACCCTGAGCTGTCCTTTCTCCCTCACATCCGCACCACAACTGGCACCGCCTTCCATCACCTCCGGAATATCGCCAGATTACGGCACTACCTCACCCCTCACGCTGCTGAAACCCTGGTTCACGCCTTTGTCACCTCAAGGCTGGACTATGGGAACTCTCTCCTCGCCGGCCTTCCCGCCACCTCCCTCCACAAGCTGCAGGTCATTCAGAACTCTGCAGCTCGTGTACTGTCCCGCACCAGGCTTCGGGACCACATCACTCCTACCCTCGCTCGCCTCCACTGGCTCCCCATCCCCCAGAGGATTGATTTCAAGATCCTCATCCTCACCTACAAGGCCATTCACGGCCTTGCTCCCTCCTACCTCTCCAACCTACTATCCCCCTACCTACCTGCCCGTACCCTCCGTTCCTCTGGCTCCGGTCTGCTCCACGTCCCCCGCCCCAACCGCCCTACTATCGGTGGTCGGGCCTTCAGCCTCTCAGCCCCGAGGCTCTGGAACTCCATCCCCCAGTGCCTTCGCCTTGCTTCCTCCCTTTCCTCCTTCAAGGCCGGTCTCAAAACCTTTCTCTTTGACCGTGCCTTCAGCTCCCCCTCCTCCTCCCCCCTCCCCCCCTCCTCCCCCTCCCCCCTCCCCTCCCTCCCCCCCCTCGTATATTCACCCTGACCATTTCCCCCCTGCTCGGGTCATGACCCAACTGTGCAGCGCCTTGGGACGTCCTCCTGACGTGAAAGGCGCTCTATAAATGTGAGCTTATTTTTGTTGTTGTTGTAGGTTATATTAACCCCCTGGGTTTCCTGATATCAGCTAGTCTTTTAGAAAGCTGTGACAATTATGAGGACTCGCTCAATCGAACGTATCGGGTGACTACATAGTGATTCCGCAGTTGAGTTATGAAGTGGGCTAGATGCAGAGTAGGCCCGAGCTCCACATGAGGGCTTGAGCTCAAAGACACAACCGACACAATCATGCAATATTAGGGTAGTGTGGCATTGTATGAGGTGTTGTAGATCAAATGGAAGTCCTATGAAGTTAAAGCTCCCATGATAACATTCAAAACGAGAAAGTTTTTTTTTACAGTGATCTCCAAGTTAATTTGTCATTCACCTTCATTGCTATCTTTAGGACCTTACTGATGCAAATGGCTGCTGTGTTTGCTTATAAAAACAGTCGCGACACAGGACAGTAATTCCTTGTGAAATCTTTCAGCCATTTTGACATAGGGAAGTATTATACAAAAATACAAGTTCTTTTTCTCCCAGCTCCAGCACCTCCTAATTTCAGAAGAGCCACTTTCACCACACCAGCCGTCCTTTAAATGTCTTGATATTACTTGTTGGTGGCAATTTAGTTAAACTGTTGTTCATTTCTGCCAAATTTACTAAACTGAGTCCAGAGTGCCATAATTGGTTGATAAAGGAACAGCTGCCAGAGAACGGAGACTTTTAACCCATCATTCTCATTTGAATCCAAGTATACGATTAAAGGTAAAAGAACAGTAAAATGACAGGGCTACCAAACACTTTATTATTTTTATTTTCGACCTGTCTGCTCCCTAAGCTCAGCAGGCTCCGGTCTGCTCCATGCCCTTGCCCCACCATCTGCGGTTGGGCCTTCAACCTCTCTGCCCCCACCCCTTTGGAACTTCATCCCACAGCCCCTTCGCCTTGCTCCCTCTTTCGCCTCCTTCATGGCCCGTCTCAAGATCTTCCTCTTCAATCGCGCCTTCGGTCACCCTCCTACCCTTACCCTGCCCACCTCCCCTCTTCATCCCAACCCCCTGCTCAGGTCGAAATCCCTACTGTGCAGCACCTTAGGACGTTCCTCCCGACGTAAAAGGCACTATACAAATGTAATTTGTTGATGTTGTTGAAATGGCAGAAAAGTCTCAAAATGGACCAAAAAACAGTTTGTCAATAAAGCTTTAAAAAATAAGTTGGATGAGAATTTGATTAGAAGCAGGATTGTGAGTGATATCATTAAATATAGATAAAGGTAATGGAACTCAGTGTGAAATATAATGTTCCACAACTGTGTGCATAATCTAGGTTTAAAGTTGGATAACTGCTCTGTAGTTTCATTTGATTTACTTTTGAATGGGACAAGGAGAGACTTTGCAGATCCTTTTCTCAGGAAATGAAATTATTTAGTGGAGTCTGTGAAAGAGCAGATTGCATGGGATAACTGATCAGTTACCAGTCTTCTATCTTTCTGCCTTCGTAATTATCTTTGGTCTCTCATTTCTGCTCAGCACCTCTCCAGTTGCTTTGGTGCAACTCTTTAAAACTTCAGTGCACTATGGTATTGGGCTGCAGAATGACCAAAGCAATTTTAATAACAGAAAGTTTCTACGTACAGGATAAAATAAATCAATCTGGATATAACACAATACTTTTTTCTTTCACAGAGGGCTGGTGGTCTGTTTGGTAATCATGTCAGCTATTATCCAGGTGATGGGAGGCTCTCTTTCCCACAGACATTCACCACCCAGCGCCCTTTGCACCTCAATAAATCGGGAAGCTCCCAAGCAGAAATTGACTCACCTTCTCATGAGAAGCTGGTTGATTCTACGTTTACTCCAAGCAGCTATTCCTCTTCTGGATCAAACGCCAACATCAACAATGCTAATAACACTGCCTTGTCCAGATTATCGAGCCCAGTCAACTTCCAAAGCACTGTGAACACAGTGGATGGTCCCGGGAGTTCACTGACTTGCGCACTTTTATTACAAGGAACAGCGTGGAAACTTGATCCCGAAAGGTAAACTTATATTGTAACATGTATTAAGACGTTCTATTTCCTGCAGTTGGTGAATCTCACTATTTCAGTTTGAAGTCAGGATAATGTTCCATTCAATACTTTGTTATTTTTATTATAGTAAAGAATTACAGATAAGGTGGCCGTGGATCAGTCAGGATTCTTGCTCCTGATCACTGCTCAGTGAATACTTGTGGGAAATACCACATGTACACGTTGGGTGAACCGTGGAATGTTACAAAATGGAAGAAAGCTATTTGGTCCAATGGGTCTGTGCTGCCTCTTTGAAACAGCATTCCATTCAGTCTCATTTACCTGCTTGTCCTCCATATCCCTTCAATTTACTGCTTTTTAGATATCTAAATAGTACCCTCTCAAACACTGATAGGAATCTTGCCTCGGCCACCAGAAGGGCATTTCACAACCAAACAAACTCTGTAAAAAAAAAACTCTAAATCTCCCTCTTTGCTCCTTGGCTAATTGCCTTAAATTGGTGTTCTCTACTGACTCACTGATCAGTGGAAATAATTTCTCCCTGTCCATTGTTTCAAAATGCTTTATAATTTAAAATATCTGTATCTGATCTCCATCTTCATTTTCCATGAATAGATTTCCCTATTCATCTCTATTAACCTACATTTTCATTGACCTATTCTTTATCCTTTTACATATTTATAAAAACCCTTAGTATTTTCCTTTGTGACACCTGCCAGTATTTTCCCCTATCCCCTATTGGGATTTTAATCTTTTTCGCTGCACTTCTATATTTTCTATACTCTGCTTAATTTTCCTATGTATCATTATATGTAGATGTATTATTTGTGTCTCTTCTAAATCTTATTTTAAAATCACTAGCCTCTGGGACTCTATCACCCCCATCGTCACCTGGCTCCACTGGCTCCCCATCACTCAGAGGATACAGTTCAAAATCCTGGTCCTCACCTTCAAAGCCCTCCACAGCCTTGCTCCTACCTCCGTGACCTCCTAACCCCCTACCAACCTGTCCACTCCCTCCACTCAATGTGCTCTCGCCTGCTTCACGTCCCCTCCTTGCCCGCCATACCATTAGATGATGGGCCTTCAGCCTCTCTGCTTCCACCGTCTGGAACTCCATCCCACAGTCCCTCTACCTCACCCTCTCCCTCGCCTCCTTCAAGACTTGTCTCAAGACCCTCCTCTTCAACCGTGCCTTAGGTCACCCTCCTATCCCTACCCTCCTTGCTCTCCACTCCTCCTGATCCCAATCACCAACTCGGGTGTGGATCCCTGACTGTCCAGCGCTTTGGGATGTCCTGCTGACATGAAAGGCACTACAAAGTGTAATTTGTTGTTGGTGGTGGTATTTTCATTGTCATTTCCCTACTCACCGAATGAACCCTAGTTTTAGTTGCATTACCTTTATTCATTGAGGGAAGCTGTACAATTTGTACCCTCTTCATTTTATATTTGAAAGTTTTCCACTGTTCATCTTCTGCCAGTTTTTCTACCCAGTTGATCCGTGCTACTTCTTTTCCCTTTGAAATTTATTTTTTTCCAGCCGGGAACCTTTGTCCTTGATCGTTTCCCTACTTTTCATTTTTTAGACTGAATCCAATGAGTTTGTTGAGGATATTCCCAATCCTCATGTTGCGCATTTCATTCCTTCCTAGCTTTTTTTTTGGTCAGCTGTCATATGTGGAAACGCATCACTATGCTAAAAGAGTGTCCAAACCAAGATAAGAATTCCCTGCTTCCCAGCTACAAATGGAAATTCCTTCCTAGCTGGACTGAAAACATATTCAATTCTGTACCTGCCCTTTTTGCCACTCACAATACCGTTGTCCAAGATCTTAAGATAATCAAATTCACCTGTTATTTCTTCATATCCTCTTTTAAGAGATGAGAACAACAGTGACCTCGGATGTGATCTCTGTATGTTTCTCACACGGTCGAATAACCTGCTGACACTCATTCTCTATGCATGTAAAAAGTAGAAAGAGAAACCAGTAGTATTTACTGCAGAAATCGTTATCTGCTCAAGACACAAGAATTCAAACTTCATTGTACATTTGTGCGCTTGTCCATCTGTTCAGTTGTTTCTAGTTAAGCAAAATGAATTGAACAGCTAGACTGTGTTGTGAAAATTCTGAATGGAGTGTATTTCATTGATTTGAATGAAACCCATTCGATTCAATATACAATCAAAAGGAAATGCGATAGCATCGAAAGGAAAAGCGATAGCATCAGCTCTGCCAACCAGCTGTGAGTACAGCCTGAGCAGCACATGCAGCCCCATTGCAACAGGCTGCATATGTCCTCCGTCACCATAGGCAGGGTGAGCCCCAGTGCAACAGGATGCAGTGCATTCTGAGCTCCAGCACCCAGACAGTGTGGGTGGTCGATGAGTCCCAGAAAATGGAATCAATTCACAGCTCCTTTTATTTGTCAGTGGGATCTCTATTGTAAGACATTATCTAATTAAACCATTTTCTTGTCTGTTTTCATGCTTTCTTGTGAAACAGGACACACTATTATGACACACTATATACCCTTCTGAGTGTTCGTCAGCAACTTCATAAGTCTGTAGGGAGAAATGCTTGAGAGCAATATGCAGGATGCTATCCACAGCAATCCACAGAGACCAGGTATGAAGTTATGAAGAGACGTCAACATGGATTGAGAACCAATAGGTCCCGTCCCCTGAATCGACTGGAATTATTTGAGGAAACACTTAAATTAGTACGTGAAGATAATCCAGTGGAAATGCGTTACTTTATTACGTTATTTTAAAAATACATATGATCTTTTTCTACATGTGAGACATTTAAAGAAAGTTAAATCTCATGGGATTGATGGCAAATTGGCTCATTGGGCTGAAAATTTAGCACTGGAAAGCAAAAGGTGACAGTAAATGACTCAGCCAGTTTATCCTTTGATCAACTGAGTTTACAGGAAAAAGGATGAAATCCTAGTTTGTGCTGGGTAATTATTCTCAACCAGGATTGCTGTTAGAGTGCTTCATTGAGTCTCATCCTGAGCGAAATAAAGAAGAATCAGTGCAAATCCTGGCTCTCGCTCACTATGCAATGACTCCCTGCTGGAGGTGCATACATGTGGACACTGGCTGAGCACAGGATTGGGTTCTGCAAAGATGCTTCTCACAATCATAGCCTCTTGTCGCTCACTATCAAGAATCGTACGTGAATAAGAGGCATTTAGACAAAGTATCCCATTAAAAGGATAAAGGAAGTCAAAGCCTTTCAGGAGAGGAGAAAGGCCTTCGGGAGAGGAGAAGTTTCATTACTTTTTCCTACCCTCAGTTCACCACACAGTTAGGCCTCAGTTAGTGCAATTCTAAACCCGGCGTCAGGGGTTTGAGAGCCATGTTGGAGGCTTCTCCCATTTCTCTGGGTTTAATTTCACTCCTTCTCAAAAAGGTTAACCTTTGAGATCATCATCTCACCCTTGGGAACGTATGAGGGACACAAATCCAAACTCTAAAATAATCAAATTCCTGATTTTCAAAATTCTGCCTTTTGTTGACATTTTCTAAAGAATATATTTGCTCTTCAGCCAGATGAGCTGGACGGTCTGGTCCCTAGATTTTGAGGTTCTGCCTTGTTTAAATAGACCTGTTTAATGGAATAAGAGGCCCACTCTGAACTGTAGATATCTCACTGTGAACCTCCGAAATATTCTGTGAAGTTATGTTCAGTTGTGCCTCTCCGACTTGAAACCTCAGCACTAAACCAAAAGAGCCACCATGCAACTAATTGCTTTCCACTTGCAATTTATTCCATCTTGTATTTGTTGATGTGGTATTTAATTCAGGCATTTCAAGTTCTTTGGAATTCCATCACTACCAATGGTAGCATCTTAACTGAATATATTAACTGATCTCACAGGTACCTATCTTGTACTGAGCAGTGGAACTAGAGGACACAGTCTGTGATTCAAAGGGGGTAAATTCAGAACAGATCTGTGAAAACATTACTTCAGTGAGCCAGTAATAAATGTATGGAACAGGCTCCTTAGGGTGATGATGGAAGCAGAAAGTGTTGATTTTTTCAAGAATAAATTAGATAGATTTCTGTTACGAAATAATATCTTGGGAAAACAATATATGGGTAGGGACATAACTTGTGCAAGGTGAACTGGATGGACCTTGGTCTTCTTTCGCCTAGCAAATTCTTATGTTCGTATGTTCTTACCTTTTTTACTGACTTTTCTTCAAACCAATACATGTCAACATCACCGACTGAGGGAACTGTGAAAGAGAAAAACTCATCTGAGCTTGCCACAGTGACCTTGCTTACAATTCTGCATTGACTGGATTACCTAAACCTAGTTCTTAACCGTGGAAAAAACAACAATGTTCAAGCCAATTTGCACATAGTTTAAGATTGCCAACAAAGATTCGGCAGCAAATGTCAGATTACTATCTGTTTCCTGGAACTTCCTGATATCATTACAGGCAGAAACAAAAGAACCCTCACAATTGTCTGCCTCAAAGAAAATGGTTTAATGGCTGGATTTTGAGATCCAAAATAAACGTAGCAGCCTTTTGTCAGTTGATCATAATGCTCATCTTATCAACTAGTCTTAAGAATTTATTTGCATTATCTGATCGTGAGAATTGGATAGTAAATAAACTATCTACTAGATTCACACCGAGACCTAATATAATAATAATAATCCTTGTATTTGATATAGCGCTTTTCACGTCGGGAGGACGTCCCAAAGCGCTTCACAGAACACACTGTAAAGTGAATTGACTGTATATTTGTGGGCGAACGCGGCAGCCAATTGCGCACAGCAATGTCCCACAAACACTCGTAGATTGAAAATGACCAATTTATTGTTTGTTTTTTTTTGGAGGGATTATTATTAGGCGTGTGGAGTAAGGAAACTTGCCCAAGGTTTCGCCCTCTGCCTGGGATTGAACTCCGGTCTCTCGCTTGCAAAGCGAGTGCTCTAACCACTGAGCTACAGGACTCCACTAATATACAGCAATTCACAATAGGAGTTGGCAACAGTGTTGCATCCACACAATCTGGTTCTTGAATAATGTTCAGTATGATACGTTTCTGATTGTTGGAAAGGTTGTTTGCCACTCGGAATTGCCAACAACTCAGTGAATTGTCACATGCATTAGAATACATACGTTAGAATAAACAGGACATTCAGCCAACTGGTCTATGCCGGTGTTTATGCTCCACATGAGCCTCCTCCTGCCCTTCTTCATCTAAGCCTTCAAGCATAACCTTCCTTTCCTTCCTCCCTCATGTATCTTATCTATCTTCCCTTTAAATACATCTACGGTATTTGCCTCAACAAGTTCTTGTGGTAGCATGTTCCACATTCTCATTACTCTCTGCTTAAAGAAATTTTTTGTAACTTCCCTATTTGATCTATTTGTGACTATTTTATATTGATGGCCCCTGGTTTTGTTTTCCCCCACAAGTGGAATCATCTTTCCTATGTCTACCTATCAAAACCTTTCATATTTTTAAAGATCTCTATCAGGTCACTCCTTACCCTCCTCTTTTCAAGAGAAGAGTCCAAGCATGATCAGTCTTTCCTGATAGGTATAACCTCTCAGTTCTGGGATCATCTTTGTGAATCCCCTTTGCACCCTCTCCAGTGCCTCTACATCCCTTCTATAATGTGGGGACCAGAACTGAACACAGTATTCTAAGTGTGGTCTAACCAAGGTTCCATAGAAGTTTACCATAACTTCCCTGGTTTTCATTTCTATCCCTCTAGAAATTAACCCCAATGCTTGGTATGCCTTTTTTATGGCCTTGTTGATTTGTGTTGTTACTTTTAGTGAATTGTGTATCTGTACCCCTGGATCCCTTTGCTCCTCTCCCCATTTAGGTTTTCATTTTCCAGATTCCATATTAGATTCCATTATATAGTGAACATACACAATACCTCACTAAATGTTCTTTGTAACTCTGTTGCATATTCTGAGAATAGCAGTGAAACTCAGAAATCGTAACCAGCAGTGGCACAACAAATATTTCACATGAGCTGTGCATGAAATCAAACAAAATAACTCAACCCAAATACCTTGTAGGTATTTCTAGTTATTTTGTTGTTGGGAGCCTACTCTGCCATTGCCAACCATTGTTAATGCTCCCAGTGACAAAGGTGCAAAGGCAAGATACCTTATTTCATTATCTCATTGTATCCTGTGGATGCGAATGTGTAGAAATGCACCAACCACGTCTCTACCTAAAGCAGGAGTGGAAAAGAAAGCAAAATCACCTGATAGTCAGTCTCAGCTCTTGGTCTTCACTACTATTATAGGGCCAATTGGTTAACAGCTCCACTAAGCATCTGCTCAGGACTCGTATTGATATCATGTTGCATAAGTGAAACCAAACCAAAAAGAAATTGGGATTTCCAGCTCTACTAAATGTCGCAGTCAAGTCACAGAGCATCATTCTTTGTCCAGCAGGATTCATTACTTAACTGCACAAATATTTGCGAGCAGGTTTATGATTCGTTTGACTAATGCTCATTTATCATGTTACACTGATGGTTGTGAATCTTTTATTGAAACTGCCATATTCAAATCATTGTTCAGTGGTTTGTAACCCTGAAATATTTGTAGAAACTGCCAATGTACAATGTACGCTTTTAATAGGAGAATATTCCTTTGATCAGTATATTCATTTTGGGGGAAGGGGGGGCTTGTCTCTGACATTTTCAATGCTTTTTATGATCTTACCTTCATTATTTGTAGATAATAACATTTCACAAGAGACCACATGTGTACCATAAGTGAGGTTTTGGATGTACAGTCAACTAATTACACTCCATTTCTCTGCTGTTGTATGTTTGTTTTGATTTCTGTGGCCCTCGGATTTAACACTTTATTTGCAATGACTCTGGTGCATTTTTGTGTTTTCAGCTCAGACTCCGGAGAAAGTCACTTGCCAATTATCCAACGGGTGGAAGCATCTCCGGATGAAACTTACGATGAAAATTTTAATGAAGGTCCTGATTGCTGCAGTGAAGAAAGCATGCTTTCTTCACAACTGTGAGGCATTTTCCTATTCTTCTTGGTTAGGTGGCAGAATAACCAGATGCAAGACAACTGATGAGAGCAGATTGCTCACCTAGTTGATTCTTGACTGTTGCTGAGAAAGTTGAGGAAAAATGGCAATTTTTCCATAGACCAATGGATGCTCTAACTGTAGAGAATTGAACCTAACTGGTTTCTAAATGTCCCCTAATCATGAGAGCCTGTTACAGCTTTAAATTTGGTGGACTGTGTAATGCAGCTGTTCACAAATGTACTTTTTTGACACTGCTTTGTGCGATCCATTGGTGTTTGTACTTGTATGTTTTCACAGCACAGTCCTGCCATAGGTGTGATGAGCTCATTTTAGTTACTGTTTACTTGGTACATGCAAAGTTCCTATTGGTCTTGGAAACTATCTAATTCAATCATTCAATTTCCCAAAACATCTTGAGCTTTATCCATCTTGGGCATCCAATTCCATAGAGGTCTAGAGAGCTATGCATCCTTAGCATCTAATATTTGAACAATCTAAGAGCTAACTATCTTGAACAATTGATTTCCGCAGTGACCTAGAAAACAAACATTGCTTATCTTCTGATATCACTCAAAAGACTAATTGTCTTTACTTTTCGATGTTCCTGGCAGTAGAATATATCTACTTCTAATTTAACTTGTATTAGTTTCTGTGACAGAACTGCATTTTTGCTTATCCCAAATGCAGCTGAAACACTCAGCCATGCGTTTGTCACCTCCCACCTCGACTACTCAAACGCCCTAATTGTCGGCCTCCCCAGCTCCACCATCCACCAAGTCCAGTTAACCCCAAACTCAGCCAGCATACTCACCTGCACTAAACTCAGTACCTCAATTACACCAGTTGGAGCCAGGCTCCACTGGCCGCTACCACTGAACAAATCAATTTCAAAAACCTCACACTTATCTTCAAATGCCTTCATGCCTTGGCAGCTCCCTACCTCTCCAACCTGCTTACTCCCCAAACCATTATCCGCTCCCTCTGCTGGACTGGCTCCAGCCTCCTGCTTGTTCCTCGTGCTCTCCGTTTCACCATCGGTGGCCGCACTTTCAGCCACTACGACCCAAAGTTCTAGCACACTCATCCTCTATCTCTCTGCCTTGCCCCCTCCTTCCCTATCTTCAGGTCACGTCTGAAAAGCTTGTTCTTCGACCGTGCCTACGGTCAGCTCCTCCTCCCCCCGACTTGACGGTGTATTCTGCCACTGTCAAGTGCTCTGGGAAGTTACATGAGGGGCTCTATATAAATGCAAGTTATTGTTTTTGTAGGTACTGATACAGTATTTATTCTTACGATATTTTTGTATGAATGTAAAATACATCTCATTTTCTTTGTCTAAGTTGTACATCTGTTTGTCTGATTCGCCTTTGCAGGATTTGTTATCAGGATGAGGAGGATAACAAACAGCTTACTCCATCAGTAGACTTTTGTGAAGAAAGTGAAAAAAAATGGCAGTCTTCTCCGAAAGGGCTTCTTTCAGTAACATCGTTAGGTAGGTAGCTTCTTAATAAACATTATTTATATGATCAATATAAAAGGCTTTGAATAGAATTGTAATAGAACCACATGAAATGTCTGCAGGCTGTGTTACTCAAGCATTTTCTCATAGAATAATGGAGACTTTCACGGCACCGTGGATGAATCAAAGCAAGGATTTTGATTGTTGCCATGGAAATCATGGGAACCCAATCACTTACTGCATTGATAAAACATACACTAATATATACGATCGCTCATAATCTCCCCAACTTTTTATACTCGACATCTGTTGCCATAATAAAATCAATTGTAACACAAAGATTTCAAGATAATATGCAGTGCAAGACAGCATTGGACATAAATTAATGTGTTCCAGACTTGTATGAAGGAACAGATTTTAGATTCTGTCAAAATGCCCTAGGTGGAACTGATGTTATTGTTGACTTCTCACTGCTGTAAAAAAACAAATAATTGCTTTGATTTTCTTCACTTTTTACCCAAGAGAAGACCAGGCGGTTCAATTAAATTTGATTTAAGAATATTGTTTTCAGATCTGCATTGGCCATGACACCACCCCCACAAATGTATATCAGTCGTACAAAACAAGCAAAAACATAGGATCATTAGTGCGCCAAAAAAGATTTCATAAATTAATCATCAACCCAGGCATCTCCTCCTCATCAGCAGCTGAAATATTCATTGCCAAGCAATGTTTTGTTGGTTTTCTAAAACCAGGATTGCTTTTCTTTTGTTTTCCTTTTTTTAATCTTTTGCTTCAGTTTCTGTAATAGCAATTTATTAATTAGTGCCAAGGCCTTTACTTATTTATTGCTGCTTTTAACAGGAAGAAGATCATCATTTCACCTGGAGTGCCTGAAGAGACAGAAGAATCACGGGTTAGCAATCTCTCGGACAGCGTCACTCTCTCAGAGGACAGCACTACCACTGCACTTAATCCAGCACCAGGTAATATTAAGTTAAACACAAACTATTACATTTACCTCAACCTTCATTTTGCTTTGAACAAAGCAGTTCCCATGTAATACCAGTCTGTATTTCGCAGAATAAATTCAGAACTTCTGTATAAATATAAAACTAATGTCAACCCACAGAAAGAGATAACAATAATAATAATAATCCTGGTATTTAATATAGTGCTTTTCATGTCAGGAGGGTATCTCCAAGCCCTCCACAGATGGGATATGGTGTAAAGTGCAGTGAATGTGTATTTTGTAGGCGAACACAGTAGCCAATTCACTCATAGTAATGTCCACAAACAATTATGAAGCGAATGACAAATTTTATTTGGGGAATCCCGGCAGAAAGTTGCTTCTCTTTTCGAATAGCACCAGTGAATTTTTAAAGTCTACATGAACAGGCAGTTGGGACCTTGGTTAATGGCAGAGACCATTGTAGATTTTGAATAAAACAGGTCGCTGAGCTACATTATTAAATCGTTTGAGTTTAGATCCCCAGACGTCAGAGTCTGGTCAGACCCCACATTGAGTACTACATAAGGGGCTTTCCAGACCATGGAGGCAGTCTAGAGAAGAACAATGAGGACGATGCCCAGAGTCAAGACGAATCAGCTCCGATCAACCATTAGAGAAGTTAGGGTCTTCAGTCTTGAGATAAGATGACTCATAGAGATGTACAAAATATTAAATGGGATTGAAAAAGTAAACCCAGATCAACGTTTTAGGATGGATCACCACAAGAACAAGAGGAAATTGTAAAGGCCGATTTCAAGACAAATAGCAGAAAGTATTTCTTTACTCAAAGGGTAATCGACAACTGAATCAGGTTGCCAGGAAAGGTGGAAGAGGTCAGGTCACTGGACTCATTTAAAAAGCAGCCATCAATGCTGTGATGGGTGTGGCGGGAACGGTTTTCCTGGGTGTTTTGGAAGGATGAGATCAGATGGATGAAAGAGCCTTCCTTCATCCACATATTCTTGTGATCTTGTGAAGAGGGAAATAGACGAATATATAAAAGTCAGAGGCTTAAAGGGGTGTGGAGATAGGGCAGGGCAATGGAATTGAAAGCACAACTTGCTGTAAGAGCCTCAGTGGGCCAAATGGCCTCATTCTGTGCTGTAAATTCCTATGTTGCTATGATCCCTTGATCCTGATATTAATAAAACAACAACTAAATTAAATTTATAGAGCGCCTTTCACGTCGAGAGGACGTCCCAAAGAGCTGAACAGTCAGGTGTCGGGGCCCTAGCAACAACAACAACAAGATTCCATTTATAAAGCGCCTTTCACGTCAGGAGGACGTCCCAAGGCGCTGCACAGTTGGGTCATGACCCGAGCAGGGGGGAAATGGTCAGGGTGAGGGGAGGGAAGGGAGGGAGAGAGGAGGGGGGAAATGGTCAGGGTGAGGGGAGGGAAGGGAGGGAGCGAGGAGGGGGAAGAGAGTCGAGAGGGGAGCTGAAGGCACGGTCAAAGAGAAAGGTTTTGAGACCGGCCTTGAAGGAGGAAAGGGAGGAAGCAAGGCGAAGGCACTGGGGGATGGAGTTCCAGAGCCTGGGGGCTGAGAGGCTGAAGGCCCGACCACCGATGGTAGGGCGGTTGGGGCGGGGGACGTGGAGCAGACCGGAGCCAGAGGAACGGAGGGTACGGGCAGGTAGGTAGGGGATAGTAGGTTGGAGAGGTAGGAGGGAGCAAGGCCGTGAATGGCCTTGTAGGTGAGGATGAGGATCTTGAAATCAATCCTCTGGGGGATGGGGAGCCAGTGGAGGCGAGCGAGGGTGGGAGTGATGTGGTCCCGAAGCCTGGTGCGGGACAGTACACGAGCTGCAGAGTTCTGAATGACCTGCAGCTTGTGGAGGGAGGTGGCGGGAAGGCCGGCGAGGAGAGAGTTCCCATAGTCCAGCCTTGAGGTGACAAAGGCGTGAACCAGGGTTTCAGCAGCGTGAGGGGTGAGGTAATGCCGTAGTCTGGCGATGTTCCGGAGGTGATGGAAGGCGGTGCCAGTTGTGGTGCGGATGTGAGGGAGAAAGGACAGCTCAGGGTCGAACAAAACGCCGAGGTTCCTGACTGGCTTTGAGAGGTGGAGAGTGCAGCCTTGGATGCTGATGGTGTCAGCGCCTGAGGTGCGGAGGCGCTGACGTGAGCCAATCAGGAGGGCCTCGGTTTTTCGCACGTTGAGCTGAAGAAAGTTGTCTCTCGTCCAGGACTCGATGTCGGACAGGCAGCTGTCAGGACATCGGTGGTCGTGGAGTTGAGAGTAGAGGAGGAAAGGTAGAGTTGGGTGTCATCCGCATACATGTGGAAGTTAACTCCATGTCTGCGGATGATGTCACCAAGGGGGAGCATATAGAGGGTGAAGAGGAGGGGACCAAGGACAGAGCCCTGAGGGACACCACATGAGACAGTGCGGGGGGTGGAGGAGAAGCCATTCGTCGAGACAAAGTGAAGACGGTGAGAAAGGTACGACCTAAACCATTCAAGGACAGTGCCTTGAAGGTTGAGGTGGGAGGACAAGCGGTGGAGTAGGATAGCGTGGTCGACCGTATCGAATGCTGCCGATAGGTCGAGGAGGACGAGGAGACAGAGGGAGCCCTGGTCACAGATGGTCAGGATATCATTGGTGACCTTGACCAGGGCAGTTTCTGTGCTATGGGCAGCACGGAAACCTGACTGAAGGGGTTCGAAAAGAGAATGGGTGGAAAGGAAAGAGCGCAGTTGGGAGGCGACAACTCTTTCCAAGACCTTGGAGAGAAAGGAGAGGTGGTGTAGGGGTGAGGGAAGGCAGAGAGGTGGGTAGGAGACCAAAGGCACGGTCGAAGAGAAGGGTCTTGAGACCGGCCTTGAAGGAGGCAAGGGATGAAGCGAGGCGAAAGGATCGTGGGATGGAGTTCCAGAGTATGGGGGCAGAGAGGCTGAAAGCCCGGCCACCAATGGTAGGGCGGGTCGGGCGGGAGACATGGAGCAGGCCGGAGTCTGATGAATGTAGGGAGTGGGCAGGTTGGTAGGGAGTCAGCAGGTCAGAGAGGTAGGAGGGGATAAGGCCATGGATGGCCTTAAAGGTGAGGACGAGGATCTTGAACTCGATCCTCTGTGGGATGGGGAACCTGTGGAGTCGGGCGAGGGTGGGAGTGATGGGGTCATGGAGCCTGGTGTGTGAGAGTACACGAGCTGCAGAGTTTTGGATGCTCTACAGCCTGTAAAAGGAAGAGTTGGGAAGGCCAATGAGGTGGGAGTTCCCGTAATCGAGCCTTGAGGTGACGAATGCGTGGGTGAGGTTTTCGGCAGCCTGAGGGGTGAGGCATTGGCGGAGTCTGGCAATGTTGCGGAGGTGGTGGTAGGCAGTGCCGGTCATGGCGTGGATATGGGTAGAAAGGACAGTTCAGGGTTAAACAAGACACCCAGGTTCCTGACTGGCTTAGTGAGGTTGAGTGTGCAGCCGTGGAGGCTTATGCTGCCAGCGCCCGAGGTGCGGAGGTGCTGGCGCGAGCCAATCAGGAGGGCCTCGGTCTTGCTGACGTTGAGTTGGAGAAAGTTGTCCCTCGTCCAGGACTTGATGTCGGACAGACAGTCGGTCAGGATGCCAGAAGTCCTGGAGTTCAGGGTGGAGGCAGAGAGGTAGGGTTGGGTGTCATCTGCATACGTGGGAAATTTACCCCATGTCTGCGGATGACATCACCAAGGGGGAGCATGCACAGTAGAATTGTGCCTTTTCCTGTGACTGCATATCTCATGATTTCAGTGTCAACATTTTAATGTGTTGCATCTTTACACTGCTGCTGGATGACTAACTGTTTGCAAACAGTATTACTCACTATATACTTTGACAACAGAATGACAATGATCTATTCCTTCTACACCTATAATTAATCTGTGGTTGCAAAGAAAGCCTGAAAGATATTTCATTTGAACAGACTTTGGAAAGTTAATAGTTTGGTAAAACATTAGAATAACTCTTGCTTTGTCATTTGTCTCCAAGACTATTTCTGTTTAATCACACAGGCGTTAGCTGTTGCTGGTCTGAGCCCGCTGCTCAGGAGAAGCCATTCTCCAACACAATTTTCCAGATTGACCACCACACCTCCTTCTACTCCATGCAGTAGAGGGAGGTTGCAGCAACACATCCCAACCCTATTCCTGGATGGCATTCAATCCTACGAGAAACTAAACAGCAGCCTTCCGTCAGTAAATTCTAATTCCTGGTACTCTGACAACTCAAATGGAAATATCAAAAAGGTCAGGCCAGTTTCTCTGACCGTACCCTATCCTTTCAGGGAAAAGGGCAATGAGTGTCATAGCAGTGCTGGTAGTCTGGTAGAGGCGGTAAGTTCATGGATATTCTCTATTTTTCTGCTAATATTACTGATTTTAAGATTAGATCTATCTCAGCAGATCTGCTTTCTGTTATGTGTTTCTTTATCTCTGAGGAAGGCGAAAGACAACACTTTTGTTGTGTGGGATATGATCACCTCTCCCACAGTTTGAACCCAAAGTCAGTATGGAGGACTCCCAGGCCAGCTCTAGCATGTGTGTATTTGGTGCTTGAATCACCTTAATTTGGAACCATAGAAGTACACAAACACTTTAAGTGTCTGTGTTTTCATTTTCCACTTTAAGCAATTCAGATACAGCAAGACTGGCAGTTGGGGTGAAACATATAACCGGTCATTGGTCTGTAGGTCCTGAAGATTTTAGACTAATTTGCTCTAATGCTACATTTCTGTTTGAGTTTGCAGTTTTATCTCTCAGAGCTCAAATCCAAATTTCAGATTGCATCATTTGTCAACATCTGGAGAACATGCTAGTTTTTGCAAAGCTATACAACTGTGCTGATAAGTAATGAATTAATTAGGTTTCACTCAGAACCCAAACAGAATGTCCTTTTAAGATTGAGTAAGAGATGGGCTCAGGATACTTTCGTGTAATGCAATTACCAACAATTTGCACTGTCAAAATGTGGTACTTTTATGTAGATTTTTCAAAAAAAAACATTTTATGCTGATCTTTATCAATCTTTGAAGAGGCAAGATGAGACTGTCAGTCTCAATAGTCAAAATGAGTGCAGGGGTTTAGTTGGTGAGCGCAGAAAATAGGTGACTAACTGAACTGAAGTACAACTGTACGAGCTGATGTAATGATAAATTTCCGATCTGATTCTGATCGTTGTCATCCAAAATATCTTTTTGAGTAAATGTGCAGACCTTTTGGAGAATAATAGCAGTGAGGAGACATTTCCCTGAGCTTCTGCATGACATCCCGGAGGAGTCTGCGAGTCGTGTACTTTGCCCATGAAAATCAGCGTGCTTTAAAGAATTTGAGGGTGGGAGAGAGAAGCTATGACATTGGGCTCATTTAAGAAGCAGCTCAATTCTGTATTGGGAAGATAGTGGCTGAGATATTCTGAAAAGATGAAATCAAATGGACCAAAGGAACCTTCTTTGCCCTTTCTTGTGATCCAGTGAAGGCAGTAGAGCTCATCTGAAGCAGTCATAGTCACGTGCTGCTTTGTGTTGACTGTTTGCAAGGGTGATTTTGCTTTATGGTAATATCTGTTTTATTATGTCTGTCCAAAAGGTTCTGATCTCAGAGGGGCTTGGTCGATATGCACAAGACCCAAAATTTGTTGAGGCAGCAGCACATGAAATTGCTGATGCCTGCGACATGACGTTCGAAGAGATGGAGAACGCAGCAGACAACTTGTTGAGTGGCAATAAGAAAGCTAGCCCAAATGGCAATCTGTTACCATATGTGAACTGTAGAGACAACCAGCCACAGGACCCTGTGCCAGATAGCGCAGAAGAGGAGCAGGACTGTGAGAAAAGCGAGGAGGAATTTGCAGATGAGATGATTTATGTAAGCACCCTGTAGTCGCAGGAGATAGCTTTTATTATTTGCTCAAATCAGTTTGTTTCAGAAGTGCCTCACTGTTCTTGTGACCCGAAGTAACCAGAGCAGCTGTTTTCTTCATTTGCTGTTGTGAATTGAGAGTTGAGCAGTTGTTGCTCTGAGTGCTTTTTTTAAAATTAACAATTGTTCTAAAAATCATCAATCACTTCAGATAGTAAGGTGGCACGACCTTTGAACCTGCAGCAGAAACACTTATCAACATCTCAAATATGGTAAAACTGTTCACGAGAGAGCATAGGACGGACCTTCGAGATGCTGTGTGTCCATCAGTTTGTCGGCACATCTGAACATTTAGCCTAACGGCACTTAAAACCACTCTGGTTTTTGAAAGAAATGGAACACAGATGTGGACACACCCGCACCAACACACATATACACAGAAAGTATTTCTTCTCTTCGGATACGCCTCTCCTACTTCAGAATATCTCAGAAAGTAAAATTCCCAGAATCTTACACTCTGATAAGAAAGCGAAGCAAAGAGACGATACTCCGTGAGAAAGGATGGAGAGAGAACGTCAAAGTATTTCGTAGGTGGCATTACCTGCCCCTCCTGTAGCTTTTCGGCAATGGAAACGTGTTGTTTGGATGCCTTTCTAAGACTGCTTGCAGATGCCTGACAGCAATATTGTGGGCTGTCTGGCGTACTGACCATCCTACCTAGTTCCGTCGGGATATCATCCTGTTGTAAAGCATGGTCATTTTTACGAGGAGGTGGCTTGTTTGTGTTATAGCAATTTTTGACCGGCCACTTTTCTACCTTTTTTCAACATTGTTGTTTGATTGTTTCTTTTGGTTGCAATTGGAAGTACNTTTTTTTTCCTGGTACAGCGTTATTTTATATTTCAAAGAAAAGTTCATAATCCAATGGAATCACTCAGTGTTCTTGAAATCTGCATCCATTATGGAAGCTGGGATGTTTTGGAAGATTGAAGTTCTAATTTTATTTTTAAAATGGTAATTTAACTAATTTCAATATTGCAGTTCAGTGTACAACGCATAACCATTTCTGTGCAATCTATTCAGATCTTTATTTGGTTTATAGTCAATGCATATCATTTTAAAACTATTTTGTATTTAAAAGAAAAGCGAGTGGATTTGCAGCAGATTTGGGTTTAAAAACCAGAATTCCTTTTACAGAATACATACAATCAGTCAACAGGTTTAGCACTGAAACCCATCGTCTGGTGTTCCACAAGATATGCAAAAACAATGCAATAAAGTGTGACTGTAACTGAGAATATAAACATATTAACTGTAAAAACAAAAGATAACTATATATAAATGTGTGTGTGTGTGTGCGTGTGTATGTGTGCACGTGTGTGTGTATATACACATACATGTATATATGAAAATTGATATCTCTATCTAATCTGTGATGATTTCTTGTGTTTCATTTTGTTTTAAGAACCTGTAATACTTGAATTCAGGTCAGTTTTAGTATTTTAAAAAAAACAACAAACAAAATAAGGTTGTGCCAAGCAGTTCCTTTTTGATGAAGTTGTTGACTACACTGGTGTGTATTTGATGCATGTCAATCATTGAAGTATTCAAGTCTACCAAGCTATATACATTTTAACTTTTTAGTGCTTTCCAAGTGTGAAGCAAGTAACCTTTTTTTTTAAGAAATACTAAAATGAAAAGTGTACATAGTGTACTTACTATGATCTGACATTCTCACTTGTTTAACATATACTGATTTTGCATATCTTGTGTTCACGGTTTTTACTATTGTGGTTTCTGCTTTTTGTTCTTCTCCCCAGCCTGGCAGTCAGTCTGAGAGACACAGAAGTTTCTAGGAGGAGGTGCAAGGAATATTCGAGTGTCCCATTCTCATTCTTTCCCTCCCCATTTGAAGTTGCAAGGACATGGCAGTCTTTTGGTTTAATTGTTTCATTTTCGAAGGCTTGCTGGCAAAGTGCTAAAGCTGCTTTACAGAGAAATCAGGCTCATAATGTATTGAAAACAAGAGAGGTACAACTTGGTAGATTAGCAACGTGGGTGTCAATATTGTATACTGAGTCATTGCTGGTCCCTCCTGAAGCCAGAATGTTACCAGATAAAAATAAGAGATGTTTTACATAGCACAGGTACCTGTATTGTGCAACTTCCAGTCATGATGATGCCTATTCAATATCTGAACATTAGTTTCCCCCGATGGTGGAAGTAAAATCTGTGGTATCGCAAGATGCAATGAACAACACAGGCAATTACTCAGAATTATTGGAATCTTGATTCTGATCAAATTATCAAACGTTGCTAATGTTTAGTTGCGACTTCCTCTTGAAGATATACTGCACAAAGATTTAAAAAAACTCTCAAATTTCTGATAAATTTTACTTTGTATGTGATCAGGAAAGGAGATTTGCTCATGATTGCGCTAATGGCACAGATGTGGAGGGTACATTTATTCTGATAATAGATTTGACATAAATTGGGCGATCAGGCATATGTGGTCATTTTTAGTTTCTTTGAAATAGATGTGCCCTCTAAATCAAAATTAGAGTTATTTCTAGAAGCTGAAAAGGGCAGTATAATTTTGTTTGAGAATTGGTTTAAATATTCATATAATTTCACTGTAGGTTAAGAGCATAAATGATATAGTTATGAAATATGTGACGAGTACGATCACTGTTTGTGACTGAGGTTCATGTGCATTTCCCAGTTTGACCTATTTTACATTTATTTTAAGTAGGAGAATAAGGTCCATTTCCATCAAATCCACTTTGATAAGATACGGCAGCATCAACCGGGTTAGATTTGATGTAGCAGTTCAAATATGTTGTGAAACGTCCCAAATTTTACCCCCATTACATAGATCTAATTGACAGGTCACATACAAAAACTGTAGGTTTGTTAGAAAGATCAACTTTCCTCAAAAACTGTACGTCCAGTAAATCAGAGAGACCTTTCTGATGTTAGAGCTAAGAAAGGAACAAAATAATGTGATGTCATTTTTTTATATTTTTAAATATAATTTAATAGATATCAGCAAAAATACAGTTTCAGTATTGATCTGTTCATACATTTAGAATTTGTTATTTAATGTTCTACATTTTTTTAAACAAACAAGCAACTATAAGGATTGTATCAGGATGGGATCTGTGACATCTCTTGAACTCAGATGTTCATTTGTGTATTGTAAAAGCTTTCAAAAGACAATCGTTCCACTTTGGCGAAAGCTCCCTCGCCATACCATCTACTCCAGGCTGCCTCATAGGAATGGCCAAACAAACATTTTCACGGCAATGAATCATCATTTCCTCTAACTTATGAAATATTACCATTGTGGACGTAAGGAGGCAATGCAGCTCTATCTTATAATTGTATTTGGAATTATTTTAGGTGAGGAAAATAACTCAGAAGAGCTCAGCTTCATTTCTGCCATCATGATCGTCAATGCAAGCAGGATTTTGTGATTGGAATGACCTGTTCCCATCGTGAATTGGTACTGCAGAGATGTGAATTCATTGGTACTGAAAAGATATGAATTCATTGGCAAGGCCAATGGTTCTCCCATCTAGGTACCAGCCAGGCTTCATAATTCCCTCTCCATTTTTCTTTTTGTTTCCTGCAAAATCTTCTTATAAGTAACAAAATCTCTGTCAAGCCCCAGACCCCATACCCCCCCACCCCCGCCCCCCCACCCCCCCATTATCTTTTTTTAATGGAGAGAACACAACGAGAATTACAAACTCCCCATATTTTTTGCAGAGCAAGTGTCATCCATGTTACTGTGTTCAGATCCGTGTATCTAAGAGGGGTCGGTTACATTCAGATTTGCAAGACAGAATGCATCCATGTGCAATAGTCAAATTCCAGCTGAAAACCTGAAGCTGCACAAACTACTCGTTCCATATGCTGCCTGAATCCTCACAGAGATCCGGACCCTGAGGGGAAAACATTCAGAATATCTGAATGCAGTCGTGTTAGGAGAGGTCAGGAACTACTCTGGAATTAATTTTAAAAGTGAGCTAAATGTTGGAAAAACTCCAAAGTTGAACTCATCACCAGCCATTTGTTCTCTGTGTATTTTATGCTGGTTATAGATTATTTTTTATTTTCTTAGCATTATGCAGCAGATTGAGTGGAGTTATGCATAGGATTCAGCGAGACCTTAGTGGAAAAACTTATTAACCTAGCACCTGTGGAATATTGGAACAATATATGATTTTATAATATTGCAAGGTTCGAGTTTTCAGTTTATTGCATGTCATTCTCTATGAAGCAAAACTTTAGTGTGTATTCGTGCAACATGTCGGAAATCCAGCTCATTATGTAAAGGGCACAAACAAGGGAGGGTTTGCCCAACTTTAGGACAAATGTATTTTACATAGCACTTGATGGTAGAATGCTCATCTGAAAACAAATGTTTTTAACAATGAAGAATGAGTTTTAATTCCTATTCTTTGCCTTTATTCTTGTATCTGGCGATTGTGCTGAAGGATTGTGAAGGGGTGAAAAGGCTTCAAGAGTCGCATAGCACTCACGCTTGACCTACTCGTAGTCGCTGTTAAGGTTGTGCCCCGAACTGTGTCTAAACGTCTATTTTATATATAAAAAATATTTTTTTGCATCCTTTAACCCTCTGAATATAAATTTATATCAAAATTAATTATAGCTAGATTTAGCATATTTAATTTCACTGACAATACAGCAAATTAATTTAAATGTAGTGTTTATTCTAGTTTATTTTTAACATGGTTGTTAATTATTAATTCTCTGGTACAAAATGTTGCTTTGCCGAAGTGTGCAATATATTAATATTCAGGGGCTCGAAGCCCAATCGCCTGAGCACATCAAGTATGTGCAGACCCAGGGACTGCTTAACTGAGGTATTAGAATCCCAGCTTGAAATGTGCAGCTTAACACTGTACTGTAACTTTGAGTTTCTATCCTGGACATGGGCTCTCTCTGGCCAACAGTGAAACACTCAGAGCTAACACTTTACATTCAAAGATGTGGTAAGTATAGGCCTGAGTGACCAAAGCTTACAGAACGCACGGGTGGTGGTACTTGTGGAGGGGTTAAATTCAACAGACAGGACATAACGTTTTTGTTCCCTTATTAAATTCTTGTTCAAGCTTTTGAATTTGAAATAGTGTTAGTTTAATCGTCTTCAGTTTTTTAAAACAAACTGAAGCATTGATGTATACAGCAGAAGCATTGCAAGTGCACACAGTAGTTGTAAGTTGAGTACACCCCAATCAGCAAACCACTTTTGGGGGGAATACACGAGGTGAAGCTCAGGAGGGAGATTTTCAAATATGTTACAATGGATCTGAAGGTTTATGTTGCAGAGCTTCAGATAACGTGAATTTCAGCAAAACTGCACCCTAAGGGGGACGAGTGGACTGGAATTCCACACGCAAGCCAGCTGTAACAAAGGGCAGAAGCGCTGAGCAGAATCAAGTAAAATGTAGCTTGTACATTTGAAAAAGTACTCGTCTTGTACTGTTATTTAAACACTTCTTTTTCTTGAAGCCTCAGAATTGTAGGCATCCAGACACTTGGTAACTGTCCAGTGGTGGAAAGTTATTTCTGTCAGGGAGTTGAGTGAATGCAGAATATATCTGAAACACTGTTAATAGAATTTTCAAAAGCTGTTTTTTAATTATGATTATGAAATAATCATTATTATTTGGTACTGCATGACAAATACGTTGTTAATCCCCTATCTTTTGTGTTTGCTTTACCATTCATTTGGAAATTTGAGAGTCCCTAAATTAAACACTTTTGTACTCTGTGGTTGAAAAATGAAACTTAAAAAAAAACTCTTCATTTGTAAATAAGTAATGTACAGTTTGTAACTGTAACGTTATTCTGTCTATGGTGGGAGAGTCTGTCTTGCCCTCGCACGTAAATTTTAGACTGTATTGTCCTAAAGCAAGCTTTACGTTAATCTTTGATTGGGACAATGTATATTCCTGTAAGATTGCATTTTTATCTAAGGAATGATGTTATTAAAACCTGCAAATAAATTAAATTTCCTAATAGCGTGTTTCAGTTTTTCATTGCTTTGATAGCCACCGGTTGAGGGTTTGACCTCGACCTCTGCTATTTCATTATGACTGAGATAAGGAACGTATGGCATTGGGGAAGCAGTTGTTATTGCATGTTGGATCTCCAAGCACCTTTAGGGGGGTGGGGTGTGGTGGAGTAAGAGGGGTTGGATTTCCTGGAACTGAAGTGGCTCCGAGGTGGGATGATTGGCAACGGAATATCGGAATCGAGCCAGCGCTCTCTGGCGGTCTTGGGAGTCTAGTTCCTGAGCCAGGCTGGCCCACAGTACTCCATGGCACTGCTGATGACAGCACAGCCTCATCAGCATGACACGGAAAGGTAGACTAGTCACTAGGGCCAAAGATTTCTCCCATTCAGCTCCTGTTAACCGTGTAAGCCAAAGCCATAACAGGTAGGGTGGTCCAAGATGGACAACCAGCAGGAAATCTTGGCAGACAGTGCCATCGATGGTAAGCTATGTAGTTTTGGCTGATTAAGACTCCAGCAGTACCCCACCGCACACTCTAGGGTTCCCTTGGCTCTTGCCAACCTGCGCCTAATACTTTCCAGAATTAGGTAAACAGGATGTGTCCCTCCAGGGAGAGAGAGCACATTCCATTCCAACAATCTCTCTCTGGGGTTTCCATGTGTAGGTGGGAGGCATAGAATTCTCAGTTTGGTTAAGCGTAGTGATGGGTTTCCGCATGTGTCAGACACCCAGCTGACCNAAAAAAATCTCGAAGTCTTTGCATTGCATTACATTGTATTTCTCATAGTTCACAGTAGATTCCACATTTCTATTAGGATACTTCCGGGTGGCGATGTGCCTTCTGAGTCCTAATCGTGTTCTGCGTAAAGGTAGGTCAGCGGCATTTCTGTTGGCTTTCCTTAGCTGACCGTATTAAGCTTAACACTTGCATTGATCAGATATCACTCTTGTATGGTTTGTTTCTCCTCAGTTTTCTTCAATTGACTTTGCTTCTTTCGCGAAAGCACTTTGTGTTAGCGGACCATTAATAACAATATTGCACGTTTGTTCTAACCCCTTTCACGTCGGGAAGCCGTCTCGAAGCGCTTCGCAGGATTTTACCGTAAAGTGCAGTGACTGCGTATTTCGTGGCGAACGCAGCGGACAATTTGCATGTAGGGATATCCCACAACCAGCTGTGAAGTGAATAACCAATTTTACCAAAGGGATTACCAGGAGGGAACCAGAGAGAGAAAAAAAACTCCCTACTCTTTGCCAAAACTGCTGTGGGACCTTTAACTTCCACCGGAACAGAACCTTGATTTTATGATCCATTGGAAGGATGGCACTCCTCCTCCTCCTCCTCCTCCCCCACCGAAATACATTTTTTTTAAAGAAAAAAGTAGCTTTCCAATCCGAAACAACGTCTCTGCCAAAACCTGGTGCCGTGATGTGACACCAGGTCAAAGTTCCGTAATGAGAACCGCACTGGATCTGATTCAAAGCAGGTTTTATGCACAGCAGCAGCAGCAGGAGGGGGAGGAGGAGGAGGAGGAGAGTGTGAGTGGGTATATGTTCCAGGAAGTGCTGCTGGTGGAAAGTCCCTGAGTTGGCCCAGGGCTGGAACTGCACATCAAACCATTTACATGTGACGTTAGTGAAGAGCAGCCGCACTGACTGACACTGAGCCCCACACACACACACACACAGCCTGATCCAGGAAATGCCTGGTCCAGCAACTACCTACTGACAGGACAGGGACACAGGGACAGGACAGGGACACAGGGGGACAGGGACAGGGGGACAGGACAGGGGGACAGGGACACAGGGACACAGGGACACAGGGACAGGACTGGGACAGGACAGGGACACAGGGACACAGGGACAGGACAGGGACACAGGGACAGGACAAGGAAAGGGACAGGGGGACAGGGACAGGGACAGGGACACAGGGACAGGACAGGCACAGGGACAGGACAGGGACACAGGGACAGGACAGGGTCACAGGGACAGGACAGGGACACAGGGACAGGACAGGGACAGGACAGGGACGGGGACAGGACAAGGACAGGGACAGAGGGCCAAAGACAGGTTTTAGAGTTGAAAATCCCCAAGTGTTTTCTTTTTTTTCTTTTGACTCACAACACCAGTGTGGATCGTGTCGGGATCATGAAATGTCGGTAACGAAGAGCGAACCAGATCGGAAACTTTTACATTAAAACGCAACACTTCCTGGAAAGCAAGTTGTTGTTGTGGTTGTTGTTGTTGAGGTTTTTTTTTTGGCCTCCCATCATTTCCCTTGGCGTCAGGATTGTTCCCAGTGCCTGGAAGAAACGATTTTTTTTTGCCATTTTTTATTCTTTTTTTAAAGTGTGTATATAAATGTTTGGAGCCCTCGACAGTCAGGCGACAATCTGAGCAGTCAGATCAGACTCACTCCGGATGCTCTGGCCATGGAGTTTGGATCGTGGGCTTTGCACAGGTTCTTCTGTGTCCTGGTCTCGATCTTCATGGGAGGAGTGTCTGGTTTGCAAATTCTCACAACTCCCCCGATGGATTGCTCACAGGAGGTAAGCTGGTTTGTGATTATTTATTTGCACAAAATAAAATCGCCCACAAAATATAGTCACATGTTTGCGGGCTACAAATATAATTCCTAGCGGTCAAGTGAGAACCCGGTTGTTAGTCGATTGGCGGATCACTCTTCCAGGTAATAATCCCTAATAAAAATAATAATAATGATTTGGTTACTCAGTCCACCAGTGTTTGTGGGACACTGCTGTGTTGCAATCGGCATTTCGCCCGCAAAATATACAGTCAATCCACTTTACGGTATATTCTGTGAAATCTTTGAGACGTATCAAATGCAAGGATTATTATTAAGTTTTTAGAAATATAGTCAATTTACTTTATATTCTTTGAAGTGCTTTGGGATGTCTTAACAATGTGATAAGGCGCTATATCAAATGCAAGGATTATTATTATTATTAAATTGAACTATGCATTTAAAGCTGTGTGTGCCCCGGTAGACAGGTTGCAGTTCAGTTCATATTTTCTTTAGAAGATCACAAGATTGGTTTGGATGAAGAAGGCCCTTTGGCCCATTTGATTTCATCCTTCCAGAATATTCAACCTACCATCCACACCACCGTGCAATTGTAATTGATCGGGTCGCAAAATAAAATAAAAAACAATCAAATTAAAATGTAAAATTGTTTGTTAGTCAATTGGCGGATCGATTTCTGGGAATAATAATTAGTGTTCAAATCAATTCACTCCCTGGCATCTCCCTACCTCTGCGACCCCCTTACTCCCCAGTCCACCATCCGGTGCCTCTGCTCGACTGGGACAGGCCTCCTGCTCGTCCCTCGCACCTTCCACCCCACCATCGGAGTTCATGCTATCAGCCACTACGCCCCAAAACTCTAGAACACTCTCCCTCAATCCCTTGCCCCCTCTCTCCCCTCTTTCAAGTCCCGCCTGAAGACTTTCCTGTTCGACCGTGCTTATGGCCGACTCCCCTCAACCCCCGGCTCAGAGTCAGGTTCCACCACTGTTAAGCACTCTGAGACCCTACCCTGTGTGGAGGGCGCTATATAAGTGCAAGTTGATATTGTTGTATCCCCAAAAATACAAAACAAAAAATGTGGTCACTCAATTCCCTGTCACTGTTTTGGAGTCCTGTAGCTCAGTGGTTAGAGCACTCGCTTTGCAAGCGAGACCTGAGTTCAATTCCAGGCAGAGCGAAACCTTGGGCAAGTTTCCTTACTCCACACGCCTATTAATAATCCCTCCAAAACGCAAAACAATAATAAATTGGTCATTTTCAATCTACGACTGTTTGTGGGACATTGCTGTGCGCAATTGGCTGCCATGTTCGCCCACAAATATACAGTCAATTCACTTTACAGTCTATTCTGTGAAGCGCTTTGGAACGTCCTCCCGACGTGAAAAGCGCTATATCAAATGCAAGGATTATTATTATTATTATTATTCTGTGAAGCGCTTTGGGACATCCTCCCGACATGAAAAGCGCTATATCAAATGCAAGGATTATTATTATTATTATTATTAATTCACAACTGTTTGTGGGACACTACTGTGCGCAATTGGCTGCTGGTTTTGTGCACAAAATACACAAACCGTTTTACAGTATATTCTGAGAAGCACTTTGAGATATCTCAATGACTTGATAAGGCACTATGTCAAATGCAAGAATTATTATTATAAAAGCCTGTTGTAGGATTACAAGCCCAGGCCTGTACTTTCTGGTGCCCACGGATGAGCACCTTCAGCTACTGTTGTCGCGCTTCTGATTAAACAAGCAGTAGCTGCATTATTTTATTCAGTGCATAGCCCTGTATGACATGAGTGTGATATACACTGCATGCACAGTACTTTTCCCATCAGTTTCTCCTGATCATCACCAACTGAATATCTGAGTGATGTGTACACGGTGGGAGGGTGGGTGAGAAGGGGAGAAAGAAAGACTGACAAAAGAGTCACCTGATATTCTGGTTTCTGCCGTCATTATTATGAGGAGAGGGATGAGTGATGTCCAAAGGTACGAGAAATTGGGTGGAGCCCGCCACTGACCTTATCAAGATCATGAGCAAGGAAATCCTCTGTGCATGAAAACAGACCATTTTGAAAGTGCCTGGGTAGAAAATGGAGTCACCAAGCAGATCAACTTCAGATTAAAATCAAAGGGTAGAGATTTTTCGGGAAGAAGGTTGTGAAAAATGTTGAGTTAGTCCTCTGTGCGATCAGAGGGTTTGTAACAAATGTCGGTGGAAAGCCCATCACAACCTGAGATGGGAAGAGAGTGGGGAGAAAAGAGTCCGAGATGGACCACATGAAGGTGAATGATGAGCGGCATTGTTAATGAACTTCTTCAGATGTGAAGGAGAACAGGGAACAGGTTATCAAGACATACAAAAAGCTCTGGTGATGGTGCCTCAGCCTGGTCATTTAAATGCACATCTAACTGTATTGGATTTTTGTTCTCCATTAACTATTTTACTACAGTGTCTTTTGTGGTAGTCAATCACATAACGACATTTCGTTGGCAGAACCTTCTAGCAGTCAATCATTTATATGGTGAATTACAATCGTGCTGAGATGGTGCAGATGTAGAAACGCCACACTTTCAGCTCCAGCAGCTTTGAGTTGTTACCTCACTGTTCTGTCACCCAGATGTACTGTAAATTCAGTCAGTGTGAAATTACAGCATCGACACTCGACAGATAGAAGCTGTTCACGCATTTGATTGATTTATTAAACGGCTTTAACATGCTCATAATATGATGGGTAACACGACTGAAATAGAATAGCAAGCCTTGCAGTTGATAAGGCATCATCAAAATGTCTCAAAGCGTTTCACAGGATTTAGTATAGAGTGTTGGTAGGTATTGTGTATTTTTAAGTGAATATTGTCTGATAAGTATTGTAAAAGTGTATGAAACAAAAATAAAAAAGGGTAATGGGCAGAAAGATAAAGGCTGTAATTTGCCACTTACACTCATCAATGAATGGCATCATTTGCTCCCTTCTGATTAGATTCCAGCTTGTAAAAGTCACTGCCAGAGATCTGTTGTTCTATAATGTGAGGTATAAATTACCAGGATAGATCAGTGGGTGAATGGTCTGTTTCTGTGTTGTAACATCCTATGTAATTCTCTATTAATTATCTGAACCCACAATTAGATTCCTGTCTTTAATGTAATAATAATAATCCTTGCATTTGATATTGCGCCTTATTGCATCTTCGAGACATCTCAAAGTGCTTCACACACTGTACTGTAAAATGAATTAACTGTATATTTTGTAGGCAAAACATTAATTTGCATTTAGCTCTGGATTTCATCCCAAAACTGCCTCCTATGCATTGTGGAGTATAAACCTGGACATCCATTAATCTTCCTAAAAAAATCCCTGAAACCCATCCTTTAGGTCACCGTCCATATGAACAGTATTGCCAGGAATAAAGGGATTCCGAAATTTAACAGGAACCTCTGTGTGGAGCCAGATCCAGGTTTTGGGTTCCATGTGGCTGTGAGAATCTCAGAGACTCTCGAGCACCTCGCCCCACTGGTGCTGACTGGGCAGCTTGAGGCAACAAGACCTGAGCACAGACATGAGAGAGTTTAGCTCATGATGGGAAGGAGGAGAAAGAAATAGAGTAAAAAACAAGGGCAAAATGGTGGCAGATGGAGTTCAATGTGAGGAAGTGTGAGGTCATCTACTATGGATCCAAGAAAGACAATCAGAATATTTTCTTAATGGTGAGAAACTAGAAACTGTGGAGAAGCAAAGGGATTTGCGTGCACAAATCACTAAAAACTAGTACAAATTGTAATCAAAAAGGCTCATGGAATGTTGGCCTTTAGCTCAAGGATGCCGGAATACAAAGGTGAGGAAATCATGCTTCAGTTGAACAGAACCTTGGTCACACCGTATCTGAAGCACTGCGTTCAGTTTTGGGCACCACACCTCAGCAAAGATGTATTGGCCCTGGAGGGTCCAGATTCACCAGAATGATACCAGGGCTAAAAGGGTTACATTTTGAGGACAATTATAAATTTAAATTAATTAAATTATAAACTTGGTTTATATTCCCTCGAATTTAGAAGGTTGAGGGATTATTTAACAGAATTCGATAGGGTAGATATAGAGAAACTATTTCCTCTGGTGGGGGAATCCAGGGCATTATCTTAAAATTACAGCTAGGCCCATTTAGAAGTGAATCAGGAAGAATTTTTCACACAAATGGTTGTGTAAATCTGGAAGTCCCTCCTCGAAAAGCTGGATCAATTGAAATGTTCTAGACTGAGGTGGATAGATATTTGTTGAGTATGTGAATCAAGAGATTATGGAGTTGGAGTTGAGATACAGATCAGCCATGACCTAATAGAATGGCAGAACAGGTTTGAGGGGCTAAATGGCTTACTTATGTTCCTATAAAGCCAAGAGAAGAATGCAACAATGGTGAGAAAGAGGAGATCAGAAGGGAAACTGAAAGAAATATAAAACTATATTCTGAGTTTGTATGTTTTCCAACGTATGTTGCATTTTTGGATCTATTGTCTTACATCCCAGTTCAATCATTTCCTCACTTGTATGTATGTGCAGGAAGTATAGACGCGCTCTCGACATCTGTTTGCTCTATTTTGGTACTGAGAAAACAACCCTCTTAATCTTTTTTTCTGTTTCTTCAAACAGAGCCTGAATTGCAGCATCAAAATCTGTAAGTACAGGACATATTTTCTGAATTATCCCCACAATTTTTTTGGTCAACCGGGCGGAAACTCATCACCATGCTTAGCAGTGTCCAAACTAAACGTGAGAATTCCATGCGTCTCACCTACACATGGAAATTCCCATATATTGGAATGGAATGCACATTCACTCCCCGGAGCTTTGCACCCTGCTAACGTAACTCCGGAAAGTATTAGGTGCAGATTGACAAGAGCTAAGGCTTGGGGACCTCAGCGTGTGCATTAGTCTAAATAGCTAAAACACATAGCCTGACATTGATAGCACTGTCTGCCAAGCTTTCCTGCTGCTTGTCCATCTAGGACCACCCTACCTGTTGGGTTTTGGCTTGCAGGTTTAATGGAGGCTTAGCTTGATGAATCCTAGGCTGGCTTGACTGACATCAGCAGTGCCCTGGAATACTGTGGACCAGCTTGGCTCAGTCAATTGAGACTGCCTCGGCTCCCACCTCATCCAAGGAGGGTAATCACAGAGACTCTCTCAGGCACAATGCTGGGAAAACAGATGAATGAGTTCATCATGAGCTGCTTTTCATATAATCACAGATATTTCAGTTTAGGAGGAAATTTAGCTTATCCTTCATACTCCACATCTATGCCATGACCCCACTCTGCCTTTCCCCCACCTCCACAGCATTGCTTGGCTCCGCCACTGTCTCGCACCGTAGGCCACCAAGAACCTCATACACGCAGTCATTACATCCAGATTCAACTGCACAAACTCCCTGCTTGTCGGCCTCCCCAACTCCTCCCTCCATAGGCTGCAGATCCAGAAGTCTGCAGCCCATGTCCTCTCCCGCACCAGGCTCCACGACACCATCACCACCATACTGTAGCTCAGTGGTTAAGCTGGGGGTGGGGTAGTTGAAGAAGGTGGTGGCGGAATACACAAACACTTACTCACTAACACACACACCCGTTCTTAGTCACCAACACACACAGTCACTCACTAACACACACAGAGTCACTCAGTAACACACAGAGACACACACTCTCATTCACTAACACACACAGAGTAACCACTTACACACATACACACTCACAAACACAAACAGTCAACAACAACAACAACAACAAGATTCCATTTATAGAGCGCCTTTCACGTCAGGAGGACGTCCCAAGGCGCTGCACAGTTGGGTCATGACCCGAGCAGGGGGGAAGTGGTCAGGGTGAGGGGAGGGAAGGGAGGGAGAGAGGAGGGGGGAAATGGTCAGGGTGAGGGGAGGGAAGGGAGGGAGCGAGGAGGAGGAAGAGAGTCGAGAGGGGAGCTGAAGGCACGGTCAAAGAGAAAGGTTTTGAGACCGGCCTTGAAGGAGGAAAGGGAGGAGGCGGCGAAGGCACTGGGGGATGGAGTTCCAGAGCCTGGGGGCTGAGAGGCTGAAGGCCCGACCACCGATGGTAGGGCGGTTGGGGCGGGGGACGTGGAGCAGACCGGAGCCAGAGGAACGGAGGGTACGGGCAGGTAGGTAGGGGGATAGTAGGTTGGAGAGGTAGGAGGGAGCAAGGCCGTGAAGTCACTCACTAACACGCACATAGACACACACTATCACTCACTATAACACACAAATTCACTCATGTTCACAGTCTTGCTCATTCACTATCATAATTACTCACTCACTAACATACACATAAACACACACACTCATTCATTAACACACATATACACTTGTTTTTCAAGTTCCACACTAAACTTGTAAACTTGTAGTTCATTGCAATTACTCTGATTGTCCCAGTTACTAACTCGTGGCTGGGTGTATGAATGGTGCTGCTACATCCTGCAGTCAAAGCACAGGCACCACAAAAGTTTAAGAAATAATGCCATATTCAGTTTGATATTACCTGCACATCTCAGGAAGATCTTTCATTCAACACCTCATCTGATTATCTTTCAACTGTATTGGGTTGCAGGTGTCTCTGAAGATGTGCCAGCGTACCTCCTTAAACAGGATACAGGAATACCTATTTGTGTACTGTGAAATAACTGTATTTGTACCTGATTTGGAGTTAAGTGCTGCTTTCTGTCCCTTCTGTAACAGCTGGCTGCTTGGATCATAGTTGGCTAACGCCTTTCAAATGGACACCTTCTTCTCCCAAGGAAGTGATGGTCAATGTGTCCATCCAAGAGAGCGAACCTGGAATTTTCATTCCTGTGTTGTTAATCAAATGGAAACTGGGAACAGATGGTAAGCACGGAGCCTCTGCCTGGTGTGTACCACCTTCCATGACGTATAGTTCTTCTTGGACATCCAATTGCACTCTGGGTGCATTACATAGTTAGAAATGAGCCAGTATCTCTTTTTGTCTGCTTATGTTAAGTGTCTGATTTGATTTTTGGTCAGCCGGTTGTCTTTGACTGTGTCTTTGGTCTCCCTCCTACTTCTACCCTCCCTGCCCTCAACCACTCCTGATCCTAACCGCCAGCTCGGGTGCAAATCCTTGACTGTCCAGAGCCACTGGCCCCTCATCAAAAATATCAATTTGGTCCCTCAATCCTGTTTGTGCGCAAACTGTGGTCTGCAGAAAGCCATCATCGAGAGTATCCAAACCAGACTAAGAGTTCCCAATATGTATGCCACCTGCATGCGAAAATTTCTTTGTGCCTAGAATTGAATGGCCTTTCTTTCTCTCTCTGGAGGAATGCACCCTGATTACCCCATTTTGAGTGTCTAATCTGACCCACATTCCTATCCTCATCAATTGCTGGAGCACGTAGTGCAGGCACCTCACCTTTTATTTATGGCACAGAAGATTGCCTTCCAGAGCCAATAATCCCTCCAAAAAAAGAAATTTGTTCATTCAATCCATCGTTGTTTGCGGAAGATGCCTGTGCGTAATTAGCTGCCGTGTTTTGCCCACAGAATATACAGTCAATTCACTTTTCGTGGAGTCCTGTAGCTCAGTGGTTAGAGCACTCACCTTGCAAGCGAGAGATCTGGGTTCAATTCCAGGCAGGGCGAAACCTTGGGCAAGTTTCCTTACTCCACATGCCTGATAATAATCCCTCCAAAATAAAACAATAATAAATTGGTCATTTTCAATCCAAAACTGTTTGTGGGACACACTGCTGTGCGCAATTGGCTGCCGCATTTCGCCCACAAATATACGGTCAATTCACTTTACAGCATATTCTGTGAAGTGCTTTGAGACGTCTAGAAGACTTAAAAAGCGTTATATCAAATGCAAGGATTATTATTATTTACAATATATTCTGTGATTCGTGAACTGATACGTGAACAGAGGCATGTGGAGTAAGGAAACTTGCCTAACATTTCGACCTGCCCGGGAATCGATCCCATGTCCTTTCGCTTGCGAGTGCTATAACCAATACGGTACAGGATTCCACATGAGGCACTACATGTGACAGCAATTTCCTGTGAAGTATTTTGACTATTGTAAACTTATCAAATGCAAGGATTATTATTTTGATGTAACACAGTATAAAGGCCTGGGAGCCTCAGTGTGCATGTTAATGCAATTTGGTGTATTTGTCTTCACAGCAAGCATACGGAGCTATCAAGGTGTGCAGGTTTCTGTGCAGCGACAGAGTGACTCACACAGGTCATGTCTTCAGTATCGCTTCAGAAACAGAATTAAAAGCCAACTCAATCCACAACGGGAGAAGGTATGCGCAATAACATAGAGGCCCATCGCTCATGTGGTACTATCCAGAAAACACACATTCGGTGATAAACTGATAGCAACATAGCAATGTAGGAATAGGAGAAGGCCATTCAGCCCCTCAAGCCTGTGCCATCATTCTATTAGATCATGGCTGATCTGTACTTCATTTACCCGTCTTTGCTCCATAAACCTTGATTGATACTCTTACCTGACAAAAATCTGTCAACCTCAGCCTTGAAAATTTCAATTGATCCAGCATCCACAGCTTTTGGGGAAGAGAGTCTGAAAAATGCTTCCTGATTTCATTCCTAATAATAATAATAATAATCCCTGCATTTGATATAGCACCTTATCACGTCTTCGAGACATCTCAAAGTGCTTCACAGAAAATACTGTAAAGTGAATACACTGCATGTTTTGTGGGCGAAACGCAGCAGCCAATTGATAGAGGATATCAAACGTTGTGAAGAGTAGTGCACTGTAGGGGCAGTGGTTCCATGGGCCTGTGGTGAGATAGGAAACAGTACAAGGCAACTGTATACTGCACTTTTGTTTATAGAGTTGAGCTTTGAATCCCTGCATCAGCTGTAAGGGCCTTGTCCTGGAATATGACATATTTTTGACACTATGTGCACCACACCCACACGTGTGCGTATCCACATATGCGTATGAAGGAACAATTCTCTCTATGGCAGTAACACTGAAATGGTTATCGCCGATCCCTAAAGAGCGGTTCAGGTGTTGGTGCGTAAGGAGGTTGTTTCAGGAAATCTCCCCTTTCTGATCGTAGTGGTCCTTCTCATTGGAGAGGTTTGTGGTGGAGCCGGAGTACACTTACCTAGTGGACGTGTACAGTTTACCCAGAAGAAATATCAACGAGTATCCCGATCAAGGCAGCATGATGTTTGTTGTGCCCGGTGAGAGCTTTCATTTACATGGTTTCTGCTTGCCACCCCCTGTTTTGTTATTGGTTTTGGTGTCTTGACGCATGGATGAAATGTCTCCTGTGTCTGCTGGAGTTCAAACAGTTAAAGCCACGTAAGCGTGTGTTGAGAGCACTGTCTGGCAAGCTTGTCACTGATTTTCCAGCTATATCCACCTTCTGTTTAGGGCTTTAATTTTTAAGGTAACAGGAGCCGAGTGGAAAGAATCTCTGGTCCAGTTTGCCGCTTTCCAGACTTGGCCATTGAGCCAGGCTGGCTGGTGTGTCATCAGCAGTGCCCTGGAATACTGTGGACCTACCTGGCTTAGGAACCGGACTAACGCTACAGAAGAGTGAGGGGATTCTGACATTCCATTGCGGCCTTGAACCTAGTTCATCCCTGAGGAAACCTCACCAGCAACACAGGCGTTAAACAGTGAATAGTTCCTGAGGCTGAGAACACAAGGGAATGAGTAGAGATACAATGAGTAACCCTAATTGTTGGTTAAAGCTATCTCTGTCAGGAAGCTGGAGTAATGTCAGTGGAGATACAATCAGTCATAGTGTTTCAGTGGGGAGAAGCTACTAAGCTTGGCATTGCAAGAAAGCTGAAGCCACGTCACTTGTAGGTACAGTTACTGATACAACAACAAGAAATTACATTTGTTGTTGTTGTTGCCTTTCACGTCAGGAAGATGCCCCAAAGCACTGGACAGTTCAGGGTTTGCACCCAAACTGGTGGTTGGAATCAAAAGAGTTAAAGGATAGGAGAAATGCGGGTGGGAGGGTGGCCGAAGGCACGGTCAAAGATGAAGATCTTGAGACGGGCCTTGAAGAAGGAAAGGGAGAGGGTGAGGTGGAGGGATTTGGGGATGGAGTTCGAGAGGGTGGGGGCCGAATAATGAATACATTGTGTGCCAAGAGGAGTTACTGAGCCTGTTATTGTCAGGGAGCTAGAGTAAGATCAATCAACGTACAGGGAATGTCACAGAGCAGGTCACTTCAGCTCTGTTCATGATTCAGCAGCAGGTGGACATCTCAATGCGCTTAAAATTAACAGATGGTTGGATTTCTTTTCTAGGTTGCAAGGATGGCCTCATGAAAAGAACAGAGCTCTGCAAAAGAAGAGGTAAGTAAATATTCCTCCGCCCAGATCCCCTCCCTTCCCACACCCCCTCGCTACTATGGCTCAATTAGCAGTGTCAAACCTGAATCCCACAGTTATTCTCTGATGCGTTAATCAATAAAAGGAATTCCTGTATAACCTGGAGCAAGAAGGTATCAGGAAGGTACCGACTGTGACTCCGCTCAGTGTTGATCTTGGCTGGTACAGGAATGGGAGAGATACAGTTGGCCTCAGTGTGCCTGGATTCAAAAATGAATCAGAATTATCGTTCCTGACAGTTCCTCACCCTCCAATCCAAGGTCTGCGAGTGGACATCAGACAACAGGAGTAGGCTTGGCCTTGAAAGCTTCGCCTCTCCCCAGTTTAACAGCCTGTCAACAGGACTGTCCAGAAACAACCACAACAGGTTGCATAGCGCCTTTCACGTCAAGGAGATGTCCCAAAGTCCTGATGAATCGCGAATGAAGATTGGCCGTTCGGGCGAGTTACTGGGAAGTGACCGCCGTCTCCGAAACCATACCTCAGCGTGTATCAGCAAGTCCGGGAGGGCAGAAGGGCTGAGGATGGTCCCAGTGTGGCCTGTTGGCAGGGCATTTATTGGCGCCTCTCACTCTGCGAGATTTAATCTCTGTCGTGAGAAATTGCATGAATTCAATTGCCGTCACTTCACAGAATTTACCTTCCGCAGGGAGTATGTGGGAGCCCAACATCACGCACAGCCAACACGGGACGAGGCTCAGCTTCTCCTTCTGGACAGGAAACTATTCACAGAATTACACTGTCTTTTTGAGGAGCCACAGTTCACTGGGGTTCGTCTGCAACAACGAACAGCAAACTATCACAGAGGTAAAATCTCTCCGCATCCTGGGGCTCTGCAACTCTTTTACTTAATTCTTTAAATTCTCTGTTGTTCCAGTGTGGCATGACCGAGACTGAAGGCAGGCGAGGGGACTTGGGTTTATTTTAGTTGATGGTTAGACGATGCCAACTTTGGGTTCTCGAAACCTCTAGATTTTATGAGGGAGAGAAGGTTAAGGGAGGTTGCAAGGATGATCCAGTCTTCACAAAGAAGGGAGTGGTTCCCGGCGTGAAGGCCAACAATCCCCCAAATACAATTGTTCATTCACCTCACGGCTGTTTGTGAATCAATTCTGTGTACGAATCTGCTGCCATTTTCACGGACAAACTACACAGTCACTTGGCTTTACAGTAAAATCGTGTGAAGTGCTTGGAGGCATCATCCTAATGTAAAAGCCTCAAATGCAAGGATTGTTATTTTTCATTATCTTCAATCCTAGAAAGAAGGTTAGAGCATGGGATGATAAGACGAGTTCTGCTTTCAGCATTGTGCAGGTGCAGAGAAGAGGAAGAGCTGATGAGTTAGTTACTTAAAACATACATATGTTACTTCCAGTTCATCGATTGTTTATTGGTAGATTATGGGCAGATACAGTGGAGACCTGTGGCGTAATGGTTAGTGCACTCGCCTCACAAGCGAGAGGACCTGGGTTTGATTGTGGGGGAAGGCAGGGATAGGGGGCAAGTTTCCTTACTCCACATGCCTCTGGTTACCAAGCAGAAAGTAGAAAGTTGTTAGTTGATTAGCAGATCACTTTTTGGAGGCAATAATAACCTCCAAAAAAAATTGGTGACTCAATCCATGACTGTTTGTGGTTCACTGCTGTGCGCAATTGCCTGCTGTGTTTCGTACATAAATACACCATCAGTCACTTTACAATACACTCTATGAAGCACTTTGAGATGTCTGAACAATGTGAGGCATTATATCAAATGCAAGGATTATTATTTTTATATTATCTTGACACCGTACAGAGGAGGAAAAACAATTATGCTGAACAATGTGTGTGGGGGATGGGGAAGGAGGATGAGACAAAGAACATGGTTTTGATCTCTTTCTAATATTTTTGTACATAAGGAACCAGGACGAAGAGTGAATGTGACATTTTTTACTCAAGAATGGATGTCAAGCTGCTGTCACTATAGCATTTCGGTAAGACCTTGTACAAGTTGCCATTCTTATCTATTTGTTAGAGAACTTTTTTTCTGTAAGGTTCCTTTATACACAGCTACCAGATTAAACTTGGGTGAGCCAATCGCTGTTTCTCTGTTCACTGTTTGATGTCACTGACTTTACGCTTGCATCAGGATAGGACCCCCCCCCTCCCCAGTAATATAGTCCTGACCTTCCCCAACACAAACACACCCCACCCAATGGAGAGAGACTCCTCATCAGGCTTCTTAGAGGGATCCAGATTCGCATCTGTTGCTCCCTTCCTTGAGGATTGGTAAATGCTCTGCACACCTTTTTCCAAGGTTGCAGCTAAGATCTGGGACACTACCCTGAGTGAGAAGGGCTAGATAAATGCAAGTCGTTGTTGTAAGTTGTTAAGATGGGAAACCCATCAACAAGATGATGCCACAACAACTGCACTCTTCTCCTTGAGTGAACTGCCTCCGCTGGAGAGAGAGAGAAACCGTGGGAATGAAACCAAATAGAATTGTGAGTGAATCAGAAAAAATCTCTCCCATTTAATTAGGCAGAATAGTTTGCTTCGGAACAATATAGTAACCCAGCTTAATATGTTCCCTCTCTGTTAAGTTGTTGAAATGTCTGTTAAGTGACAGTGTGGCCTTCTTGTTGTGACAGATCCAACCGTTTTTCGTTGACTGTTACAATGACTGTGTGCGACATCAGAGGGACATCCCGTGCCCAGGTAAGAGGATTAAACACTTTGTCGAAAAGTATGGATATGGATGGTACACCAGTTCCTCGCTCCCTCGATTCTGGATGTGTATCTCGGCCTCCGTTCTGTTGTGCACCGGTGCATTGTGCCTGAAGTGGTCTTCAACACGTACCGCTGTGTCCATGCCAAGCCGCAGTCTCTCTGTGTGACATGATGAAGGTGATGAAGGGCGTTTCACTACAGCAAAGTTTGTGTGCCCTCGGGTTTTGTCCTGTTCAGCACCGTAGGTTTGAGGCTGTTGGTCAATCAGGCACAGGCTCCTGGTCACTGACGTCAAGTTGTTTTTATATTTTTGATTGATATAGTTTTGGGTAAATTTGTTTCAAGACAGAATCCTCTACTGTACAAGTTTGACATTTGTATTTTCCATTGAAGCTGGACGTGGTCCCAGGTTTTGACAATTCTACATCCAGGCCTCATCTTTCTCTGTTTCTGATTGTTGTATTCGTCTCTTTCAGAAAAAACAGGGTTACCACCGTTAGCAACTGCAGGTGGGTGCATAGTCACACACATTGAATGAATTAAAATTGGTGTCAGCCTGGCTCAGTTGACAGCACTTGCAGCACTGCGTCAGAAAAATTGTGGTTTCCATTTCGGGATGCGGAACCCATTTAATAATAATAATAATCCTTGCATTTGATATAGCGCTTTTCACGTCAGGAGGACGTCCCAAAGCGCTTCACAGAACACACTGTAAAGTGAATTGACTGTATATTGGTGGGCAAACGCGGCAGCCAATTGCGCACAGCAATGTCCCACAAACAGTCGTAGATTGAAAATGACCAATTTATTATTGTTTTTGTTTTTGGAGGGATTATTATTAGGGGTGGAGTAAGGAAACTTGCCCAAGGTTTCGCTCTGCCTGGAATTGAACTCAAGTCTCTCACTTGCAAAGCAAGTGCTCTAACCACTGAGCTACAAGACTCCACAATTGGTGCTGACACTCAGTGCAGCACTTCATTGTTGGAGACGGTGGACATTAAAGATCCCATGGCGCAGTTCGAAAATAGCAGGGAGTTCCTTCCAGTGCCCTGGCTAAAAATCTTCCAAATAAAATTGGTTCTTCACTTCATGGCTGTTTGTGGGACATTGCAAGATTGATTGAAACGCCCGCCACAGAATAACCTATTTCACAGTAAACCCCGTGAAGCTCTTTGAGACTTTGAGATTACCCGATGTGAAAGGCTTATATCCAATGTAAGGAATATCATTATTGCTTTCAGCCACTATTTCCCGAAACTTTGGAACTCTCTCCCTCATTCCTTACTTTATTTTAGATCACGACTGAAGATCTTCCTCTTCAACCGTGCTTGTGACCACCTCCTCCCTTCCTCTAGCTTGGCGTCAGTCTCCGCCACTGTTAAGCGCTCTGAGACTCAACTCCACATAAACGGCGCTATATAAATGCAAGTTGTTGTTGTTATTATTAATTTGTATTTATGAAACATTGCTGTAAATGCTTTGTACACAGCAAGCTCCAGGGATCTTGTGTCTTGTGTTGTTTGTCCAACCTGGCAGCATGGGATCCTTTGACGGGGGCAGTGCTGAATGTCCCACATGAATGAGCGAATGTGAATAGTATTGAGGACGTGCAACATCGCTTAAGCTGCACTGCCAACCTAACGTTGCTCTTTTTTTCTCTGCTTGTTGTAGAGCCAAGCTCTGAGATCTCTGAAACCAGTATTGGAATCACCATCGGCATAGTCACGGTCACTATTGTGTTGCTGGGTGTCTTCCTCTTTGTGGTTTGGGTACAGATGAAATGTAGAACTAAAAGTAAGTGGTGCCCCCCCCCCCACCCCAATGTCACCATCTTTCATTTGATGAATTGATTTTGTTTCTTTTTCTGTGAACGAAAGAAAAACGAAAATTAAGAAAGATCATCTTCTAGGTAGTCTGGGAGAGAGGAAAGTCTGTGCGTGTTCCCAGATGGAAACTGTACCAGCAGCACACAGTTTATAATAATCATGCATTTGATATAGCGCCTTGTCACGTTGTTGAGACATCTCAAAGTGCTTCATAGAATATATTGTAAAGTCAATTGACTATTTTGTAGCCAATACTCGGCAACCAATTGTGCACAGCAGTGTCCTACAAACAGTCATGGATTGAATGACCACATTTTTTGGGGGAGGGATTATTACTCCTGGAAAGTGATCCGCCAATTGACTAACAACCAGGTTCCTACTTACCGCTAGGTAAACGGAGGTGTTTGGAGGAAAGAAACTTGCATAAGGTTTCACCCTACCCAGGAATCAAACCCGGATCCTCTTGCTTGCGAGGCGAGTGTGCTATCCACTATGCAATGGGACTCCAGTTTCCAACTGGGAACATGCACAGTTTATGGGGTACATCATATGGCTCAATGTGTAAAGGAAGGAAATGGAGATTTTGAGATTTTCCTCTTTGAAGTGTCTACTTTCATTCATTTGCAATGCTGTGAATTAATGTGATCTTATCTTGTCTCTCTTTCACAGTCCCATTGCCTGACATATCAACAGGTACGTTCACCCAGTGTTACTTGAAATATGTGTATTCTAGGTAAAGGCTGCTTCAAAGTTGTATTGTTGAGAACAATTTATAATGTTAGAACATAAGACTAGGGGTGATGTCTGTAATGCGACACCTCAGCGAGTGCCTCCACTTACTTTTGTCCAAAGTAAGGATGTGTTTAAACACTATCCCGATATTGTGTTGTGCAGTGATTCTGATGATACCAAATGCAAGAAACCACCGCTTCTCCTTTCCCCATTGTCCCTCGTGCTACAAATGTGGTTCCTCACACTCCTGCAGCCTGTGATACCATCTCCCAGCTCTTCCACTTGCTCAGCTCTCGAGAGCAGCGACGCTCTTGGCTGTGTGCAGACAGGCTGCAGGGTTCGTGATCAGTCACAGTCAATGCCGTGAAGCGCTTTGGGACTCCTCCCGACATGAAAGGCGCTACACTGAATACAAGGATTAATAATATAATTTTTATTTATTATTATAACTCTGAGCCAAAACTTGCCTCACTCAATGTCCACTTTCTATCTGAGGTTACTAAATTGTAGTTGGCTGGAGAGAACATTGGCTCATTCTCTCTCCTCCCCCACTTTAGCTCAGAGACATGGAAGGAAACTGTTCCGTCGGCCCCTTCAAGGATGCACAACAACAATAGCCCAGGGACAACCTGACACCTCTTGTCCTGGGAGATACAACTTTAGATAGTGCATTTACCCACGGATCCAAGAAAGTGTTCTGTTTTGTCCACCACGGACTGGATCATCTCGTTCTCTGGAACTGTTCCAGGAATGACTTTGCTCTGTTATCACTTCCTCTCCTCAATTTCCTGCGAAAACCGTATCTCTTCGACTACTTTCCTTTGATATTTTTACACCTTCCTTTTTTTCTGCTTGGTGCTTTTGGTCAAGTGCTTCCAGAGGTTCATTTCCTTTAAACGTGCTACAGTAAATCTCACATAAGTCGTAGCATTCGGAACCAAAATATTGAATATGACTTATGCAAAGAGTTATGCATAAGTCAGATTTTTTACAACTATCGCATAACAAATACATCTGTACAAAGTACATGTCCTCACGTGCAGAAAACAATGAATGGCATGAACTTTTACCAAGAACAATTAACACTGTAACTGAATGATTTCAAGCTCTGTAATGTTTCCAATGTATGCAATACTTTGTCGGTGCAGCCTGTAGATGTGGTTGTGGTGATAGGAGATGATTTCCATTAGGTTTTACATTATTTGATTCCAAGAAATAGTTACGACTTGGCTGTTTATCGGACTTATAAAATCCCAGTGGTGCAAAGAAATCAAAATGTTTTTTAGTAGGAAAATGAATGGGACTCAGGTGCATGTACGACTTAAACGATTACGTGAGTTACGACAAGACAACATACGCGAATTGACCTGTGTATGAATGCACGGTATTAGAATGTATATATTTTCAGAGGAATGTTTTGCATCAGTTCAGAGCTGGATGTGAGCAAGAGGGATTGTCACTGTATATCTGCTTTGTTCCAGGTGGCAAGAAAAGCATCGCCTCTGAGGACACAGGACGGCCACAGGTCGTGAAGAGAGTTTTGATCGTGTACTCATTGGACCATGTGCTGTACAAGGACATTGTGCTGGCTTTTGCAGAGTTCCTGCTGACGGTGTGCGGTACCGAGGTCATCTTGGACCTTCTCCAGACCAACACTATCTCGGAGGTCGGGCACCTCAACTGGTTGGCGCAGCACAAGAAAACATCCGACAAGATTATCATCCTGTGCTCGCGGGGCACTCGAGCCAAGTGGACAGCGATGCTGGGGACCGAGCAGAGCCAGGTGCTGCTGAGGGGGGACGAGCGCTCGCCCATGCGCGACATGTTCACTCCCGCCATGAACCTCATTGTGCCCGATTTCAAGAAGCCGGCGTCCTTCGGGAAATACATTGTTGCCTATTTTGATGGGATCAGCGAGGACGGCGACGTTCCCGATCCCTTCAACGTGGGGGTGAAGTACAAGCTGATGAAGCAGTTCGAGGAGATACACTTCCGAGTGCAGGATCTGGAGAAGTACGAGCCAGGAAAGACCTACCAGGTGCCAGGAATAACATCGGACGACTACCATAAACATCCGTCTGGTGAAAGGCTGAGGAATGCCATTCGAAAGTTTCAGAGGTATCAGATGGAGCAGCCGGACTGGTTTGAAAAGGAATGTTTGCTCTCTGCGGAGGAGGCAGGAGCTGAGGAGGAGGAGGAGTGCGACCGAGAGCTCGGTGACGACCCGTCGTCCATCAGACAGAACGTTCTGCTCTTGGAGCTGCAAGACGCAGCGGGCTGCTGTGTGAACCAATTGCAAGTGGCCGATTCCAGCCACCCAACTTTTGTGAGATGCCTGCCGACACTCGAGTGCAGAGCCCAGATCACTGGCGTGTCGCAGAATGTGATTGGAATGGACGGCGTGGAGAGCCCCGCACTCGGCCAGACTTACATCAGGGAGCCCATCTGCTGCACCCCTGTGTCCGAGTGCAACCAGAGAGTGTTGCTTTCTTCTAGCTTAGATTCCCCTCACGAGGAGGACCCTCTGCTGGCCGCGGGGCGGGTGATGAGAAATGAAATTGTGCAGCAGGCCTCGGGCCACGCCGCGGAAGATCACTGTGTGAGGAACGATGTTGGCTGCCCAGCGCCTGCCCAGAGCGATGCCAGGCAGAGATTGGCAGAGCTACAGCAGGCGCTGCTCCTGCAGGGCTTGGGGTATTCCCAGATCCCAGCCCCTGAGCCGCATCATCTCCCTGAGTCTGCACCATTCATCCTTCTCCCTGCCAAAGAGGAGTCTGTGGAGTCGGATCAGGGCTACTGCTCCAAGCTCTACCTCTCGGCGGAGGAGCTTCACTCGGGAAGAGCGAGCGTCTTGCCTGATGCCCTGAAGGAGTTGGAAATGTTGCAAATTGGATTGCTTCAGGAAAGTATGGAGACAGCGGATTAGAAAGTGTGAGCACGACAATAATTGATCATGAAACGTTTTAGACCTAATAATTTAATCGCTGTAAATTACTTCCAGGAACATGTTGCATCGTTATTTCAATTCAGAAAATCACTTGCTTTTTAATCTGTAGTTTGCCTGTCAGTATTGACAGAGAACATGACCTTAGGCCGCTACTGAACAGTACGGTTCCCGTACGAAGCTTTAGCACAGACTGTGACCGATAGAGTTCTTTATGGATAGCACCATTGAGAAACATTCAGTGGATCCAGGATGAATCGAGCACATTGCTATTCTTGCCCAACGGGGGATCAGAAGAAAGGATTTTCAGTTAACGGAGGGCTTCGCTCTGGCTCCTTCGGAAAAACAGACATGGTGATCCGGGGGCAACACAGACATATTTGGGATTCCCACATGTTACTTCAAAACAACACCAATGCACTGGACTGGCTTGTGGTGATAAGTGACCAGGGTTCCTTCTAGCGTGTGTGTCTCCAGGATCGCTTTGAGAGTCTTGCAGAACGAAACCCATTTCCATTGAAGATATTATTGGGACATGAGGTCCAGACTTCTTAAAGAACTGAAGAGGTCAGCTCTCTGCAGAGAATTTCTGGATAAAGTAAAACTCAACTGTTCAGACTGAGAAGGTCTCTGACCTGATCGCTGACTGTAGTAAGCTACTGGGACACTACAATCAGCCTCGGTCCCCCTGTGCTGCGAAAAGAGGGGTGATTGAGTTCAATTCCCGGCAGGGCAAATTGTTGGGCACGCTTCCTTACTCTACACACCTGTGTTTACCTAGCAGCAAGAAGGAACCTGGTTGTAAGTCGATTGGCGGATCGCTTTTCCAGGGGTAATAATTTCTTCAAAAACATAATAGTAAATTGGTCACTTCAATCCATGACTGTTTTTGGGACACTGCTGTACGCATTTGGCTGCCGTGTTTTACCCACAAAATACACAGTCGATTCACCTTATTGTATATTCTGTGAAGCGCTTTGATTCGTCTCGAAGACGTGATAAGGCGCTATATTAAATTCAAGGATTATTATTATTATTGGCTTTTTACCCCTATGCAATCGCATCTGCTGGAAAGCGTACATGCATAGCTCTCAAGTGAGTGTAAGATTGGGGTTCAGCTGCAATGGCCTCTCCGTGGTCAATTAGCTGCCAACACTCACCACCGAGCCTGAACAGAGGCTCACGTCGTTACACGAGGCAGTCGAGAGTGAATGTGGAACTTTCACTCCACGTAATGGTGGTTTCACACAGAGACAAAACATTGAAGAGAGAGAATCTGAGATGTGTTTAATGTCTGAAGTTATTGAAATGAAAACGAGAACACACTTTCACTGCACTCAGAAAATGAGAATGCTTCTGTTTCTCGATTTCACAGTAGATTATACCCAAGTATATACTTGCAAAAAACTTGCAAAAGTTTTCACTTCATAAATCGTATCATGGTTAGGTCATACATTCACCTGAGTCCCATTCAGTTTCCTACCAGAATTTGTCTTTGCGCTAGTCGTGTTTTATAATTCAGATAAACTGCTAAATTATTTGGGCTCAAATACATCTGAAATTCTTTGCAAATCATTTCCTAACTGTTAATGCTGCTACCACATTTTTCGGCTGCATTGAAGAATATATGGGTAGTGTTTTGTTTGAAATGAGCTCAGGGAAACAAAGTCTTGACCCATCACTGTAAGTGCACTTACCAGCTGCAGTGATGAAGTACCGTATGCACAGTACAGTACAACTACAACAACTTGCATTTATATAGCACCCTTCACTCTGGACGGCATCTTGGAATGCTTAGTACAGTACAGTGTACTCTGCAGAAAATTAGGTACTTGTTTACTGCAGTGTGTTAGTCGTAAAAAATCCGAGTTATAAAAGTTTGCCTGTAACTCATACTGTGCTTAAGTCATATTAAATGTTGTGGTCCCAACTGATATGACTTATGTGAGTTTTACTGCACATTAAATTGAAAATCAAGACACTTTGAATATTATTTTAAAAGTAAATAAATAAATGAGGGAAAATTGTAAATGTATTGACTTTCCTTCTAAATAAATGTAACAAAAATTGCAGCACGTCTTTTAGTTTTCAGTAAAAAGATTAATTGGAGTCATTGGTATGTTTGAACTGTAAAAATAGGCATTGAAACGGATCAGAAAAAGTGCGTGTGAGGGGATGGGGGGTGATTTTATCTGGCCCACGACCATTTCCAACCTTCGCTCCCTCCCTCCCTGGTGAATGTCCTCCCCGGCCAGCGGTTGGCCGCTGCTGCAGTCAAAACAAGGGGAAAACAAGTGCGTCTGCCATGAGAGCAGAAAATAAAATCCTACAGCACACGTTCTACTTCTTGACTGTCTGAGAGCTGTTCTCCCCTCACACAGCCCATCGAGGGCACCGATGAGACATTTTATGGATTGTACTTCGTAAACACGTAACATTTTCTTGTGCTAGAAATATCACAAGCCTGTATTCTATACAGGTAAATAGTTTTACAGTGCCTTAGAAACTATTTATCTCAAAATAAAATTGCAGAGAAAAGGTATGATCTCATACTATTTCAGATCAAACGGAACTTACCTCAAATTGGTTGGTCAGAACTGAACGTTAATTTAAAAGACCCAGCCCGAAAAAGAGGCAGATAATAATCATGTAAGGAATTCCTTATGCTGCTTAAGCACAGCATTGAGCCTATATTAAAATACGCAGCTAATGTGGCTACGCTTAAAATCTTCCAGAAAGTTGACTAACATCATAGGAATTCCTGCCACATTTCAGTAGTAAGTTTAAATTGTGATTGGGAAGCCAGTTTGGACAAAGAAAGGACTGTGACTGTTTGTTGATTGGAAGAGCTGTGTGATCAAGAGAGAGAAAGTTGACTGAAGATGAGAAGTGTGTGTCAAAGGAACAAAGAGTGGGTTAAATGAGGCTGTAGTACTGAGGGTCAGAGTAAAGTGAACAACCACCCCCTGATGTGACCAAGGAGACGTACCTGAGAAGAGCTGTTAATTGATCAATTGGACAATTCAAATAAACAGGAAGTAAATCTTCAAATTCCATTTCTTTTAAGAGTTTGCAATCAATGATCTTGTGCGGAGTTTGAACCAAGTCCAATATCATTCCAAGGCCAGGACTCTACTTTTGGGCCAATACTGCTTGTAATAGCCTTTCTTCTATATTTATCAATGAAGATGTCTCAATATTGTACTTCGATGATAACAATTTACGTTTATACAGCGCCTTTCACAAACCAGAGCATGTCTCAAAGCTGTACACGACAGAATATCACAGCACAGAAACAGGCTATGAACAACAACAACAACAACAAGATTCCACTTATTGAGCGCCTTTCACGTCGGGAGGACGTCCCAAGGCGCTGTACAGTTGGGTCAGGACCCGAGCAGGGGGGAAATGGTCAGGGGAGGGAAGGGAGGGAGCGAGGAGGGGGTAGAGAGTCGAGAGGGGAGCTGAAGGCACGGTCAAAGAGAAAGGTCTTGAGACCGGCCTTGAAGGAGGAAAGGGAGGAGGCAAGGCGAAGGCACTGTGGGATAGAGTTCCAGAGCCTAGGGGCTGAGAGGCTGAAGGCCTGGCCACTGATAGTAGGGCGGTTGGGGCGGGGGATGTGGAGCAGACCGGAGCCAGAGGAACGGAGGGTATGGGCGGGTAGGTAGGGGGCAAGGCCGTGAATGGCCTTGTAGGTGAGGATGAGGATCTTGAATTCGATCCTCTGGGGGATGGGGAGCCAGTGGAGGCGAGCGAGGGTGGGAGTGATGTGGTCCCGAAGCCTGGTGCGGGACAGTACACGAGCTGTAGAGTTCTGAATGACCTGCAGCTTGTGGAGGGAGGTGCCGGGAAGGCCGACGAGGAGAGAGTTCCCATAGTCCAGCCTTGAGGTGATGAAGGCGTGGACCAGAGTTTCAGCAGCGTGAGGGGTAAAGTAGTGCCGTAGTCTGGCGACATTCCAGAGGTGATGGAAGGCGGTGCCAGTTGTGGCGCGGATATGGGGGAGAAAGGCAGCTCAGGGTCGAACAGAACCCCGAGGTTCCTGATTGGCTTTGAGAGGTGGAGAGTGCAGCCTTGGATGCTGATGCTGTCAGATGAAGCCCATCGAGTAACTGCTGTTACTTTTCTCTACACGAGAGTTCCAATGAAAATAACTCCTCAGTTCCCAAACCTTAATATATTCCCCTTTTACATCAATCTATTGCCATTTTAAATGTATGCACTCTGCATCAACAACAGTTTACCGCAGAGAATACCACATTCCAACCTTCCTTTGTGTAAAGGATTATTTTAAATCACCCCTTTAATTCCTTTGCTGATTATTGTAAATTTGTTCCGGACTCTCAAAGCCGTGCAAATAATTGACTCCTATTCATCTCCTCTAACCCTTCAACATCTCTTATCAGGTCACCTCTTCATCTTATCAGCCTCAGTGAAAAAGATGGGCTACAGAGGACATCTAGTGGTCATAAAGCAGAATACAGTTAAGAACGAAGAGGATTTTTAGCTCAATTGTATCAAATGTTTTATTGCAGTAGAGTTATAGTCACTGATGCTCGCTGTGGAAGCTGCATTACTTCAGGCGACTTGTGTTCAAAAAGCAAATAACAGGTTGGGAACTGAAAGAAGGGATTAGATTCTCTGTCAATGGGAAAATAAAGATGTACAAGACTGGGAATGATCATAGCAGGCCATCACTCCAGGATTCAACATGATATAAAAATTAATATGTTCCTATGGCCGGTATTTAAAAATATGAAGCAATTAATGTGCACTTCTCTACCTCGCTCACCCCTCAATTAATAGTGATAAATACAGAACAAAGGGAGGAAATGTGCTACAGTGGGATTAAAGGGTCTGCGACGATGTTAGTAAACTGGCAGAAAAAGCAAAAGGTGTTGGCACTGCATGACAGGGCACTGTTGACATTACGTGGGGTTAATGTACAAAGTGGAGAAAAAATAGTCCACTTGCATATCATAAGCCAGTGCTGAAGTACACGATTCTATCTCTCTAGACAGTCAGCAAGCAACTGGTGGATGTGCACCTGCCCCTAATATTACTCTGTTCTGCAAAACCAGAGGTCAGCAGAGTACCCAAATAGTGGCCAATGATAGAGCGATGTACGTGTTCAGTATCTCACACCAGCTCAACATACTAACCTCTGCATTGCCAGGGGAGGGGCGGGGAGGGGTGGAAAATGGACGACTACTGCAGAGTGACAGGCAGCCACTTACCCCCAGATCAGGGGGAGCTTTTCTCCCCATCCTGCTGCCTGAGGTAGAGGGTGGAGAGTGGAATGAGGAAACCGAGAGAGGGGAATTTTTTATTTTATTTATTTTTGAATTTCTTTCAAAAAGCAAAATGTTTGTCTCTCCTTTTCTTCCTTGTGTGGTGAACCTTACACCATTGTTCAGCAGGTGAGCAAGCTCCAGACCTGTGCTAGAGTCATTCTCGGAGCAGAGATATGTGGCAGTACTTCTGGATCACACCACTCACCTGCCCTCTCTTCCCCCATAACCCTCAAGCTAGATTCCAGTTTCTGGCTGGAATCCTACAATACATAAAGCATACATGAGGGAGAAGGGAATAGAGGGGAAAAGGAAAATAGAAGGAGGTCAAACATCATGTGGAGCATAAAGACCATCATTGACCAGTTGGGACGAATGGTCTGTTTCAGTTCTGTCTACTTAATTCTATTTAAATTCCTTGACTAGCTTCCAGCGCATAGGTCACTGTGTGGAACACAGTACTATATATATACTGTACCTTTGATAACACACAAAAACTAGCAATGAGTGTTGAACCAAACTTGTTACCCAAAGTGAATTTATTAAGGAATAGCAACAATAATAGCATTTAGATAGCACCTTTCACATGGGCAGAATAATAACAATTAACAACAAATTACATTTAGATAGCACCTTTCATGTAGGGGATGCCCCAAGATGCTGCACAGTCAAGGGTTTGCAACCAAGCAGGGGTTTGGAATCAAGGAAGACATGGGTGGGAGAATGGCCGAAGGCACTTGAAGGAGGCAAGAGAGGGGCGAAGTGAAGGGACTCTAGTATGGAGTGCCAGAGAGTGGGAGCAGAAAATCTGAAGGCCCGATCAGCGATGGTAGAGCGGGCAGGTTGGGGGCCGGAGAGCAGACCAGTGCCCGAGGAGTAGAGGGAGTGGACAGGTTGGTACGGTAAAAGCAGACCACAACAACTTGCATTTGTATTGTGCAGGGTAGCATCCTAGAGGTGGGGAGGAGTGCCTTTCACGTTGGGAAAATATCCCAAGGAGCTCGACAATGAGGGGTTTATACTCAAACTCAGAGAAGGATGAAAAGCAAGGCGGGTGGAAGAGGGAATATGATCGAAGGCTTGGGCAAAAAGGAAGGTCTTGAAACGGGCCTTGAAGGAGGCTGAGGCAGAAAAGCTGAAATAATAAATAAAAATAAATACTACAAATAAATGAGCAAGACCATGGAGATAAGAAGAATCTTGGACTCTTGGACTCAATCCTCTGGGGGGGTGGGGAGCCAGTGAAGCCAAGTGAGAATGGGGACAACCGGCTCATGGAGTTTGGTGCGGGAGAGATTCCGAGCTGCAGAATTAAAATAATCTGCAATCTGTGGGAAGAGTTGGGAAGACCGGCAAGTAGGGAGTTTGCATAGTCAAGCCTGGACTTGACAAAAGAATGGATGAAGATCTCAGCAGCCTGAAGTGAAAGGTGGTGGCATAGGCAAGCAATGTTGCAGAGGTGGGAAAAGGCTGAACGGACCATGGCACCGATGTGGGGTTTAAATTATCGTTGATGAGCAAACGAGGCACCAATATCATCTTTACTGGCTCAGTGAGGTGGAGGGTGCATCCACGAGTACTGATGCCGATGTGTGGAGGTGTTGATGGGAGCCAAGCAGGAAGACCACCGTCCTGTCAAAGTTCAACTAGAGAAAGTTGGGTCTCATCCAGGACTTGATGTCAGTCAGACAATCCATCTGACAGCAGTGGTCTCAGAGATGAGGGCAGAGGCAGAGAGATAGAGTGTTAAACAAATAAATAGTTTTAAAGTGGAGCTTAAGTACACAACATGCGATATGAATTTAAATAGATGGAGTTTTGTATTTCACTGCAGCTGCCTTTCTGCTAATAAGGAGCATAATTATGGCTGTTCACTTTTTTAGAGAGTTTTTGGAGGAAGTAGATGGAGGAATGTGGAGACTGAATATTTGCACATAAGCGAAGTGATGCACTTCTCACCTCACTGCTCAAAGTTCTCCTTTTTTTAAAATTCAAACAATGGGCCTCTTGCGTTGTGATTCATCATAGAACCCTCACCTCCACATGATGGTTACCTGTGTTAGTTTGCAGAAGCCCTTTGGTAGCGATCTCCTGGGCTACTGAAACAATCACTGTCGGTCAATCCTGGTGGAAAGTGCATCTGTGAATGGACAATGGATAAGGACTGTGACGATGGTCGAGGCTTAACTGTGAAACACCCTAACGGTTGGATGCAGAATCTACAGACACTCACTGTCCAGGCCCAAGTAAAAAGAATGAGTGATGTCCCATACCTCAGCATAGTCAGGGGAGGAAGGAGGAAGAAAGGGGTGAAGGGGAAAGAGACAGCAATAAGACATTTTGTCACAATAACTGCACCAATAGAAACTTACAGCAATGATGCGAGATGTGCACAAGTTCAACTGCTCTTACATCACACCACTGAGCTGCTGGTCTCAACTCTGACACGATGGTTAAACAAAGATTAAACCCTTCCTTGTGGTGCTCCCATGAGATTCCTCCGGTTACAGAGGTATTATTCTGCTCTCTTCCGTCCTCCGGGGCTCATTTGAATGAATAGCTTGTCGAATTCAAGTGAGATATTTTGGCATGATAAACCATTCAGACTTGAACCCAACTGCAAAATGTGCAGAAAGGAGATTGGATGGTGGAAAGGGTTTTTAAACTGTCGAGTCAACTCTCACACTTCGGTTTAAATCTCAAACACCAGCCAGAATCGTCTCCTCTCTGGATGTAAGCTCCATAGTGAAGCCTCCCCCTTTTCAGAGAATTAGCAATATGAATGTGAATTCTGGGACATTGGAAATGTCACACTGATGGAGGAGGGGCAGTCCTGTGTGCTTGGGGCTGATGGACAATGTTGGGGTGCGTGAGAGGTATAGAGCTTAGCAGAGGCGATTCTACTTTGATCTCAGTTTTGCCTGAGGAGGGCTCACTCTATTGTATAAACCTAGCAGCATAACAGCTCCTTTTCTGCTCTTTAACTCTAACCAAACAGATCCTGTCTTTGAACCCTCTAGCACATTATCCCATTCCGGGGCTGTAACTGTGTCTTTGATCAATATTGCCTCCCCCCTCCTTTTTCCCTTCCCTATCCTTCCTGAATACATTGTAGTCAGGAATGTTAAAACTCCCATTCCTGTTCTCGTTTGAGCCAGGTATGCTTTATTGCCACTATACCATAATCCCATGTGGCAACTTATGCCTGCCATTCACCAACCTTATTTGGTACACTTCGTGCATTTATGCACATGCTCCAAAACCACTTTAGTCTGTTTTGCATTTCTCCCCCATCTGATCCCTCCTCTTTCTGGATTCCAATGCTGCTCGTCTCTCCTAGTCCACCTTGTTTCTCCTCTCGGATGCTACATCCTGGTTCCCCTCCCCCTGCCAAATTAAGTTTAAACGCTCACCCACAGAACAGGACGTTGGTATCAGCCCTGTTCAGGTGCAACCCGTCCATCTTTTACAGGTGCTTCCTTCGTCCTCTCCTTTTCAACACCTACATGCTCCCTGGCATCATGCAAGACTCACATCTGCTACATTTTACTGAGCCCCGTGCAGTTATTTGCCCTCCGGTGCCCTGGGTTTGTTTTAGACTGCACTCTCCCCCGAGGTCATCACCCTCACCGGTATTCAGCACAGACAACTGAAGTGAGGCTGCAGCTGTCCTGCCATACTCACAGAAGTTGAAGTGCCCGTTCTTTAATAATTGTTTATTTTAGAACCCTTATTTATTTACCTATTTTTATTGATTAGCACCTCGTTCCCCCTCTGCACTGAATTCCCATTCTCACCCAATTCCTTTACTAAATATTTCAGTTCCCACCTCACTCCGTTTACAGCTCACCCTGTCGTACCCTCTGCCGAGTTTTGAAAACTGGCACACGGAAGTGATGTGACACAGAGGATTTGTTGAATAGTTTAAATATTTTTAGGTCAGCTGGGCATCAGTTATATGCAGAAACTCATCACCACCCTTAAGAGTATCCAAACCCGAGAGTTCCACAGATGCACGCCACCGAATGAGGTGCGTTAATTTTTCCCAGAGAGAAAATCAAGGTAAAAATCCTTCCAGAACCTAATTCCAGGAAGTGTTTGGTACAGGTTGGTAAGAGCCGAGGTTTAAGAGGCCCCAGAGGGTGCTTTTGGGTACTTCTGGAGTTGAACCAACAAACTCCATTGCTTGCCATTGCAAGCACTATCTATCAAGTTTCCTGCTGATGGCCCAAAAGATAGCTCCTGTTAACCCTGCAAGCCAAAGCCTTAAGTGGGAAGAATTCCTGACCTTGTGTCAATGGGCTAGGTTAGCTGGTCTGCCATGAGCAATATCCTGAAGTACTGCAGATACGTCCGGCTCAGAAACTGGACTACCAGCCATCCACAGTAGTTTGACTCGATTTCAACATTCTGTTGCCAAGCACTTCACATTGGAGCAAGCTCAGGCACAAGCATTCTCGCTTACCTCCCCTTTAGGAGGGATGGTTGCTTTCACATCTTTCAAATGAACAAGTCTTCCCTCCCCCTCCCAACTGTTAGTTTGGTAAGTAATTGGCAGAATATGTTCAGTCATGTGAAAGACTGGCAGAACAGACTTCCAGCACTCAGGTGTTTGGGTTCTTCGCATTTGGTAAAATACCAGAGTTCCATCAGCAAGTCAGTGGTCACCACCAAAATTAAATCGACTTATTAACAACAGAAATTAAGGTTTTCCAGTTGGGTAGACATTTGAGCACAAAAAACAGACAGGTCTGTAACCAGATTTTGATCATTTTTATTTGAATGATTTCAGTTAATAATCTACAAAGAAAGTAACAAATTTCAGCGCAAAGCGCAATCTTACATGAAGCTCAACACCCTTATTTAGTGCAAACATACCATTCATGTTGCAAATGATCCCCACATTTCTTTACAGTGTATAATGTTAAATAATGAAAGATCTTCAAGACAGTCACTGAACTCCAGAGCAACAGAAAAGTCAGTCATCTCAAGATCGCAGTTTGTGGGGTGGGGGAAAAGGTATCAAAGAGTATTACACAAAATAATTTAACACCAGGTCAGTAGCATTCATAACATTTGTACATTTTGTTTTGTTTTCCACAGGAGGGAAATGGCAAAATGGATCCAGCTTTTTGCACGTTATTAATGAGCTAGAAAAGAGGGGGGAGGGAGGTGGGGGGGGGGCAGGAGAGAAGATAACTGTGCTGCATCCAAGTTTGAAATAATCAAGACCAGCTGCTTTTTGTCTTCGATCCTTCAACGACATTGAATGGTGTCAATTCGTAACTACAGAGCAGCACAACCAGAGCATACCAACTGCATAAACAAAATATGCATCCCAATGCACAAGAGTAGCATACGTATACTGAAACTCAGTAACTGTCGGCCTGTATATGAACAGGAACCAAAAACAAACGATAAGTGAACTAACAGCATATCTCCAACAGGCGTCCCAGCACAAATTATTGCATATCAATTCTGCATCCATCTCCATTGCAGGGCTTTGGGGGGGTGGGTAATTGGAAGGAGGGTGGGATGGAAAACTAAATGCAGATAAATATCAGTTAAGCATTTTCATGGGTTTTCTCTCGAGCCCCATGCAAACAGCATTAAGTTCACAGAACACCTGGGATATTTCAAGGGCAGGTAACCCAACTTAAATCTAATGAAATTTACTAATCTAATGCAAAAATGCAATGTTTTTGCGTGGACTTTTCACAGCTTATTGCAGTCTAAGTAGTAATACTGATTGCAGTACTTGCTTTTTTTCTTCCTCTTCTTTTTCCTTTTATTTTAAAGAAAGGAATCCACAACAGAACAAGTGTCACAAAGCACAGGGCGGGAGAGATACCGTGAAAGCAGCTGCTACAAAAAAAGGGTCCCGTACCAGTTCAAATCGCATTAAAAGGGAAGCAAAAACAGAAAGAAAAATAAAAGGTTCATCATTATCATGCCTATCTGCTAAAACAAAATAAAACCCCCAGCAGGTCACACAGAAAACACCATTACACTTTCAACCAAATTACACAATAATGCTTTCTTAAAACAAAGCCTTGTGAAAGACAGAAGCCTGTTCTTCATAATGGCCAGTTTTACACATATGACATTCTCTTTCAAATGCATGCTTTGCCAACCTTTAGGGCATTTTAACAAGAACAAACTTGCAAATGTTCATCGATTTCTGTAACTTCAACTTTTAAACATCCCAGCTCCATTCAAAATTGTTTAAGGCTCACATTTCAGAAACGGTCTGTATTAAATGCTATATAGAAATTCTTTCATTGTGTGAATTCTTGCAAGAAATCACAGTAGAACTAAACCGTTCACCTACAACGAAAATTCTTATCTTCTGAATGGCACAACCTTCGTAATCTTTTATTTTAAAAAGAACTAAATAAAATAAAGTGCTGACCTACATTTTTCAATAACTGTATGCAGGCTTTTAACAGTTCTTTTTTTCGGTTAGAGAACTTAAATCTCTTTTTCATGTAATCTCTACTCCAAATGTTTCCAGTCACACTTGTCCATTTGTTCGCTGTCTCTACATCAGTGAAAACTGCTATAAAAATGTTCCCACACCGGATTTTTCATAAGTTAATCTTTTGCAAACGCCAGATTAAACAAAAAATAAACTCACGTGGCTTGGGTGGAATCATTAACCATAAAGAAGAGGAGGGAAGGGAAGGGGAAGGAGAGACAGAATCTCAGGTTAGGGTAGTTAAAAGAAACAATCACTAATATCTGAATCAACTTTCCCTTTCAGTCAGTGAAAAAAATATACCCAGAAAGATTGGAGAGTAATGTAAGAAATGGAAGAAACTTATGTTACAAATCACTGAGGTCTTAAATTATAACTTTTATTTAAATTTAAGTATTTGCGCTAATATTGTCACTAATGGACAAAAATTATTGATCAATTTAATAGTTGGATCGTTTGGATCAATATAATAGTTTCTTTCTATTGAAAAAAACAGGAGTTTCTGAAAGATCTTTCAGGGAACGATTGTAAAATAACTGTGAAAATAAAACTAGCAACTGTTTTTCACATTTCTCAAGTATTCAGGTTGAAAACATTTTCCTCTGCCGGCTTGTAAGACTTCTGATAGCCTCATTGAACAAAACATCCAACGACCAGACAAAATGTTTATTAGTATAAATAATGACATTTCAGAATAAGGTCACTGCAGAAACTATAGTAAATTGGAATTAAGAATCACAACCAGAATTATTCATGGTAGACACACCGCCACTGATTTTTGACAAAGAAACTCAAAAGAGTTCTTGGGGAAAGGTGAAACTTATTTCAGTCTCACTTATTTGTACTACAAACAACGTTTTATGGGCATAAACAGTTTGGGACCTGATGACTGTACACCACTGTCAATGCCTTTGTGGAAGCAACAGCATTTGCTGCAACCTCTCACAATCCTGCCCCTGAATCTGGATCTGCACAACAAAACTCCAATCATTCCTAATTTGGTCATAAGCAACTCCATCTTTTAGAAATTAAAAGACTGCCACTTGGGAGGCAGTGAAAGACAAAGATTGGGGCAGATTTACAGACTGGTGTATGTATTTCAGTCACTGGTAACAACAAAAGCTCTGTTGTAGGTACGTACGAGTGAGCCACTCTACCACAACTCCACCTTCACCTGCTCTCTTCCTCTCTCCTCTGCTGGGGACACTAAGTGCTTTCCTGCAGACAAGTCAGAAGCACAATACAAGGCACTATGAATCCAGCAAGCATACTGGGAAAACAGGTCTTCAAGTACATTTATACAATTTTACATTCACATTTATTTACCTAATACAATGAAGTAACAAATGAAGTTAAAGTGTCTCTGATAAGTATGGATTATAGCTAGCTTTAGTTTTTTTGTCTTTTTAAATTTTAAACCCTCTAAATCCACTTTTAACTACTGTTGTCCAACAACATTTATATATCACAGTGTTTCAACATCAAAAACTGATGGTTAAATACATGTCCGCACGGAACGCTGTTTGAAATAGAACTAGTAAAATAGCTCTCAAATGATGCTGTGAATATAAAAGCAGTGTCAGCCACTTGTATGCTTTAAAGCTCTATGACCTATCCCCAACAACATCAGTAGAGGCCTTTTAACCTTGAATTCCATGCAGTCCATTGATCACGCTAGTCCAAAACTGGAGCTGTGTATCTACGTTGTCCTAAGATTGGATCCAGAGGGGTTGCTGACAGATTTCTGCAAAGTGCCCAAAGGAAAGCTCTGTAGTGAAGTGGCTCCAACTGCCGGAAACTGACCGAGGCCTGGTGAAGGTTGAATAATGCCTGGTTGCTGCTGGGGTGGTGCTCCAGTCCACTGGGCACTGTAAGGTCCTCCAGGATAACCATACGGGTGGCAGATGGGAGTCTTGCCATAAGGTCCCAAAGAACTGACTGAGGCAGCCGAAATGGAAGGACCTCCCACAGAGTTAGTCATGGAGACACAGAGATGCCCTGGTGCTGAATACTTCCTTGGCATTGTCTGTGAAATGTATCAACATAGTTTTAATTGGGTAGCAATTTTCATATTTGAATTACTACAAACATTCAATAATCAGTACACTCAATTCTCCACATTAAGATGAGTTGTGTCTCCATTTTTCCTACCTCAGTCACGAAGGAGTCAGTTAATGGTTAATGTCCCTATCACATGATTGGAGAATTCTCCTTAACCCTCCACCCCATTTATTCAAGCAAAATGCATCTCCTCCATGAAGCATCACTAATGGCCCTTCTAAAATGGAAGTTTATAAGTGAAATTGGTAATTTGAGTATCACACAGACAAAAGTATAAACCCATACGGAAGCCAGATTAGTATAACAGGGAAGGCAATATAGTCAAGTTGAGTAATTTCTTCACAGATGTCAATGCCACAATGACCAGATAGATCATTGAAGCACATTCTGATATTCTAAGCTGCTGAACTCAAGCAATTGAGTAAAGGTCAGATCAAGGCCCTTTGATCTGCAGTTAAGTGCTTGAAAACCTGTGAGCTGTGCAACTGCTGCCCCACTTACTTCAGAGTAATGCTGGCCTTGCGGACCTTGCTGCTTTGGGCCACGTTTGTTCTGTGAGAGGTTTATAGCATCGCGAGCCCAGTTGTCCACCAACTGGTGCAAGTCATCGGTAAAGGTTCCTTTCTTACTTGTTGTTATGGCTGCCTGTTGCTGAGGTGCCTGTCCTCCAACACCACTTACTGCATTTGTGCTGGTTGTTCCTGGAAAAATCAGAAGCACTTGAGTACCATTTACACATTGAGCAACATATAGTTAGTTCTCAATAGAATCAAAGCATGTTTTTGGTCATATCTGAATAACATATGAGGAAAGCATTGCTGTTTGTTACAAGACTTCTGCTTGATGCAGCATAAATGCTTGTAACTAAAATTTATTGGATCTAAGAGTAAAGAAATTCTTGCTTATTAGCTCATTAGTCCTGGTCCGCTGAAATTAATTATAAACCAAAACAGCTGCCCAGGAACCAAGCTTCAACATCTCAAAAGTTGCTTCACCAAAAAGTTTAGAAATACTTGCAGCCCCCAAAAGAAGAACACTCTAGGATGTGCCAAACCGAGTCCTTCATAAATGTAAGCCCGAAATACCTTTACCACATGCACTCTCAATAACATGCTTTTCCAAGAGATGGTTACAAGAAAGGATATACTGCATATTAAAAAATAATAATTTTAGAACTCCAGAGAATTATTGCATTTAGCAGCAAAGGTGCCATTCACAAAACAGAAATCTTTTTCTGCTCAATTCGCACTCCTCTACAAAGACAACTAGCTGCATTTGTTCCATGCATTAAATCTATGCAAAAGACAAAACGTTTATACATCAAGTGTGCTAAGATTGATAGTTTTTAAAGCTCTTAGTGCATGCAAAAACAAGCCATTATTACACCTGATTTTAGCATCGATGTATTGAATAAATACCCATAATAATAAAAAATTTAGAGCATTGCCAGAACAATTTTGTCCTTTCACAATTTTTTTGATGTATCTATGCACTAAATTTTTATGATGTGGGATTCTTAGCCTGACAAATATATGAACTCAACATTTTTGGTTTTCCAGTTTAGTATCTGAAATGCAGTGTTATATTTTACTGTCTACATAATTAAACTGAGTTAAGGAACAGCTGGCTGCTATTACATTGAGATTCACCAAAGATAAAATTAATGTTTACCAAATGCCTGTGGTTCTCAGAAACTTAACTGTTCAGACCAGAGGTGGACTGAAAGTAATACACACTTTTCTGAATAAGGATTTGGACTGATTTGATTCTCGCAATACCAGAGGAGAGAACCTCCAAAATATTAACTGAAGGATTGGAATCTTATAATGGACAAGATTTGCCAGATTTTTAAAAAATGTTTACTCAATCCATAACTGTCTGTGTGCAATTGGCTGCCTCATTGTGCTCACACAAAGCTAATTTTGCTAGCTAATTGCTACCAAACCCCATTAAGCCCAAAGAGGGTCAGCAATACTGCCTCTTGACAGTGAAACTGCTCTAGGACAAAGTCCATTTGCAGCAAAGGTGGAAAACCAAAAATGTGATTAAAAACCGTGTTTCCTGCACAATGAAAATGCATGTCATGGCGAGCAGATTTCTCTCCTTTCCCCTACAGCTGTCAGTTGTCAATCAATGAAAAAACTTAGTGAAATCTCATGACAAATCAAATTTAAGTTTTATCTCCAGTTCCTTTTTATTTTAAAATACCGATTTTCTGTTCAGATTCACTAATCTTTTACTTAAAATGTTTACTTCTAATTCTTTGTACTGTGAGGTAACACAAGCCTTGTGAGCAGGTCAGAATGCAAAGTTACTAACATGATTTCAGACGGTACTATGTTTGGAAGAAAGCAGCAGTTTTTGAAAGAATTTAACTCTTTCCTTCCCTCTTCCCAGCCAAACACCAATTTCCCACTTCCAGAAGTGTAAAAGTGCAAAGCATTGGATGCTAAAGTCAGGTGCCAGGAGTCTGTGACAGGAAGTACCATGGCATGTTACACGAGCAGAATGTTAAAGAAGGATAATTACTACACAGTTGGTTGCAGGGGCAGACTTTTTTCACCATCTTCCCTAAAGAATAAAGAGTGTTTGAAGAGAAACACAGAAAGACAGCACATTAATATCAATTGACAGTAGTGAGTGACCTTGTACAGGATTGTGCTGCAATAAAACCAGACAGAAAGAACCTACTGTAGCATGGTGTTAGGATAGCACACATAAAGTGGCAACTCTGCTTCACAGTCACAGACTGCTATTTGTAACATTTAAATATCCTTTGTTTTCTCTGAAGCTGTTTGAAATGAGATTTGGTAATTCTAAGTCCATCTGATTTGAAATTAAAAAGGTTGAATTTGGGCAGAATATGAGAATTTTAATTTATCTTTTCTTGAATGAAAAAAAATCCTTGACTTAAATTTCTTTTTATGAGAGTTTCCAGGATTATTCTTTGTGAGCAAAACTGCAGCGCCACCAGGTGTGGTGAAAAGGAATTGTTTTCATCTTTCCACATTTGTTTCAGGAGGGTTACAGACCAGAAAAGCAACTACACCTTAAGTCAATTTTATACAACAGCATTTTTTTAAATTTATGGAAACTTCAATTCAGGTTTTAACACAAGATGAAGATGTACTGAGTTGAAGGTCAGTACAGCATTCCATGTGTTATCCCATTCCTCATTTCTGCTGACAAAGCACACCAAATTTGAACAATTTAGAAAAGTTAAGATGTCCCCATCTGCGTGTGCTATGTATATTCCGGTTAGAGATTAGTGACATGAATGTTAAACATTTTGCCATGTAATCTTTAACTGTACACAGCATACCAATTGTATTTATACTTCCAGTTATATAAGGTGACCAAAATGTCATGAATAACTACCCTATTATCTAAAAAATATCATTATTTCTTTAAGACTCATTAGACATTGTAATAGTATCACAACTTTTTGTCACCCGGTATTTCAATTTCAGTTTAAAACTAGCCCTGCCAAACCTATTTATTCCTTAGTCTTAATTCTCCAATACCCAGCAGCACATGCAATCAAAACAAGATCTCCAGTTATGGTGAGGGCAGGGAAATATTTGAATATTAATATTTATTTTGCGCACAGCTGTTTGTGTAATATTGCCACTCTCCAACCCCCAGCAAAATCCTGGAAATCTTTACACAGACATCTCCTAAAATTGATTTATTGTATTAAAGAATGTTGCAACTATTCACCAGCTTATTTATCAAAAGGGAGAAGGAGGTAAATGGGTGTTTAAGCCACAGAAATGTTGCATTTTTGAACTGGATAAAAGTACAAAAGTTATTCCATGTCCGCTTGGCTCTTCTCACAAACTAGATTGCTTTAATTTTCACAAAAAAGTAGCTGCAAAAGGAAGTTTATTCTACACACGATGAACTCTTGAACCCATAAGGAGAGCACCACCACAGCAGAGGGGAGAAATGCAGTTGTCTTTAGACAACCTGAGCGTTACGTTAGAGGAGCTCTGGAGAGGCAACCGAGACATGTACATCCAGAGTAACAACTGACAAGTGGGACTGGCAATTGGGCTAATCAGGCAATCTCTTAACAGTTTCAGTTGTTGAGTAAGTTTGAGATGCCAATTTTAAATAAAAAATTATTTCTAACCTGATATTGCTTGTTTTAGAAAATAGCAATCTCACCTCAATGGCAATACTTTAACAACAATGTTTTTGAAGTGAAAGAAACAAACATAATTCTTTGTACAATTAAAACTTTCATGAGCTGCAATGTGTGATGAAAAATCTGTGTGATATCTACAACAATTAAGGATTACACTGGAAATGTTATTTTAAAATGAACAGCCCAAAAGTAACCATAATGCAAGATGCATTTTATAAATATGGTTTGTTATAAAGGTAGACTTGGATTGTCATGAAAAATTTATAGACATAAAGAGGTAAATATCAAGTGAATAAAAATAAAGTTCAACTCCAAGGTCATCTTCTTTAAGCTTCATATAACAGAACAGTTTATAATATAAACTTACTTACATAGAGTAGCTAGACAGTGGAAAAGTCAGAAACTGAGACTGAGATATACAAGAAAGCTGTAATCAAACAACTTCTAAGGAGGGAGCCATGCTGCTGCTTTTGTGAAATAGTAATAGTGACATGCACAAGAATTTGCAGAGATAAAGTCCACTGGACCTGCATCCATACCAGCCTGTGAGCTTTGATGTGTTTTGGCAAATCACAACTGGCACATTCCACCACAAACCAAGTCAAGCAGTAAAGTTAGTTCTCAAAAGAATAGAAGACCCTCTGAACTACAATATCTTAGGAATTTTAACAAATGTGTCCCACAATATAATTTCAGCAGTACCAAGCATCATCTTAAAATAATTTTCACGATCCCGACAATCATTTTTAAAAATTGGGTATTTATTCAATGATTTTACTGTTTTCATTAACTTTTTTTTAAAAATAATGGGATTCTGGCTTGCCAAACAAATATTGATTGTACTATTTTTCCATTCTTCCTGAACACCAAACCAGCCTCCATTGATACCCTGGTGCGACACTGTACACATTCCACCACCAATTCACAGGTTATAACATCTGTGCTTAAGGTGCAACTTGTGCACTGCATTTTTACTGGGCTCGGCAGCAAAAGCAAGCAAATGAAATTGCACAACCGTAACTCCAAAGTGCACAACAAAGGAAGGATCGTGCAGTCCCATATCGCACCCCCCACCCCCCGGCCCCCCCACCCCTCAAACACAAGCAGTTATAAGATTAGGTATAAGAAAAAGAAAAAGCAAGCTGCATGGTATATTACATAAGCTATCTTCATTACTTTCTCTACATTTTTATAATCCATCATTTAAGATTTCATTGGGTTGAAAGAGGTGATCTGAAAATAACTGTATCTGCTGTAAAAAAAATAATATTCCTCTGTGAAAGGGATTTGTTCAACAAACAAGTGTTCTGCTCAGGGTGAAATCCCTGGAAACAATGTTAACTGTGCTCTGGATACTTGTCCCTTTCACCTCAGTAAAAAAATGCTGAATAATTAGCATACCTGAAGAAACTGGACTTGAAATAGCCTGGGACCATAAAGATGTTGGCTTTGCGAGGCACCAGAAAGGCTAAATCTTCTTGAGTGCACACAAGTGGAAAGAATAGCAACAGTGCACCAGGCACTTACTACATGGAGGGAATCTGGGCATCGTTTGTATCATTTGTCGATTGCAGACCAATAAGTAAGATCAGCACTGTTAAGCCTGAAAGCAATTCTGACCTTCAGCCAGAAATTAAGACTGAAAAATTATCATGCAGGAAAACAATGTGAAGTGAAACAGGACGACAAATGATTTATCAAAATAGTTGGCCTTTAAGAAGGGTTTCACACTTGCTATGAAACAGTTGCAGTCCATTAGAGGGGAGAACATTTGTTTCCTGCTTCTGAAGAACTGCTAACATTTTCTCTCTGGAGAAATTTAGAGCTGTGATTAGCTTTCCCTGCCTCTCCCCTTTGCTCATTTTATGCAGCAGGACCAAACTTCTCTTGCTTTGGGTTAAGGATATTGTAGCAGTATGCATTGTGGAGTGTTAACAGAGGCTGAGGGAAGGGAAACAACAGAGTGGATAGAGAAAAAAAGCTTTGGACACTTACAGCAATTCACTGACTACATAACGACTGATAAAGTAATTCAGCAAAGTTGAAAAGAAACCATATGCAAGCTCTACTCTGGTAAATATTTGGTGTATGTGTTAGGTGTGTAATGGAGGATCTCAGGTAGTTTTAATATAACCTGCTACATCCGGAGTAAAAACGCTACTGTGGAAGGAGGGAACGCAAGAAAAAATACTTTATATTATACCAAGGCTCCAGAGACCTGAACTATTATACAGAAACTTAGTTCGTTCTTAAGACTGTGTTATTTTTCACTTCATCAGGTTGACTGCTGGTAGATGGAATGCCCAAACACGGATGTATTCTAATTGTAAAATATTCAAAGCAATTGACATTAATTCCCAGATTTTAGAACTGGAGCAAAAAATTAAAACACCGTAATTTGGAAAAGATCAGATTCTATTTACAGTAAAAATAGAAAATCTGGCATGAATAAAGGACAAGGGGGCTTTTTCTGCACTGATGCATCCATACTTCAAACTTATGAGAGCAACAAAGAAAAAAGATGGTCAGAAAATTATTGGAATATAATAAATTCCATGCAATGCACAAAATAAACGTGGCTTAACTTCCTATTAAAAGTTTCAGGACAGGATTGGAGAAAGTGACCTAACTAATACAAAGATTACCAATTACCATGAAACCATATTCAGGATGGGACAAAGTATTTGGGGAATAAAATAACCTGTGAATGTTGGAATTTTTGAAGAGAATATGTAACACATTGCTCCAGATGTTTTTGTTCTTTAAGTTCTGGACTTCATACCAAAGGTCCACCCCTTATGACGGGTACACTTTGCAGCCATATAAATGTGTTTTTAATGATTTCAGTAGTACAACTGGGAAATGATTTTTTTCCAAGGGCCACAACATTGGCCATATAGATCACCCCAGAAGAATTGAAACAATGATCCAGAATAATCATACTGAAACAAATTAAAATCCATTATGACAGTCTTTACCATTGCGTGCATGTAATACTACACCACTGGTCTAATTGAAGTAGTTTAACCTGCAGCCCAGTTCAATATATTATTCACAACTCAGGAGAAAAATTGCACAACAAGCCCTCAACAAAACCAGCCACAGAATGTAATTTAACGTCCATCTGCTTGTGTTCAGGTAACAGACTGCTAAAGAGTTATTAATGTGCTGCCATCTACACAGATACAAATTTACAAGTGCAGCAAATACAGAAAGAAGTGAAAACCTTCTTCCTTTTTGGTAGGTTTCCTCTGTCCCATTTACACAACAATTGATCAGTAGATCCTTTGTACAGTTCTGAATTTTCTGTGACGAAGTATTGATTTTAAGGGAAATACAACAGCATTTACACAACTACACTACACATATATAACAATATTTATAAAAAAGGCAAAAGTGCTCTATTTTCTGGGAAAGCAAAAGAGGAAAAACAAATGTCTAAAATATGCTCATTCTTCAAGTAAAAAAAATTGGTACTTCATTTCACAAATATCATACAAATGGATAAAAGAAAGCAACACCTGAGCCAAACAATTGCTTGAAGAAGCCTAAATATATGTTCACAATTTACTTATTTTTTCCTTGGTCTATAAACGTTGGTCTGTTGTCTGCACTCCTGTGTTAAGATAATACCCCATCTCTCTTTGTGGGCCACATTCGAAATTAAATCAAATCACAGTGTAGATTTTTGAATTTGTTATTTTGAATTTGTCACACTGCCCTTCATCAAACTTTGAATAGGTGACAGAAATTCCAGTAACTTAGTGAAAAGATTATGGACAGAAAGCAGCAAAGCTGTATGCAGGGGGAAAGAGGAAAACATGAGAAAAGAATAAAAGTGTTACACACAAAGAGCCAGACAGGGCGTACTCAGAAACCTTGTCCTTCTGCCGCCAAGTTTAAAAGTCACTTGCTCTGATGCACAGTGAAACGCTGCCGAGCCTGTGACAGAGTAACAGAAGAGGAGGAAAACAGACACATCTAGAGTCAAAATGTTAGTTTGTATAGACCTGAGCAATGAAGAACTTCACACCAACTACAAACGCCTTGTCTTGTAACAGTTTAATGAGACAGTATCCATTTTTATGGGAATACCAAGACTTCAGCGGAATTCTTCCCATCTTGCTTAAAAAGTTAGTAGTCATCGTAAAGCACATTTTGGAACTGTAGAAAATGGGTGTAATATACCCATTGATCCCAACAATAAGCATCATGCAGGTTTCTCTGATCAAAACGTTTTAAAGATCAGTCTGATTGTTAAAATTCTTCTTCTCCACTAACTCCTAGATAACTTAGTGTTAAAACTGTTTTGCAAGCTTTGAAATTAAATATCTGTGTTTGCTTGAATTGAAGGCAAAAAGTTCCACTGTAACCATCAATTTTGTTTCTCTTCCTTTGAATCTCCAATTGTCATACCAAATATGTCAAATACAAGTTGACTCACTTTCCTTTCTCCATAGATGCTGCCTGACCTGCTGAGTGTTCCCGGCGACTTCTGTTTTTGGTGTCAAATACAAGGATTATTATTATTTTTTCCCCAATCAGGTATGAAAGCAGATTATCTGCTCCAAGGATTTTGCCAATGTGGCCCTTAACTAAATTTGAGGAGGTGTGTGTAGACCAGCCATCTGACAAAGACTCCCTGCGCGGAAATCCCCATGGCTTCGGCCTCCATACAGATCTGAATTTACTGCTGGCAGATGTTTTGGAATATTGTGGTCTCTACTGCGAGAAAATGCTGCAATGGGCAATGATATATGTTGAAATAATTGGTCCATATACAAACAGGTTTTAAAAAATACCAGCAACTCTGTGCATCACTGCAGTTCCCAGCTTTAAGGCAGTAGCCAAGCAGAGTTTCACTTATTTTGATTATTGCCTTGACCAGCAGAATGTTTGTTGCAGTTTGTGATATTGATTTTGAGAAAAAAAACACGCCATACAGAATTTAACGAGGAGAAACCGTCAAGCAACTCCCAAAAGCAAACTTTCATTATTCCAGAGAGGGACATGGGTACCATACTTTTTAGGGTACCAAAAGTATACAAAATAACACACATTTGTGTGTATAGGAAAATACACACAAACATGAGAACACATGTACAGATCTATACAAAATAGTACTGGCTAAGACTTTTAATCACACTATCGTTCACTAAAGAACACAACAGATAAGCACAACTTAAAGAAACACTCTTAATAGTCTGAACTTGAACCCAAAACAATCCACAGAAAAATTAAAAATAACTCAATAATGAAAGTTTTCCAACAAAAGAAGACCTCCAGTACCTTTTCTCTCAAGGTACACAACCTATAGTGTACTATGCCCTCAAATAAGGGCATAACACTACATACAGGGGAACCCCGCTGACACGATTGTTGGTATCCACGAAATTCCAACCTGCATTATAATCGAGAGCACTAAACAACCGCTGCTGGTCAGCACATCTGCGTTTGCGACGTTACAAGGGTGCTCTGCGCACGTGTACAGAAGGTCACCCAGTAGCTCTCGTGCCATCTCCTGGACTGCTCTCACGATTCTCACATTGCACAACCTAATCTACTTTTGCAAGGCGAGGTTGTTCTGCATGGCAAGCTATGTGATTTTAACTGATTAGACTCCAACAGAACCAAACAGATACTCTGGGTCCCCCAAACCATACTCTGGGTCCCCCAAACCTTACCTTACCAAGCCTTGGCTCTTGCCAACCTGCGCCTAATACTTTCCGGAATTAGATAAGCAGGATGTGTCCCTCCAGGGATAGAGTGCGCATTCCATTCCAACAATCTATCTCTGGGGTTTCCACGTGTAAGGTGGGATGCATGGAATTCTCACCTTGGTTTGAATACTCTGAAGCATGGTGATGGGTTTCCGCATGTATCAAGACACCCAGATAATCAAAAAGCAACGCAGAACCGAATCTACCAGCACGAGTCAGTGAGGTTGCACATTGTTGCAATGAGTAACCAATTTAACTAGCATGAGTAAGTTAGATTGTGAATTGCCTCAATACGCACAAAATAACCTTAGTATAGCTTATCAGTGCTTTATCGAGATACAGACTTTTCAAGCTTTGGCGTCATATAATGCCGGGGATCCACCACCTGCCCACCTTATAAGCAAAGCAGTTCTATTCTTAAGGGTATTATTCTGCAGTTCCCCTGTCCCAACACNAAAAATATTCAACAGCACAAAGTTCAAAATTTAATGCACTACTTACGGTGCAAGATTTCCACAACTTACAAGTCAGGGCAGAGACAGGCAACCCCCATTAATGTCTGTTGCTTTTAAAATTCACTAGTGCATTGGCATCAAGAGAAACCAGCTTCTCAATATCATGCATGGTCATTCTTCCTCGGTGTTTCATGTTAAGTACAGTAAGAGTGGGTCAACAGAAATGTATTTGAAAGGCTTTTTACAAATAAAGGCAAATGTATTAACTTATTGCACCCAACCCTCTTCTCCCTCTAGATTAAGCATGGAAAAACTTACAGGTGTAAAGCTCCCATTGATTGACAATTCCAAAGCCACCAAATGCCTCCCTACATCTTTGTAATGTAGTCATTCATGTAGGCATCTATATAGTGAAATGTGTCAGGTTGCACAACATCACAGGAACATCACAACCAAGTCCAATCGTGCTCTCGCTCATCCCCATGCAGATACATTCCAGCAACCATGACTGGATATTGGTTAGTGGGACTCCTGGCTGACTTTACTTGGCCCTAATAAAGGAAGACAGGCCACTTTAGTGCCCCACTGCTACTCTAGTTGAGATCAGCTAATTAAAGAGAGTGAACCTCGGAATTTGCTTGCCTTACAGCTCAGTTTCATTTCAGACAGTGCCTTTGATAATTGAACCATTGTGGCGCCTTAAAAGTGATATGAATTTACAGTAAAGCAATTAAATCAATAATACTAACTACTATTCCACGTGATACAAGAGAACAGTGGTCTCATGGTTGCTGAGTGAGAATACGCATTGCTGTTCAACACATATTGAACCACAGCCGCGGTGGATTAAGCAATGCTTTCCTGCCCACAATTTGTTTTCATCCAAAACAATTTTCAAATTATAAATTTCAGAAAAGGTTGGTGAAAGTGGAATTAGAGCTGCATAAATTCTACAATTTAATTTAAGGTCCCTTTAAATGTGTGTTTCAATGTTAGTACCCTATGTGTAAGTGTGCATAAAATAACGCATATTTTAAAAAGCACAGCAATATTTTCTATTTTCATAATGCTCAGCAAAGAAGTGAACAATAAGAATAAGTATAAAAGGGCATTGTTCATCACAAAGTTTACTGAATAGCATGTGGCTCATTAGAAATTAAATTTAGTCTGAAATGCAAAGTAAATTCCAGCTAAATTATTTTTGGCATGTAGGAAGGTTAATATTTCTGATCTCAATGCAAACACGTGAGATGCACTACAAGCACTTATAGCTTCATACTGCAATAAATTCCACAGCTGGGTAACCTAATGGGACAACAAAGGGTGATCTGATGCACTATATCTATCAGTCTGGCTAGGAGGAAGCTTCACAACCGCAACTCCATACAAACTTCTTTACTCGACTATTAGACAGAGCTGTGAGCAAAAGCCAGGCACAAGTCTCCCCACCGCGTCCCAAGAAAAGGGCAAAGAGGGAAAAGGGTCAGTAGTAGTGACACAGACTGGAAAGTAGGTTGGCCATTCTCTCTATCTCTTATCGAGAGAATGGTACACAGCTGTTCGGGGGGAGAAATAAAAGGAAAGAGGAAAAAAGTAAATAAATGTGGGAGTGGATTTTTTTTTCTTTTAAAAAAACGCCAATTATCTGTTTCATTCACATAAGTAAACTAGACTGATGTTTGATCAAAGTTATTCAACTTCAGCCACTGGATTCTCTTCTGCAGAAGAGTCGCTGGTTTATGTAAAGGAAAGTTCTCCCCTTGTTGAATCTGCAGTACTGATGCATTATCATGCCACAGCAGAAGCTGATGTGCAGGTCCCAAAGATGCTTGGTGCATATCAGCGGCACAAAAAGGCATAGTGAATCCAGCAGTATCGCCTCTTATCGGCCCGTAACAGAGGGTGGATGTTCAAAACGTCCTTCTACTGCATGTGGACCTGTATTGAAGCCTGGGGTCGTCTGCTGGTACCCAGTGCTTGCATTAAATTTATGAAGGACCTCTGGGAAATAAAGGAAATCAAAGACAACACAGCTTTATTGAGTTGTGTAAGTTAACCAGCTTAATGTTCATTTCTAAAGGTATGTACATCACACCCATTCCATTTTTATCAAATCATAATCAAAAACTAAGTATTTCGTACAGCAGAGTCATCGATATCTATACCATTGCTTTTTACACATCAAGATTTTCTGAGTTTTCTGCATTTTTTCCTTATCAATTTAAAAATTCCACAAAACCCTCCCTCCACCTTCCTTGTGTTGAGGGCAAACCATAACTTTGGTCCATGCCTTTCTATATCCAGCTGCAAGGAACTCAAAAGCAACAAAGAGAGACTCTCCAGCCAAGCCACAGAATTCTCACAAACTTCTATGTCCTTGCAACTCCACGGTCAAGTCATAGCTGTGGATTCATGATCCATCTTTCCCCACCTCACAACCTGAGAACTTAAAACATTTTAACCCCAGTTGTAGGGATTTTTCTTTGTCCTCCTGTCCACTCCAAATCCAACAATTAAAAATGGTTATATATGTATTTGGATATTGATAACATGTAGTTGACATAATTACTCAGCATTACAGACAGAGGTCTGCAATGCCGCCCTACGTTTTATCTGTCCACAAACCTCAGGGTGAGATGCACAGAAGGATTGGTATCATATTCACCGGCTTACAAAAGCAGTATTTCCACATCCTACAAGGACACAATGTCACCCATATGTGTGGAGGAGGCCCAAAGAGATTGTCTCTATTGAACAGAAATCTTCTTCACATACGTCTCCAATATAATCTCTTACAATCAGGTTTTAAATATGGAATTCAGTACAACTGTGTTGATCAAACCTGAATAGACAGAGGACATTTACTTCTCGTATAACGAGTGAAAAAAATTGTAACCAGCAATTAGTGTGCATAGCACAGGGATGTAAATTTACATCTTTACAGACCAGGTTTTCACTTCACTGCATTGCAATATTAAAGATCCACAGAAGTCACCAAAACATCAAAGAAATTTGACATTGTTTTTATGGCACCTCTTAACCTACCTGGGCAATCTTAAGACTACCTATGTATGTTAACCATTTCATCTGCCAGCATATCAGTCTGAATGCAATTCTCAGTGAATCCACAAATTAGGGATTTAGGCATTTACTTTATAGCAAACAGAAACTGCAGCTCATAGAAGTTACATTTGTTTGGAAGATTCTTACCCTGTCCAGTAGCAGTAACACTTTGGGCAGAAATCACCCCTTCACTGGTGTAGGCAGAGTACAAATTTTCACTGGATGGCGAGGGTTTCAACAACTGACCTTGTTCTGAAAATGCCATCTCATGAGTATTTGGAGGAAGCAACAGAGTCTGCTGTGGTGTTAACATTGACGCAGTACTCTGAGCAGCAAAGGAGCCTACAAAGAAAGTTATGCAAGATCAATGATGAACAGAATCACAAAACCAATTCGCTTGTAGCTGCAAGCCCACCTCTGTACTCATCGAATAATGAAAAGTGGCCAAATTTACTTGTGCCATATTATCGCAGACCCTTTATGACACTGGATATGCTGCTTTGTTTGTAGGAAGCTGCCTGTGTGTCTAAATGAAAAAAAGGTTGGCACTGCACCAATGATGAAGGGCTGTTCTGGGACTGCAGAAACCACAGAAGTCGTCTTGTGCATTACAAATGAGTTATCTTAGCAGGTGAATGTTGGATATTTTACCAAAATAATGGTTATGGAAATGGGGTAAAATATCAAGAACAGAGTTTTCTAAAATTCAGTAAACTCAAATTAAAGGCAACGTTCTCAAATGTGGAAAGGGAAGTGCAGGTAAAGTGGCCTTGGACTTTGAGTGCCTTGAGTTTAGGGTTGCAGTCTGTATTGCAATATAAAATTGGTATGAGAAAAAACACAATAGAATACTAATTTACACCTACCTGGAAGTAGGGGGCTCTTTGGACCCTGGGAACTGCTCCGACTCGATTTGCTGCCTTTTCCTTTGGTGGGTCGTCTGCGACGTCCAGAAAGGGGAGCTGCAGGTGGAATAATCACTGCTGGGGGTACCTTGCCCAATTTTATGTAGAGATCCTCAATCTCCTGTTTCTGACGTGATTGTAACGCCTGAATTTCCTTTAAATGTCTGAAATAAGTTACAATAAGAACACTTCAAAGTCTAGAAAATTCGAGAATACTAAACAAAGCACTGAAGCCAACATTCTGAATTAACTTATAGCAATTTGTTCGAACATCACCTCTTCTTTAAGCCATTCATCTGGTTCTTGACCAAGTTTGCTTTCCATCTGTGCTCACCCACCACTGTCACTATATCCCCAACACACCGAAATTCATACCCATGCCGTCATCACCTCCAGGCCAGACTTCTCCAATGCCCTACTCATCAGCTCCTAAACTCCAGATCATCTCCAATCCCGACCCTACCTATGCCATTTCCTGTGATCCAATTCCTTCAACCACTCCTTCCACTCTGCCAACTCTGGCCTGCTGTATGTCCACCGCCCAAATATCGGCCAGTGATCAAGCTTTCAGCCACTTAGCCCCAATTCTGTGTAACACTCTTCAGACATCTCTCCATCTCATTTCCTCCCTCTCCACTTTCAATACTAGTCTAAAAAGCCCTCCCTTTGATGACGCCAACCAGAATCTCTGGCTCCCACTGCATCTCTGTAAAAAACGCTTTGACACTTTCTCCTAGGTGAAAGCACTATATAAGTGAAAACAGTTGTTCAAATTATGTATGACAAGTGCCAATAGAAAAGTATGGAAATATTTGCCAAAAATTGAGGGCGTTTGCCCGAATTGTGGGGAAAAATTTAGTGTACTTTGCAGAAAATTGCAGAGGGTTGAATGGTGCTATTGAGAGACGTATTTTGTGAAACAACATGGATTAAAACTATAGGAATATATTTTCTGAACATCTCTCCATCTCATTTCCTCCCTCTCCACTTTCAAAATACTAAAAATGTTGATTTGAATATAATACAAAATTACATTTGTGTAGTGCATCTCATGTCAGGAGGACATCCCAAAGCTCTGGAGAGTGAGGGATTTGTACTGAGCTGGGGCGGGGGGGGGGGGGGGGGAAATCAGGGAGGGTGAAGGGCAGGAGGGTGGCCGAAGGCACAATCAAAGAGGAGGGTCTTGAGACATGTCTTAAAGGTGGCAGGGAAGGGAGCGAGGCAAAGAGGAAGTGGGATGGAGTTCCAAAGGATAGGGGTAGAGAGGCTGAAGGCCCAATCTCCGATGGTGGGAAGCGCTGGGCATGGGATGTGGAGCAGGCCACAGCCTGCTGAGCAGAGGGAACGGGCAGTTTGAACAGTACAACATTTACCAAGAATTGGTCGCAGGAGCTCAGTTTACAGCGAGTCCCGCCGATTTCCCGCTCGCGCCGCTTCTGTAATCCCAATACTCCCCGCGCCACACGTTTGTGAACGGAGCTGCTCCGCTCACAGTAGAGCATTGAGAAAACAGTGTGCAGACGCCTGGGGCCTAGCACACTGCGTGTACAGGTTTGTAGCAGAGAGCGTTTGTAGCGGATTCCAGGGGGAAAGCTGTTGGCCCAGCTGATGACCATTTCCAGCTAACATGCATGACACTCTACAAATCTCTGAGCCTGACAAACTGTGGGAAGTCAGATCTGTATTGTTATTTGACAGGTGAAATTTTAATTCAATGTGCGTCAAGCAATCTGTAATAACAAATGACTTGAAGTGCGTGGATCTCAACAATTGGAGTGAACTAATCCATCACATGGGTCCCCCTCCCAATGATTCAGTGCCTTGGGATGTCCTCCCAACATGAAATGCACTATACAAAGGTAATTTTGTATTGTGTTCTGGTCTATTACCATAATTAATTCTACCTTCAGAGAGCTTCATAATCCTGACTAATTCTAAAAATTCCCTTGCTGTTGGGCCTCAATGCTTAGTTTCCATTCAACATTCTCACTTTTCCCTCACCTTCAGAAACACAGAAAATCCAGCTCAGAAAATGTTAATAGGTAATGTTAAAAGAACTGTTTGTACCACAGTGAAACTCAGTTATCAGATCAAGATCACAAGAGGTTCAGATGAAGACCCTTCAGATCATTTGATCTCATCCTTGCAGGATATCTACCCCTTCCTCCCTCCTATTGTACCATGAAGCTGTTTTTTTAAATGAGACTTGCCTCAACTATCCTTCCCCGTAATCTGTCCCAAATATCAATCATTCTGTGGGTAAAAAAAATATTTCTCAGTGACTGCACTGAAATCGCCCTTTGCAATTCAATACCTGTCTTGTTCTGCTGCCTTGGCATAACTGAAATTATTGTTCTGGATTTTCTTTCTCAATTCCATTTAAAATCTTATATACCTCTTCAAGATCCCTGTGAGATGTCAAGGCAGAAAGGCCCTAGCTTGTCAAATTGTTGCTCATAGCTCATTCCTCAAACACTTAGGGATTATCCTCATATACAGTCAATTCTCTTTATAGTATGTTTTGTGAAGCGCTTTGAGACCTCTTGAAGACGTGATAAGCTGCTATATCAAATGCAAGCATCATTATTATTCTTTGCACTGCCTCTTGGGCATTGGCACCATCCTTATGTCATGACAACCAGATCAATACGGATTTCTCTTGATCTGGTCTCATAATTAAAGCCATTTTATGTTACCCCTTAGAAACTGATGATTACAAAAGTTACCACCTCAGAATTATTAAATGGGAAAAACTGACCTCTAATTGGCCTGTTAAAGTGAGTTTCCAATGTATAATTCAAAATGTTTTTATTATCGTGCACATATCGGTAAATCTTTTATGTACCAAGAGAAATGTAGCTTGCTACTTACTTGTCCCTCAGTCTGTGCAGCTCCTTCCTCATATCTTCATCTTCGATTTCTGAGTCATTGTCACTACTCATGTAGGAGGAGTTAAAGGAATTGCTGAGGTTCTGTATGGGAATAGTACCCTTGGAATCTGGTGACTGAGGAGAAATAGGACTCCCTGCACTATCGTCAGCCTGTTTTTCATCCAGCTCCTTTGAGTAAGGCAACTGTCCAGCTTCTGATAGAACAGGTCCATTGGTATGTAGATATTGCTCTGACCCAAATGATTCTTTCGATGGTAAAAACTGACCTGAAGTACCAGTCTGATCAAATTGCACTGATGAAAGTGCACCATGTAAAGTATTCAGAGGAGGGCCAGGAACCTCTGCCTTTCCAGCTTCATAGGTTACCTCATCTTGCGTCCTTTCCACAGAAAAACGCCCAACTGTGTCTCGTCTTGTGGTGACCTGAAATCGACCTATTGTTGCCTGCTGGGTTGCCTCCTGCTGTTGCTGCTGTTGCGTTTTGCTCTGTTCATTTCGAGGTACTGGGGCACTATCTACCATGTCTTCAGGAATGATACAATCAGACTGTTTTGTTACTGTACTTTCAGGGCTGCTTCCAGAAAAGGAAGATTCATCGGAGACAGGCTTCTTGCTACTCTCTCCTTGCTTATCTACTCCTTGAGGTAAGACATCATCTGTTGCAACATATACCTGCAAGGGACAAATCGTAAACATGTTACCCATATTCATGCCAGTTTTGATTCACCATAGTCTCATGTTTACAGATGACAATGGGATGACAATAGGGGCAAAGGAACTAAAAGCTTGACTACCAATGGTGGCAAAGTGCGTGCGGCAGACATGCAGCAAACTCGAGTTAGTTGAGTGAAGGGATGAGTGGAGGAGTTGAGTAGGAGATTGGAGAAGGGGTGCCAGGGAGTTGACGGATTTGTGGGTAAAGTCCTTGAAATCCATCCAATTATCTTTAATACATTTGTCAACACTAACAATAGAAATACAACATTTGGGGATACAGTAAAACTTGCCCTAAGTCTTATCTTTATAAATCGTATAAATGCCGATGTCATACATGCACCCGAGTCCCATTCAGTTTCTTGTCAAAACCACTTAGATTTTTTTGCAATACTCATATTAATCACCTCCTAATTTGTAATAGTGCTCACCTACCCTCCATTACTCCCGCACTTACTCAAGGCCTTGAATCGCTGGAAAAGTAGTCTTCATCCGTCGATGTATGTGCAAAAGAACTCAATTTCCTAAGATTCAATGTGATTCCAACGTTTGCCGGTAAGTGTGCATGTGTGGCGGACTGTCACATGCGCACTTACCGGCTGCAATGACAAATTACCACATGCGCACTTACTGGCTGCATTAAATTACTCATGTGCAGTGTAGATTATTGATTAAATTGGAATTTCTATAGTTTTCCTGCAACTCAGACTTCGCAAAAGTCATATTAAACTTTATGGTCCCAACTGATAAGACTTATGTGAGTTTACTGGATTAGCCATACACAAATAGTTCCAAATATTATAAATATTGATTATCATTATTCTTTTACAAGGCTCTGAAGATTCATGAAAGTGCCCCCGGTGAGTGAGAAAACTGTAGACCACTCAATCAAATGTGTTCTACAGCTGTTCTTTATCTTTAAAATAATCCGAAATACAGAATTGTTGTGCAGGCTTTCAAGATTCCATGGTTCCTATAAGTCTATACTCATGTGTATGAGAGGGTGACAGGGAGAGAGAATTAAGGTGGGTGGATGTTACACGTATTATAAAAATTGGCACAGATGATTTGGACCAAATAGCCTGTTTCAGTGATGCACAGTCTTGTTATTCTATGCAAAATCTGGTGTTTTGCCCATGTCTGTGCAATTCCCGCCAGATAATATTACAATACAAGACATGCAATACTACAACATTTAGCTATGTTATAGATTGCATAAATAAGTCTGAATGAAAAACACAAAAAACAAATAGGACATTTATGATATGTTCAATTATCTGAGGGTGCCCTGATGTTATCCAAATGTGTGCTTCAAAAAAAGGTCAGAAAAAACTCTCAACAACCAGGTAACGTGTGGTTACAAAGACAAAATTAGATTGGAAACTGGATTGGAAACATCATCATATTAAAGCTCATATTCTGGTGTAAAAACGGTTGCAACATTCAAGTGCTCATTTGAAAATTTCCACGCAAGGAATGCTTTTTGCTACTCTCTATGAGCTTGATTTTTTACCTGAAATCGACCCATTTTAACGCTAACTCCTGTGCCAGCAGTTGATGCTGTGGCTCCTTCCTCTTGGGACCTTGATTGTGCCACAGGACAGATTGGTTTGTCTTCTGAGGCAGTCAGTTCCTCGCCCGTCATCTGAACTTGACCTGGATAAAAAAAAGCAAAGAACGAATGGAACTAAATAGCCAAAAGGAACAGTATTTGTAAACCAGATTAAGATTACAATGCTACAAATTGCAATATATTTATAATATTATGCTCATAATCGGGTGATATGCTTTGGACCGGGTGCATTATGCAGAATGGCACCTTTTAATACTATATTCACATTATCACTGCTAAAGAATCAGTGAAAACAAATAACACTGTCCAAACATCTTGATCACACATTTCAATTATAATTTATTGATAAGATTGTTACTTTCACTGGCCGTGGGACATATTACCCAAGAGCAATGTTTACAAAATGATCTGCACCCTCATAAAAACTCTAAAACTAAACATATCCTTGAAGACAAATGCATTTAATTGGCTTCTTTTTCATTGAGGAAAGTGTTTCATGATTCTGCCAGCAGATGTGTCCATGAAAAGCAAAGAAGAAACTGTTTTCCAGATGTCGTTTCATTTCTCTAAAGGGTCACTTATTTATACCTACAAATCATATTAGATTTGTGATGAAATATGAATCAACTGGAGTACCTCATGTCTGAGATTATATAACTTTTGGGGGGAGAATAAATTACACATAGATCAACAGCTTACCTTCACCTGGGAACCCTGTTGTTGTTGAACTCTGTCCGGTGAGCACTCCAGACCCACTCACTGAAACCAAACCCTGAGACGACTAGAGGGAAATATTTAAATTAATGTACAATTTTCACTATTTGAACATTCTGAATAGATTGAGGTTATCTGGGTCAATACATTCACTCGCTTGTATTTCTTTGGATACAACATATATACAGGATGACCAAAAAACATGATAACTACCCTATTATCTAAAACAAAAATCAGACTTTCTTTTAGACTTATTAGACTTTGTAATGGTATCATGACTTTTCAGTCACCCCGTAGCATCAAGTCCATTAATTGTCCAAATTTGGCAAATAAACCAAGTCCAAGCAAACTGAAAAGCTGAAAGTTCACTGCAAGCTAATAAGATGACACTGAGAACCTGAAAAAGAGCAACCTTTCCAGTGTGAGCCCTTTGTTATAACTCAGTTGTGAGCTGGGAAATTCTAGTGCAGGATATACAAGGAAAATAAAGAAAAATAAATCCCTTAAAATTCATTTTCCCAGTTGGTTTGTGATTTGCGCCACATCTTATTTATTATGTTAATTATTTATAGTGGCTTCCTGCATCCAGCATTTCAGATATAATGGATTGTAAGAAAAATGTTTTCTTTCAGTTGCTGTTTCACCCACCATGTATTTCACATTTCCATCATTAATAGCTTTCTCTTTTTATCCCCAGGGCAATTGCTGTTTTGGGGTGTAGTTTCCTTTGGTGGCCAATTAGAAATTTTGTCAGCTTTCATGCACAATTTCTGCAGCATGTTAATAAATGCAGCTGCCCATTTGTCTTTCCAAATGTTGTACTATTCCAACGAGATATTCATTCCATGATAGACAGATCAGGGCAGTGTAAAGTCCCCTCCTTCCTCTAAAGAAAACTCCCTCTCCCGGCCAAGCTTTGGGTTTTATATTTGTGGCAAACTAATTGTTTCTGTAGGGAGCCATTGATATCCTGTATTGGTTGAGGCAACAAAGAGTACTTCTTTGCTGATGTGAAGGCACCAAAATAAATAAGACCTGCAGGAAAATTAACACTCCAGCTTACACAAAAATGTTCAGAATGAACCATTATAATATCCAATAATAATAAACCTCACATTTCATTTGGTATAGCACCTTTCATATCGGGAGGACATTCCAAAATGCTTCACACAATATACTGTTCAGTGTAGCAACAGTGTGTTATACATATATTTATATAAAATGAGAAGTTAAAATCATTTTAAAATCATGAGATGTTTATTCTGCACCACAACACATCTAAGGATCTTCATTAACCAATGTTAACACAGACAAAGTTAATTTATTATTTTCTAATAACTTAAACGGCAGCGACAATACCTCTAGATGTCTAATGCAATTCACTTGTACTTAAAGAAGCCTCCAGTTTACTTTCAACTCCTTCTAGTAAGTTATCAAGTCAATGCAAGATCTTCAGAACTTGAAATGCTGCTGATTTTTCAACACATGGGAACTCACCTGCACTGAACCGATACCAACTGGCACATTTGTTACAGTCTCTGGACTCAAAGCTCGTCTCAGTTGGGCATCCAGAGTGTCCAAAGGCTGCTGCGACTAAAGCACAAGTTACGTTAGGGATCTACATATCTAAGTTACAAATAATTTATGTCAAAAAGCTTCTCTCTGCACAAAACAATGTAGGTTTCATAATGTTGACATTCTGATTATGAATTATCATTGCAACACAATACCATCAGCCTACAACTAAATAAATAATTTCAAGCAGCATAAAAAAGTTTGTTTTTTTGTTGAGAGTTATGAGAATAAATTCCCAACAATATTGGGGGGGGGGAAGCATTAAAAAAATCACAATACTTATTTTCTTTTCAGGTGCACCAATACAAGCTCAAAACAAGAAACTTGGAACTATCGTTATGTACCTCGCATCAAAAACCAAAGCAAGATTTTGATCCTCAAGCTACCTTCGACATTTCAAATTTTTAAAATTGAAGGATAATAATACACAAAGGACAGTTTTAGCTTTTTTTCTGATGCTTACTGTTGGATTAAACCAACAACAGTTTAAATAATGGCCAACATAGCAACCCGACATGTAATTGAATTCCATCAGTAATAAATGGATTTAACATTCCAGCACCACTAACTGCTACATGCACATTTGTGGGCGTTTTGTGAAAAATAAATGATTATAACTGAATTTTGGCTAATGTGTAGTCTCATTCACCCACACATTATTGAGTGTCTAGTGAACCAAATTACTGAATAAAGGAAGGTATTTCTTCACCACATGAGTGTTCCCCATCAAATAATGTAACTTTTTTTTAATCCTGGAATCACTTACAGTTAAGGGGTTAATAAGTGAGACAGAGAACATGCACCTGGTGATTTGCAAATGAGAGATGAACTACATGCAGAGAACATGGCACAAATAACAGGGTAATGCATTCACAAAGAGAATACTGGGTCACATTATAGCACCTGGGTTAGTGAAGGTCCTGGAAAAGGTGGTAACTGCTCAGTGGGTGGAGTGAGAGCCTGTCTTAGTGGGTGGTCAAGAGCTTCCGCGCTTAGTTGTACCTACAGGTAATGAATGGGAAGAGGAGATGCATCAACCAAGATAGAGTGAATAGCCTAATAAAGATCTAAAGAGATGTTGAAAGGTCGTCTCAATGTACAACACAAAGTATCACTAGCTTCCTGGAAATAAAATAATTTCATAAAAAACAAACATCAGGGGAAAAAAGGTAACTTTAAATAGTTAAGTCTTGATTAATTCCAAGTGCCTTACTAAATATTCATGTTTAACTCCTTAAAATTGTGTAAATCCTTTTTTAACCCAGGTTATTAATTGTAATTTGTAAAGAATATACATAATTTGTAATTTAAAAATACATTGCTGGCTGATCTCAAAATGATTTATTTTCTATTCAGATTTCTTAGATGAATTGCTGCTTGCTTCATTTTGTCTCTGGTTGAACTGGCTCTATTATATAATAGTAAATTTATTATTTACTATTATCTATTATCTACAAACAAAACTGGAACTTATTATATCCACTTCCAACAATAAATATTCACTCAAAACCAACAATTTTGTTCCATCAGTGTTCATTCCTGGGTGCATCTGGAGCAAGTGTCATGAAGATACTATGAATCAGATGGTACATGTGAAAACCCATAATTAAACTTCCTCCATAGCCACAGTTAACAGTGACACACACTAAGGGTATTTTTTTTTCATCATTCAGTTCAGTTATGTTAATGTACACAAAATTATTTTCATGCAACATTCTTCAATTCCTCTCCAGCATCACAAGTTTAATTTGCAATGCAGTTCAACTGAAATCATTATTTAGCTGTTATGAAATCAAAATGAAACAAATGTGAAATTAAAAGCACAAACATTATTAATATGAAAAGTTGAAGCATTATAGATGCACAGCAACTGTAAAAATACAAAATATATACTGCTGGAGCGAAAATGCAGTTGCAGTTCTAAATATGAAAAGGTTCTGTAAGTTCGCCATGTGGGATTGAGAACAACACTCACCCACTATCATTCCATGGTGAAACATTTTCACAAACTAACCAACTTTGGTTGCCTGAATGTTAAATAATTTAAAAAAAACAAGAGAATACAAGGGCAAGTAACAAAAGTAAAAATATTCATTGCCCACAATTTGGATGACTACCATATTGAAGTGCGACAAAAAGTGATCAGACCTTACAGTCTAACCACTGAATCATAGAATCATAGATTACAGAACTGAAGGAGGCCATTCAGCCCATCGTGCCTGTTCCGGATCTTTGGAAGAGCTATCCAATCAGTCCCACTCACACGCTCTTTTCTCATATCCCTGCAAATTTTTCCTTTTGAAGCACCTATCTAATTCTCTTTTGAAAGTTGTTATTGAATCTGTTTCCTCCTCTTTCAGGCAGCGCATTCCAGACGATAACAACTCTCTGTGTAAAAAAAATTCTCCACATGTCCCCTCTGGTTCTTTTGCCAATTATCTTAAATCTATGTGCCCTGATTACTGACCTACTGGCCAGCGGAAACAGCTTCTACCTATCTACTATATCAAAAACCCTCATAATTTTCAACACCTATTAAATCTCCTCTTAACCTTCTCTGCTCTAAGGAGAACAATATTATGAATGAATATTAATAAGGGTTTAGAGTTTAAGTTATGATGAAGTACTGGTAAAGAATGTAGTGGGATCTGAAGCACAAACCCGGAAGAGCATTTTCACAATTCAACTGTGAATATTTCTAGATTACTTTGTTTACTTTGCAGAATATATTAAATACAACTGTTTGGAATTGAACGTGTTCTGCTGGCTGCTAACTTACTGGTAATCTACTAAGTGATGGTTTGGATGGTGGCGTGCCTGGTCGCCCTGCAGTGGAGCCTGCGCTGGGCAGCTGGACAACTGCTGCATAACTGGCAGGAGTCAAAGGCTGCTGGACAGTCAGCGGAAGTCCTGTGGGGCCAAGCGGCAGGCTGGCAGGTGGTACAGCAGGCGCTGTGGTGGTTGCAGAATAAGATGTGGCCGGAACGGTTCCTGAAGTCCCTGGGACACCTGACATTTTTCCTGCAATGGGTAGGTTTTGATCAACTGTGGCAGTGTCCGGATTCAATCCAGTCTCTGGGGGAGCAGAAACATGAGCACAACCTGCAGTACCGTGCTCACTGAACAATGACCGAAGCTTTTCATCCAAGGTTTTGATATCATCAATGCCAGTTCCTTTGGCATTCAATTCAAGATCTGCTTCAGAGTAGTGAACAAGGGGTTGGTTTGGGAGAAAAGCCGGTTGTGGTTGACCATGAATCAAAGTCTGTTGAACAGAAGGGATACTGGGAACAGGTTGCACAGATCCTGTGCCAGGTACAGAAATTTGGGTTGCCAGGCCCATGGTCTGAGGTAGGGTAGAGTTCTGTGCGGCAACAGTTTGCACCACAAATGGTTGACCAGCAGGAGTCTGGATGCCAGAAATCGGTTGTAATAAACATGGTGGAGATGTGGAAACCGGCAAAACCATGCCATTACTTCCCATATGTTGGACTTCTGTTTGGGCGGTGGTATACAACATCTCAGTCTGGCCTTGCAATACAGTCAGTGGAGTTGAAGATTCAAGATGATTCACTACAGTTCCGCCAGTTGGTTGCTGAGGTGCTTGTGATATCACAGTTTGAGTTGAAGGTGGGGATGCAGTTGCTGAATTTGCAGCACCGATTGAAGCCCCTCCAGTTGCATGCTGAGTCACTTGTGACCCTAGCGGTGGAGATGCTGAACTTGCAGTGGTAACAGTTGCAACAGGTCCACCAATCAGCTGCTGACTTAATTGGGAGGTCAGAGGTGAGGATAAACAATATGGAACACTAACACTAACAACAGGACCCCCAATCAACTGCTGAGCTGGCTGTGAAAGCAAAGGTGGTGATATCGAACTTGGGGCACTTCCACTAGCAATAGCCTCACCAGCCAATTGCTGAAGTGGGTGTGCTTGAACAGTCTGGGTCACACCTTGAGGTGCAGAACTAGCAGCTGCTCCACAAGCTGGTGTTGAGGATGCCACCATAGTTTGTGCAGGGATTACGCCTCCTCCAATGCTAGTCATTTCAGGATGTACCGCAGGAAAAAGTGTCATGGTTTGATTGAAAACTGGAGGAGCTGTGTTCGGACCTTCTTTGACCTGTTTATGTTTTAATTCTGCAAAGGCCTGTTGCAAACTCACAGAAGTAGCTGAATGTGAGAGTTGTAGGTTGTGGCTGTGAGAAACAGCTGTAAGAGAAGAAAGAAACGTTGATGGGAATAAAAAGTACTTGCAAGCATTCTCAACAGGAATGGTGATTTTGATCTATTTTCCCAATTTGAAATGGACTCCTCATTCACAAGAGCCACGAATATCAGCGAGGGATGCTCACAATTGCCAAATATATCTAATAAAACTATCAAAACTATAAAACGTTATTCAATAAGGAAGAACTACCTAAATATCTTAACTTGAATGTTGCGGCAGTAGTCTCTGCTGAAAACAAGCCAGTAATTATGCATATACAGTTCTTATTTGAAGTGTTATTTTCCCAGAATATTAGAGAAACAATTTAGACCTACACCTCAAAAACCCTTACCTGTTGTTGAACTTTCCTTTTGTGACGATGCACTGGGACTGACAAACGATGGTTCTTGTAATCGACTCTCAGGCACAGGACTAACAATAAACCGTCTTCCAGCAGAATGTACCACCTGCATTGCAGAACCTGCCTGTGCACCTGCAACAACAAATACACAGAAGTCCAAATTTCAGAACATATACAGCATTCCACACTTCCATTCATTTTTTTCTCTGGTCCAACCCTTCCTGAATTATTTCTTGCCTTCCAGACAGCAAAAATTATGCTTCTAATTCACTGAGGATTTAAAAAGTGCATGTTGGAGAGCCGAGGCTGCTGAGTTATTTCAAGGTAACAATGTCACTAATACAGGAAAAATTACTACAACATTTGAAAAAAGCACAACTCTAGCAGTTTGCAAACATCTTTTTTAAGACTGGTGTGAAATCACTCCTACATTTTTCTACTGGCCTGGAAGTTGATGCTGGCAACAGGGAACTTAGCAGAACCTTCATTGAAGCTGCTGAGTGATACTGGTCACATTAATAATAATAAATTGATCACTCAATCCACGACTGTGAGTTGGACACTGCTGTGCACAATTGGCTGCCGCGTTTCGCCCACAAAAAATACAGTCAATTCACTTCACAGAATATTCTGTGAAATGCTTTGAGACATCTCGAAGATGTGATAAGGCGCAATGTCAAATGCAAGGATTATCATTGTTATTAACAGTTTAACAATTGGCATGTTCATAATCGCTGTTCAATCGATCGAGAATCTATTCTTGATTGAGTAAATAAAAATTAGATAACTTTTTTCAAAAAATTCATCAGCGTCTCCAAAGGAATCAGGAAGAGCAGGCACTTACCTAACTGCGTTGGCGCATATATTATGGGTTCTGGCTGAATGTACTGGTTCTCTGCTTTCTAAATAAAAAACATACCATGCATCAGAACTACATTTATTTCAAAATTTATGATCAACACCTCCAAAGAATGGAAGCATTGTCTTTTTGTTTCTTCCATTCACCTATAAATTGTCATTCAATGGTGAAACACACAAAGAGTTTGAGGGGAGAAATTTCATCTGGGTGTTGACTTTTTTTTATATACATCACACTTTAGAACATCGAGAATTTGGCAAATGCTCAAATTCAATATCAACACTGAAGTCTGTATTGTAGTTCATAAAAGAACATAGAAAAACAGCTTAAAGATTAATGCTGCATTTAAGAATGACAAATTTTGGACTCTCAAAATGTCACATAAATTGAGTATTATGCCTCACTAGAATTTCTCCTATTTGCTCCTTAAGAGCTTCAACTCATACAGTCTCATTCAGTCTCCTTTTCAGTCAAGGCATCATTCTGAGCTTTGACACTTATTGATCGGGGGAGGCAGCAGAGATCAAGTAAAACAATTTCAACAAGAAGTTCTAAATTGCTGCAGGAAGGAAAATGGGAGTATCTAATTGAGGAAAAATATTCAATAGATATAAAAAGATAACTCAAGGCATTTTTTTTCATTCATCCTCCATGTGAAACGAATTCTAAGGAAATATAAAAAAAAACACTGGGAGTGGGATTCTCACCAAATAATGGTTTGTGAAAGTGGTTTAAATTAGACTTTGTTGGTTCTGTGCAGATAATGTGTAAAGAAACACTTTTACACTGAGACAGATGCAGCAGTTCGCTGGCAGTTCCTTGATAGGAGAAATGCCTACAGGATACTTTCCACACCACTTGTGAATGTTTGCATAGTAATAGGTTTACTTATTAAGAACTACAGTACAAACTTCAAGGTTAATACTGAATTCAATTGTTTGCCAAATTCTGTATGTTCTAAAGCAAAACATAAAAAAAGTGTTTCAACCCCTAGGTGGAATTTCTCCCCCCAAATTCTTAATGATTTGTCTCACCGTGATCGACAACATGGAATTTGAATACAAAATAGGAATATTTTGAATACAAAATATTCTAGAAGCATTATACAAGATGTGTATTCAAAATTATAAGAAATAAAAATATTTTAATATGTCATTTCTCCTAGCCTACAAAAGTCCTACACTCACCTAGACTATCTAGATGCAGAAAGTAGGCCCTTCCCTGCATGGAAAACAGTCAACATACATTGTGTTTGCAGACTTAACAGCAAGTAATAGCAGAATTGAACAATTACAAAATAAATCTTGCCAGTGCACTCTGCCACAGAGTAAACTGTAGGAGAATACCCAGTATATTTTGTGGATGTTATTGTTGCGGATATGAGGGAGAAAGGACAGCTCTGTTCGACCCTGAGCTGACCTTTCTCCCTCATATCCGCGCCACAACTGGCACCGCCTTCCATCACCTGCAGATTATCGCCAGACTACGGCACTACCTCACCCCTCACGCGGCTGAATCTCTGGTCCACGCCTTTATCACCTCAAGGCTGGACTATGGGAACTCTCTCCTCGCCGGCCTTCCCGGCACCTCCCTCCACAAGCTGCAGGTCATTCAGAACGCTGCAGCTCGTGTACTGTCCCGCACCAGGCTTCAGGACCACATCACTCCCACCCTCGCTCGCCTCCACTGGCTCCCATCCCCAGAGGATGATTTCAAGATCCTCATCCTCACCTATAAGGCCATCACGGCCTTGCTCCCTCCTACCTCTCTGACCTACTATCCCCCTACCTACCTGCCCGTACCCTCCATTCCTCTGGCTCCGGTCTGCTCCACATCCCCCGCCCCAACCGCCCTACCATCGGTGGTCGGGCCTTCAGCCTCTCAGCCCCGAGGCTCTGGAACTCTATCCCCCAGTGCATTCGCCGCTTCCTCCCTTTCCTCCTTCAAGGCCGGTCTCAAAACCTTTCTCTTTGACCGTGCCTTCAGCTCCCCTCTCGACTCTCTACCCCCTCCTCGCTCCCTCCCTTCCCTCCCCTCACCCTGACCATATCCCCCCTGCTCGGGTCCTGACCCAACTGTACAGCGCCTTGGGACGTCCTCCCGACGTGAAAGGCGCTCTATAAATGGAATCTTGTTGTTGTATTTCCCACTCACATTATATTACCGAATCCATAACATTATATGACATGATGAAGTTCTAGGATGCGCCTTTGGTCTCCTACTCCTAGCTTCCTTGCCCTCCACCCTTCCCGATCCCAACTCCCAGCTCCTATCCAAATCCTTGACTTTCCAGCACCTTGGGATGTTCCCTCGACATGAAAGGTGCTATGCAAATGTAATTTGACGTTGTTGTCATCTGGAAAACGGTCAGTTCAGAATTTTGTATACACTTTCCCAAACAATGTGTAATAAAACAAGCTGCACATACCTGTGCTTGATCAAAGCAAGCAGCAACTTGGGCTTGGATCTCGAATCCCTGATCTCCTTCTGGCTCCCCACTTGGATCTTCACTCAACATTTCATCTGCCTTCTCAATAATTTCACGCACCTGGTCAATGAACGATTCTCGTTCAGTCTCCAAGATGAATACATTTTGAACCTATATAACAAAAAGATTAATGATACTCATTCATTTGGGCCTCATTCGTAACACGCAGTGCAAAGGCTTTTCTTATTAACTTTTCTGTAGTTCGTATGACTATATTTACAACTTAGGAAATCTAAAGTACACCGATTTAAAGATAACTACTCAACAAACAGACACAAGGAAATGGCAAGTTCTAATACAACAACAACAAGATTACACTTGTATAGCACCTTTCACGTTGGGAGAACGTCCCAAGGCGCGGGACAGTGTACAGCAATTCAGACCTGAGCTGGGGTTAGGGAGGGAGAAGCGAGGGGAGGGGAAGGGGGGTGACCAATGGCATGGTTAAAGGGGAGGGTTTTGAGGTGGGACTTGAAAGAGGCTAAGGAGGAGGCAAGGCGGAGTGATTGCGGGATGGAATTCCAGAGGTTGGGAGCAGAGTGACTGAAGGCTCTCCCGCCAGTGGTGGGGCGGGTGGGTTGGGGGACGTGGAGCAGGCCGGAGCTGGCTGAGCGGAGGGAGCGGGCGGGTTGGTAGGGGGTTAGGAGGTCGCAGAGTTAGGGTGGGGCGAGGCCATGGAGGGCTTTGTAGGTGAGGACTAGGATCTTGAACTGGATCCTCTGAAGGATAGGGAGCCAATGGAATCGGGCGAGAATGGGGGAGATGGGGTCACGGAGTTTGGCTTGCAACCATGGATGTTGATGCTGCCAGAGCCTGAGGTGCAGAGGCGCTGGCGCGAGCCAATCAGGAGGGCCTCAGTCTTGCTCACATTCAACTGTAGGAAATTTGCCCTTATCCAGGACTTGATGTCCGACAGGCAGTCTGTCAGGACAGCAGTGGTCCTGGAGTTGAGGGAGAAAGATATTATATAAAAAAAATTATATAACATAATTTCTCACCTTTCCCAAGAAAACAATACACAAAATTTGCAATTGAAGATGAGCTGAATTACAGTATTTGTGCTTCATTTAAAAACACCACTTTTATTCCTCAATCCATTTCAGTTATCTTCACTCACCATAATAATTGCTATCTCCACGGGATTGTCACCATCCAAATCAAATTTAAAAGTAACCATTTTTCGATTGTGCGTTTCCAACTGACATTCCACAACCCGATCTCCTTTGTTTGAGACCTTTNAAAAAAAGTACACTATTTAAAATCAGCGCAGCACATAGAAAAACATTTGTTAAAAAGCTGTCACATTTATGCAGTCAACCAACAACAAGATTTATGGAGCGCCTTTCACATCGGGAGGACTTTCCAGGGTGCTGGACAGTCAGAGGTCAGGACCCGAGCATGGGGGAGGGAAGGCAGAGAGATGGGAGGGCGTCCGAAGGCACGATCAAAGAGGAGGGTCTTGAGACTGGCCTTGAAGGAGGCAAGGGAGGAAGCGAGGTGAAGGGACTGTGGGATGGAGTTCCGGAGCGTGGGGACAGAGAGGCTGGAAGCCCGGTCACCGATTGTAGGGCAGGTCTGGCGGAAGACATGGAGCAGACCAGAGCCCGTTGAACGGAGGGAGGGGGCAGGTTGGGAGGGATTCAGCATGTCAGAGAGGTAGGAGGGGGCAAAGCCATGGATGGCTTTGAAAGTGAGGACGAGTATCTTGAATTCGATCCTCTGAGGGACGGGGAGCCAGTGGAGTTGGGCGAGGGTGGGAGTGATGGGGTCACGGAGCCTGGTGCGTGAGAGTACACGAGCTGCAGAGTTTTGGATGATCTGCAGCTTGTGAAGGGAAAAGTTGGGAAGGCCGATAAGGAGGGAGTTTTCATAATCAGGCCTTGATGTAGCGAATGCGTGGGTGAGGGTTTCGGCAGCCTGAGGGGTGAGGCAGTGGCGGAGTCTGGCAATGTTGCGGAGGTGGTGGTAGGCAGTGCCGGTCATGACGCGGATGTGGGGGAGAAAGGACAGTTCAGGGATAAACAAGACACCCAAGTGCATGACTGGCTTAGTGAGGTTGAGTGCGCAGCCGTGGATGCTGAAGCTGCCAGCACCCAAGGTGCGGAGACGCTGACACAAGCCAATCAGGAGGGCCTCTGTCTTGCTGATGTTGAGTTGGAGAATGTTGCCCCTCGTCCAGGACTTGATGTCGAACAGGCAGTCAGTCAGGACGCCAGTAGTCCTGAAGTTGAGGGTGGAGGCAGAGAGATAGAGTTGGGTGTCATCCGCATACATGTGGAAATTTAACCCATGTCTGCGGATGATGTCACCAAGGGGGAGCATTTAGAGGGTGAAGAGGAGGGGACCGAGAACAGAGCCCTGAGGAACGCCGCATGAGATGGTGCGGGGGCTGGAGGAGAAGCCGTTAGCTGAGACGAAGTGGAGGCGGTGTGAAAGATAGGACCTGAATCAGTCAAGGACAGAATCTTGGAGGTTAAGATGGGAGGAGAGACAGTGGAGGACGATTGAATGGTCCACAGTGTCAAAAGCGGCAGAGAGGTTGAGGAGGCAGAGGGAGCCCTGGTCACACATGATCAGTATGTCATTTGTGACCTTGGCCAGAGCAGTTTCCATGCTGTGGGCAGCACGGAAACCCGATTGGAGGGGCTCATGGAGGGAGTGGGAGGAGAGGAAAGAACGAAGCTGGCAGGCAACGGCTCTCTCAAGGACCTTGGACAGAAAAGGGAGGTTGGAAATGGGCCGGTAGCTGGATAGCTGTGTTGGGTTGAGGGAAGGTTTCTTGAAGGTGGGGGTGATAGTGGCTGTTTTGAGGAGGTTAGGAACAGTGCCAGATGACAGGGAGAGGTTGATGATGTCAGTGAGTAGTGGGGCAAGGAGGTGGAGCTAGGATTTAAGTAGAGGGGTGAGGATGGGGTCCAGGGAGCAGGTGGTGGGCTTCATGGAGGATATGGTGGTGATGATAGAGGAGGGGATGACAGATTCAAAGGTGTGGAAGGAGGGATGGGTAGTGGTCGGAGTGCGGGTGGGGGGGGGGGGTAAGGAGGGGTAAGGAGGGGGTAGAATTTGGGAGGGCAGTGGCAGCTGAGCGGATTCCCTCGATTTTGAACTCGAGGAAGTCCAGCATTTTCTCGCAGTGAGTCAGAGGAAAGATTCTGCGAGGCGTGGCGGGGAGGGCGGAGGAGCCGGTTAGTGGTGGAGAACAGAAGCCTGGGGTTGCCCTTCACCTCCAGAAGTAACCTGGAATAGAAGGATGATTTGACTGATGCGAGAGCAGAGCAGTAGGTTTTCATGTGGTCCAACCAGATGTGCCAGTGGACCGTTAGGCCGGACTTAAGCCAGGTGCGTTCAGCAGCCCGCACCCGGTCCTTGAGCGAGCAGAGGTGGCTGGTGAACCAGGGTGAGGATCAGGAATAGGAGGCAGATCGGGAGGTGAGGGGGTCGAGTGTGGTGGAGAGGAGAGGATGGGTTGGTGTGGGAGGTGGGCCAGAGGGGGAGGATTCCAGGGCAACGGAGAGGGATTGCGGGGAGATCTTCTTCCACGGGCAATAGGAGATGGTGGTAGGTTTGGAGGTAGTGGGGAGAGGGATATAGGAGTTGAGGGAGATGAAATGGTGGTCAGAGATGGCCTTGTCGGTGATGGTGACATCCGAGATGCTGAGGCTCCGGGTGATCACCAGGTCAAGCGGGTGGCCGTGAACATGGGTGGCAGAGTGGATTTAGAGGAAGAGATTGAGAGAGAAGTCTGAGGAGGTGGAGCAAGAGGTGGTGAAGTGGTGGTTGAAGTCCCCTAAGATGATGAGGCAGTCGGAACAAAGGCAGTGGGAAGCTAGAAGGGTGGAAATTTCAGAGATGAAGGTAGGGGAGGATTTGGGGCAGTAAATTAGGAGAATTTTTAGTGAGAGATGGGAGGGATGGCAAAGGGTAAGCTGTTCAAAAGAGGGGAACAAGCCAGTGGAATAGGGGGTTAGGGCAAGTGACGCCCTGGAGATGAGGGTCACAGCACCGCCGGGTGATGTGGCCGCAGTGAGGGGGAAGGTGTCACCTGGCATGATCCAGGTTTCCGTGAGGGCCATAATATCAATGTTCTCATCTAGGATGAGAATATTGATGGCCAGGGTCTTATTGCAGATGGAGCAGACGTTTTGAAGGCCAATGCGGAGTGGACAGTTGGTAGGGGGATGTGTAGGAGCGGGTAGTAGACTGATTGGCAGGAAGGGTGGGGATGCGGATGAGAGGTTAGCCCCCCCCGGGGTCAGGGTCCGGGGTGGCTTGCGGCGGTAATGGGGAATGGAGCAGTCGGTGTGGCTGCTGCTGGACAGCCAACGCTGAGTATCACGATGAACCCGGCAAAGAATTCCCAGGCTGGAGCAGAGGGAGGCAGTGGGGGTGGGGGTCAAGCAGAGATAGGAGGCAGGGAGGGCGGAAAGAGAGCAGGACAAAGCGGGTGAGTTACAGGGAGGGGGGCATTTTGAGGGAGGGCCAGCTCGGGTCGGGGGCAGCAGCCAAGATGCGCACGCTGAGACGAGAGATGGCAGATTAGTGGAACTACACTACTGCGGCGGAAACTACACTGTCCATCATGTTCGCCTATTAAATATAGTCAATTCACTTCTTAGTATATTCTGTGAAACGCTTTGGAATGTCTCGAAGATGTGGTAAGGTGCTATATCAAATGCAAGGACTATTATCATGTTAGGCTGAAACACAACAATCAAAATATTAAGCTTTACTGTGTAATCATGATTGAACTAAAAAGTGCATACTTACATTAAGAATTCTCAATTTGGGTCTGGCCATTTTTTCATGCCGTGATCGACTCCTTACAGATTTTCGACAATGCCGTTTTGTAGATCTTCCTTCATGTCTTCCACTTGTTGGAAAGCCTTCATTTCCATCACTCATCCCAGATGCAACATCAGAGTGAGCACTGTGAATCATCAAACAACATTTGAACTCTAAGCATTTATTAGATATTGGCAATGGCTCAGAAATGCTGATGTAGCACTGTAGGCTCTGGACCTCCATCCCCCAGTGCCTTCGCCTTGCTTCCTCCCTTTCCTCCTTCAAGGCCGGTCTCAAGACCTTTCTCTTTGACCATGCCTTCAGCTCCCCTCTCGACTCTCTACCCCCTCCTCGCTCCCTCCCTTCCCCCTAACCATTTCCCCCCTGCTCGGGTCCTGACCCAACTGTCCAGCACCTTGGGACGTCCTCCCGACGTGAAAGGCGCTCTATAAATGAAATCTTGTTGTTGCTGTTGAGCTAAAATGATTCCTTACAGTAATTTCCTGACTTATGTCAAAAGTAACTGAACTAAAATGGAGCAAACATAAATCAATTACCTGTCCACAGATGAGCACAACTGGTTTAGTGACAAGTGTTCTGCAGGCAAGATCTGTGACGGGATTTGAGTCATCTGAAAATAGAACAGTATTTGGTACAGAATGTATCAAAATTAGAAGGAAGTCCATCCACAAAACGTTATGGTCACACTTCTCTTTCTTTCCCCAAATGTGCAAAGCATTTTTCTGCAAGTGAATTCAGGGGACTCATCATTAGTTTTGCCCCCTCTATGAACAAATTCAATGGGGAGGGGGGAATAAAGGAGAAAAAAAATTAAGATCCCTTTCCCCTCAAGAACTTTTCACTACATGAGACCATTTTGCTGAGTGACATTTTTCGTCCACTCATGTTGCAATGCAAGAGTATTCTTAACATTCCAGTCGCTTGACTATTGTCCTATTGTCCAAACCTCCCACAAAAATTATTTTTGTTCCATTCCATCAGTACAGTATATTCAATCTTATGGCATTCACTGCCACAAAAAAATCTAATGATTCAGCAAATTGATTTTTTCCCTGTTGAGGTTTTGATCTCACAGAGCCATTATTATTGAAACTTTAATGAAGGCATTACTGCTGCAGCATTTCAGTTTAGTGTGTTGAGGCTCATTGCCTGTAATATAACTTTTCTCACATTGTCTATCACACTAATATTCCTAATTCAGATTTTGCCCCCACAAAGATGAACAATGTCAATGTTTTTCACTTTTAAACCCATCATCAGTGCCCATCTTAAATGCAGATTAAAACTCCTTTTTGTAATGCTACAAATTATCTTAAACCCCAAATCCAAAAGAGCATCCTAATTCGTACCTCTTGGACCACTTGTGTCTGTAACCCTGTCTGATTCTGCTGAGCAGTGCTGACACTTGGCTGGGACATTATTGCCTGTACAGTTGTATGGCTCATTGTTGTTGGTTCCCCATATGACTGTGTTACTCCTGTGGGAGTTGGGCCAACAAGGTGATGTGTTGGTTGTGAAATTGGCTGAGATATGTCTGTGGAAACTGGAAGGGGCGGAGAAACCACGGCAAATTGAACACCCACAGAAGACTTTGCAGGACTTGGACCACTCCCTGCCAACTGTGTGGGATAATTCTGTTGAAGAAAAGGAGATAAAGGATAAACAATGTGATGAATGTTGTATATAAATTTCTTAACCAACATCCCATTTTTTCTGGTTTCTGTTTTTTTTAATAAAAATGTGTACAAGCTTTCTAAAATATATTCCAATACACTTAAGTTTGTATTGAATTTCTGTGAGCCGAAACGATTCATTACTGAGTATTTGAGCAACACCATACAATTCAAAGCTTTCATTCAATAGTCAACATGGAGGACTGTCATTAATTCTCCAGAAATCATAGAATGCATTGCTTCCACTTAATTGATTTTAACTACATCATCAATTAGATTATAAAGAGAAGGCCACCTGGAGTTACTTAAGTATTCTCCATAATTTATCAGGGTGTTGCTCATCATTCTCAGATTAACATGATTACCTCACAAATACAATATAGTGTTTGGTTTATCACAGAATGAAGTTCATTTAAGCTGCTCCAACTAAGTGACCAATCAACATATTCAAATAGATGTGCAAATCTTCACAAGGCTGTCAAGAATACTTACCTACCAGTACAAACAGATAATATTCGAAGGGCAGGAGAAAATGTATTTGACTTTTAAAAGAAAAGGGCAAATAAAAGCACATTTATGCAGAAAGTTGCTTTACAAGTACCTGAAGGAGAGAAACGTGTGCAGCCTGCAAGACAAACTGTAGATGCTCAGAGCTTGGTGAGGTAAGAGGAGATGGAGCATTCAGACCACTAGTACACAGCTGCTGAACATGCAAGCAGCCAGCATGCAAAAGAGGTAGAAAGGAGTGAAGGTTAATTTAAAGGACACGGCATTTTATATTAAAAAGTAGCATTTACTATTTAAGGGATAATGTAGTGATTAACTATCAGCAGAAACATCCTTAACCAGAAGCAGCAAATAGTATAGAACAAAAAATTCAAAATGATTTGCAAGCCTATATTGTGCATGTTTCAATAGCAAACTGTTGGAAAGTTATCTGCCTTGCCTCCTGTCCTGATTGGCTCCCATCAACGCCTCCACACCTCAGGCACTGATAGCATCTCCATCCAAGGATGCACATTCCACCTCACTGAGCCAGGCCGGAACCTTGGCATCTTGTTTGACCCTCAACTATCCTTTCTACCCCACATCCGTGCCATGACCCGCTCTGCCTTCCTGCACCTCCGCAACATCACCCAGCTCCACCATTGTCTCACACCACAGACCGCTGAGACCCTCTTACACCCATTCAAGACATCCAGGTTTGATTAAGCAAACTTTCTGCTTGTCGGCCTCCCCAACTCCTCCCTCCATAGGCTGCAGATTATCCAGATCCCGACTCCACTGGCTTCCCATCACACAGAGGATACAGTTCATGATTCTGGTCCTCACCTTCAAAGCGCTCCATGGCCTCGCTCCCCCCCTACCTCTGCAACCTCCTAACCCCCTACCAACCTGCCCGCTCCCTCCGCTCAGCGGGGTCCAGCTGTTTCCTGCCCCCCACCTCGCCCGCCCCACCATTGGTGGGCAGGCCTTCAGCCACTCTGCCCCCACCCTCTGGAAATCCATCCCGCATTCCCTCCACCTTGCACCCTCCATTGCCTCCTTCAAGACCCATCTCTTCGACTATGCTTTCAATCACCCTCCTTCCCCCCTGCCCTCCACCCTCACCAATGCCAATCCCCAGCTCAGGTCCGAAACACTGACCCTCCAGTGCCTTGGAACATCCTCCCGACGTGAAAGGTGCTATACAAATATAATTTTGTTGTTGTTGTTGCCTTAGTCCTACAAATAAATGCAAACAGTTGTGAATAATCTTTGTTGTAAATTATGTCTTCATTAAGATGTGGAATTTAAGCGCTGGGACTGATCCGTCAGAACTTTTTTTTCAGTTTCTGGCATCTGTTTTGGAAACCTTGCCCTCTGAAAATATCTATAACTCATGCTAGGTACAGAGGAACGCTCTTTTCAATACCCAAATTGTATAGCTTAAACTCATGTAACGAAAGGAACTTGAATTTTGTTGATTTGGTTCTCGAACAGCAAGTCCCACATGAAGACTTCATTTTCAAATTTCTCCCAATTTATTTTACGATTTTTCTGGCAACTGAAAGGCAATGCACAGCAGTTGGATAGAGCAAATGATTCCATGGTAAGCAGCTGATGAATATGCTCCACATTATAAGCTACAAAACAGCTTATTCCTCAATCAAATTGCAGAGGAACCTTGCTCCAATAACGTCTTGTCATACCTGTGTTAAAGGAGCACCCTGCTGAGTAGCGTGCATTTGGACCTGGGATTGAGGAATTGGTTGACCTGGGATGGACCCACTAGATATCGTCATTTGATGCGGGTATTGTCCGGGTTGATGTGTTTGCTGTACTACCTGGGACGGGAAGAGAACAAAACACAATGTATTATTCATTACATATGCAAAAAAAACACCAGGATTCAGCTGTGTTCACTGGTTCAGATCCAACGCCTTTACTGGAATGAGAAGTCTTAAACATCAATGTTATCTTAATTTTTTTAAAATCCAAAATACCCCCATGCTTCCTCCCTTTCACAGTGTTTGCACAACTAATTTTACTGTATGCCTGGTTAAAAAAAAACAAGTGACAGACAACTTATTGCAACTGCTTGCAGCATTTATTAAAAACACTGGTCGAGAGGCCAAATAGGCAGGCTCCTCCCAGGCCTTTGCCAGTGCTTCTTAACATGAAGTTGTCAAGATGATTGAGACACCAAGTCAACTGAACATCCTTGTTTCCCTCCAAACATGTACTAAGTACACTGCATCAATACAGATAATCCCTGGACACAGTCAAAATTTACTGAGGCGTTGTTGTGAAAAAATTTCACAAGAGCCAATTTTGGGAAAGTTAATGTTTCAGTTTATGACTCAATAAGGTTCCTTTCTTGGGCACATTTTAAACAATCGATTGGAAATCTAGACACAGTATCTACATGATCTGGCTACAACATGGTACTTACCAAGAAAAGTGTGAGCCTGTTGAGACCACCTGATCTAAATAGACATTCCTGCAACTAATAGACACACTGCAATCTCAGCCCTAGTCACTTTCAAAGAACAGTAAACATTCATGCTCACCAAGCATCTTTGTCACTTCCTCCAATCAAAGACAAAAAAAACCCTGAATTTTAAGCATGGATTCTGTGCTGCTCAGCCCAAAATAAAGCAGTAAAGGCTGTGTATACACAACAAAAAAGGAAAAAAAAACACTATTCAAATAAGAATGAAATTCTCTACCTGTGGAAGATACGCTGGGGTGTAGTAACAACTGCCAAACTACAAGAAACAAACATAACAAGTGTGAGATACAGCACCATCTAAAAGACAATCCCATCAATCCATTTATAAACTAAGGGGGAATTATGTATCAAGAAGAATACAAAATTCAAAAGCCACACAACCAATTCTCATTTCCCTCAATTTATCTCGCCTGGAATTCTTCATTGGCGACTCAGCTGCAATACCTGGAGATGTGTTGCCCATAACAGCTGCTGCACAGGGCTTAATTTCAGGCTCACGACACTGACAGAAACAGAGCAACATTACCTGATTCATCTGTTGCGTGGAAATTCCTGGAGGCTGTGAAGAGACTTGTTGAGATGTCACGCCCAGAGGAAGACTGGTTGGAGGTGGCTGACTCTGCATTTGGGCCTGTTTGGTAGTTAAAAGTATAGAAATTCATTAATAAGCACATTAATAAGCAAATTAAAAGCACAGACATCACAGTCCCATTGAAGTGGAGCACAATATGGAATTATACAAGACTTCAATTGAAACTGATGTTAAGATTTGAGTCAATGGCTGCGTATGTTCATAAATCAGCCATCAATAACTGACACCCAAATGGCTGCAATACATGTAGAATTGCAGTAACTAGCATAGTTTAAAAAAGTGAAGTGCTTTTTTTAAAAAAAAACTAATTTCATTGCGCAGATAGATTTCATTAGATAAATACCAAATGAAGTTCTTGATTAAATTTAACCATCTTACTAAAATTACAACCTTTTGTCGTACTGAAAAAAAATTTGTAAATTCTATGGAGTCTCTAAGCTACAAAGCTCAGTACATTTACCCAAATAACTGATTTATGCACGCTATGGAGTGAAGCAAAATGAAACACAAACTATTATTTTGTAGTCTGAATGCAATTATCCAGGAGTAAGAGCTGCCGTTATAAATACTACATCCTTCAGATAGTTTTCAGCATAAAGCGTGAACACCTGAAATGCAAGTACCAAATGTGGGCTCTGTAAGTCTGCAGAACTGTAATCTAGTAGCACGTTCTGCTGGGTTGAAGACGGTTGAGACCAGGATCCTTCCATAACCTGGAGATACAAGCCAGCTGTTCCTGTCCGTGAAGCTGTCAGAACTGGCTCAGTGGTGGTCTGAAACAATATGGTCGGTGGTGCACCTAGTGGAACTGGCATACCCCACATCATTTCACTGTATGTGCCATTTTCCTGGAAAACCTGTTGTTGCTCACTAAGAACTGACACACTGGAATTGGATGTTCCTGAACCCACAGGGGGAGGAGACTGCAACCCTCTTGTCTCTGAAGATGTGGACTGACCAGAGTCACTGGAACATTGTGGACTGAGATTCTGAGAAACCTCTTGTGAGAGTGATTGTTTGTGCAGTAGCATACTATCTGGTGGTATCAAATGATCAGAGCTGAAATAAACCACCTGTTCTTCGGTTACTGGCTGGAGTCTACAATACATTCCAGTCCCTTGTGCATCCTCCAAGTTTAAATCCATAGAACTCCTCCGACTCCTGTAAATTCTCTGGGATGTTGGAATAGGGGGCTGAATGCTACTGCCTTCCACTTGCACTGCAGGGATTTGGAAGTCAAATATAGATCCAGTTCTGCCTTCATTTATCTGTGCAAGTATAGCTGGTGCAGAACGAGAGATATGCGGAACAGTATCCAGAGTCACACCACTTTTTGTGAAAAGACCTGCAGATGCAAGATCACTTTGAGCATCTCTATCTTCCTGCAATGGTAAAAATACTTTAGTTGGTATCAAAGCCGTCTGAGGCTCTAACTTCATATGTTGACCTGGCTCCTGCGACAGTTGGAGATGAGCAGGTAGGCTTGAAACTTGAGCAGGCAATGTGTGAGACGTCACCTTTACTAACTGAGGTACCAGCTGACCCATCATATTTTGCATCTGGCAGGGAAGAAACGTCTGACTATTCAGGGGAATCTCACAACCCATGGGCTGAGAATAAATGTGTTGCTGAAGGTTTAATTCTTTAGGAATTTGGTACAATGCTAATCCTTGTTGAAGGTTGCTATACTTGGCAACCTCATATGAGTCCTGCAGATTTTGCTGCAAATGCACACTGACTGGATACATCATTGGGTGAGTTACGAAGAGTGGAATTTCTTCAGATTGACCAAATCTAGAACTCCCTTCAGTGGATGCGTGGACATGTTCTGGCAACTGAGCTTGTATGTGCACTGGTTCGCTGGTAGACCTATGGGTATTCAAATTTTGAGTTGTCAGTCCTTCAACAGTCCGATTAGAAAAATCACCAGCGGAAACAACATTCTGGCCTACGGTCCTGAACATGGGCTGAAAATGCCAAGTGTGGGCTTCCAGGACGGAAGTACTTTTGCGGCGTTGAGAATTCACAATTTTCAGCGGAACACTTGGTGGTGGAGAGAAAGAAAATTGTCTCTCAGGAATAGTTGAGTAAGATACTGCGTCTGGTTGTGATGGAGCTCCCCCACAAGGATGCACCAGTGATGGGGACTGCATTAACATGAACAAGATAAAAATCTCATAAGAGTAGAGAAATTAAAAATGCATCACACACTAGCTGTTGCTTGGACAACACTATGAATGACATGATAGAATGAAGTTACTGACTATGTCAGACAAACATACAACACATTTAAAAGGAAAAAAATTACAGAATTGACTAAGGCATTAAATAGAACTTTGGGCACAGGTTTTTACATTTATGCATGCTGTTTATATCATAAAGGCATTGCATGAATGAAGAGATGATTTTACTTGAATGCTTTCCCCTAAAACCGGACCTCAACAAAGTTCAGATTGTTGCAATTGACTGAAGTGCATCCTTGGAAATCTATTAAACTTAATCCCCCCCCCAGTTTAAAAAAGAAAACATGCATTTCTGTGGCCACGAATCATTTCATTATCAGAATTAATCATCACCTATTTGGTCAACATATTTTTCATTTGGCGGACTGTAATATTTGACCTCAAAATGACTGAAGAGTTCTGTAGCTCAGTCATATAGACTGAGATGTATGACTGAACTACAGACTCAGTCTGTACTTAGAACACTCGCCTCGCAAGCGAGAGAACTAGGTTCTATCCCCGGTAGGACAAAATGTTGGGCAAGTTTCCTTACTCCACACTCCTATGTTTACCTAGCAATAAGTAGGAACCCAATTGTTAGTCGATTGGCCGATCGCTTTTCCATGGATAATAATCTTCAAAAAACAATAATAATTTGGTTACTCAATCCACAACTGTTTGCGGGACATTGCTGTGCGCAATTGGCTGCCGAATTTCGCTCACAAATATACAATCAATCCACTTTATAGTATATTCTGCGAAGGACTTTGACACGTCTAGAAGACATGAAAAGCGCTATATCAAGGATTATTATAAGTTCTAGTTAAGTCAGATTCAAGCCATCTTGGCTAATGTTGTTAACTGCATCAACATCTCTGCTGATGGTATTATCTGAAATAAAATAGCCAGTATTAGCATCTTGGCTCTTGCCAGGTTGCGCATCTGACATTCTTTCTTCCCGACACTAAAGCAACTTCACTATTCCTTATAAATGCCAAGCTTCTCCAACAAGCTATCAGAGCAAGTAACACTTTCAGATATTTGTAAAAACAGCTAAGCACACGTAGCTGGTTTAATACGCAACTTTGAGAACTAGTTTGCTCTACATTTCATTCTCTAAACTTTAATGTACTCAAACACAAGTCCTCTGTACCACTTAACATTGGCACATGCAACAAACTTGTTGAAAGTTAGTATTTTTTAAGTTATCTGTTTATATTTTCATGTTAATTGTCCAATTAATTCAAAACATTCTATATTGCTGTTCACATAAACGCCTCCGTCGCAAAAATAAAAAAAATATGTATTTTATGAGCCAAATTAGTAGTTTATAAAAACAACTCTGGTGTCCTGACAGTAAAACCTGGTGCCCATAACAGTTTTATTTAATGACAACTTATCCTCATGAGTCCCGTGTAACATACAGGGTTGAAACTAATACACGGGAGACTGGAGCGGCGCTGTTTGCGTGGAAGAGCTGAGTGCATAGGCAGGACGCTTTCCAATGCTTTTGAAAGTTTTTCTGCAAAAGTTTCTTCAGGAACAGTCCGAACATGGGGGGAGAGAGGTGGAGAGAAAACTGGTGGCGGAGTGGAGGGTGTTCTGGGAATGCAGGGTAAATCAGGGATGTCGGAAAGGTGGGGAACACAAACGGACATGCTACGACCTCGTCGAGGCTGAAGAAAAAATAAAAAAAAGGAATAAGCACCAACACATATGACTGACGCACAGTAAACTGGACAGCAACATGTACACATAGATAAGACATGCTAGGACACGTATGATGGTGCTCACCAATGGCATCTTGTCAATGGCAACTGAAGGGAAATGAAATGAGTTTCTAACAATTTCATAATCATGCAAATTTCCTTCAAATGAAAGAAATTAAGAAATGAAAGAGCGAGTTCGCTACAACTTGAACTCCATGTATCCACAAGATGTTTAGCTTCACAGGATATATGGAGGAAGCTAATTCTGCTCATGTTCTTGGAGATGAAGTGGTTATTTTTCTTTAACCATTCAAGTGTCAGTCATACTAAAAGAGATCCCTGCAGGTGTTATCCTTTAGGTTTACCATTGGCCAGCAGACAGAATCCAAGACCGATCAAGGAAACAAAAAATCCAATAGATGCTTCTTGGACAGAAGAACAGCAAGCAGCCTACAAATGCTGAGAACTATAGCTGACAAAAGTGTGCAATTACAAAAGTAAAATAATGCAAGGGTTACAGCGTGGTTTGCACTTTGCATGAAAATTATTTTATGCTCAGCAGCAAAATAGATGCCAACAAAAATGATGTCAGGCGCATCATTGTACAATTAATTAAAATGACTTAACATGCCACAAGCATGTCATGTTTTCACACAGTGATGGAGTAAGGCTAAACACCATCAAACCTACAAGCAATGATTGATCCATAGTAATATGACATTAGGATAATTGTCCACCTTCCGGTACCTTATATAGTCACACATTGTTTGACTGTACCTTGGCCTCTTTTTCTTCCAATCACTCTGCGAAAACGTGCAAATGTAAATTTGAAGCCAAGTCAGGATTGTTGCAAAACTTTTGATGTATTGAAATAAACACTTGCTCAAGTGATGCATTCCAGAACAAGTTTTAAAGGACATCCATGTATGAAAACAAAATCACACAACCATTATCCGAAATAAATCACACCTCGAGCCACAGCTGTCCTGTAGTGTTTGTGCCCAAACTTCACTCTCATAAAAAAAATCTCCTTCCAAAGTCACCAGTACAAAAGGCAATTCCAACAAGCTTCAGGTATGAAAGTGAAAAAATAGCTTCCTATTCCTCACCATGTGTTATTGTTAAGAAACGTTGGAATGAAAACTAAAACGTGTCATATTTGTTACTTTAAAAGTTGCAGAAATCACTTCAAACTCCATCTGTTTAATGGGCCATTTCAAATAAAATTTATTTCTGAAACAAACGCAACTGCTTTAAACTATTTTATACAGAATTAAGTTTACCTTCAGGATAGTAAGCTTTTCCAAAATAGTTCTTCTGATATGAAGTTTAAAAAATTAAATTTGTCAAGCATCTGGATATGTGTGTTTCTCTGTAACATGAATACACACAGCTGCAGCTCACAAAAAGAGCTCCCCAATGGGGTGTCATGGCTTTATTAATGTTTAAATGAGACACAACCTGCCCAGTCAACTTACCCCAACAGGCTGTTGATAGCCAAGTGTTTGTTGCTGCTGCACCACTGCCGCCTGGACATGTGGTGGGCTGTATGCAGGGACCTGGCTCGATGGAATGTGCTGTTCTTGAGCAGAACCATAGGAAACAGTTTGACTACCATGTGATTCTGAAAATCCAGATGAACTCTGGCCACTGTCAAAGGTGCCATCAGCTAGGTAAAAGCAAAAGGGAAAATACCATTCAAATTTCTCTTTTCAGAAAGCTAATACGAATAAAGCAATCACCTTCCGCCCACAAAATATAGCCAAATATACACTTTACAGTATATTCTGTGAAGCGTTTTGAAACGTCTAGAAGACGCGATAAGGCGCTATATTAAATGTAAGGATTATTGTTATCCAAATTACATTTTGTAACACTTTCTTCTGTTCTATTCCAATCAAGTGTGTCAAGACACTATAAATGCAATGATTATAAATGCTGCTGCAAATTATTGGTTATGGAAGTTAAACCAGAAAGATTTCACCCCCTCTGTACTAGTCTTAACATTATCAACCAACACAAAATGTTTCTGTTGGCTCAAGACTACAGACCACCTTGATAACCAACCTTCTACAACATGGTCAAATTCTAATTTGCAATACGATTTTGTGTGAAGTCTTAACATTTTGGGGCCCAAACATCAAAGCACATTATTTTGTTTAAGGGGTATTTTTAATGGGAATAATGGGTGTTCAGTTTTTGGGAACATATTGCTCATTAACATCAATATATGTGGGCTATTTATTTCCAAATGCAATTTCATGTTTTAGAACTGCACTAAATACTGGAACCCTTGACTCGACGGTAGGTTGGTGATCCAACATTGTTCCCCATTCATTCAACGTACAACTCAGAATATACCGAGTAGTACAGAACATGGCAGTGGGATAGCTTCTCCAATATGCAGGTAATCGTCCTATATACTCGCCCATAAGTCATGATCAGGAGCTCTCTGCATGAGAAATTGCCAGCACAAATTGGGCTTTCATCATTCTCTAAGAACCTGCTCACAATTCAAGAAAAAACGGCAACTGGTAAACCTGTCAACTAGAAATAAAACGGAACAGGACAAAGATTAATTATTGCTCTGAACTATTGTTTCTGAACTATACATAGCTCAGATCCGTGACAATATTCTGTCCAAATTAAGGGGTTATTTATTAAATCAATAAATGCAAACTGCTTTTCATGAAGATTGAAAAGTAACCTACATGCAGCTGAGTTTCCAGATGGATGGTACTGCAGTCGGTGCTGATCTGCTTCAGGCTCTTCCGGCTCAACTTGGGTTGGAAGGGTTCCGGGGAGTGCAGAAGGGACAGCAGTGGCAGGCAACTGGGAAGAATGAGCAACTCCCACCCCAGTTTGAGATACACTGGCTCCTTGCTGTGATTTTTGCTGCTGTAGTTGATCAGATTTCTTCTGCTGCTCTCGCTGCTCCTCCAGCTTCTTCTTCTCTTGCTTTTCCCTCACCAACTGACGTTGCTCCCGTTTCCGTTTGATCAAAGACACCCGATCTTTGATAGCTTTGGCCATGGTTTTGTGATCTCCTTCACTCACAAATCCAGATTCCACCTTCAACAAAGAATAGTTCTGTCAAAATCTGGATCGTTACAGAATTTTCAATTCAGGTAATACTGGAATTAAAAATGAAGAATGACAAAATATTTTTCTTAGCAAGGGTCTTATGGAGGTTTTCCCGTCTTACAAGAGAATGGACAAACTACTGTACTGAAATTTACTGTACTCTACACAAAGACAGTTTGGGCAGCAATAGCTTCCAAGCTGCAAGTTACATCTCTACCATTCCAAATCCATTTTGATGAACTACATTTCTTACCATTTCCTGTGCTACATCCTCCGGAACATCTCTTTCCAGGTCAAACAAGAATTCTATGGCTTCATTATCTTTGTATTTTCCTTTAAGCTTCTTAATGTCTTCAATTCGCAACCATAGTTTAATTGCAAGTTTTTCACCGTCATCTTCTTCTGCCAATTCTACACGCACACCAGTCTCTTCCTGAAAGAAGGCGTGGCTCAAAAGGTCTTTGATGGCATACCTAAAACCCATTTCAATACAGCACATCAGTAAGATTGAAAGAAAATAAATCATTTCTTATTGGTTCTTTCCAAATTTTTAAGGTGATTTTAAAAATTTTAAATTATCTTTCGGACCTTAATGGTAAAGAATGGGTTGATCTCGGCAGTAGGCTTTCTCCACTTGCAATATTAACTCAGGTTAAGGAATAAAAGTTCCTGTTACTTTCTGTCACGATATTACCCAACTGAAAGAATGCAGGCATGGCAAAGCAGCTTATTGTTATGGCTGATTGTTGGAAGTGCAATGAAAGAGGCGCAACGGTGATTTTTCTCAACAAACTTGCACAAAAAAAATCAGTTCAGTTTACAGCCCTGTTGAAGATAGAATTTAACGCTTGTGCAAAACAATATGGGTGGGCAGGCGGGGAGAATAGATGGGAGTAATCATCAACAAACAGCACATAATTGCACGAACATACTTGGGATGGCAAAATAAACATTTGTTTTAAATGAAGATTGAACACAGTCTAAACTTTCCTTCTAACATTACATTGACAGCCATGAAATTACAGAAATTCATATGGGAATAAATACAAAACAGGTTCTGTATACTGGTGACATTAGCCAACAAATGGATCCTTATTACTCATTTCAAACATTCTGTTTTCTAAGTTAGTTTTGAATTCCTATAGTTTTTCTTCCTGCAATAAACTAAGCATTTACCGTTCATCTTTATTCTGCCGGATACAGCCTTCAATTATTTCTTTAACTTCAGGGATTGCGACTTTGTCAAAGCTAGCTGGCTTAACACCCTGAAAAACAGAAGAAAATTCAGACTTGCAGGCCCAACTCAGAAGCAAACATTACTGGTTGGCAGTAAGATAATTAGTACATTATCACAAATTTGTTATAGATGTATGAGACAATGTATAATTGGCAAAGTACATCAACCACACCTGCTATTTTTAACATTGGATAAGAGGCACTTGGATTGAACTATGGTTCAATATTTTTTTTAAAATTGCCTTTTAAGATTTAGGTTATAATCATTGCAAGTTACCCTTTTTAAATTTCACCCAAATTATTTTAATAAACTCACTGCATAACTCGATAGTGAGTATTCTTATTATATACCAAGTTCATTTTTGTAATTTAATTGAATCTAATCATTTTTCTGCTGTTTGTATTTACAGCTCAGAAACAGAGGCACAACTTGAAGCAGATGTCTATAATTGCAATTTATGGTTTGTAAAAAAAACTTTATTCCTTAAATACTCAGAACACATTTGACAAAAGTTATGGGTCAATAATCAAATCAAGATACATAAAATGAACTTGTAAACAGATACCAGATTACAACCTTGCACTTACTCCCTCGTATTAGTTTGGTCTTCTACAATCAGGGATTCAACTCTATTTGCATTCTTCATAGGAGAAAGACCATGGGGCAGTATTCTATATGAAGTAGCCCACCCAAATTTTAATGATAAATACTTAGTATCTTTAGCAAAAGAATTTTGGGTTCCCAGGATTTGGAATCTGCTTGCTAGTCTACCTTGTCACTCGGTTGACGTTACTGACCAGGATAAGCTGTTGTGTCTACTTTAAAGGGATTTTGAGCTGCAGACAAGCCTTTCAGTTACAAGATAGCTCCAAATTGAGAAATACTGCATCTTTGAAATTAATAATAATAATAATCCTTGCATTTGATATAGCGCTTTTCACATCTTCTAGAAGTCTCAAAGCGCTTCACAGAATAGACTGTAAAGTGAATTGACTGTATATTTGTGGGCAAAATGCAGCAGCCAATTGCACGGTGTCCCACAAACAGTCGTGGATTGAAATGACCAATTTATTATTGGTTTTTTTTGAGGGATTATTATCAGGCGTGTGGAGTAAGGAAACTTGCCCAAGGTTTCACCCTGCCGGGAATCGAACCCAGGTCTCTCGTTGCAAAGCGAGTGCTCTAACCACTGAGCTACAGTATCCAAATCAGGGTGTGTGATGCAAACTATGTAAATATTTAACAAGAAAGGAATTTAATCTCACCAGGATAGATGCACAATGGCAAATACCCGAAAATTGCCCTAAATTTGTTCCAATGAGGACCCATACATACATGGAAGTTACCTCCACCTATTCGTCTATGCTGAATTCCTTTTGCCAATGCAATTTAAAAATCTTGCTTTCACCTCAACCTACTTTTTCTAATAAGTTATGTTTTGTGACAGTAATTTTGAAGTTGAACAGTGCACAGGGAGGCAAGTGGAGTGAGGCATGCTGTATTATTGATGTCTTGGATTAATGAGGCCTTTCAAAAAAATTTGAATTATATTTTTACAACTTGCCAAAGTATTAAAGTATTTCAATAATTTAATAGCAAAGAATAAACAATTATTCCTGAGCCCAACAATATAATCATCAGTCTTAAATAATCCAGCAGGTTACCTTGCTGTGTCAACACAAGAGAAGCTACCCTTATAAGGTCAATACCCCTTTCTATCTTAGCCGTAGACTGTTCACCATCCACAGCATGTGTATAAAAATGTGTACTATTAGATTTAACACATCTTAAATTTACAAACATTGAGATCTCATTATATGGATCAGTTGTCCAAAAGATCCCTTAAAGCCATATTTTAGCAATTTCTACTTTTTCTAGTTTGTCACTCAACAGGATTTAGAATTGATGCATTATCACTTCTTGGGCTGGTGTGTTGAACACTGACAACGAGACTGTTAAGCGATGAACTTGCAATCCTCAGGGAACGTCTACAGTGAAAGGAAATTCAAATGTCTCCTCAAAAGAAAATATTGATCCAATGTACCAAAACATAAATTATGGGTCATAGAAATATCTTTTCTCAAACATCTAACCATAATATATTCCATAAATAGTGGTACAATTTTTGAACATTTACTTCATTTCTTGTGCAATTCAGTTTGGTTCTTGCCCGTAAATTAGAACCAAATATTAACATTAACTCTGTACACTCAAGGTGCACAAGAACCTGAAACATTAGTCAGAGAAGGTGAAATCAGAGATGCAGTTTCAAACAACTTTCTCTTATCTTTCTCTCTCCTCCTCCCCTCCCAATCTACATTACGAAGAAAGTTGACAAATATCTGTTTTTCTTGATATTTTAAATTGTATTGCCACTTTTTCCCCAAAATATTTAGAACCTTGTTTTACAAAATGTCCATGCTCAATGCTGAAAGCAAAATTCTCAATTCAGCTGACAAATGCCTTAACATTCCTGAATTTGGTATTATTATTATTTTCTCTTCTTTAAACAATAAATTTTTTTAATTTTTGCAATAAAATTCATATGCCACACTGGATCAGCCTGATTGAATACAATTATCAACCCAAACATGTATAAAAATGCCTTTTGAAATACACCAATTTACAAGACACAGAAATCTATGACTACTGAATAGTGTCAAACATTTATCACAAATTAAAAGCCAAAATTAAATTTAAAATTGAGTTCAATTACTTCACAAACTTCAGCAACGGATCCATTACTCACCTCTTTGACATGAACATGATCATTTTGATGGGAGCAGCAGCAGCAATGGGAATTGATAATAACAAACATCGGGCATTTCTCTCTCGTCTCAGAATCCATTTGAGAACAGGTGATATCTAACATCTAACTTGGGTGCACTTTGACAAGACGGACCACAGAAAGACAGCAAAGCCCATGATTGCCAAATTTGCTGCTACTGGTGTCAATCTCTATCTTCCCACCAAGCCATTTTTAAAGCCCAGTCTTAAGTCGACCTGCTCTGCCTGTTCAAAACACTGAACAGCACAAATCCACCATTTATCCAGCCAATTACAGTTCTCTACACCTCCTTCAAGATCGTCACGTCATGTGATCAGATTTCATTAGCAATTACAATGCATTTCATTCCCTCGGGCTGTGTCCTTGCACAAGATCATACAATTAGATTTTCACAAAGATCCAATAGGTTTCAAGAATAATTTCCCCCATTAACTAACACCAATTCTCTCAGACTTTCTTATAATTTTTGCAAAAATAGTTAACCCACAAAACAATTTTACCTCTCTAAGGAGAAAGTGCATAAAGGAACTTCTCAGCAAAATGTGATTAGCAATAAAGTCACATTGTTTGAACAAACAGGTTCAAATTCCCATTATGGTTCGCTGTAATGCAACTGGTTTAATCTTGATCATTTCTGGTACAGACCTCTCTATCCCAAGGATTAAAGGGAATAATTGGCAAGAAACTTGGCAAAAATAAATTACTTTAGTAGAAAAAAAACACGTTTCATTTCATGTGACAAATTCAGTGCGGGAAGAGCTTTCTTTCCCTAAATTGTTGATTGGTTTAAGTAACAAGTTATCAAAGTGAAGCATCAGCCCAATGATGTTTGCTATGAAGTGCTGCTAAGCACCATAAAATACGTGATTTTCACTTCTGCAAGTCATTTAACAACAACAACAACAACAACAACAAGATTACATTTATAAAGCGCCTTTCACGTCAGGAGGACGTCCCAAGGCGCTGCACAGTTGGGTCATGACCCGAGCAGGGGGGAAATGGTCAGGGTGAGGGGAGGGAGCGAGGAGGGGGGAAATGGTCAGGGTGAGGGGAGGGAAGGGAGGGAGCAAGGAGGGGGGAAATGGTCAGGGTGAGGGGAGGGAAGGGAGGGAGCGAGGAGGGGGAAGAGAGTCGAGAGGGGAGCTGAAGGCACGGTCAAAGAGAAAGGTTTTGAGACCGGGAGGAAGCAAGGCGAAGGCTTTAAAATATTTTAATGATTTATCATGCCCACAAAAAGTATCCCAACTTCTGCTTACGTTCATAATCGACGCTCCAAAAAGGAATCTTTGAACCAAACTGTTCCTGGAGAACAGCCTGGGGGAGGGGTGGTGTATGTGGTGTGAGGCAAGGGAGGAAGCGAGGTGAAGGGACCGTGGGATGGAGTTCAAAATTACATAAACGATTGACTTGGCATCTCTGATCATATGTAATATTAACATTTTAATAATTTATCGAAGGACAGTTTTTTTGGTAAAATCTTTCACTACAATTTTTTCCCTAAAATTTGCATCCAGTTCAAATTTAGCATTAATATCAACACACTTGTGTTTGTACACTTCTTTCAATTTCAGAGCTAAAGAGTGAAGAAGTTACTTCTAAAAATCCACATCTGTCAAACATTTCTTTAAAATGTACTCTACCCAAGTATCTTTAGTAAAATTAAAGACTCAAAAGTTAGGCTTGAAATTAATTCCACTTTTGGTAAATCTGAGGATATACTTACAATGTTTCTAACAGCTATAACATTTCTCCACAATTTCTTGGACAAATACAGATTCACTGTATTTGCAGCAAAATATCAAGTCACAGAAGCCCAACAACAGCAACAAACAACAAAATTACATTTATAGAGCGCCTTTAACGTCGGTAGGACGTCCCAAAGTGCTGAACAGTCAGGTCTCGGGGCCCGAGCATGGGGGAGGGGTGGTGTAGGTGGTGTGAGGGAAGGCAGAGAGGTGGAAGGGAGACCAAAGGCACAGTCGAAGAAGGATCTTGAGACCAGCCTTGAAGGAGGCAAGGGAGGAAGCGAGGTGAAGGGACCGTGGGATGGAGTTCCAGAGTGTGGGGGCAGAGAGGCTGAAAGCCCGGCCACCGATGGTAGGGTGGGGTCGAGTGGGAGACATGGAGCAGGTCGGAGCCTGATGAACGGAGGGAGCGGGCAAGTTGATAGGGAGGTTGGTAGCCCGAGACAGTGAAAGGGGACAGTGAACTGACATTTAATAGATTCCAATGCAATTTTC